GTAAAAAAAAAAAAATAATTCTTTATCCAACCCCCCCCTTCTTGTTATCTGCCTCTTTTTTTAAATCTCTTTGTGTTTTTTTTTTCGTTGAACACACCCCCCCCCCCCCCCCCCCCCCCCCCCCCCAAAAGATTTTCCCTCTCTTGTCATCGTCTAGTCCTGCCTTACTTTGGGTTAGGTAGCCATAGCCCATAATACATCCCCCTCACTCTCGCTTCGCGTAACTCTACAGGAATCCACGTCGGGGGAAGGTGACGCCTTCTACGGCAGCGTTATCGGTGAACCAGCTGCATCGCTCGCCGGTTGCTTCGTTGACAAGCGCGCACGGCAGCCCATTTCCTTGCTCGAATATCTCCTTCATAATCTCCCTTTTTCCAGCACCCGTGGCAACAAAGGCGACCTTGACGGCGTGTGTAATGACGGGTAGCGTTAGAGTAATTCGTCGAGGCGGCGGCTTTGGTGAGTCTTCGATGGGCGCTACCCAGGCGTCCGTCTCACGGAGAAGCGGGTGGCCTGGAAACAAACTACAGGTATGTCCATCTGGGCCGCAGCCAAGGAGTAGCAGGTCGAAGATGGGTAGCTTGACAGAGTCACCCTTAGCGAAGGAATTGACAAGTACTTTTTCATACTGATCGGCTAGCTCCTGCGTGTCATTCAGGTATTGTGTGTCAATTGGGTGTACAGTCGGTTGGCCTAGCTGGGAGGGGATCTTGTCCAGCAATTCTGTCTTGACTAATCTGTAATTGCTGTCTTCGTGATCTAGAGGTACAGCTCTTTCGTCGGCGAAGAATATTTCCCACTTGTCGAATTTTACCGCATCTTCGTTGGATTTGGGGCTTGCAAGGAGAGCCTTGGCGAGGGTGTTGGGTAGCGAACCGCCAGAAACGCCGATCTTAAAAACGCCATGACGTGTGATGCCAGCGTTTTGGCATGTGATGATGTAGGATCGCAGGGCGGGGGCGAGGGCTTCAATATCGCTAAAAGCGAACAAATTGGGTTGCTTTCCCGGCATGGTGGTGTACTAATAAGGAGCGTGCCACTGTTAAATAGGTTTGTACCTGAGCGGGTAAGTTATAAATGTGGAATTTGAATATGATTGAATATGATTGTATATGATGAATATGGTAGGTCGGTGTAAGTAGGTGAGCCAAAATTAAAGAAATTGGTTGTGAAGATTATTTGCGAAAGATGATGGATTAGGTACCTAGATACCTGTAGTTAGATAGTGGGGTAGGTCAAGGTAAGGTAAGGTAAGGAAGGTAAGGTTAGGTACCTACCTGTATTATACCTATGTATTGTACCTAGGTAGGTAGCTTTCACGAGTGATTTTTTTTTTTGTATCTTAAGGAAACAACTACCACAAACTTAACAGGTAAATAGGTACCTAGGTAGTTAACTTATATTAAGAGCCTTAGGTTAGATAGTGGCCAAATCTAGATAAGATAGAAAAGGAATAAGAAAAATAAGAAAATAAGTACCACACTGTGACAATCAAGTTGGAACGGTGGGTGTATATAGACCCCTTTAAGTAATTTAGTCTGCTTGTTCTTCGGTCCCTACGATGTTGAAGTCGGTATGACAGACTACCCAGGTGGGAAGTTGACGATATCGAATATTTATGATATAGTCGCACATGTACTAATGTGTATCTTGGGTTGGCGTTAGCGGTGTCCCACTGTTCACTCGTTGTCAGGAATATATCCCTCTAGGGATCTTGGCGCCCACCGGTCGTTTTGTAATTGGACTGGTAGATGCGGATTGGTTAGCTATAAAAAGGGTACAAAACTAAGCTTTGAGCTATATTCTTTGCTTGGTATCAGAGCGGTTGATGAATGTTATTTATGGTGACGTTTAAATCGACATGACGCAACCACAAAGGTTCTGCCCGTATTATATATTCTCGTTTACAAGTTGATAGCAATATGTATACATAGTAGGCAATGGGTAAGGGTATGGGCATGTAAAAAGTTGTAGATTAGGTTTGTTGTGTTAGCGTTCGGTATTTTTTCGCGAAAGGATAAAAAAAAAGTAGAGGGGGAAAAAATATAGAGGGGTAGTTCGATGATTGACGTAGAGCTTACTGATCTTGGATGACCAGAGGGGCGGGACAGGGAGCTAGCCTATAGATAAACGGGTCCCTTTCCGTGGAAGGTCAGAAGGGTGTGGGACAACTGGAAGGATGGTAGGATGGGTGGACAAGCCAGACAAGTGGGGGTTTTTCTTGCTCTGATCTGCATTTGCTGCAAGTCTGCAAGGAAACCCCCCCGCCGACCAACCAATTATGTCACCTTTTGCTTATCCCACCTAAGACGAAGTTAGCCCAGGTGGTATTGGGTCAATGATGCTCACGATGATGAGTTCTTCGATGGATTTCGAAGTTTCGAAGGTTTTTGGAATTTAACACCGCTTTCGGTTTAGGCTACCATCACGTATCATGGACCTCCTATACTAGGTACTTAGTAACTACACACACTACTTCGTACACCGAGTCTTCCTCTAACAAAAATTCCCACCTTGTCCACCTAAACCAACTGGAACCATCTAATTCAACATGGTATTACTTCTTCATTCTTGTTATCACTGAAAATACAAATGACGAGTTATCCCCACTACTGGTGTAAGTAGCTGGTGTAAGTATGATCCGATGTTCTGTCGAGTCGTGACCTTCACAGTTCACTACATAGTAAAAATTCATGCTACGACCATACGACAACAACATTTTTGGGTATGATTACACATGCGGCCTTACCGGCAGTTCCAGGTACAATTCTGCCCACGTTCTACACGGGTAGGGTTTCAATGCAGTAAGAATATAGCAGCCGATCACTATATTTGAGACTTAGGACTTGAGTACTGTGACGCAAACTGGTCTTAGCGCTGTGTAAGTGTACGGCATGACGGAAAGCTGCGGTAACGGTGATGAGTCTTGCCAAATCTTAATGCTTGTCATAATTCAGAACAGCGAATCATGCATATATACCTTAGCTGCTTAGGTACCCAAGGTGGACAGAAAAGCTGTCGGTATGGTATGCATTGTTGAGTGCAGATCTAGATCATCGGGCGTACCTTGCGGTTCGTTGATATCTCGTCGGTACAGTGCTAATACAGATCTAGTTTACAGTAGTATCTCGTTGCACTCTCGTTCTTATAAGTTGTCCTTATTTTAATGCTGAGCGTCAAAAATGAAAAATATTCGGTATACATACATACAATGACATACAATGGCCTTCATAAGAGAATTATACCTAATGTATTACCTAAGTACCTTCCGCTCCAGGGCATAGGCGTGATGAGTAAGAGGTACCTTTTGTTAGGTTAGGTACCTAAGATAGGTACCCCAGCGCCGCGAAACGGACGGTGACTGAATCAAACGCCGGCGCTGCTAATGTCAAGTAAACATGTTTCACTCTTACAACCACTTTTTACGGCAGGTAGATCATCACGAATAACACCTGCCACTGAAACACCAATTTGTAATATAGATTTATTGCGTTTGTTTCGTTCCTTAGAACTTTTATCGAAATACAAAATGTCGCAAGCACCTAAATACTTAACTGGCGATTCAGCTGCCATCAACGAGTTTCTTGACAAGTTTGACGTGCGTCATTTAAACCTAAACCAGCCACTGCCGTAATATGAAATCTTACTTTCTACATAGGTCTTTTTACTTGATTGCGATGGTTAGAACAACTACCTAATTAGGCTTGAGAGAGGACTAGAGGACCAGAAGACCAGAGGGCTAAGATGTTACCTTATAGGAGTCTTGTGGTCCGGAGATCATGTCTTCGAGGGCACCACCGAAACTTTGGAGATGCTAAGATCCAGGGGTATGTATGCCAGGCTCAAAAAAAAAGTATGTGTATATCACAAACTAAAATTCGGAGCAGGAAAACGCGTTGTATTTGTCACCAACAATTCCACAAAAGACAGATCAGCCTATCAACTGAAGCTCAAGAACTTGGGTATCCCTAGTAGCGTTGAAGAGATATTCGGCTCGTCTTACTCAGCCGCAATATATATCTCGCGCATCTTGAAGCTACCCGCGCCTAAAAACAAGGTCTTCATCATTGGCGAGAGCGGCATGGAGTCCGAGCTGCGGGAAGAGGGGGTGCCTTTCATCGGCGGCACGGATCCGGCTTTGAGGCGAGATATTACGCCTGAAGACTTCAAGAGGCTGGCTGACGGCTCTTTGCTAGACCCAGACGTCGGTATCGTACTTGTCGGGCTGGATCTCCATATTAATTACCTGAAACTGTCTATGGCCTACCAGTATTTGCTACGAGGCGCCAAATTCCTCGCTACAAACCTCGATAACTTGCTACCTTCCGGCACTACCTTTTTTCCCGGCGCCGGGTCTATCTCTGCCCCGTTAGTCAGCATGACTGGTGAGACACCCTTGACGTTGGGGAAGCCTAGCCAGGCCATGATGGATGCGATCGAAGGCAAATTCCACTTGAACCGGGCGCGGACTTGCATGGTCGGCGATAGGTTGAATACTGACATCCAATTCGGTATCGAGGGAAAGTTGGGAGGAACTCTGCATGTGCTGACCGGTGTTCATAAGCGGAAGGATTGGGAGGCAGAGGACGCTCCAGCTGTCCCTTCCTACTATGTTGATAAGCTGAGCGACCTCAGAGGTGCGACAGCATAACGAGCTGCGCGGCGCTCCCCTTATAATCCCATGCTATCTAGATGGCTTTGATTTTGATAGAGAAACTAATGCTCAGCATAATACAGTATAGATAGACAGACAAGTGGGCAATAAAACGTCAAGACAATATCAGGAACTCATCTAAGAATATCGCACAACGAATAATTATGCTATTTACTAGCTTGGGAGCATACGCCGTTCCCACCCATCGTCTTATAGTCAGTCTCATGTTCAAAGCTTCGGTGCAATAATGTCGATCACCGACGAGCAGACTAAACCGAGTTCTCCAACAGCTCGCCGAAATCGCATGCTCTATTGGATAATGGATAATGGAATAGCGGCTCGATATGCCGGTTTCCCCGCGTACTTATTTAGCTACCCCAATGGAGAGGGGGCTAGCATGTGTTTATTGATTCGACAGCTGCTTTGAAGTCGTGATGCATATCGTCACTGATGATGGTGCTCAAATTAGGTACCTAGGCCGCTATTTGTCGGTAGGTGCCTATATAATTAAGATCGAAGCAGAATACCGAGATGAAAATGTCCTCTTGAATTTATTCCATTCATTCAAGTATAGAACTGGTCGTCTGAACACTATATCTTCTGAGCTATAACTACCACCTCGAATACCTATCTAGCTAAACACATTAACCACTTCTCAGCATAGCTCTACTAAAAGATACCTCTATCCTACTCGCCATGGCGTCGCCGCCCGCCCCCCTCACGCAAGAGCAGAAGGACTTCTTCCTCGCCAACGGCTACATCAAGTTGACTAACTGCTTCACGCAGGAGCAAGCCGCGCTCGTGACAGAGGGGGTATGGACGCGGCTGGGCATGTCGGCCTCGGACAAGTCGACGTGGACGCGGGAGCGGACCAACATGCCGTCGCACCGGACCTTCGACTGCGCGGACTTCGCGCCGAAGGCATGGCGCGCCATCTGCGAGCTGTGCGGCGGCGAGGACCGCGTGGACCCCAAGTCCCGGGTCTGGCGGGACTCGCTGATCGTCAACCTGGGCACGGCCGAAGGGGAGGGCAGGCCCGTCCCGCCGAGGGAGCTGACGAACTGGCACGTCGACGGCGATTTCTTCGTGCACTATCTCGACAGCCCCGAGCAGGCGCTGCTCGTCATCCCGCTGTTCACGGACGTCGTTTCGCAGGGCGGCGGCACGATGATCTGCCCGCCGGCGATCGATCGGGTGGCGAGGCATCTGTACGAGCACCCGGTAACGAAGCCCCTGTCATCCCACCCTCCCTTCCCCCTTTTCCACCACCTTGTTTTATCTCTAGGTTGGGAATCCCGACCATCCATTCATTACGTAGCCTACTCGATAACCCCACCTGAACAAACCTACCTACCTAACCTATACTACATCGGTAACTTGAGAGAAAATGATTGATTAATAGGGTATACCCATCACAGGAAGGCGTATCGCCGCGCATGGTCCCACGCGCGCACCCGGACTTCGCGCGCGAGAAAAACCTAGGGTGGTACGTCGACATCGCGCGGTCGTGCGGGGACGCGGACTTCGTGGAGGCGGCGGGCGCGGCGGGCGACGTGTACCTGCTGCACCCGCTGACGATGCACAGCGCGACGAGCAACGCGCGGCGTGCCGTGCGCATCATCACGAACCCGCCGGTGAGCCTGCGGGAGCCGTTCCGGTTCGGCGGCAGGCCGGGGGGCGGCGGCGGGGAGGACGATTATAGCCTCGTGGAGCGGAAGACCGTGGCGGCGGTCGGGGGGGCGGATAAGTTGAAGGGGTGGAAGATCACGATGCCGAGGGAACGCGTGGTTCCGGAGAGGGTGAGGGTTCAGGAGGAGATGAAGAGGGAGGAGATGCGCAGGTTGGAGGAGCAGGGGAAGAGGGCGAAGGAGGGTGAGGTTGCTACTGCTACTGCTGCGGCGGCGGCGGCGGCTTGATGATAGATGATAGGAGGTATGAGGTATGGAATATGAGGTATAAGAGGGCGGTTGCACGTAATGAGTTATTATGAAGAGGGTAAATTGTGGTTTAGTTGTCGCATTGAGAACTTTATGTTAGACATGAATGTAGCCCCTTAGAACAATACACTTTCTATCACACAATTGTCTTTAGCTCGATCTACTATAATGGCTTAAGTTCTACCGCTTATACTGTCCCGGCTTCATCAAATAACAAGATCATACTTCGTAATCATGAATCGAAATATATATTCGAGATATTAATCTTATGCAATTAGGTGCGAGAGTATCTATATATAATAAAGTCATGGGAAGTAAGACATAATAGGTAGTGCTCGTTATTTGTTATAAGTTCGTTGCAAATAAGTACAAAAAAATAAAGGGGACCTCGGGGACTAAACGGATTTTCAAGCGATACGATACCTCTTATTAAAAAATTGCGAAAATAATTGCTAGCGACCCCAATTCACCTCAAAATATTTGCTTTTTATTTAAGCTTGCCCACCTCCCTCAGCACAACTTATCTTAGGTACTTGTCTTCTAGTGTTTTCCTAATAATATAACGAAAGGAACTCATTCTACTTGATCTAAATAGTAAAAATCCTAATTACCAAAAAAAAAAAAAAAAAAAAAATACAAATGTCCAACACTTCTTCACCCTCACCCTCATCCGCAGCCATGCTTCCCCCGGAGCTCACCCTCATCGTGGCCGCCACCCGCACCATGGGCATCGGCCGCAACGGCACGCTGCCGTGGACCGGCCTCCGGAAGGAAATGGCGTACTTTGCGCGCGTGACGAAGCGGCCGGCACCATCCTCCTCTTCCTCTTCCCCTTCTTCTTCTTCTTCTTCTTTAAACGCCGTCATCATGGGCCGCAAGACCTGGGATAGCATCCCGCCTCAATTCCAGCCGTTAAAGGGACGCCTCAACGTCGTCGTCAGCCGGTCGCATCCTAGCCTTCCCGCATCCGCTCCGGCTCCGGAGCAGCAGCAGGAGGAGAAGGAGAAGGAGGGCCCGCTCAGAGCAAACTCCCTGGACCACGCTCTCGCGCACCTCGCGGCCGCGGACAACGTCGGCCGGGCGTTCGTCATCGGCGGCGCGCAGATCTACGAGGCGGCGCTGCGGCGCGGGGAGGCGCGCCGCGTGTTGCTGACGCGGGTGCTGGCGCCGGATTTCGAGTGCGACACGGTGTTCCCGCTCGACCTACGGGAGAAGGAGGGGGAGGGGGAGGGCAACGGAAAGAGCGGCTGGGTGAAGAGGTCGAAAGAAGAGCTCGATGCTTGGGCTGGGGAGACGGTGCCTGGCGGCGTGCAGGAGGAGAACGGGACGAGGTACCAGTTTGAGATGTGGGAGAGAGTTGATTGATTGATTGAGCGGCCTGGACCTAGTGTCTGTCTGTCTGTCTTACTTTTACGGGTTGGTCTAACTATATGTACTTGCAATACATATATGTATATTTATTTACAAGAAGAAGAATATATCTCTTCATGAGATCATTTATCTTTTCTTTTTCTTTTTCTTTTTTTATTGCGCAAGATAACATGTTGCGCAGAGCCCCCTTTTTAGCTGTGCTAGACTTTTTTTGAACTTTTCATCTTCACGTATGTTACGTGCCATCATTATAATCCCTAACCTAACCTAACCTAGCCTGCCTACCTAACCTACCTCCCCCCTCGTACCTATCATTACATGTATCTCCCTCGGCCTTACTAAGCTACCTTCTCCGCCGGCGGTGCTTGCGCTTGCGGCTCCTGCGCGAGCTGGCCCTCGAGCTCCCTGACGGGCCTGTCGACGACGGCGAGCTCGTTCTTGGCGCGCCACTTGAAGACGGCCTCGGTCCGGTAGTGCAGGGCCTCGTTGGGGATCTGGTCGAGCATCTTGAGGCAGAGGCGCATCCAGCTGACGATGGCGGCGAGGGCGCGGACGTCGACGTCCTCGCGGGCCTTGTACACGTTGCGCCAGACGGCCGCCGCGAGCACCGCGTCCCCCTTCACGACGCCCTCGTCGTACGCCGCGATCACGCCGCGCCACTGTATGAACAGGTCCTTCAGGTACTTGTGCCGCAGGCCCCGCGACCTGATCCCGTGCGTCTGGTCCATCCGCTCCTCCGCGTCGTAGAAGAAGTGGTCCGTCATCTGCCGCTGCCACGACCGCGCCAGGTCCGGCTCCAGGTCCCGCAGACGCGCGAACACGAGGTATAGGTGCAGCATCGTGACCTGCGACCACGTGCTGAAGGTCGGGGGGAGCTTGAAATCTAGAGAGGTTGAGAAAAGGAAATTCTTTTTTAGCCGGCCGCATTATATTATACTAGACTAATTACCGAACAACAACTACCTAGGTAATTTATTGGACGGGGAAGAGAAGTATTATTTATTTATTTACCTTGATGCCACATTGTTTTCCCTTCTCCTATATCCTCACCCTCCGCCGTCTTAGGTATCGTGCCCGCCTTCCTGTCCTTTTCGGGAATGGTATACTCCGCCTCGCGCGCGCAGGCTTTGTAGATATTCTCGGTAGCGTTGACGATGCGGTACGGTTCGGTGGTTCTCTGGAATATTTTGGCCATGGTCTCGCGGAAATTTATGGCCGATTGGTTGGGGGTGGTTCTGAAGCTTCGTCTCTGGTCGGATCGAGAGCTGATGACTGGAGCTGGAGCGATAAGCCGCTGTGCAGCGACAACGACAGCAGCAGCAGCAGCAGCAGCATTTGGGATTTCGATGGTTGCGCCGGTTCGACGGGTTAGCAGCACGAGCTGCTGTCTGCAAATTCTACACGCCATTTGCTACCGAGCTGGAAATGCGCAGGTAATTTGTTGGTAGAGAGGGCATTGGCTTCTTTGGAAAGCTTGTGATATTGAAGGTTTAGGACTCACGTCATTGGCATGGAGGGACAAAAAAAAAAAAAAAGGAAAAAAGAAAAAAGCGTGAAGCTTGGACCCCTGTCCGAAGCTTGGATCTACGACAGGGATCCGAGATCTAGTACGTACTGGTACATACCTGTGCTATGTTAGGTTAGGTACCTCCCACGTACTTCTATCATACCAGGTACCTACAACTTACACCACAACCATTAGGTACAGTCCTACAAACCATTACAGCTTGATATAAATGTAGGAATATAGGTATTATATACTCGTCATATCTTACATTAGCATTTATACGTCATTATATTTACATACCTCAGGTAGGTATGGTACTAATGCAATGGTCTAAGTATCCAGGTAACAGGTTCAGTCGAGTTGAGAGAAGACGAGCGTCGCGTTAGTACCCCCGAAGCCGAAACTATTCGAGAGAGCGACGTTAACCTTCTTCTCTTGAGCTCGAAGGGGTACAAAGTTGAATTTGGGCTCGACATCAGGATCTGTCAGATTTAGCGTGGGAGGGAGAATGTTCTGTGATGATGAATTAATTACAATTGCCCACTGCGTGAAACGGGACGTCTTAAGTTGAAAACTTACTTCGGCAATCGCCAATATGGTGAAAATAGCTTCGATTGCGCCCGCGGCCCCGAGAATATGTCCGATAGATCCTTTGGTACTACTAACGGAGACTTGGCTTTCGCTAGAATATCCTTCCTCGCCTGTCATTAACGACCGGATCGCAAGCGCCTCCGCTGTGTCGCCGACAGAAGTGCTAGTCGCGTGCGCATTGATGTAGTCGACTTGATTAGGCTTGATCCCGGCATGCTTCAAAGCCTTTTTCATAGAGAGATATGCCCCCGATCCATCTATTCGGGGAGCCGTCATGTGATGAGCATCGCCGCTAGACCCATACCCCTTTAATTCGGCGTATATACGAGCACCTCTGGATTTTGCATGCTCTAGCTCTTCTAACACAACTACTGCGGCACCTTCAGCGACGACAAAACCATCACGTCGAAGATCAAACGGCCGACAGCTTGAAGGTGGATCGTGGTTGAAAGCGGTAGATAATGAACGCGATCTTCCGAATCCTGCAAAGGTCAGCGGGTGGATGCAGGACTCTGATCCCCCCGCAACCATGACGTCGGCGTCACCAAATGCGATGAAACGTGAGGCATCCCCGATGGAGTGAGCGCCTGTGGTACAGGCCGTAGTCACAGCATGATTAGGACCTTGAAACCCATATCTCATTGCGATATGGCCTGCTGCCAAGTTGATGAGAATCTTCGGGACGAAGAGCGGAGATACCTTTTTGTAGCCCTACCTTGAAGAGTTAGCAAATATTGACTTATTGTCGCGATGTATACGTGTATAACCTCACATCTCGTTCGTACACAAGGCTTGTGTTGTACATTTCATCCAAATTTCCAATGCCGCTTCCTAGGCACACGCCAGTCGATTCCAAATCCTCCTGCTTGTGCGGTCTCCACGCGGCGTCCTCTAGAGCCATATCTGTTGCGGCAATCGCGTACTGAGAGAAGGTAGACATGCGCCGCTGATCCGCCGCCGTCAACCAGTCGTCGGGACGCCACAGATTTTCACCAGGACCCGACTTTGGGACGATACCGGCGACGGTGCTCGTAAGCTCCCGCCATCGCTTCTGGGGTTCGAAGTCCGCAACACTGACGATGCCCGAGTGTCCGGCGATCAGTCTATTCCATGTATGGCGAATACCTACGCCAAGGGGTGTGATGGCGCCGAGGCCTGTGACAACAACTCGGCGCATTCTTTGCCATAGCCAGGAATTCCTGAGCTAGGTTTATATTCTGAAAGCGCCTGAGAGGATTAGCTTATTTTTTATAAGCTGTTAGATAACTGGAATCACTTAGTCAGTCGTGATTCTCTTATTCATGAATTTTAAGGACTTGGAAGGTATTGAGAAATTCGACGGTTCGGAATGATAGGTATAAGCTAAGTTACGCGATTATGAAGTTAACCGATTTTCTTGCATTAGGTAATCTGCAACATATTGCGCTGGTGAAGCGGGTATGCGGGAAGCGGTATTAATTTATGCAGGCAAGGATCGAATAATGCACCCAGCTTCCAGGTTCTGCCACGCGACAAGTTATCTAAATTTAGTGCCAAAATAGTAATAAAACCAGTAACTTACGTAGCCAGAACTACGCATCATCATCACCTTCTCATATTCGGCAATGATCTCGGACAAGCATATACAATATTCGAATTATAATATTCCAATATTCCAATATCATAATATTATATTTTATAATTGGCTTGTTCATCCAGCTAGAAGTGGACTTATAAGCTTGTAAACGAATAAGTGTTTGAACACGTTTCGCGCACCCGGGCTTCAGAGACACACCTAAGCTTGATACGGAACTCGATAGCTGTGCGAGCCAACCGGAATTATACTGTATCAGCCATCGGTTTTATTATTCTCAAGCCTCTCTCTACATTGTCTCTACATTGTTTCTCAACCATCTTAGTATTTATTTGCTTTATCTTTCCGACGATGTCTTCTTAGAGGCCACCAGTTTATGGCTTGCCAATCTCTTTTAGCAAAAGCGGATACTCCGTGTTGACTAGAATTCAGGGGTAGTATCCCCAGTGATACCTTATACGGTATCGATATCCCTTCGAATTAGGAGATCAAAACGTATCATTTCAGGTTTAAGAGCCAATTCGCTATAAAGCCATCTTGCTGTCTTGCAAAATGGGTCGCACCCACTCTTCAGTACCGTCTGGAACGGCCAATAGAGACAGGATGAAAGAAGATGATCGCAACTCGGAGTACGGTTCTGATCTAGATGAGATTTCCGGTGAAATAAGGCATCGAACGAGAAGATCTGAGGAGCGTCCTCATAGAACCCCCGGAAATGGCGCTGCTAGTGGCGTAAAACACCACGACTCTGAATGGACCGAGTCTAGTGACCGGAACGATAACGATTACGAGGAGGGTGAGGAGTATGAACACCTGCTGGACCCCAACCTTCCGGATGAAGAGACTATTGAGCTGCACCGACTGGACTCTGGAAGTCTAGCTTCGTTTGATGATGAAAACGCCTCCAAAGCAGGCGAAGAGAACTCGCCCTATGAAGAGGTCCGAGCCGCTGTGCGCAACTACGACGAAGATCTTCCATGCAATACGCTTCGAGCCTGGACAATTGGGTTGACATTGGTTCTTATCGGTGCATCGACGAATACCCTCTTTTCATTGAGACAGCCCTCAATCGGCCTGGGTCCTCTGATCGCCCAAATTATTGCTTGGCCACTTGGTCGTGCTTGGGAGAGAGTGGTACCTGATCGGCGAATAAGGATATTTGGCCTAGGATGCGACCTGAATCCGGGACCCTTCAACATTAAAGAACACTCGATCATTGTTGTTATGGCGTCCGTATCCTTCTCCGTAGCCTATGCTACCGATATTATTCTCGCGCAGCTGGTGTTCTACAAGCAAAATTTCGGCATAATATTTCAACTTGTGTTGACCATCTCGACGCAGTCTCTTGGGTATGGAATTGCGGGCATGATGCGGAAGTTTCTAGGTAAGCTCAAGCAAAGCCCTCGAGTTATCACTGATGCTAATACTTAATAGTATACCCTGCCTCTATGATCTGGCCTGGTAATTTAGTTGCTGTTGCTCTAATGAATGCGATGTATGAGAAACATCAGGCGCCTGACCCATCCATTATTGGCGGGCGTATGCCAAGATATACATGGTTTGGTCTGGTAACTGTAGCCTCTGCCCTATACTATTTAATTCCTGGATACTTCGCTCAGTTCTTGAGCGTCTTTGCTTTCGCAACGTGGATGGCTCCTCAAAACCCAGTAGTGAACCAGCTGTTCGGTGGCACAACCGGATTGTCTCTGTTACCGATTACTTTCGACTGGACACAGATCTCGGGATATATAGGCTCACCTCTTGTCTTCCCATGGTTCGTCTCTTCAGTTTCCTGGTTTCCTTGCAGGGCCAGTGTCCATGTTCACGACTAATTAGCTCTTAGGCATGCCATTGCAAATACTACAATTGGTGTCGTGCTGTTTTATATCATTCTAGCTACACTTTTCCATTACACCGGCGTATGGTACGCTCCATTCTTGCCGATGAGCGATTCCTCTACGTATGACAATACCGGCGCTAGGTATAACGTGTCGAAAATATTAACTCCACAGGTTACCTTGGATGAAGAAGCGTATAAGGCCTATTCACCTATATTTATCAGGTTAGATATATTGATCTTACCATCATATCCTACATTGAGCTCATGCAAGATCTAGTACCACTTTTGCATTGTCCTACGGGCTATCTTTTGCTGCTATTACTGCCTTGATAGTATACACCTATATACATCATAGCCAAGCTATCTGGGATCGATACAAGAATAGTACTAGTGAGAAACCTGACAGTATGTATCGCCCTTTGGATAGTTGACTTGGCCATTGCTAATACAAGAATTTGTAGTACACATGAAGCTTATGCAGAAGTATAAAGAGGCGCCATCGTGGTGGTATTTTTCCTTGTTCGTGATTGTACGTTCTGTTATACCTTAGATATTTAAAGCTCGTAACTAAACAGTCTTGTAGGTGCTTGCTCTGGCCTTCGTTTCAGTCCTAGCGTACCCGACCAATTTGACTTGGTGGGCTTTTCTACTCGCTGTGGGAATCTCGTTCGCTTTTTCGTTACCAATCGGCATTATACAGGCTGTCACAAACCACCAGATTGGGTTAAATGTCTTAACCGAGTTCGTCTACGGTTACATTCAACCCGGACGTCCTCTAGCTCTTATGCTGTAGGTCTACCCTGCTACTATCTAAATACGCCGCTGACAAGTTATTCTTAGATTCAAAACATATGGTTTTATCACAATGTAAGTTCCTAAGAATAGTCCTCAAGTCGACGTTACGTTTAACCAATTCAAATAGGGCACAAGCCTTGAACTTCATCTCTGATCTAAAATTCGGCCACTACATGAAGATCCCCCCACGAACCATGTTCATGGCTCAAGTCGTTGCCACTACGTTTTCATGTTTTATCCAGGTTGCCGTACTTAATTTCGCCCTTAACAATATTGGAGGGGTGTGTGAATTGACACAACCGCAACGCTTCACATGTCCTGGAGGCCGCGTGTTCTTCTCAGGTACCTACCCCTTTAATCCCAAGAGCCCGCTCCTTTTCGACCGCTAATCTTATCATGCCCACAGCGTCCGTAATCTGGGGCCTCATTGGACCCTCTCGCGTGTTCTCCCCAGGCCAGATATACTCAGGTCTCCTGACGTTCTTCGTCATTGGCGCTGCCGCACCTGTGATTTTCTGGTTTGCAGCACGCCGGTGGCCAAGGTCCGGCGCCAAATATCTAATGGCGCCACTGATTTTTGGTGGTGCTGGTTCGATCCCACCGGCTACGCCCCTTAACTACCTGTCTTGGGGAGTCGTCGGCTACTTGTTCCAGCACGTAATCAAGAAGCGCCATTTCCGTTGGTGGAGTCGCCTCAACTACCTCACGTCCGCTGGACTCGATCTCGGGCTCGCGCTCGGAACGCTGGTCATATTCTTCGTGTTTACTCTCAACCAGATCGAAGCTCCGCGATGGTGGGGTAACGATGTGGTGACGGGCACGATGGATTACCAGGGCGAGGCTATCCAGGTCGTGTTGCCACCGGGCGAGACCTTTGGGCCAAAGGTCTGGTAGGCCTGTGAATATATGATCTTAACTAGATTACCTAGGTAAAATACTATCTTATGCCTGTGCATTTTCGGGGAGTTGCGAATCAAATCCGTGCTTGCACAATATGTAACGGCGCGCTTATCATCCTTCAGCTTACTATAAAAGGCCTGTTATTCCATACCTTAGGTACCTATTACAGTACCTAGCTGCTATAGCTTGTTCGCTATACCCCTCTTAATACCGTATTCTAAACAATCCAAAATTTCGTCCCAGTCCATGCTGCTCAAAGCTCTAGTCGTCAGACCAGCATAGCCGGCTTAGCATTTGGGACTGTCAACTCTCGACATAATGGTGCCCTTCTGATTCTCGACTTTAGCTTCCCCAATTTGCGTAATATCACGCATGAATGAAAGCACATGGAAGTGAAAGCAAAACTTAGGTACCTAGGTAGGTTCTCAATATATTGATAAGCAAATCCTCGGAATCAACCATATAGCACCACGTGGTATGTGTGTATCCTCGGTCTCGATGGAGAGGACGAAGACACAGACGTAACGACCAAAACCAACACTGAAACCAACGCGTCTTCTACGCAGCTAGGCATTAATTGGTATAGAAGGCATATTTAAGAGAATCAATCCACTCTGACGATCACGAGGAGTACGAGTATGCCGTAATACCATAGAGTAGGTAGCGCTTCGACTCTTATACCCATTTGAGGAGTGGACCGTTTTGGTACTTACCTCCTACTGTGTTATAGTGACTATTCATATCTTAAGGAATCTAGGAATATTCCACATATCTAGGTAGGTTATATAATTGTAACCTTTATCCTTTTGACGGGCGCAACTACGTCGATCCTGGGCTTTGATTTACTTGAGCTAAAGCACGTACAAGACATACATACCTAGACAGATGGCCTATGATTCCGGGGGCACAACCCCAAAATGACTTGTTTTACCGTCTATTTATTTACTTCCTTGACATAGTCGCCGTAGACTTTATAATGTACCTGGTGCTACCCGGAGAGCGGGCGACTTAAGATAGACGTAGATACCACATCTCAACGTTATAATAAATGTACCTAACCTAAACGAAGCGCTAGTTCAATCCGTTCTGCAGGAAAGAGAGAAGAGAAAAAAAAACTAGTGAATTAATTATTCGTTCTATGCAGGTAGGTAGGTAGGTAGGTAAGATAATCTAGCCGAGCCCGACGGCGGCTCCAACCTTCACAGACAGAAGCTATCACGAAGCAATATCAATATAATGTATCCATCCAACACTCCGATTCGAAACTTTTTTAAAGAGCCCCGACCAACCCCCAAGTCCAGCTACGTGTAAACCACCCGGCCTGGGGCACCAACCATGTTAAGATACCTTGGTAAGCTCGCCAGGCTGTTAGTTAGGGGAAGTTCACTTTCCACTTTCCACTCTCCACCCTCCAATTTCATCTCATCGTATTCAAGCTAAGCGTAAAGCCAACAGTAGTAGACAATCGCGTCGTACGTACGGACAACAAGGATCCAAGTTGGGTTAGGCTAAGTAGGTTTGGATCCGAGAGCTTTCTTCCGTATATTCTGCATCGCCATCAACCTTAGCTTGTCCAGGAACCTCATTAGGAGCTACAACCGAACGGGGTTCTGCCACAGCAAGCCGACCCCGACGACGATAGCAGCTGTGCCAGCCGCCATAAGCCTGGATGATGATAAAGTTAGAGAGAGATAGGGTTCTTGCGCACAGCACGGTATTTTGGCTATTAGGAGTGAGTGACTTACGCTCTGTTCCTACGGCCGTGGAGCCACGACGCGAGACCCCCGATCCATTTCACAAACACGATCCGCAAGCAAGCTTCGAGCCAGGCGGGGTATTTATGGTGGTTTTCGGAGTGATGCATGGAAGGAGGCGTGGCCGGCCTCTCGATGATCCTTTTCCGCAGGCCGGGTGGGCTGGTAGTACCGAGCGACGTTGTCTTGGCTTCTGTCTCGCGTGTACTCTCCGCGTTAGAAATGTCGCTTATGTGCCTCTCTGGTGTATTACGGGTAGCGATACTTGGACTCGGCTTGGCAAAGTCGTTGTCGGTAACAGGTAGGTTGTTATCATAGGCGACTGAGGCAGCTGTGTCCTCCTCAGGTGTCACATCGACCGCTAATACCTCCAATGCGGACTCTTCCGGGTCCAGAATTATGGCCTCCTCGAGGTTGCTGTCGGATGCGGGCGGTGAAGGTAAATGCGGCGAAGCGAGTTGAGATTCCTCGGCCCTCTTCTTGGAATCAACCCTCATTGCAATTCCCTCGTCCTTGTCGTCGTCGCTAGCGGCACGGTCAGGAGTAGGCGAACGCCACGAAGGTCCGGGATGTTGTATAAATGGAGCTGTAGCATCCTGCGTCTCATCAGTTGCGTTTTCGTTGTGCGCTTCGTCATCCTCGGAAATTGACCCCAGGGAAGTTGTTGACGGTTCCTTGGGTCCGGAATGCGCTTGCCTAACGATATCGTCAGGGTGAAGGTCCTGGCTATTATCCGAGAGGGAGTCCGAAAGACCCGACGGTTCACTCGATTTGTCGAGCGACTCCACATTCTTGTGATTCTGAAGAATGGTGACCATGGGCGCCTGTGGAATTCCGTCAACAACTGTGCGGTCGGCATCTATGCTCGTCGAAATACGTCGCACAGCAGCTAGTATAGACTCCTTGTTATCAGAAGGGAATTCTTCCAGCTGGGGATCATCAAAATCTAGGTTTTCAATCTCTTTAGCTGGGTTGCCGGACTCGGAATGAGACTTGTTCTCCCGGACATCCTCATCCACGGCATGATCGGAGACGTCCTCCTTATGAGAAGCTGGACCTATGGATTCATGGGTAAACATAGGGCATATGTTTGTTTCAGCGCCATCATCATCATCTACAGCAGATTCGTCAGCATCCAGCGTCGCAGCGACGTTGGCAACCTCTATGGCTGTTTCTGAGACTTGGGCAATTGGAGTGCTTGACATGCGCCGAACACCTATACTTCCTGCCTCGGCATCAGATATCTCCGGCTCGGGAGTCTCAGGATCCAGACTGCGCGCCGAGTCGGCCACCTCAGCAGCTACCTGTGCGATATCCAGAGTTTGCGTACCACCGTTGATTGGCGATCCGTCTAATTCGCCAACACTGGGTTTTTTCGCTTCTTTAGAAGCGTCATCTTGGACTCCATTGATTGAAACCCTAAGAATGTTGTTCGTGTTGCCCCATTCATCCGTGGCTTTAAATTGAATGTCAGTATATGAAGTGGACATGTAAGTGTTGAGATAAAGGATGGAGGGGTGAATTATCTACCTGTATCAGCAGTCTCATCCAGGGCCCACCAATCACCTTGCCCTATGCGAAACTTGTAATAGATTTCTGTACCATCGTCGACCATGACCTGCTTAGTGAAGAGACGACCTCCATGTTGGTCAATGGCGACATCCATCTCTTGAGGCTGCCATGGCGGATCGGAGAATGATCCTGCCACATAAATGGGAGGATCTACCTCGTCCTTTTTGTAAGTGAAGGTAATGGGAACCTTTTGGTGAGACATATCGGATGAGTTAGAAGCTGATTTAGGAATAATTACGAGTTCATGACTAATAGATGCCTTTCGAGGGTCGATCGAGTGTAGGATAGTCGGCTGGACGAATTTAGGATCGAGGATAGCGTCCATGAAATGAAATGGAAGCTAAGAGGCCGGATGAGGCTTTTGGGCCATCAATCAAGCCAGGCTGGAATTACTTCGGCCGCTACTGCGAGAACCTTTGAGATTCGTGAGTGCTCGGGTAAGGCCCTAGAGATCTGGAGGCGAATCCAACGGGAATCCACGGAAGGCCAGCTACGGGATTAACGGGGGACGGTACAACCCAAGAACTGTGGGTTTTGATAGTTGTCCTTCGCTTGGCAAGGTATATATTTCTTTATTAGAGATTAGCATTCTTATTGTGGAAGTCTAGAATGGGTTATATGAATGGGCTTGCATGATCCATGCAATTCTTTATGTATAGCCTCATGCAGCTTTAATGCACATGGAAGGCTAGGGTGGGAGGGACTACCTAAGGTTAGGTACCTAAGACCTAACGGTAGGGATCGGTCGGAACTTGAATGTGTTGTAGGTTGTTCAGCGAATAGATAACCTACATCTTGGTGGAAGTTGTTATGATTATTAGCCGTTCAAACAATTTCCGTATCAGCGAAGCTTGTTAGGAACAGCAGAATTGTATGTGTTGATAGGAGATGAACAGGTGAACTTAGTCAAGTTCTATTGGAAAGGAACAATGATGATCTGAAAGCGACAAATCTGATATAAGGATGTGATCTGGATGGTAATGGCATCATGCGAGACTACCTCTAGTGTATAGGGTAGGGTAGGGTCATGTAGGGTTAGTACCTTAGGTAGGTATGTTAGGTACATGGCAGATACTCCCCTTGGACAGCCATGGCATGATAGTCATTAAGATCAGTTGCGTCAGGAAGACGCAGGCTTTACGCTGGTCTGGGTCGTTCCATTTATCAGCCGTTGCCACTGGAGCAACCCAACCTTTACAGAGCCAAGGTTCTTATGGGCTCGGCCATCCCTAACTCGAGATAGACTTGTGAGAGGTGAAATCGAATCATTGTTCTCAAGCCAATCATTTGGCCAATCCATACCTAATACACTAGCTAGGTACCTATATATGCCTACTAAACCGTTGAGGCCTGCGAGGTTCGACAGTATTCCCGATGCGTATATAATTATAAAAACTTGCAGAAAATGGGTGGGACATGTACCGCTCGAGTATCTAAGGTAAGTAGGAGGTGAGTAGGAGGACCAAGGTTGTAGGAGAATGGTAGACACGTTGTCGTATCTGTAGGTCGAGTGGGCATTTGGAAACGTGTCGCCCTCCTGAAGGAGAAGTTATGATGTAAAACCAGTAAATGCAGTGAATCTAGCTGCAATAAGGTTCGCCTATCAACTAACGATGCGAATCGCGTAACGCTAACCTCGTGGGTCGAAAACGTAAAGCTACCTACCTGGTATGTAGACGGATGGCCACGATGGAGAAGCGGGGATAATGGAGAAAGATGATGGAGAATAATTGAATGATTGCTTGTACATACATAGTAAGAGGTAGTGTGCTTGGTAGCGCATTCAAAAAGAACGGGGAGGCTTCTCCGTTTTCTCCACCGTCATTGACTCGGTGCCCCCGGGAAAGTTGGATACCTACCTAGAGGTAGGTTGACAGCTAACCTATAGGTATTGTACTTAATATTATACATATTCTATACTATTACAGGTATACATTAGGAGGTAGGTACCTGGTAAGCTAACGTATGCCAACTTTTGTACTTTTGTTCTGTTCTGTGTTGTGGTAATTATGAAACGTTATGAAATGACCAGATGAGAATTAAAAAAAAAAAAAATTAAAAAAATTAAAAAAAAAATTGCGCCGTCATTTTGTTGAGACTTTTCAAGTGTTACACCAAGACCCACGGAGCAAAGATTCCTTCGTCCAAACTTGATGTCTGTAATTGTCAGATAAGCTTATCTCAACAATAGATATAGATTAAATTAAACTTAAACACCTTAAAAGCCTTAAAAGTTTAACAGATATGTTTATATTCGCAATATCATCCAATCGAAAAGAAACTCATCTAGGTATTAACGTCACCTCCTCACCTTCTACGCAGCAAAATATCTAGGTCGTCTAGGCCAAGATTCATTCAAACCCGATTTTCAGCGCAGTATTATCCTTATTAATTTTAGCCCACTCGGCACTCTTCTCCCATATAATGCGCTGCTTCTCCTTGTCCAGAACGGCGGGGTCAGGGTCGTCTTTCTCGAGAAGCGTATAGAACCCTCGCTCTCCATCTTCCGCCTTACCAACACCCAGCTCTATAATATCGATACCGGCGTCGCGCGACGTGCGGAAAGTCGGGTCGGCAAAGCGCCGAATCAAGGGCCTTAGCGGGTTGAATACCAGCGCCTGCATGGCCTTCACCGAGAGCGGGACATTGGTTCGAAAAGCGCGAGAATCGCCCATGTTTCCGGGATTTATGGCCACGACAGTGATCCTGGAGAGCTTGGGGTCCTTAGAGCGTCGGATCGTCAGCCAAAAGCCAGGAGAAAGCATCTGAGAAAGGCTACCTATTTACCTTTTGTAGGTACTCGTTGAGCGGATACATCCACATGGTAACAACCAATTTCAAATTGGCATATCTCTGAGCTCCTCTACCTTGTTTATCGCGATCCGCGGGCGGATGGATAAGGTGATCAATGTTCTCAGGAATTTCGGGAAAATACGGTGTCATCACACTCTTTCTACGGTAATGAGAACCACTGGAGAGGAGCTCGATACGACCGCCATCGGGACTGAAATGTTCGAGAAGACGCAACACTAGGGCTACATGAGCAATGTGACCGACTTGCAACGTTTTGTCGTAACCGTCGACGGTGAGTTCGGGGTCAACGAGAAGGTTCCAGTAAAATGCATTGCAGATGATGGACCTGATGGCGGGTAAAGATCCGCTCATAATCTGCCCCGAAATAATGGTAGCAAATGCATGGACGGCAGTAAGGTCGGCTAGGTCAAACTCATGAACGAACACTTTCGCATTAGGGTATCGAGCTATAATATCACGTAGTTTGTTGGTATTAACATCATCGCTAGAAGCACTTCTAACGGTAAAAATAGCAGTATGCTGCGGATACGTCTTGATGAGATGCTCGGAGGCGTGGAGACCGGCTGAGCTATTGGCACCAGTAAGGATAACGGTGCCAGACATCGCGGGCTACAAAGGAATGGGGAAGCCAGAGTCGGAGTCGTACGGCAGAAGAGTTCATCTATCTCTAACATCCTTCTCAGGCATATTTAAGATGAAAGGCAACGGAAATAAACATCGTACCGGGCTAATAAAGGCTTTTATTATCCTAGCAAGCTGACTGCTTCTCTCCGACCGGAGTCTTACATGCTGTTAGAGCTTGGAAGGATCGTACATGTCAAGATCGCTTAAAGTTGATGATTCTGGCTTCAAAAGTACCAAGCTAGGGTATTATATACAAGCTTTGATTGGCCAAGTTGCGTCTAGGACGAATGAAAAGCCTCATTCTTTTCCCATGCCGTCGGCCGCGGGAAGCTCATGTGCTACCTCTGTAAGGCTTAGTGCTTCAAATTTAATAGGAGCTAATGCAGGCTAGATCGCGAAGAGCTCTCTCATTTGCTGCTCACATTTCTTACATCTATTTCTTACATCTGACTTCCCATTAATACTGGTTATAATAATTCCGTCGATAAGACCACAACAAGTTTCGTATTTGAATCTAACAAGTCCAGAAGTATAAGATAAACTGTTACTCCAAGTCAGCACCCAATCTCGTATGCACAATGATATGCATCGATATCGGGAAATAATAGTGTGAACTCAGCATCATGAATTTTTATTGACGTTATATGGTGGATAGTAGTTATCTTATCTGTGATTCAAGGTTTACCAAGGTTTAAGGTTTAACTATTCGTAAGTCATTACATAATGTAACTAGCGGTAGACGTGGGTACCTAGGTACCTCTAGGTAGGCACTACCTGCCCTAATTGTAGGTAGAGGTACCTACCTGTATCTGCCCCACGTTAAACAAGTCCAAGAACAACTCATTCAAAGAGTTCCTCGTTACAACTTCTAACGGCAGTGATCTTAATCAGTTTTTAGCACAGGATCGTTGGCATCTACCTACCTCTAGTGATCATCTGCTCAAACCTCTCTCTCCGAGATCGCCATGTCTGTACCGCCACAGACAATTTGCGTCAAGCGCAAAGCGACAGAGGAAGCCCCAGTCTCTTTTCTCCGTGAGTTATCGCGTAACACATCGCAGTATGCGCTACAGAGAAATTAGTCGTTGACCTTTATCCTAGGTGTCCAAGAGAACAAGAGACACCGGAGCGAAGCCTTTGTTTATCAGAGACGACAAGAACGAGCTAATCCTGCCGAGAACATTCTATCCGAATCTCACAAACCTATCATTCACACTTCTCATCCGCACTCGAAGACCCCAACATTCCAGAGCCCCAAGACATCAGACATTACAGTCAATGATGCCTCTAGCGAAAATGACACCGCCGCCAGCGACTCTGCCAATACCTCCTTCGTCAAGCCCCCGAGCCCCCTTGATGCCGCTTCTGAGCCTCGAAGATTTCACATGTCCAGAAAAGACATAATGCTCGCGACTGCTTCTCAGTCTAACCGATCCAGTGGTGGGATTTCAAAGAAACGCTCCGCACCTACGCTGTTCGTGGAACGGAAGATTAAACGAATATCATCCAGACCTCTTGAAAAGTTTCAGGCTATTACCAATGCTGCCGGTCGAGTACCTGAAGGCGCGCCTGTCGCAACTGTCGCGACGGAGGGCATGGAGATTGACAAGCCGGAGCCTCGCAAGCTCAAGAAACCGGGTGTAGCAAAGCTTTCAAAGAAGCAAGATGGGGAAAAGTACAAGGCTGACCTCCCGAAATCCATGACCGAACGATGGAACGTAGATATGGACAAATTAACGGCTGAGCTGGATGCATACACGATGGAACAAATTGGACTCAATCTCCAGAAGGCTGAAGAGGAAAAACGACAACAACAATCATCCGCTAAGAGCCAACCCAGATTCAAGCCGAAACCGATCAAACGATATGCAGAACGACACCCTGAAGAAACGCAAGCACCGTCAGATAAGGGGAAGATGGATACGGATGTCGATATCAGCGACAGTGATGATAGTGACTACATCATCGAAACTTACGAACGTGTGCCGGCAAGTAAGATGGGAGAGCACGTGCCTCCTCATAGCATTGGAGTTCTCGTATTTGATGAAGAACCTGATATGGAGTATTTCTACGGGGAAGATAGTAACAGTGAAGACGAGTGGGCCGAGGATGATGAGGACGAAAACGGTATGTAACTGCTTCCAAGGTAATTAAAAAAGGGTTGTTACAGTCCAGCACACTTACAGATATATAGCCGAGAATTATTATGCTGCAGACTACCCCGATGAGGAAGTTGCCTCGGATGATGAATTCGATAAGAACCCATACTCTTTCCGAACTGGCAATGCTTCAGATCTCGAGGAGTACGACCTAGATAAGGATGATGGCGATATGGCCATTGCCGATGAAGAGGGGAGCAGATTCGCTACGTACATCGGCCGATCCCGAGATAGGTTTATGACAAGCGGACTATAAAGATATCATTACGAAATACCGGTACCAACAGTACCGCGCGGCTAGCCTACGGAAGCATATTATTATAGCTTGGTGCCAACACATGAGACTTGGCTGATTTCTATCCAACGGGCTTTACCTGCAGCACAGTCCGGCGTTCTGGCATAGTATCGGCGTTAGGCCCCTGGGTGTGATTTTTCCGGAGCATAAATTGGGGATAGAGAAGGGGGTTTCCCTTGCCCCAGCCTTGCGCGGCAGGGTTTAAGCAAACATGCCCTAATCCTAATTCGCATGTGAATCCCGAATGGCCCGAATATGGTATGGGAATCGTCGTAGAGGGCCATGCTTATGATGATTATTGGTGCGGTAGCACTGTCAGGCAAACTTCATCTTTAACCTCTCTTATAGATTTACAGGTAGCACAGCCGGCGAAACCGACTAGTCTCAGAAGAAATCACAAGACATTGCGTCCCAACAATTTTAACCCTTTTTCCTTCATTCTGCAGCGTTGCAGTCACCTCTATATAGCGCAGATTTAGATGAAAACTTGTCTAGGCCCCGGGGTATGTGAATAACACCCCATGGCCGGCTACAATCCCATTCATATCTATACTGGAGAGAGGATAGTGATTCATGAAATGACGGACGTATATAACTGGCGAATGATAGAACCGAATACAACATAGAAATGTCTAAAAAAGGACTGTTGCTTTTTTTTGCCCGCCTTAACGAAAAACGAGCCTCCCTTAATTACCGCTTGACCGCCCAGCCTTTCCGTGTCTGCTCCAACGAAATATGTACTCGCCGACCAAAAAAAGGGAGTCACCGATTATATCGGATTCTGTGATTGTAAAAAGAAGAATAAACATAGAATGCAAAAGGAACGCTTCTAGAACGCAGCAAGCGAGAAAAACATAAAAAGGAAGGAAAGAAGGTATATAATAGAATACATCGCAAATATCCCGTGCTAATAATGTCCCCCTCCCCCATTTCCGTTGTCTCGAGTCCTCAATTCGTGTCATTAATCCGTAGCCCGTGTAAAATAAACCAAAATAAGAGGTAGGTAGTTGATCGGTAATTCCAGTAAAACTCAAGAAAATGAACAAACAGCAGCAGCAGCAGCAGTGATGCCCAAGCGCCAAGTCAGTAAAGCCTCCCCTTTCCCGTCTCCCAGTTTCCCTGTGACGCCTCCGGACATTTATTTCTTCGTTGGGTGGTGGTGGTGGCTGTTATGCAGCGACGTAGTTATGTATTTTCTTTTCTTTTTCTCTCTTTTCTTTGCTGCAACAGAATGCGGGATGGAATAGAATAGGATGATGGACAGGCAGATAGGTAGATTAGATAGATAGGTACCTAACCTAGGTAGCCTCGTAGATTGGATTGTATGAGTAGGTAGGTAGTCGAGGGGCGGGCAAAAACAAAAAGAAGAACCACGCGGGTATCATCGAGCAATTTTGCCTGTGTGGTGTTTCTAGAAAGACGAAATAGATACAAACGAAGGTTGAAAACAAAAATATAGAACGAAAGAAGCCAGCCCCAGCCACCCTCTCTTCCCCTTCCCGTTCCCGCCAGCCGGTGTGCGCCCCTTTTTGTAATTCATATTCGTGGAGGCCTGTCCTGTCCGAGACAACAAGCCGTATGAGAGAAATCCACTTAGCACAACGCTTCGAGGCGCCGTGTTTTTTTCTTTGTCTCTTCTTCTTAAGTTATTATTATTATTGTTGTTGTTGTTGATGATAGTGGTGGTGGTGGTGTTGACTGGGCCCGAAGCTAGTGTTCCCGTAGACGCCGTCTTCGGTCTTGATGATTTGCGGGATCTGGAGGGGGTGATACTGGTGGGAGTTCCCGGGAGGCATGGCGACGACTTGAGCTTGAGTGCTGTTGGTCTTGGTCTTGGTGTCGTCGTCGCTGTCGTCGTCGTCGTCGGAGGCAAACGAGTGCTCTCGCGACGACGAGCCCCTCTGCATCTCCTTCTTGCCGTCTGGTTTGTAGCAGCACGCGCACTGGCCGTTCTCTAGCTTCTCCTTCCATTTGCCTGCCTTGATGGCTTTGTTCCGTTCCTGTTCCTTCTGTATGGCACGCTCGTTTGCTAGTCGGACTCGTTAGCTTGAGGTTCTGTTGGATGGGTTACCCTCTCTCGCCCCCCTCCCCCCCCTTATCTGATTCATAGCTCAGGTAGCTTAGGTACCTTAGGTACTCACCTAGTTCGGCGGCTTTCAACCGCATCTTATACGGCACCCAATCGTAGAGCATAGCTCGCTCCGGATACAGGTATGTCAGGCTGAAGTACGGCTTGTTTTCCTTCTGCTGTCGGACCTGGGCCACCACGGCCTTCACGTGCCCCTGGGGCAAGAAAACAAGTCGCCGCCCCCTATCCGTGAGGCAGGGGACGTGTTGGTTATCTCTGTAGTGAACGCCTTGGATACCCTGAACTTCGCGTTCCTTATCCGGAGGGCTTGGGAACTTCTCGTTGAAGAGGCGCTTGTTCTCCTCCCACGAGAGCTTCCTCTCGTATTTGTTGAAGCGGATGAAGTCGGCCTCCTCCGTGGTGTACTTGGTGTTGTTGTGGACCTTCTTCGCGCCGACTTCCTTGGATTCTTCCCCAGCCGATGCCGCGGGGGGCTGTTGTTGTTGTTGTTGTTGCTGCTGGTCTGAAACTCGGGGCCGCTGACATGAGCCGCGGGACGATGATTGCGAAGTGTACTGCTGCTTCTCTCGGTAGAATATTGGCTGCGCGTTCTGCGCGCTGTGGCAAAACTTCAACGAGATACTTAGTGAGACTCCCCTTGAATCTCGGGGTTGCGAAAGGGGTTCTTGACTGTCGCTGGATTCCCTCCTCCGGAGATTGAGCCACTGGACTATGGGATCTCTCGCTTCTAAGAGCGCTGGCTGCGAAGGTAGAGAGTACTTCGTCTCGGGCTCCGGGCTGGAATTAGGCGTCTGTAGCATCCTGCGAGGCCTGTGGCGAGGAACGGGCCGACGGCCCTCACGTTCCTCGGGTGGTAGGAGGTGGTAGACACTTGGGAGGGTGACTTGTTGGAGCTTGATCTTCTTCAAGCTCTCATCCAAGTCGTCAGATTTACGCTTGAGGAACTCCCCACGATGGGATACTACTAAGTCAAGTCGCGGAATGTCGTCGAATTCGTGCTTTGCCCTCGGTGTGTGAGGCGGGGAAAACCTAAACGAAGCATTCTCCCACCATTCTGTAGTAGTAGACTCCTGGGAGAAGGAAGAGCCAGACCTTTCGCTTATCGGCGAATAAGGCGGTATCGAAGTATCTGTAAGGCGGGTCGTGCCATCTGCTCTTCTGTAGGGGATGACCGGCGGAAGTCGACCAGTGTCTAGTTGGACTGACTCCGACTGCAATGTACGCAGCGAGAGTGGTGAATTGAAATTCGGTCTGGGCTGAAAAGTTGGACGCTCCATTCTTCCCATACCCTTATCGTATAAAAAATATATGTGCTATCAGTAAAAACCGACCGGTCGACAAGTATGAAGAAGAAGCAAGGGCAAGGAATTAGATAAAGACTTAGACTGCAAAGAATGCTGGCTGTAGTACGAGGCGTGAAGGGAGCAGGACTATTTATGACTCCTGAATCGATGTGAGAGAACGATTCAGTGTAGGATGGAATAAGTCCAAGTACCTTATTGTTTTAATATAGACCAACAACGTCCCGACACTCAGGGTCGAGTCTACTGAAGAGTACCTAGTGCAACCTTACAGAGAGCAGCCCTGTAGTAGAGAGACGCCCCTAGGGGTGTCGGTTGAACGGCCACTATTTACTACTCCGTTTCTTGGCTTTTGATATATCATGCGTCTTGGGTTGATAAGTAAACCTACAATGTCTCTGAGTTAAATGACGAGGAAATGGATTTTCTTTTAAAAGAGGCCTACTATTCAAGCGATTAGTGGAGAAAAGGAAAGACATCAACTTACTGCGGAGAATTCGCCCGTTCTGCACTGAGAATCTTAACCTGGCAAGAGGCGAGCGGGAGCGGTGGCCCAAGTTGGGTAGGGTAGGAATAGACGACTCGGAGAATCACAACACTTGGTCGAGTGGCGGTATAATCAAGCGGAGGAGCGCATCCATCCCAGGTAAATCTGTGAAGCTTGAATGGACGGAGCCATGGCGCAAGGGGTGGCTCGAGGTCTAAGGCTACGCTCGACGCAAACCTGGACAACTCGGACACACTGTTTCAATGAATGCAACCACATCCGATGGTCTCTGATCGTGCATGAGACCGAGGAGCCAGAATGAATGCAGCAAGACATTATTCATTACGACTACCTAGAAGCTACTACAGGTAACCAGGAAAAAAAAAATACACACGCCCTCCGCATTAGTGGCATAGAGATCGTCTGCGGCGGGAAGTCCCAAAAAGAAAATTAACTTGGATCTCCAGGTACAAAAAACAAAGCAATTGAAGAATTCTTCCCGTATTTCCCACCTGGGCAGCCGATAAAGTCTTAGTTACCGCTTTTTTTGGCACTGTGAACAACCTCTTATGTGTCACTGGCACGCCATTCGCTTATAACCCTTGAGAGGTTTCCAAGCTGTCGGTACCAGCCCACCAATTAGACCGTCGAGAAGGTCTAGGGGGGCAGGTCAACCGAGGAGGGGGCAGAAATACACGGGCCGGTTATACGACTGAATAAAAGTGTGAAGGATAGGACTGATGGGAGGAGTTATGCTCGATGTGCTGTCAGCCGGCGATGAGAGGTTGTTAGGGAGAGCGCGCATAAATATGTACCTAGGTAAGCAACTCAGCCATCCATTGTGCCAACTGCTCGGGATAACGCCGTCCTAGAACATCAAATTAGGGAAGCGGCTTAGCCTCTCCAGTTTATTCGTGGAGTTGGGATTTATCTACTACTATGTAAGGTAGTTATGTATAGGGGGCTACATCACATACTAAAAGCCGCACAAAGTAAACAAGAAGGGGGTGCGGTAAACGGTAAACGTGCTTTTTTTTGGTCTTTGTAAGCGCGACGAGAGAGCTTGTGATTGGCTTTCATCGGACCACTGATCGTGGGGGTCGTTTATGGTCGAGACTTTTAGACACTCGGGCCGGCTAGAGACAAGTAAATATTCGGACCAAGGAAAATCCTTGCCTAACTAGCTCTGCAGAATTAATGTGATAACCCCCCGACAGAGAAAATCAGCCATGTGAGCCGTATGCTACCTAACCAACATGGAAAATTGCGAAAGTACAAAGCCTTCCAAATCGAAAAGGTGAGTTTACTATGCACTCTCGAGCCTCAGATTGGCTACGTAGCTAGGGTGGAGTAAAGAAACGGCACTGGAAGGAGGATTGATCGTATCCTCCCCCTGTCCTCGAGTAGAGTAGCAACGACGCAAAATGTACCCAAATAGGTGTCTGTGTTGGTTGGAAAAACTATGCAGCGTTTAACAAGCTAATCACCTTGCTTCCCGAGTTGGAATTAAGCAACCGAAGCCGATATCTTTAGAAAATTATTTATGATTCTCTCTCCACCGCCCCCTGTTTTTCAACTTCCTAAATTTGTTATGTCCGTAACTAGTAAACGCCGTACCAGGTATATTTCGGTCTGAAGTACGACTATTACATCTTGCGGCTGAATTCGAACGAGTCCTGCCTCCTTTCTTTTCTCTTCCCGTCTTCTTTGGATTTACCGACCAATAGGCTGCCGAGATGCAGTACACGTACGTAGAGGCTTATAGGACGAATTGGTATTGGGACAATGATACTGAGGCTTTCAGCGAGTTTTACACTTTCGTGAAACTCATTGGGCGGGACGGGATCTTGCTTGCCGTGATGACGAACAAGACACCAGCCGCCGATACTTTTTTCAATCAGAAGGGTTCTCCAGACTCAACGATCTCCAGGGTTCTGTAGCTAGGATCTTAAGTGGCTTGATGCTAGTTAGATCATAACGCTAAACTAAATCTCGCGTCATGAAGAACTCAAACCCTTAACCTATCCGAGACAGGTTCTGGTGTATAGGTACCTAAATATTATTATGATTGATTTCCACTTGGCATAAAAGCCGAGACCTAGATATTATTAGCGTTGGGCAGGTATCTACCTAACCTACTACGTAAGTCAGTGGATACAATTGCAGTGTCTAAATCATTTCTACTAGTGACGAGGAACTAACTTACTGAGGAATTAGCACTTCTGACAGGTCACATTAATATGCCATTGGTTTTTGCCTACAAGCAAATATCTAAGACAGATAGGTCTTAACTTTCAGCTGTAACAGAAAGTTTAGACTTTGTCATTTTTTACATCCAATCTCTCTAATGGAAAATGCGAACATACTCAGTTTGACCCTCAAACAAGTATCCAGATCATATTTTTGGTGAACACTGAAGCTCGCTGGAGTGAGACGACTCTGAGGACAATAAGCCATTCATGAAATGGTAAAACCTACTGGTTCCATGGCAGCAGCCATATGTTACAATTGTCGTTTTCGTATCACTGTTCCACCAAAACAAGAAGCGCATCCTATGTGTAAAACGGTCTTCATGAAACAAGTGACAGAAGGAAGCCCAGTCTCGGTGGGAAATTGGTGCTGGGTAGGTCTAGCATGGATGAGAAATTCCAAGTATGAAGGCGTCGCTAGATTTCGTGCCAAGTTGGAAGAATAATAACTTAATGGAACTGATCCAGCACTTTATTAGTGTGGTAAAACAGCCCACGATACTTTTTAACACGGCAAGCTGATCTGCGTGAGCCTCGGTGTCATAGCTTAGACTTATCGACTATAGACTTAAGATGGTTATTGCTGGTCGCTGTTCTGCCCTCCTCGATAGCTGTGTCAGAGTTGGAGGCAGCTGTCGATGGCCACACACTATCGTCATCCGTCTCTATGAATGATTCGTCGCCAGAGAACTTCCTAGCATTAGTTAGCTTTGCTGCTAAAAACTCCCGAAACGCCTTGAAAGACGTAGGTAAAAGAATAAGAGATGCCTACCATCCTCTTTCCTCGCCGCCACTAAGAAAGCTACATTCAGAGTCCAGTTCGCAAACCCAGCCTCCGTAAAGTCCGGCGTCGACCTTCCCTGATGATCCTGGATCAGGCGACATTGAATCATGTGGCTGGAGATCGACATCGCCTACAGGATCGTCTTTCGAATGGGGTTTAGATCTTGCTTCTCTGATCTTTCTGTCGTCCCGCGCCGCCGGGATTATGGCGTTAGCATCCGTCTTACTGTCAGACCCTAAAGATGCATGGGCGGTACTATGCTGCTGCCGCTGCCGCCTGTATTTGCTAAGTCCGCACGTAAATGCTCCGAAATCCTTCTCAACTTGTCCAGTGAGAACTCGTCCTAGCGCGATCACCACTGCTGCGTGTGTGCATATTATCACAGCCTTGTGACCATCCTGATCGCTACGTCTAATAATGAAATCGATTGCCCGTGCAACCCGATCGTGGAACTGTGGTAGAGACTCTCCATATGGGGATGGCGCTGGACTAGATTCGTAGCGCGCATCGAGCTCAGGGAAGAGGCTCTGCAATTTGTTCAGGGGTGCAGACGAGGGGTGCTTAAAGTTTGCTAAGCCATACCATTCACTGAGGCCGAGATCTACACGAATCTTGGAACGGGGGGTTCCAGAAACATTCCCAGACGATCGGGTCTGGAGACGTCTGAGTTTGCTTGCAAATGGGTGAATCGTCTGCATGCATCGATAATAGGGGCTGGAATAGATCTGGTCTATGGGCGGATCGACGTCCAGCAGATATTCTGCCAACTCGTTTGCCTGCTCAATGCCATGGGACGCAAGAGCTGGGTCGGTGGGTAGATCCGTGGGAGAACGGACTGAAGCTGTATAGTTCCCAGTGGACGGGTCGACGGCCCATGGAGGACGGAACTAACGATAGTAAGCTTACAATTCGTTCAAATAGCTTCGAAGTGGCTTCCGCCGCAAAAAAATAGGGGTAAATAAGCCTTAGATAGCTTGGGGTTATAGGTAGATTAGAACTAGCACACCTTACCCCGTGGCGGGTCACGTAAATGACTTCTAGAGACATTGATTTATTTTGACTTTCATACGCGACGGTAAGTCGTCCGGGATTTAATTAGCCAGTATGATCTTTATTCATTCATTATACTGCAATTTTTGCTAAAATAAACTCGCAATCGGAGCAACTAATTCGGGAAATATTTCTTTTTTTTGTAAACTGTAAACTAGAATATGAAAGAGGAGAGAATAGGATGTGAGCCGTGAGCCCCTGGAGAGAAAGACCCAAGTTCATTGGACCGTTGGATTATTAAGTGTGTACCAAGGTACACCTTCCACCTTCCCCGGTAGGTAAACGAGATGCCATGCCGAGGTATGAAAGTGGATTGAGGTCAGAGCGCATCACGTGGGAAAGGAACATAAAAACATTGTCACGTGCATCAACACCACACGAAATGCATCATACAATAGCGTCCTTAGGTATGATATCATAGAAGACCCTCAACTTACAAGCGTATTGAATTAATCCAAATATTTTACATTTTGAAGTTGAAAATTTAAGTTCCATAAACCGCGATGTAGCCGGGGAGAATAAGAGATACTTAACATATAGATACCTCTAAACGTAAGACCTAAGAAACCTATCGTGACTATGGTTAGACACTCCTCACTACCTCTTAACGATAGATCGAGCGCCACTGAAAATCATTACAATATTGCAAAAGCCTGGATTTTAAACCACCATGGCTTAAAAACTTCGAGCGGAAACACGGCGCAGACCGCTTGTTGGGTGCTCTGCGATTCTCTTTAGCAGTTCCAGCGAACGAGACAAGTAGCGGAATTTCTTGCACGGATAAGTGGCGGTAAAGCTTTCGTAGGAAGTATGCATCCCAAAAGCAAAGTTGACCACGAGTACATACGAAGCAGGCGAATAGGCAAAGTAGGGTGTTTACATGATTTTTTTTTCACGTCCAATACATGGCAAATCTATCACATATCAGTTTTTTTTCTATAATGCGTACCTAGTGCGAAGGACATGATCTTTGTATTTCATCATCTTAGGACTAATGCAAAGCATTAGGCACGTAGGAAAACGTGTCAACTACTCATGATTCCAGGAGAAGTTTTTCGCATACAATATTCTTCATTCCATACGTACACGTTGGAGTTCAACGTAATCCCCGAACTTCTCTTAGAAATGTACACACGTGTCCTTCGTTACAGTTGTCATCGTCTGCAGCAGCGGCGGAATTGTTATTGTTGTCTTCGAAAAACTGCTAGAAGATAATAGAAACGTTTGCAATGGCATAGACCTACTGTTGCCACCGTTGGCTTTCCTGCCGGCATGATGACGAGGCATCACCATGGCGCTAGAAGCGGTGGCAACCAGTAAGATGGAGAGTTATTTCATTTTTAACTGATTGGATAGAACATGATAGCCTGAGAAAAAGAAAAAAAGACAATATGTACAAGTTCACTGGCTCGTATTCAATATAAGTGAGTGATAATCAAAATGGAGGTCCAGCCACCACAAAACACGAATAGGAGCGAAATGGAACGAAGAATATTGAGACGAATTATTTCGAGAAATAATACCGCCGCAATAGAGAAGAGAAGTCTATGAATTATGGCAGAATTCTTCGCTACCTATATATAATCTAAAAACGACGAACAGTTAAACTGCATATCCGTCTACGATGCCATCTTGACAGGCTCAAGACTACAATAGGCTGAGTTTTGACGCTGTGCAGTTTGAAGCGCTCCATCTCATCAACGACAAGACTCCGTGGGAAGTGATAGTCTCTCGGTACTATTCCCATTTCTGTAGAGCCTCCAGACTTGGCATTGTGTTCACCTCAGTCTAGTATCTAATAGTCCTGATTGGTTATAATGAAGTGCGTATTAGACCGTCTACCTACGGTGGGTAAGTAGACCGGGTAGACAAATAGTAATCATGAAGAGTGGCTGAACACGGTCAAGACTTGGGGTAGGGGGGAAGAAGGGGACTAATTCGTGGTTTCGAGAATTAAGCTACAATCCTAACTCCATACGCGTGGTGAGGAACCCGATATGGGTGTCAAATGCCGACGACATTAAAAGGTTCATATGGAAAGCTTGACTGAATCCGGTTGGCTCCTACTCGCAGATCAGTTTCAGTACAAGGCAAGGCTTTGAGGCGAGGCTTTCATAGACTTATCCTCGAAAACAAGGAAATTGGGTGAAGTACCTAGTGAAGAATTGCCATGATCTGCGTCGGGACTCGTGCATAAAGATTCTTAGTCGCCCTGTACGCGCTTACCTGCATATAGAAAGCTCTCCCTTGGGTTATTGTGGTTGAGGAGCTACACGAAATCTATGTAATACTTGGGAGTTTTTTACCCGCCATAGATCAATACCTCTTATATTTTATGAGGAATAATAATAACCATTATTCATCGTGATATGTTGAATCAAAAAGTTTTGCTACATGAAGTATACCTGATAGGCAACTGACAGGTCATGAGAGCTATGAACTACTATTCACTAAAAAAGCAATGCCGGCAAGGCGTGCCGAAACCCATCCACGAATGGAAAATGGTAACCATCACCTAGTCAACTTTCAGCTTCTTTCCAGGCACCACGCCTAGACTGGAGTAGATAGTTGTGTGAAAAAGCAGCAACTAGAAGTGCTGGACTGCTAGGTTGCTATTAACTCAGATCCCGATCTTCACTGTCGCCGCATCGAAGCGAACGTTACAACAGGAGGGATCTGGTCCAAGACGTTAATGTTATAACACGGCAGATTCCCCTGTTACATGCAACCTTGTGGCTGGCAATAACGACTGCTGTTTCTATTTCCTCTCTACTCCCATTGAAACTCCTAATAGGAAACCAACTCGCCATCATTGACTCAGAAACCGACGCCTTACTGTTTGCAAGGGAAATTAGTAAGACATATCACGGGTCAGCTGAGAAAAGAGGCGGTTAGATACCTTAGGTACTAACTATACTTACCTCCCTAGGGGTTCTATTGAAAGGTCGATTGAGGCAATAGCTCATTTCTTCAGACGAGACATGAAGAAATAGTATGTGGAGCTATCAACACAAGGGTCCAAGACAATGTAGCGTAGAGCAATAACTGAAGATTGATTTTTTATAATCCATGTTCCTCCTATTGAAAAGGGGGGTGAGAATCTCCTTATCAGATAAACACACCACCTCGCGACAATAGTTAATGCACAACGCGAAGAGGTGGACATAACACATGATAGTAGGAGGTAGGTAGGTAGGGGGTAGTACTCTGTATAGATTCGATGATTTTGGTAAGGTTTACCTCTATGAAGGAATTTGTTTATTCTTAACGTTATGAGCCTCTATTTAACGCATAAAGCTAAATACAAAACCGGGTAACAGAATTTCACAGGGGTATTTCAAATTACTACACTTATATACACATTTTATGCTAGCTAGGTATACATTATCATAGACTCGATAGACATACAAGATACTCGCTCTAAATAAGCGCTTGACCCATGAACATGCTCTCCCTGACCTCAGCCACGATATCTCGCCGGTCGTCCTTACCGACCAATACAACACCTCTTCCTCTCCTACCCATGCGACCGGCACGTCCCAGACGATGAATGAAATCGATGGTGCTGTGAGGCACGTCGTATAATATTACATGTCGAACCGCTAGGGTATCTATACCCCTCGAGGCCAAATCTGTGGCCACAATGACCTTGGTATTGGGTAAGACCCTTCGTCCCTTTCCGGGGGCTGGTATGGCGGATGCTGCTAGAGAGGCTTTCAACGGAGCAGTAGTCGTGAAAGTGTCCAACATCTCGGACTGGCGCTGTTCCGAGGTGTCCCGATGTAGCGCGACGGCGTCGATACCCTTGGAGACGAGGAAGTTGGCAACTTCTTGGGTTTTTTCGCGCTCGTTGACGAACACCATGATACGCTTGACGTCGACTTCTCCTGGTTCGTAGCTGTCGTGGCGAGCAGCATCTTTCCCTATGGACCAGATTGCATCCGCACAAGCAAGATCTTTGTTGTTGCGGTAAGGGTCCTTAGAAACGTCAATGACTCCCAGCTGCACGCGTCGAGGGATGGCGTGAAGGTTTGGCGTAGTAAGACGAGTCATATTTGGGAATTCGGAAGCTAGGTAAGAATCGAGTCGTTTAGGAATAGTAGCAGAACAGAGGATGAGCTGCTTCATCGACGGCAGCGCACGGTCTAATATGGCCGTCGTCACAGGTGAGAAACTGCGGTCGAATAGCGAGTCGGCCTCATCGACTATTAAGTGGGAAACCCTGGATAAAATGTTGGGATCTGAGTCTGCCATCGATGACAGTAAATGAGGTGTTGCCACAACTAGATCGATACCCGTAGGCGAGTACATGTTCAAATTGATAACCTTTGCGGAGATGTTGGCAGAGAAAAGATTGGCCCTGAACTTGACGATATGTGACAAGGATTTCGCGACACGACCTACTTGGTCGACTAGTTCAGCTGTTGGTACTAGTACAACTACCTTCGGCCGCGCAGAAGTTGGGTGAGGATCAAACTCCCGGGGCCCTGTGTATCCTGGTTCCTTCATTGCCGCCATCTGTCTGTTGAAATATTCTCGGTAAGCCGCGATAGCAGGATCAGCGGCTTCGGCCCTTTTAAGGGCATCAATCGCAGGTAACAGGTAAGCTAGGGTTTTGCCCGAGCCCGTCTCAGCTGCTAGTAGAAACTCCTGTCTCCCATGGCTATTGTTGTCTCTTATTCGAGAGGATCGTCGACCGGTATCCTGACCTAATAGTGCGGGAATGGCGAGTCGTTGGATAGGAGTTGGCTTGATATCGACCATGCCTTTTAGCACGTCATTAGACATGGCTTCCTTAATCGAGGGCAGTAAGTTGAATTGGTCGAATGAATCTAACTCGGCTACACTCTCTTTCGTCCTCGATCTGTATCCATAAGGAATTGTCGCTAGGGCACTCTGCATCTTCATAGCTTTCGTTCGTCGCACATCGTTTTTATCGTCTCTCTTGTCTTTGCCGCCTCTGGCTTCAGCATATCGAGAAGTCTTCCCGGATGTACGTTCCGGTATACGAGCGTAGGTTTGATTCATGCCACCAAACGGTCCGGCTGATCTATTAGGTGGCCTTCTACTTTCACGTCCTTCCGTATCTCTTCTTGGATGATCTGCGACACGATCGGATAAGACCATTCTTGAAGGACTGCTCCTCGAACCAGCTCTCCCTCGACCGGAGAAGAACCGTTGCGACGCCACCCATGGTCGATAGGCGCTTTGGGAAACTCTCAGGTTGTTTGCTATAAATAAGCATGAGGGGCATATGGGCGCCGAGAGAAAGGGGCGCATGGTGAGAACGCAGTTGAACTCAGTTGTCTATCCGGTTTTCTATCGCGCCGAATTCGCGGAAACTTAGTTGAGCTTTTTCTCTTTTGCTTTCCTTTAAAATTTAATTATTATTTTTTTGGCGGGGGACTTTTACTATGATCTTATCGATTATCGATAACTAACGGTCGCCCCTCCTTCCAGAAATAGCAACTCTACCTGTAGGTACCTCTAGAAGGTACCTGCCTACTTAGCCATTAGGTACTTGGAAAAGGTACGTGGATACGTGCGGACGTGTAGACTTGGACCTAACTTAAGGTTAGGTACCTACATCTTGATAGGAGGCATGCACATGTCGTCCTACCTCAGATAATGCAAGCGGCCCGGCTTACGTTACATCAAATATTACCTAAGGTACATACAAGGTACCTATTAATTCTCACGTACGACAAGTCCTCTAATAATATGTTGAATTATATATCTGTGTTCATTCATACTTGTCGCCTTTCCTATTGCAGTATAGGATGTAGGTACCAAACATATATGTCGATGTCCTACAACATTAGTTCTATAGCACTAGTCCTATAATACTAGTCCCATAACACTATACAGATACAATCAGGTACGTTGCGCTTCCGCAACAGAAAGCCCTTACCACGTATCTTCATCTCCCGTATAAGTCATGAACCGTCCCCCGTGTGTGGCTTTCGTGGCTACATCAATCACCTTCACCATCCCCTTGCATGATTCCTCCACCGGTACGAGTTGCACCGGAATCTTGTCCTTAACCGATGACAGGCCCTTGAGAGCTACCCGCGCCATGTCGGTGTCTGCTAAACCGGGACTAAGCACGAAGGCCGTGAGCCAGTCTTCTTCCTTATCTATCCGCTTGGTTATCCAGTGTGCCGCAACCTTGGACGGTCCATACGCGGCGTGGGGAACATCGGGTTGATCCCTTGGCTACAGTTAGTTGACAATGCTATGGGAGAGGGGGAAAAGGTATGTTAGGTTAGGTACTCACTATCACACAACAAGTTACGTTAGTTAACACTCTCAAACAGATTATCCGGGCGTATTATTGACTTACCACTATCTTTCCGCCGACAGAGCCCAGGGTTATCCACTTGGGATTTGTCGAATTCTTGAGGAGCGGAAGTGCAGCCTGGAATAGCCATACCACGCCGAAGACATTGGGCGTGAGGTGTCCTTGTAATTCCTCCGTCTTCACTTCCGAGACCTTAGGCACGCAATACAAGACACCGGCGTTGGCAATGGCAATGTCTATATGATCGATGCCCTGTGCGATTAACTGTTTGATACCCTCGGAAGCATCGGATTCGACCGATGCGTCAACCTTGATGACGATGAGGCGACTATCTTCCCCTTTAGGTAGTTGGGCAAGAGCTTTCGACGTAGGGTGATCTGGATTGCGGTTCGCAGCGATGACGATGTGGTTTGGCTTAGCGAGATAGAGCTCGAGGAGTCCTTTGCCTAAACCTCGGTTTGCGCCGCTAATTAACACGACAGTTGACGCCATTATTCCGGGTATGTTTTGATAGAAATAAAGTTGTTATTGATAGGCGTTGTTCGTAGTTTTGATTCGTTTTAATTCTTGCCAGTAGCAAATCCGTCCCTCCCTCCGTCCGCCTCTCGGCTTCTTATAGTCGACATCGCCTCCTGAGATCGGATCGACTTGCGCGTCAAGGGCTTACCGACTAATGCAGAATGCGCTGTTTTTGTTACATGCTAGCACTCAATAAGGACATATAGCTCTTCCGCGTGTTGGGACGGACCGTCGAGTACTTGCTAAATCTCTACCCGAGCATCGACTGGCTCACCCGATAGCCAATGAGAATTCAATGACGTCGGAAATTTACCGAAGTCCACAAAGCCAAGTTAATAACATACGCACTATCAACTCGAATTAAAACGACCGTGGCTCTTGTGTATTTACATAGTAGTATTAAGGTAGGTCGTGACCATGTTGGGGTAATGGCGTAGTTCACCGCTTTGGAATTTTTCCTGGTTCCCACGAGGTGACCGGGGTAAACAATCCTTAACGAGTGGAACTTTCAGGGGTAACAAGGTTCCTGGACGATAGCGTCGATCGACGGTGAGGACTTTACTATGTACAATAGTTACCTGGGTAGAACCAAATAGTCATGTCAGTTGGGAATCAGTACTAATCATTGGCACGATTGGATAGGTTTACAGGATGCCGAAGGAATCAATGCATGAAGAGGTCAAAGAGAGCCAAAGGAGCGGTAATAAGCCACGTGGTTGAGCAGATCCAAACCAATCTATACTCTTTTTAGATTAACGAGTACTCCAATATCAACTCTACAACTCTACTTTTGCGGACATCTAAAGAATTGCTATTCATTACGTACCTCAAGTAATTATACGCTACTTGGACAAAGTACTAACAACACAGCCCGATTGAACTGTTCAAGTGTCTATATAGATTTTTTTTTAAAAAAAAATAAATAAATAAAAAGAACTGAAGAAAGACTGTAAATGGTATCATATTATAAGTATTATTTAGTTGAGCACGCGAGGTCCGTGTCTGCTACGATGTAACCTAACTCCGTTGATTGCAGTTACTAGTGGTAAGGTGCTAAAAGTTGTTCTACCCTCAGTCATTATTGTGTACATACGTTAGGTAGGTATGTAAGGGTCTTATTAGGTACTGATTTCATGCATCCATGTCCCAGCTTTCAAGTGCTTATCATATATCCCCACACGACAGCAAATCAAAAAGGTACCAACCAAGTATGCTTGTTTAGGAATAGAGATATAAACGTTTAGCTCATGTCTTGCAACTAGGTAGTTACTGCAGTTACTATGTCAAGCATGTAGTTATCACTTGGGGTATATTGGGCATTTATTTCTCAAATACATCCCAGGTATAACTTTGCGCGAGAAATTAACTTGAAACGTTGGTTCGATAGAAGAATGGTCAAGTACACGGGTACCTAAAGTAATTAGACGTAAATAGCAAACATATGGAGAAGCATGGATATGGTCGTGCATGTCTAATTTCGCAGTAGTCTCCAGGAGCAGACTGTCAAAGCATTTATCATCACAACACGCAAACAGCATGACAGAATTAGCGGCTGGACAGTCTACCATTAGTAGGGACTTTGATAAAAATAGCTTCAGCGGTATGTCCTTAAATGCGGGAGGGACAAGGTCACATACTCCACTTATACGGACTTAAAAATAATAAAACAAAACTCAACGAATTAGATTCAAGGAACAATATACCTATGCTCTTCTCGCACTTAAGGTCATAGGAAAATTGGAAAGCATTATGGTATTAGAACCCGTATTTACGAAGAATAAGACAATAATCTATTTAAAATCCAGCAGGGATAACTGTAGGGTTATGGAGTTGGAACCTGAGCTCCCAACACAGGTAGATAACTACCTACCTACCCAGGTAAGCAACCGATGTATTCATCGCACTTACAAGAGGTGTTACATCGTAGAGCATTACGTAAGGGAAACAACTCTAACTAGGATAGCTTTTGAAGCTAAAGCTATATACAAACATCTCCTTTGTTCTCAAGGAGTCTCAAGTGAGACTCCTGAGAAGACGCCTACTTGCCTAAGGCTTGCCTTCGTGGTATTGTTTTCAAGGGTAACTATATTGAGATGAGAAAGGGTTCACTGATTGCTAATTAAGAGCATAAATGATAGAATTATAGCGGAAGAGCCAAGGATAGCAAGGGAGGAAGTAAGGAAGGATAGTAATATAAATTGGAACCAGGATTAGAAATGGAGAAAATAGAGAGAGGGGGAAGAAGAAAGAAAGGGTAGCAACTACTACCTACCTACCTATTATTGCTATCTCTAGGATTCCACAGCTGTTCCTAGCACTCGGTAACTGATACAACCCTCCTCAAAAAGAGTAATCGAAAAAAATGTAGCTTTCGAATGGATTTAGGATAGATGTTAGCGACGACTTGGCATAACTATCAAACCTATAGCTTTCTCGGTAATGTCACGAGGTAGACCCGGAGGGAGGTAAACAACCTCGCAGAACGGCGAGGAACTCTGACTAACGTTAGGTAGCTTTGGGAACCAGAGTTATATGTATAAAAACATCGTTGTCTCCTATCTCTCACATCTGATCTCTGATAGGAAGTAGCTTTAAAGGTCAGTAACTCGACGAGACATAGAAATGTTTTAGATCTAATAGATGATTGACCGCGGTATGAAATGCCGACATACACTTTAGGCCATTGAATTAACATGATTTCAGTAGGAGTTCAAATTCACTAATATCTAAGCACTTTCAAACTATGCCCTTAATGGATGTTATATATTGTAGAGATCTAGTAACACCTGCCCTTCTAACCTCCCTCGAAGGGGCTGGCTACCCTTTATACAAACAATAGACCCCTGTTATATCCACATACCCTCGTATCCCTGACATCTACCAGTGTCAGAAGAATCGTTGGAATTGTTGTTGATGATGTTCTAAAGGCTACTGTACATGGTCCACTGATGGTGGAAGTATATACCTTACATTAGGTATATCAGGTGTCAACCAGCCTAAATAAACTACTTGCTGTTATAGCCGCGTGTAGGCAGAGTTTATAAAACAAAGTTTGAAAATGGCGACTTGGATAATAAGGGACGTTAGGAGGGTGTATAAGGCTAGGTGATTTAATTAATCTAACAGAGACGGCATTCTCTAAGAAACAGTTGAATATAGGGCACGGACCATATGTATGATCTAAACTATATATGGTGGTGGCTTACTGATCACCATGGGCAAAAGCTCATTAAAACTTCAGTTCGACAGGTAAGCCACCACCATATGGTTTAGATCATACATATGGTCCGTGCCCTATATTCAACTGTCTCTTAGAGAATGCAGTGCTCGTCTAAGCATCTACCTACCATTGAATGAAAAATTGTGCGCTGAAAACTGAAGATTGAAAACGTCTTGTTATATTACGTAGTACCTGTAGCGAACTTATTGCCTGAGGATACCGGACAGTAAGGTTCTGTCCATCAGTAGGAGAACCACAGATCAGAGAAATTGATGAATCAAAAAATAGGTGACATAAACGTCAAGAAATAAATCAATTTGGAAGTCCAAAAAGATAATCAATGGTCCCAGGCGGGCTCGAACCGCCGGCCTTCGCATGGACTAGATACTATCGTCGGATCACGATCAGTATTAGTACGACGCTCTAACCAACTGAGCTATGGGACCAGGCTATTTTGGTTGACCCATTTTGAGCTGTGATAGGCTCTAGTGGTGGTTGTTGAAAGACTGGGTTTATTTTTTGTTAATATAGATGTGTGCGTGGGTTGTGGGTTGTGTGGGAGTTGTTAGGACTGAGATCCACCTACTTAATACATGAGGCCATCCGAATTCTAAGGTGGATCCACGCTATCGACACGCTAGGTCGTTAGAAGCAAGGTACCTAAGTACTTAAGGTACCTATCTATGTACCTATTGTAGGTTAGGTACCTAGGTACCTATGCTTACCTAAAGTGAGTTACAGGTAGGTCGGTACCTGGTTAGGTACGTACCTCTAATTGTACGGTTTACATTGTAGAAACTCCATGATCAGAAGCATATCTCATTGCCCAGATTCTTACAATCTTACATTCTCATCTCACATTCCCACACCTTAAAACATGTACGAAGACTCATGGTACAATTTTGTACCAGACCATACCCATAAAAGGAACCCTTCTATCCCACAAGCCTCAGGACACAGGAGAAGAGAATCCCTACTCCAACAGCCCAATGTCAGTAGTCCCAGTCCCGTCTTCCCGATGCGATACTAACATTTTGTCAAGGGAAGCAAGCAGCCCGATACCGTGCAACCGCTGGAATCATTGTTCGAAGAAGCCGAGACCATAATTGAACCTCCCGAAGCAACCTTAAGCCGAAGAGCAAAGTCCTATTCTGATTTCTACCATGTCGTTCGCGCGCAGCTCTCGAAGGATGCAGCAGCAAAGAAGAAGCGCAAGAAGGCTAAGGAGAGGGGCTTAGAAGCATTGATGGTTGAGAGGATTGACACGTTTTCTCGAGATCGAGAACAACCTCGGTTGAGTTCATCTGATGACGAATTGATTGAGGCTAGCCAGCAGGAATATTTGTACGGAGAAGCGCGTTGAAAAGGGTGACGATTTGGTTGCTAACAGGAAGACAGGCTTTATCAGGACCAACTAGAAATGACAGAGCGCCACCTAGAAGCACTTATTGGCAATACAAATAGCGCTTTGGACCTGCTAACGTCTTTGGCCGACTCATTTCGCGCCGTAGAGTCGCAGACATCCTCTTTCCAGGCTCAGTGCGACGATCTTTTATCAGAGGAAAGGAGACTACAGAAGCTTGCAGACGAAGTTGGAACTGACTTACATTATTACGCATATCTAGATGGTGTTACGAGAAGGTTGAATGCTCCTGGCGCCAGCCGCCTGGTGAATCATGAAAGTTTTGGCGAAATCCTAACGAATCTGGACGCATGCATAGGATTTATGATAGAGCACGTCAGTCGCTACATGAACTTTGTTATGCGCTTTCAACTGACCTGTCTTAGCCTGACTATCGGGATGCTGAGTCCTATCTGGCCAGATATCAGTCTCTACTCACCAAAGCTCTCCACCTGCTCGAAGTCGGCTTCGTGGGACATCTTGACCGGATTTCGTCAGAAATATCCAAGCAGATTGCTGCTACACAATCGGAATCAGCTAGGCATGCGCTTGCATATGGCCGATTCGAAGAGATGTTGCTTGAGGCAGATGGTCTAATAACGAATGCTCAACACGTTATCCGTAGTTGTTATGATCAGCTGGGAAATCCAACTCCCGGGCAGAGCTTCGACTATTACTCCAACACTGCTGTCAACATGTTTTCATCTTATGCCGATGTGAGAGACCGCGATCTCCGTCCCATGACTCAACATGACCTCGAGGTTTTCAAGAAAGAGGTCAAGGAAGTCAATGCAGAAACCGCCTGCCGTAACTTTATCAAACAATGTTATGAACGGTCATACGATGAAGCAACCCTCTTCGGTAAGGTATTCTTTATAGAGCCACAGTACAGCGTGGACCCCCAGTCCGCCTACGTAACCTTGAAGTCGCAACAAAAAGCCTTGGTCAACGCTGCAAACATTGCCCCGATCGCAACAATGTTGCAATCTGTTTTGCAGACAAGTGAGCTCCAAACGCTTTGTAATCTTCTGGGCTGGATTACGAATGAGTACCTTTTACTGGAGTACGATGAAGAGGAAACTCGATATTCTATTCACTGCCATGACATCACCGCCCGACTACTCATTGAACATCTCTGGCCCTTGGCAGACACTGCATTCGACGCCGAGGTTACAAAATCTATCTCGAAAGCCCCCATCCCCCAAGAATCTCTCAAGATTACGCCCGTGGAGAATGGCGTTGCATCTTCTAATGTGCATCCAATTACGAAAAGAGCCCTTGAGCTTTTAGCCATGTATGATCAAGCTATGCCGAAGGAGCGAAGTGTGAGTAGCATCATTGTCTTACTTTCGACGTACTTGAAAACTGATCTATTTGCTTTAGTCAAGCCCGGTTGCCTTTCGGATAATTCATGAGACTATCCTTGCTATGCAGCGTGCCGAATCCCGTTTGAAGTCTAACAAGGCGGCCAACCCAGAGCCTGATCCAGATTTGTTCATGATCAAAAATCTGCTTATTCTCAAGAATGGACTAGTCTCACTCGAGCTAGGCGATGTGAGGTCTCATCCAGCAGCGATGCAGCACTTTGGTCAAATATGGGATGCTCTCAGCCCTCAAAACTGGCTGGGCCTCTTCAGAGGTATTCTCGGTGGTTCACTGTCGCTCGGCCTGTGGTCATCTGCAGCTAGTGCCTCCCCTGCTGCGAACGTCAAGGCCGCACCGGCAAAAGCCCAGGCGCAACCCGAACAAGATGCAAACGAGAAGTTGGACGAACTGCTAAGGCAGAGCATCTACGCGTTTACGCAACGGTGGGGAACATTGATAAACGCGGCTAGGAGCGGCAAGCGTGGTACTTCAAGTCTAGAAGCCACAGAGAAGGAACTTGATGAAAAGCTTTTGGCCGCATTTGGTGGCCAACCCGAAGTTATAGCGAAGTTACAGGAGGCCATCCAAATAAATGCACAGGCCCAGAAAGAGCTCAAGGCAGAAAAAGGTGGGCGATAGGAAGGACGGCTATCCATTCCGATCTATTTAATAGAAAAGAGCCTCACCGACGACGGCCTCTGTCACTGGTTGTTTTCATTGAGTCCGCTCCAGGAGAGATATATAAAAAATCGAGCTATGACACCGAACTTCGATCAAAGGTTTTTAGAGGACCGATATGCTGATGATATCAACGCCGACGCCGTATCACTTGTTAATCTTTCTGTCTTAAGCCTTGAGCTTCGCGAAAGCGTGAAGATTAAGGATTCTATAGAAAATCGTACTTCGACAGATTGAGCGGTCAATAGTAGGCGTATCTTGAAATAGTAAGATGAACGCAATAATTACACCAAGCCTACGACAACCACGTAATTGTCAAAGTACCTAGGCGGCCCTTAGAATCTGGGGCAGCCTCCCTTACTCGGGTAGGCTTCTTACCTAAGCCTATGTGGTTTCGATCGAATAAATCCGCATTTCCTAGGACAATACGTTACTTGCGGTTGCTCCGTTATAAGGACAGAAGAGGGATAAGGTACCATAGCTCCCTACCTAATGTCGTGTTGTTGGAAGCAACTTCTATTCATAAAGCGCACCTGACAAGGCGAAACGAAGATGTTGGTAAGCACAAAGAGACAATCGAATACCTTACCTATTCCTCCTTACCTTAGGTAGGTACCTAGGTGTGGAGTGTTGGCAAGACTGAATTCTTCCCCGTGATCCAACTTATTCAATGAAAAACAATACGCATTTGGCCTAGTGTATCTCTCGAGGGCTCAAACAGAGGGCCAGTAAACAGAATCGTAAAGCAAAATCTCGCTACCAACCGTTATGTTTATCTTGGTACAATGCGTTTAGGTGGTTATGAGGTACGTAGCGCGTTGTAGTACTATTTAGATGGACCGGTTCAAATCAGCTAACAGTCTTAAAATGCCAATTGGGCAAAAATGGACAAAACTTACAGTAGTTGGTCTATGAAGCGCTACTTACCGACCCCTGTTTGGGGCCTCGAGAGATAAGGGGATAAGGGGGGTACCGCATATGAAGGATATGTTTGCTCATACTATGTAGTCGTATAGTACTCCAAACTCCCCTTGAGTCCTTGACGTAACGTAGGCGAAATGTGTACCTAACCTAATGTTAAGTAGGTAGGCAGTCAAAGAATAGGTAACCCGAACATCAACACCCCAAAGCCCAATAGCTCCACCAACCAACTAAAAGCTTCATTCGGGCTCTTACCCTCATTAGTTTCGTAGCTATCCCGATGTGGTATAGGTAGTGACCGAGTGTACCGCACCATCGTTGTGGACGATCAAAGGGATATCGATATCCTTACACTACAGGGAGTGGAGGAACTAAGCAAACCGGAGCTCTTTGAACCGCAAGTCGTATTTAAAGTCGAAGGGAACCGGATTTAAACCTTTCCACAGCCCTACTCACGGTTGCGCATATTATATTACTTATCTAGCCTAAAGGAAGTGACATCATGGCCGCGAAACAGACCGTACAAGTTGCACATTTGGCAGCCCAGGTTGGGTATGCCATTTCGAACGACAAATTGGATCTGTCAAAGCCAACATGGGTGCTTATAAACTCTTTGTGCACTTCGGTCGAGTTCTATCGTCCCTTGTTCGAAAGCAAAACATTGGCAAATGTTGTGAACTTGGTGGCCATCGAGCCGCTTGGGCATGGCGCAACAACATGCGCGACGGAACACTTTAATTACTGGGACACTGCCCTCGCCGCGTTGCAGGCTCTTGAAGCTTTGGGTGTGAAGAAAGCCTATGCCCTTGGAACCAGCCAGGGTGGTTGGATTGTTGTGAAGATGGCATTACTGGCGCCGGAGAAGGTGATTAAACTCCAATGTAGATATGACTTAAACAGTTGGATCGTCTTGGCTCACAAAAAATAGATCCTGGGTCTCATTCCTCTTGGCACTTCGATGGACGCTGAAACTAGCGAGACCCGCGAGAAGGGCTGTTGGTAAGTTAGACGTTTATCTTCAACTATCTTTTCCCTCGGTAATTCCAGGGTACACTCACCCTTTTTAAATGAAAGTCGATTAGGTATGATGAACAAGGCGAGTTACTAACGAGTATTGTCCATTACCATAGGGATCCAGTCTCATTCCTACAGCCGATCCTTGAGTCGTGGCGTAACCCTAACCCAGACTTCATTGTCGGTGATGAATGGATCCAAGCTGTGATGGGACAAGGCTTCGGATCCGCGGCCACCCCTCAACTCCTCGAATTTTGGAGCGGAGCCCTTCGTCGCATCTACTCGGGGAATGACGGACGCCAGAGACTACGTATGGCTGTTATCTGCCTGGCGTCTAGAGACAGTCTGCTACTTAGAATAGACGATATCAAGTGCCCCGTTCATTGGCTACACGTACGTTCTACCACCTCACCGCCTAATGGGCTCCGGCTTTAAGGGATAATTGTTACTGAGACATTATAGGGATCGGCCGACACGGTCTACACGACTGCCGTGGCGGAGGAGCATTCCAAACTATTCACTGGTTCGAGCGACGTCCAGTTTGATATAATAGAGGGCGGCTCTCACTTCTTAAGTGCGACAAATCCTAAGGAGGTCGAGGAAGCCATTCTGGCCATGACTTCGAAAGCCTAGGTTAACTGCCCAGGTTACTGGAAAATGCGAGCTTGATGTATACTAAGACTTTCATTTATAATCGAGTCAGTTGGTCTAGAAAGGTATTGCTGTGACAGGTAGGTACGGGTTTCTCAGGAGGGAAAAACTGGCAGGCTACTCAATACGAGATTCAATAGGGGAACATGATATATTCGGATGCTCAACTCCTTATTATGAAATACAAGTGAAAGTGCTTATTGAAGCCAAAACCGTTGAACATATTGCTTCTTGGCTAGGTCTAGATCATGATTCGACCACCAGTCTCCCCCAAAGCCGATGGCCCTGTTAATATTGAGCCGCTGACGCAAGGCAACGTTCAATAGTACCAAACGCACGAATCACCGTAAGGAATTGGGCTCGCTAGGAAATAACCCGTGCAATAGAGCATGCAATGATACGTCCTAAAGTGGGATAGTCTCATATGAGATACCTAGGTGTTGTCAGGTCTCGTCCCTTATACATCCATTCCACAACATATGCGTATGGCTGGAAGTTGACCAACTACCAGTCACTGCGACATGATGGAAACATGGGAGCTGTAGTACCTGCTTAACGTACATAATAAAAGTCTTCGTTGTACGAGCTGTGTACCAGGTAGGTAAGTAAAGCTTAGGTAGGTACCTTCTAATCGAACAGATTTAATAAATATTAATCTTGATTTTGCTATTTTTGGTTGGTGGCGTTACGTATTTCTCATAGCTTTCTACGTTTCTACTCTCATTTATTTCCATCCTTATTCGATCACATCCTCGTAGGTCCTGCGGTCCCCTTTTACTTCATAACACCATACTCCGCTCATTTTCAATTCACGCGCCTGACCTATTAGGCATGGATCAATGCGTTCTCAGCTCCCCCTTCGCAGAGCCGCAGTGCTTCATAGGGCCTTGCGTAAGTATTGCCCCTTCTGAACATAAACATGAGTAAGGCCAGGGCTAATAGGATTGGAAATGTAGTGCTTAGCATTGTCGGCTCTACTCGGTGATAAGGTCGTCTTCCCTGAGAGCCAGGCATACAGTTCATCTCTTTCTTCGTATCATAGCCAGCAAGAATCTTATCTTGAGCCTTTGTGTATCGTCGTACCAACTACAGCCGACGACGTCTCGACTGCAGTTTCCTCGCTATCCTCTACAGCTGGGTCACTTGGCGATAATGAGCGACAGGCTAGTTGCCAATTCGCCATCCGATCTGGCGGCCACGCGGGCATTGTCGGCGCAGCAAATATCGAGGGCGGGGTAACGATCGACTTACGCTCTCTTAATACTATCGACGTAAGCGAGGATAGGTCGACGGCCTCCGTGGGAGTGGGCGCTACTTGGGGCGACGTATATTCGAAGCTTGGCCCCCTCGGCGTATCGGTTGCTGGCGGCCGCGTAGCACAAGTCGGCGTTGGCGGGCTCACCTTGGGCGGTGGGATTTCTTACTTTTCCCCACGATACGGCTGGACGTGCGACACGGTGTCGAACTTCGAAGTCGTGCTCGCTAACGGGTCTATCGTAAATGCCAATGCAGATGAGAACCCCGATCTTCTCTTCGCTCTCAGGGGCGGTGCGAACAACTTTGGCGTCGTCACCCGAATCGACTTTCGGACCTTTGAACGAGGACCTATATGGGTAGGCGCAGTTCTTGCTTCCAGCGACACCATTGATGAACAGCTAAAAGCGTTCGTTGATATCAATTCGGCGGAGTCCTACGACGAATACGCGTCGTTGATTACGAACCTTGGGTATGCTGGTGGTCGCAAAACCTTTATCCTAAACAACATTGAATATACGAAAGCCGAAGAGAACCCAGCAGTGTTTAACCCCTTGAGCAAAATATCTGCGATGGACGAGAAAGGACGCATCGGTACCATGGAAGAAGCGGCGATAGAACAGGGTTCGTACTCGAAAAATGGAAGACGGTATGTACCTGGGTGTCGGAACACCCATCACCCACCAAGGACCCCAAGCAACATGCTAACAAACCAAATAGCCAGTTATTCGTGACGATAACTCACAAGTCCACTTTGAAAATGCTCAACGCAGTTTATTTAAATTGGAACAAGAGCATCGAGGCCATCAAAAGCGTCCGTGGCGTCGTCTGGGCTATCTCTCTCGAGCCGCTGCCCCCAGCCATCTACGCGCGCTCCGCCACATCCAACGTTTTCGGGCTCGCGGATAGGACGGATGCGCTCGTAATAACTGTCCTGACCGTGTTCTGGAGAAACGAGGCTGACGATCCGAAAGTCGAGAGGGCTGCGCGCGAACTATTTAGAAAGATCGAGGATGATGCGAAGAGGCTAGGCGCGTACGATCCCTTCATTTACCCGAACTACGCGGCGTGGTGGCAGGATCCTGTTTCTAGCTATGGCGAGGAAAGCTTGCGGAGACTGAAGAGGGTGAGGAGGGACGTGGATCCGAAGGGGGTTTTCACTCGTCAAGTTCCTGGTGGTTTCAAGATTCCTTTCTAGCTGAAGTCTACTAGGTGCGAGATAATATCCACGACCTATGACTAAAGCTAACATAGGAGGTAACTCTCTTTGTTTGGCAATCACTACAAGACTATACAGGTATTCTTAGCTCTTTGACCCTCACAGGCAGCAGCTCAAAGTTTGAGAATAGGTTTATTCTTTCAATTTGAACCATCTGATTGTTCTGGAACAAAGAATTAGCTGCAGAGAATCGCGCACGTCTAATATAAAAAAGTTGCCTACGGCCATACGATTCTTATCATGAAATGCGCTGACTATATATAATACCTTGGGTCTCAATACTTTTACGTCGCTTCAGAACGTTCGGAATATTCAACTTTAAAACATTTGACCAGGTACCTATTAGACCATATTCAGCAACTAGCTGACGTCCCTCAAAAGAAGTAACTAAGCGCCTCATCTTTTGACAAAATGGATCGCGACTTTCCAACTACGAGGATTTTCAAGACCCTCCTAGGATTCATCGTCACCTTGACATTAATCTCTGCCCTCTCCTTCTGTGCTATCCGGTTTACGCTATACGTAGTCCCCGTGGAGGAGTTCGAAAACCTGACAGGCAATCCTCCAAACACGCAAAGAGTGCTCTTGGAGAGACTTTCTCAGAATCCTCTTAACTACTACGAAGTCCTCGAAATCCCTTTATTTTCGGAAGACGGGGTTATAAGAAGGGCCTATCGCGAGAAGTTGAAGCAGGTCCATCCCGATAAGGTCCAGGGGGGCAAGCAAGAAGAAGCAGCGAACGTAGAAGTGCAGCGAGTGACGGAAGCTTACAAGACCCTTACGAGCCAGGATCGCTGCATGTACGACTTCAGTCTCGGCTCGGGGATAGGCCGCTTCGCGGACTGCAACCAGAGATGGCTCGACAGGAAAAGGGAAGAGCTGGCCGAGAAGCGGAAGGAAGCGAAAGAGAGAAACACCGTTACAAAAGAGAAAAACGTCATTGCAGACGAGAAAACCGCTGTTGCAAAATCCAGTATGACCACTAGACAAAAGCTTGTTCAAACAGTTAAGGGTATCGGCGCGACTACTAAAGCTGCTGTTTTGGTTGTCGCGGGGTGGTTTATTGTGCATGTGGGGAGGCCACTTGGTATGCGCTTTCACTAATAAGAGGTAGTTTTGTTGCTGATTTTACCCTTCGGAAGTGTAAGATAGACTCAGGATATAATAAATGCCTAAGGGTCTAACCTTTAGGGCCATTGAGGTGTAGTATTTCAGTAGTGGTATAAGCGTACCTAACTTGAGTCGGGCACCTTGAGTGAATAGGATATGGCGCTAATAGGCGTGAAAAGTATTACCCTCCCGTTGAGTCCACTAATAACTGCAGAGTTGAGTTGCGAGTTGTGGAATCTTGATGGATACTAGATTTACTAGACTCGTATCAAAAGGTAATACTAATAAGCTAGCTTAACACTAACAATCGTCAAGGTCATTTCAGTACCCCGCTTTAGAACAGCGTTTGAGGCACTTTGGCGGAGTGGTTAACGCGATGCCCTGCTATACTTTGGCATAGACAAGGCATTCCCTTCGGGGGCGTGTGTTCGAATCACACAGGTGTCGACATTCTTTTTTTTTTAGCGCCCTCCCCGATGCTTAGAGGCCTAAAAGATGAAATAGGGCTTTTTTTTTTTTTTTTAGCTATTGAATTTACTTCTCATATTTTTTTTTTACGTGGTCGTTTAATTTTAACACTTCGGGTACTTCTCCCTTTAGTACGTACGTACGTACGTACCTATTTATTAGTTATTGGCTTTCATAAGCTTGCGATAATATCTTTCTCCAGAATGGCTAAAGCGGAGTTGTGCTGTTGTTTGATAATGCAATGTGAGGTTTGCGTATGGGTTAGGTACTCATTCTCATAATTGAACGCGAAACATTAAGTATTTACCTAGGTACCTAGGTACCTTCTATGCTGCGGGAAGCTATGCTGATGTCGGTGATGTAGGTTATAAGTGATAATCTGAGACCTGTGGTTGCAGCATGCAGCCGCAATGACCGAGGCCTCCCAAGTGGCACAGACCTTGCGTTTCTTTCAATGAGCCAACCTCCGGTTACCCCTCCTCCAAGCGGCTTGGGAGAACCCAAATTCCGAACCCTACAGCTCATAACTCGCAATCACAATCAGTTTCGGAATAAATACGAGAAATAGCTACGCCTGGCGCCTTTCTTTTAGAGTCCAGTCCTACCGGGATGAGTACATCTAGCTCAACAGTCGACGGCGATGCAACGCCAACGAATTCGACCGTGACAGATGACATGTCTAACTTGAACATCACGTCCCCGACCATACACCGTACAGAAACAGTGCCGTGGCCCGGTCAGACATTTATCATACGCGAACCTGTGTCGGGGAAGCAGCTTACCATCGTCCGTGGAGAGCTCCGACTAGAGCCGCACAAAGGCGACCAAGGCGGCTATCATTGGATCTGCGTCGAGAAAAACGGCTGGCTGGGGTTCCGCGATCCTATACACAATATGTTTATGGGCCACGACAGCCTTGGGACCTTCATCGCCCAAGTGAGGCACCATCAACCCCACGAGTACTTTTGCGCCCAAAGACACCCTGATGGTGGCTATCTTCTGTGTACTTATTATAAGGATTGGATGTTGAAGATGGTGATCGCAGAAGACGGCCAGAAACTAGTTACTACGAAGGGGGAGGGTACCGCCTGGGAGTTCGTTAAGGTCTAGGTGACTAGGTCTTGCCTTCTACGTTTTACAGTGTCGGATGATATCATATCATATCAAGTCATCCCTCAAAGTACGGTATGACGGCATGTAGGATAATACCAGATAAAGCATTTGTGCGATGCCTATGAGATTGACCTAGGCACGAGAAACTACCTACCTAGCTAGGTATCCATGAATATTCAGCTCCTGATCTTAACTCGTGTTATTACGGTGGAACCTGTGTTGTCGAGCCGTTGGATGAATTCTTTCGCATTTTTACACCAACTTCGTGAGCAATTATAAGTCAAATAGCATACCGATGTACCTAAATACCTAGGAGGTTACCTAAGATACTAAGGTAATCACTCCCGACTCGGCTGTCACGAAGATCGGCTCGGGATCCACTTTCGTCTCGGGGCCCCCGCTGCCGCCCGGAGTCCCACTTCCGTATGCCACTAAGTCTTTCGCGTACAGCAGGGTGGTGAGCCTTGCTGAGCCCATAGAAACACGATATCGTTTAGAGACGTATGAGAGCCAGTGTCCTCTTTAATACACGATATTTATAACTATTGATGCCATTCCCGGCTACATGTTCCTCAACGTAATGCTAAGATTACCTCAAAAAGAAGATGACAGTTGAAAGAGGTCCAGGATATAAGTGAGTTTGATACACTGGTTCCAATTCTTTTCTTACATAAATAAATCCGAAAAGCGGCATATTCCCTCACCGTACCAATACTACCTACTTATTAATTTAGATGCTATTAGGTCCGAAGATCCATGCCCGTGAATTCCGGAACCACTATCTGTATGCGTGCAACATGGGCGAATAATAAATAATCAATCATTCGTTAGTGTTGCAGACTATATAAACTCTCCTGACAGGTAGACTACTAGGTCTTGTTTACCACAGCATAATTACAATATGGTTTTATCGGCCTTAGTCCCTGAGACGGGCTCGAACCAGGATCCGTGGTATACATCCCCGCCCGACTTTGAAGCCTCCGCCCTTAGAACTGTGCTCCGGGTTTCGCGCCGTCTCAGATGGACCGGCTCTGCATAAAAATGCCTATGTGGCCTTTCACATTCCATATCGTACTACCGACTCGCGGTATCAACCAAAATAGGCAGTAACGTAAGAGGTACCTAGCCCTACCCAGCTCTCTTATTAAGTGCAATTGAAACTATGAATGTTATCTGTGAAAATATCTAACCATTAAGTCGTTCCTCAGGTCCCTACTCATTCCTAAGGAACCCTTCACATCGCCGTCCAGATCCAACGCCCTACTCTCTTACCAAATCCCCTATAACATACCAAACGTCGATTATGGTCCCTCTTACCATATCTTCCAACCGGCGCCCGCGAACCCCTACGGCATCCCTTCTAGCCACGAGACAATCCACAAAATGCTCAGTCGCGGATGGTTCGTCGCCGTCCCCGACTTCGAAGGTCCTTACACGGGGCCTTCGGCCCAACCGTCCAAGCCGGCCACGCCACGCTCGACGGCACCCGTGCCGTGCCCTCTCTCCTTATTCCGCAATTCCGAGTTCTTGCTCTTGCCCGCCGGCGCGGACAAGTTCAGATACGCCTTGTGGGGGTATAGCGGCGGCTCGCTCGCTCGCCTCCGCGAAGGCCGTCGAGTTGCAGGGCCAGTACGCGCCCGAGCTATTGAGGGCCTTCGCGGGCTCCGCGGTGAGCGACATAGGGTCTATGTTCACGCCGATTGCGGACATGGACGAGCACATGGCGCACTTCAAGCGGTGTGGAGGTTCTATTCTGTACGAGCGCAACACGGTGAGCAATCATATTTCTGAGATTTCCGAACGGCCAAGACAGAGCGCTAGAGTGGACGGGCGGCGCCTTTAGCGGCTCGTAGAGGACTGCGAACCAGGGAGTTAAGATTCGTAATGTCGTGGTTGACGTCTCGGCGCCACCAACCGTCTAAAGCCCTACAGGGCTTTGAGGACGGAGGAAATGAAAGGACTGATTGCCTGGGACATAGGTATTATAATATCTAAAGTTTTATGGTGTCAACAAAAGGCTAGAATCCTAGATGTTCGCAATCGTATAGTTCCAATCTAAGGCAACTGTAAAGTATACCTCTTATACTTTAGTCTTTGCGCCTCACGTGGTGTTTCGCAACGGCGATGTCCCTTTCCCTCTTTCTGTATTAGCCATGCTATACCTTTACTGTAGAAATGTTGATCTGTAGGTGGTTCACACCGCGGAAGAGGTATCAAGTTAGCACCGGTTGGCACCGTATAAAGACCCCATCACCGATGCATATATGAGTAGCGTCGCGTACGGGCTACGGCATAGGCGGTGTAATTGGTTTGGCACTATTCGCCGACTCGTTTTACTTTCTTGTTCTTTTCGATCCAGGTTTCCTCGTCAGAGAGAATACCGAGGGAGTCACGACGGCTCTCCTCGCTGTTCTTGGTTCCATTATCCGGTTCCTCACGCGAAGACTCATTATTACGGCCATTAGCCACGCTTGAATTCTGAGCAGCCATGCCTGAATGGAGAAGTAGGTAATCAATGTTAAAGATATGAAGAGACTTCACATTTATTGGTAACAGGAGATGCTAACCCCCACCGAACTCACCTACGGCTTGCTTTCAATAGAAGATGGACATGACGGCTTCTCATAATTGTGTTGTCATTGCTGTTGATCGCATACCAAAGTACCTAAGTATCTTTGGTTATTTGCATTGTCAGATAGGACTTCTAGGAATATATTATCCATCTCATACTCAACCCACTTCATAGTCCAAAAGAGCATCTTATTTTAGGTAAGAATGATTACAACGTTGCAATTTTGTTAGTCAGATACAAGCTGACAGGTACCTTACCTGCAATACATTCTCTGTTCTTATCTCAGCTATTATTAAAATAGCATCACGGCATGACTGCATATGCTTATGTGAAGCGTGAGAATCTCACTGTGATGGTATCTTAGATCAGGTACCTGCCTTCTAGCACGTGGCGAATGCAGTCATACAGCATGCCCCTTGCAGGATGTGTTACCGCACCTGAACCCCCCACGTATGCTATAATGAGGTAATATTATGAAGATTATAACTAGAAATTAACGAAAAGCTTCAAATTCGATAATAAAGGAAATGTGAAATCAACAATGTGGCATGCTTCGCAAGGATATCTGAGTTACGGGGGTATCTTTGGATGCAGGTAAGGCTAACAACCTTGTCTGAAATCAATGATAACTTCGAATAATTATAGCCAAAATGTTATCTATTATAATACATTCAAATGTCTGAACATTCTAAGTGTGAATATCTAAAGTTTCTATCTAAATATACATTGAAGGAAAACCACAAATGAACTTGTAATACAATTGTCCAATGTACTAAGTTGGAATGTTGTTGTTATTAACAGTTGCCCGAAATGTCGCAAGCGATTTTTTCGGCGAGAGCATCTGGCAAAAAATGTTAGCGCTGCTTCAAGGACACTTAATGCTAGGTAGATCAGTGAAACTTACAAACAGTTGCCATGGGGTGGCCTGGAGGAAGGAGGGGAAAGGCGGATGCGTCAACAACTCGCAGGTTCTGGACGCCAATGACCTTTGCCGAGCTATCCACGACAGACATCTCATCATCCTTCGGACCCATCGCGCAAGTGCATGAGCCGTGATAGATGGTATTATAGCTTGTCTTAATGGCTTCTAGGATCTGGTCGTCTGTCTTGATGTCGAGCCCGGGGTAAACCTCCGGTGCAATGGAGAAGTTGGACATGGGGTCTGTGTCCCAGAATTCACGGGCACGCTTGAAACCGGCAATTACTACTTCTTGATCGGCGCGGTTAATAAGGAAATTAGGATTGATCTCCGGTTGAACGCTGGTATCAGGTGAGGTGATCTTAACAGTGCCCCGCGACTGCGGTGTGATGAGAGCAACGACCAGCGAGCCATAGTTGCGGCCGTCGGTAGGGGAACCATGTCGTGAGTCCTCTTGATCGCCGACATAAGCGGCGAGGGAAACGTACTCAAGCTCAGGCCAATCATCAGGGTAGCTATTCAAAACGCTTAGAGTGCTGTTAGATACTTTGGAGCGTAGGTGATCAGGGATCTTTTCCCATCCGAAAGCGTCAGTTGTAGGGTTGGAGTACATGCCACCTCCATTTTCATTGAATTCGGCGGCAGCGGCAGCAGCGAATGCAGGATTGGAAAGACTTGAAAGTGTAGGGGCGTTGACTGCATGAGTTACGCCGAAGTAAAGGTGATCCTGCATGTTCTGCCCAACACCTGGTCGATTAGCTACAACCGGAATGCCAAGGCCTTTAAGGAGATCTTCTGGGCCGACTCCAGAAGCCTGTAGTAGTTGAGGCGAGCCGAAAACACCGGCCGAGACGACAACTTCTTTCCTCGCGGAAATGGTATATTCGAAGCCTTCTGTATCGACAAGCACACCTGTCGCCTTAGTTCCGTCAAAGACAATCTTCTTCGCCATGGCTGACTGGTAAACCGTATATTCGGGGTAGCTAAGAGCCTTTTGAAGGAAAGAGGTTTCGGACGAATCTCTTATTCCTGTTTGAGGGTTGATGGTATACATGCCGTACGACTGACCGAGGAGAGAACCAGTTTGGAAGCCGTCGATTACCGAGAGACCGATCTGTTCAAAACCTTTCTGCGCCCAAGTTCCAAAGGCTTGCGCATAGTTGGCGAAGGTCACAGAAAGAGGTCCGTTGCCAGTGCTGAAGGCGGTTATATCGTACTCGGGCGTTGAGTTGGAAGACCTCAGGTCCATATTAGGACGAGTGAAATTGACACTCTTCTGAAAGTATGGCAAGAAACTGTCCCACTGGTAGCTATCATCTCCTACTTTGTCGGCCCACATATCATAAGACGATTTAGTTCCTCTATGATATACCACTGTTAAAAATCGAATTAGAGACAAATTACCGAGTTAAATGCATAAGGTTAGGTTACTCAATATACGTACTGTAATTCCTCGATGAACATCCACCGAGACCTTTACCGCGAGCATAGTGAATCGAATCATTGTTCGCACCCTAGGACACATTAGGAATGAATATCAAAAACGTATCATTGGAACCTACAACTTGAGGAGCTGTTATGTAGCCCCAATCGATCAACGGCTGCCAGTCGTGATCCCCTTTCCCAGCAAACGCACCAGCCTGGGCTGGTATTTGACTCAAGTTGCTGTTATCGATCTCGAAGAACGACCCAGCTTCGATAACTGCGACAGTGCCAGCCTTCTGTTCGACGAGGCGCGTAGCAAGAGCTAAACCAGCGTTTCCACCTCCTACCACTACGTAGTCGTAAGTGGCGTCGTCACCTGGCATACCAAAAGAAGAGCCCAATAGACGACGAGCTTGGATATGATTGTCTAGAGGTGTGCCCTGTGCGATAGTAGCTAAAGCTACTACGGCACATGCCGTTGTTGCTGCCCAAACCATCGCGGGGTAATATGTAACGAATGACTATACAAGAAGTTAAGCAGTCGAAGTAAGGGAATCGAAGATCTTCGAAGGGCTTGCTGGCAAGACTGGTGTCTAAATTTCCACGATGAGATCGACATCTTGAGCCTATTTTATATGTTTTGAGGACGTGCTTAGATTAGAGCCCAGAACAACATAGCCATGCTTCATACTCCATAACTCATAAGCTATGACCGGGCGCAGGTGTTCGCTCCGCGACCGTGATCGAGGTTGCCGAAAAGTCAGCCATAACTTAGACTGGATCCCTTTATTCGGAAGGATTCAAATCTGGTGAGCTCTAGTCAACAGCATGATACTCAGCTATATCGTTTGATTCTAGGCATCGAAGTAGAAAACGGTCCAAAAGGAGGCTCCGAAGCCGCGCCTTGTTGGAAAGTTATCTCGCTTACAATCACAACTGATGTAAGCTAGTTGAGTCTAACACTTACTGTGTGTGTTATTCAAGGATCGTAGCTGATCCGTTCCATGGGTAGGTTTTATACCTATTATAGATGGACGATTGGGATCCAGCGGGATGGAGCGGGATAAAGAAGCGATGTCTTCGAGGTATCGGAAGAGCGTACAAGGTATATTCCCGAGCTATCTACTATGTAATGCTCGGTGATGTCAAAAATCTGCCAAGGCCATGCAATAGCCCTGCGAAGGATCTTAGGTGCGTGGGGGGAGGGGTGAAGTCGGAATCGCCAAATTCCAGGGCTGAAATGTAGTTATTACTGATGACCTTTCAGCCCTGGCCCTACCGGTAAAAGAAATATCTGCAGCTGGGACCTGTATGTACCTAGGTGCCAGGTACAACATCAGGTACAATACAATACCGGGTATCTAAACTTGACAGCCTATACGAGGCCGTACTGGGTACCTATCGGTTTCGTTTAAGCGCCACCTACATGCATAGACTATGCATAAACTAAGCACGGAAAGGATTTCTTTATCTTACATGCACCGACTTGGTAAACCGAGTTATAGCGGTAACTGATTGCCACAGCCGGTCTGCGGTAGGGTTCACAGTTTTTGCAAATACCGTGGCTCGCTCCCCATTTGGCGTATGGAAGCTTCTTCCATCAAACCCTCAATTTGAACTTCCGAGTCCAACACACGGAGCTTAACCCGGAGTTCCCACGCGTCGAGTTTCCCATACCAGATAATTCCTTCTATAATTCTTTACATAGTACAATACCTACCTAACCTAACCTAACCTAAACTATAGTCAAAATTGTAGCCCCCCTGCCGGTAACCGTTTCATCAGCTGACTGAATTGGTACCTGAATTGGACCTGGACTTGATCGAGAAGACGAAAACCTCGATTGAAATATACATAGGTCCAAAAAGGGAAAATAAAAAAAATAAAAAATAAAAAGAAGAAGTCGTCGAAGAAATTCAACGCTTAATGTTTACCACATTCGTGGGAACACCTCAGTCACTAACTGGGAGTAGTAAGAGTGGACACACGGGAGGAACCTTAGTATCACCCTCGTCTGAGTCTCCCATCGCCTCGGTTCGTGCCACATCTAGGCCAAAGCGACCCCAAGTCGCACGGGCTTGCGACTGGTATGTATTTTTCTACCTTGTCCACATTCAACATGTCCTGATGGATATCAAACTAGGTGTCGAGTACACCGAGTCAAGTGCGACACCAATCTCCCATGCAAGAATTGCCGTAACAGGGGATGGCAATGTAGCAACAAATCCTCTAACGAGTCCCGCACTCTAGCCAACGCTTATCGGTAAGTCTGTCTGTCTGCCTGCCTGCCTGCCTGTCTATGTCACCTATATGAGCCTTGATAATCTTGTTTCGATTGGGTACTAAGATATGATAGCGAGATTGACCGACTGAAGCAACAAGTCATCGAGCTAGAAGAGCAGCTTAAAGAAGAGAATAATGCTGCCAGCAATGCCAGTCGCTCATCTTCAACTAAAGCGTCGTCACCTGTGGATCTTAACTACATGTGGGAATCCACCAGCACCAAGAAGTCCTGGGATGGGATTCAGACTAGTACAGCCCACTCGCGCCAGAAAACGTGGTACGGACCGTCGTCACTCTTCTATTTTATTAGTCGGGTGAACAATTACCTCACCGCAGCATTTCAGCAATTACATCTAGAGGAGCAGATACAACTCAATTCGGTCGCCAGATCATTTCCGACCCCTAATTGCAGTAATCCATCTGACGACCAAGAGCTGCTGGCATCTCAGGAACCTAATAAGGGAACAACTTCCGGAGAATTTCTCACGCCAACCCAAGAGGAGTATTTTCTGGACCTATTCTGGCAATCTTTTCATAGCTCCTTACTCGTCTTGAATGAGCTCGATTTTAAGAAGCACTACAAGTCATTATGGGTCACCCCTGGTAAACCCCGGAAGCCTTCAGCCCTAGTGGATATTGTAATCGCATTATGTATGCAGTATGGTAGTAAGTGGTTTCATCAGTCCTTAATTTACTTCCATCCCCCCTTGTCATTACTAGGGATAGGTGTGAACCCTATCCGAGAATGTTATCTCTTCGCCCAAACCGTCTTATCATGACAAATGCGGTAACAGCTTGCTGACACTTGAACTTCATAGTGGCTGCAATACCACGCGGCGCAAAGGTCACATCTGACGTGGATGCTGATGATCCGACCATCGCTGGGCGATGGTATTATCGGAGATGTCAGAGCCTCCTTACCGGCGAGTTGGAAAGCCCGACGATAAGCACGCTACAGTGTCAGCTTCTCTCTGTCGTCTATCTCTGCTGCGCCTCGTTCCAGAACATGGCTCACAGCACCCTTGCTCTCGCCGTTCGTACCGCGCAGATGCTTGGACTGCATTTTGAGCCGCCTGAGACCCTGCCGCTTGCTGAAAGGGAAATGCGCAAGCGTCTCTATTGGTCGCTTTACATGGCTGAGAGCAAGACAGGCATGAAGCTAGGCCGTCCTTTCTCATTAAGCTTATCCACAACCCTGTGCAGCTTACCCAGCGACGACCACGATGTTGCATTGCTAGCTGGATCCGACTTTGCACCGCTTGGAGAGAACGTCACGTGGCTCAGCTACAACTTACACAATACCAAGTTGATTCTAGCCGCGCGTGCCGTCCATACGGCATTGTACGACAAGTACTCGGAAGTCTATAATGGTGAAAAAGGTACTATCATCTATGATGACCTGGAAGCTCTAGAACGGCTTGCCGATTATCTCGCAACGATAATCAAGACAATGGATACCTGGGCCGCTGCTGTCCCTGATGCGCTTAAAACGAAGCGTGCGGGGGGTGGCGTCGCTTTGTCGACAGACCATTCGCCCCTTATTCTTGAACGGTTCGCGCCTCTCTGGTTGCAGCGGCAACGCTTACTCTTAGAGCTATTGTATCATCACCTATCTATGAATCTCTACCGACCGTTTATAGTATTCCCATCTACATCCCCAACCTCATCTTCTCTACCGCCCCCAACACCGGTAACCCAATCACACGCTAGCTCAGCCGTGAACCACGCCATGGCTATAACGTACATCATGCACCAAATACTGTCGGAGACTGATATCCTATGCGGTTGGCTCGAATCCTTCCAGTGGCAATGGAATGCTGCTGTTACTATGGCTGGATATCTCCTCGCGCACCCAAACTCCAATATTGCGGGTACAGTACGCCAGTGTGTGGAGCGTGCCGTAGCTGTATTTGAAATATTCGGGCGCAGCTTTGCAGCGGCCAACAGTGCGGCGGCTGTGATGCGTGATCTTACGACGAAAGCCGACTTTCTCGCCTCTAGAACGGTAGACGGCCAGATGCAGGTACTAGACCACGTGGTAGGAGGAGGAGCAGGGTCGATAGAGAGCAGCGGACCCATGATGCATACGAGTGAAGACCACATGACGATGCAGAACGTAATAGCAATAGACACGGCATTCTCCGTGGACTCATCTACCGGTTTAGATATGTTTTGGTCTTCTATGGGCGGCATGCCAGATGAATGGGGATACAATTTTGGAGTTGGCTAAAGATTTCAGGATAAGAGAATGGGAATACCATATACTAGGTACATATCAAGGTATTGTAGGATGTTGAAATTCTATTTGATATACATAAGTACCTGACGTCTTGGAACACGATATTTACAACTTGAATCTATAAAGTTGATTTTTCATGTCATATAGTTAGTTAGAACATTAAACTTATAAAAGACTTGCATTTAGAAAATCCATCTGTGCTCGCACCTTGTTCTATCTCTTCCCTATTGCGTTGGCGTTAGTAGAACTGCAGTTAGCATAGACGAGCACAAAAGCTCTTGGCATATCTGCAGCGGCATCTCGTATCTAGTAACTCTAGAGATCGGGTCCGATTGAATCTAACTCGATGGGATTTTCGTATACCAGGTAGTGAGACCCTACCGGTTGGATTAGTGACATCTCGCGACATTGGAGGAAACTGGAATAACTCCAGCCGTCAACGTATCTCTCGAGGGCCCAAACAGGGGCCAGTAAACTAAACCATAAGAGCAGAGTCTCGCTACCAGCCAGTTTTTTTGCTCAGATCTGAATCGGGAAGTGGATCGACAAGTATAGGATTCAATCAAGGGGACCCTTGTTATGAACAGCGCCCTACGCCGCTGCTAGGTTAGTGTCTTCACCGATCCCCAGATTCTGCTGCAACTTAGCATCCACGCATCGATAAACGTTTCGAACTTAATTCTTAAAATCCGCACTCGTATGTGGCGCCAAAATTCTTCTCCGTTGGTATCGTATCCACGCTCGCGGCAGTGCGGATCGTCGCTTCGTCTCGCTGCGCGAAAATATTCCGTAGGACGACCCGGTAGGCTTGACGCTAAGGGCGGAGGTCGGCGGTTTGGATTTGCTCTCGTGTTGAATGAACCATAATGGATCCCGGGGAATCCATCTCTCACCTTCTACTCTCCTCGGAGTCCGCGGATAAGATATAGCGAGACAGCGGCTAGGCTCTGCGACAGGCATAATGACGAATTGTCTTCATTTTTTTTATGTATCGTATGACCGGACTGCATTGACCGTGCTTGCTGTTATGCTATGTAGGCTGATCAAGGCTGATTCAGGAACCGTCGTCTGTTCGCAACGGGGGGGGAGTTTGTTCCCTGCGCCCGTTACGAGGACCGCCTTAGTCTGAAGGATTCCGGGAAGGATATTGTGTACCTAAAGTAAACCGTATCTCGAAAAGATTCCAGCTAGGATTCGATATTAGCGCTTACGCGGCCTTACGTTGTATATATAGGCAGTTTTTTCGGATGGAGAGGTTCAGGCAATGATGGTCTATTGGAGTTCTCCTGAAATTTACATAGGATCGGCTGTCAAAGATAAGGATCAGATCTTGAAGAGTCGTACACAGTTGAGGCGTAGTAGGACTTGGCTTAGTGGAGTCGCTCTAAACTAGACAAGACAACCCTGGTTTGGCGGCGGGACGGCAGGACGGTTAGGGCATACACTAGGTGCATGGAGCGAGAAGACGTTTCCCATACGTGCTAGTTAGGTTTTTAGAATAGTGAAGAGAGACGGATGTTTTTATCTACGTGTAGATGAAAATCTGGAGGCTGCGATATTTCTTTATTTTCCCTTTTTTTTTTCCCTTTCGAAACCAAATGGGTTGGCGGAGCTAAAAGCTAATACGGGCATATGCACGAACGGTGAAAGCCCTCGTGAAAAGAGAGCGATCTGCAGCTGAGAAGTGAAGTTGAACTGTGAAAGCAATGTTCAAGGGTATGATTCGGTACCTGATTGATGCGTTGGCTATAAGCCTAACGCCGAAATGGCATTGGAGTTTATTATGATATCATAAGAAGGATCTGGAGCTTGGAGCTTCTGACCAATTTTTTCCCCTTCTTCCATCGTATTCATCTCAGGAGTCAAACCTGAGCAACTTCAGGACATGATCATAGCATATTTCCAGAAGGAGATCCGGGATTATTACCGCTTCAAAGTGCCTGAGTCAGCACCCGAAAGGAGCGCACCGGGCTCCGCTTTTCACCGGACCAATCAGAATGCTGTACCGTCCCCTTTTGGTAAAAGATGCATGGGCATAAGCAAGCGTGACAGTCAGTCCGGTCATTTCAATTCAATTCAAAAGTATGTACGTAATAGACAAATCAAGCTTCGGGTTATACTTAATGATGAGATCGCACCATCCGGACTAGAGGATAGAAAAACGCCTTGGTACCGCTCCCTGAGCTGGGTCTTCTTGCCATCGCCATGTTCGGTTTTAATTATAGGTATCCGGTAAGCCTTATACTCAGCCATCTCTAGTGACGTACTATCGCATCAATAGTAAGCTATAGACAAAACCTTATGAAGTAAAACAGTGGGGAACGATTTCATACGGCATTGAAAATTTTCACTGTATTGAGCTCGTCGAAGGAAGAGCTCTTCTTTGTATGGCTTGTCGGCTTTAGCTCCGTCGTCGGATTTATCGTGGGACCCATTGTTAGTGGTTTTCTTGACGACAGTCCCGCCACCTAGCGATTGGTAAGAAGCCAGCTTTCACGATACCTCTTATTGAGTCCGCGACTAATGCTTCTTTGGATATTTTACCATAATCCATGCATCTTCGATGCTAGCGTTCCCGTACATCGGATGCTCATTCATCTCACGCAAGCTTGAGGATGAGAACCTACCCCTATCCGACAAAATGAAGGGAGCTGGATCAGTTGGGAATCGCTATAAATGCCAACATGTAGTGATGCTTCACCCTTTCCTTTGCGTTTGGTGATGAGAATGGACTCCTGGCCGTATAATAGGTATGTGGGTTGCATTTGGTGTTGGGATATTGCTTTGAGCATAACCCACGCCCACGCCATCTTTATGATCCTTTCCACAACGTTTTTCACGAAGTTCCCAACTCATCCTTCTCTTCTGTATTTGTTGCCGTTACCCTTCCATTGCATTAAACCTTGTTCATGGGGTTGTTATGAGACTACTTCCGTATGCTTCCTACTATGCGTGTCCAATCCTAATCTGTGATGCACCCAAAAGGAAAGCTGTGTATTATATAGTCCGATTTACCGTCAGTAAGTCTTATTATTATAACTGATGAAGCAACAATCTTCACGACCATGATGAATATTTCGAGCGCGAACACCATCAGTATACCAGCCTAAACAGCTTAGTTATAACGATAACTTAAGCTAGGTATTCAAATTGGTGGTAACCAGTGCAACATTCCCGGCCAGATCGGTCGATAGGTTCCAAGGAGTACTCTGACCTAGCTTATGCAATGCCTATTTCGTGCGTTTCATCCGTTAATTGCTGTTAAATAGATGATGCTAACACTTATTATCGTTCTCTTCAACTGGCGTGTGGGCGTCTCGGAGACATAGCCAGCCATTAATAGATGATGCAGCCATATTGAAGTTCGGAGACCTCGTATTAAGGGGTAACCGTTAACGCCTTGCATCACATAGTAGGCTACCTATAATTGGGACTGTTTAAATATATTCCGTTCAAGTTCAGGGCCGAGTAACTGTTTAAAGGTGCAGCGGGAAATAAATCCATCACTTTTAAATAGTGCTGCAGGAACTTAAAGGTTACCAGGTGCGCGGGTCATGCCCCGTTGCCTGACCGCCTCGCCGCCTGGGCAGCAGGCCGGCAAAACCAGGGCGGGGTGAACCAAGTACCGAAAAAAAGGTTATAATGGGCAATAAGTGCAAACCATTTCGGAGGAAAAACGGAATTCCCCCAGCATGTACCTTGTGTCCTTGCTGCGGTGGCTAGAGGGAACTTGATCACTCCCTCGACACCCCCAGCAAGGACCTTTGTCACAGGACCTTTGTCACAGGACCTTTGTCACAGGACCTTTGTCACAGGCTGTGCGTAGGTTAGAGGGAACTGATCACTCCCTCGAGGATACCTACCGGGATGACAAACACCGCGGTGTTTGGGATGGGGTTACAGCCTGCCCGCCTGGCCCGCCTGGATTGCTGGCCCCTGTCTCTGGATTGGAGCCCGCGACCTCCCTCCTATCGCCTTCTAGAGACAAATCTTTTTGCCATTCTATTTTTTTTTAATATTTTTTTTCACTATTCTTTAAATATTTTTTTAACTCGCGCAGACGCTCCTCTGTCTTAGTGATGGGATGGAGGTACGAGAAAGCACAACATGATCCATCCTCAAGTGTGTGGGCGTGGCCTCGACACGGGGTACATTTTGGGGAGCGGTAGAGAGGTTTGGATGTTTGGTGCAGTAGTAACTGGGCAGATAGCAAATAAATTTGCTTCGAAAAATACATTGGTGGGCGTTCCTTTCGAACCCAACTCAGGCAACCACCCTTTTCTTTTTGGACAGAACAGGTACGTACCCCAAGTACATATTTAATGCTATCAGCAGTCGAAGTTACTCTTCGTGGTTAATGTTCCTGCGTAATGCTAGATTTTTGAAGTCAATGCGATATCGTTGTGCCGCTTAAGTCACAGTCAGATCTTGGGATAGTTACAGGTAACCAACCATATGGTATTAAGTACATTTAATATACCTAAGGTGAGCTAAAGGGGCACGAATAGATATGACCGCTACGACTTACTCTTGCAATATCACACTTAATTTGAAACTATGTTGCCAGAAAGGTTTTATATAATTTGAATGGGCACTTTGATATGCCCTATCTATTTCATTGTGACGTCTCCTATAATATAAAACCTGGTATCCTGGACTTCTTGATAGGCCTCTAAACCTCCGACATCTCTCAGGATCGTTGTATGATCTCTGTTCGTTTAAGTCGCTTCGCACCCGATATATTTCCTATGCATTAGAGGGGCCACATGTGACGAACCTATTATAGTCTCGGTGTGGTCTTCATTTTGGGTAAACAGTAATAGTACGGGCCAAGGTAGGAACTAGGTCAAAACTGAAGTGTTCGTCAGGAAAGCTTGATGTCCTTCCCCCGAGTATATGTTAGACACTAGGCTTAGATTGATAGCTTGTCAGGAGTCTCGCTCGAGACTCCTTGGGAACAAAGGAGTTGTCTTGTATATAGCTTTGGCTTCAGAGCTATCGTAGTTAGACTTCCTCGCGGAACAACTTCGTTGTTACCCTACCTCATGCTCTGCGACGTGACACAGCTTCGTTTGGAATCAGATCGTAGCCTTACATTTAGCTAAGTGTAACCATTAAGTCTAGAAAAGGGCAAAAGGCGCGAATACAAACATACGAGGTACCTAGGTAGATAATATTATAGTCCAGGTTCAGGTCGGCTTTGATTATGAAAACCAATAGAATTTGCTTTAGACGGCAACCATATCGACGCTTTGCGTGCCTCCAACCCACATACACAAGATAATGGGGGCTCTGGGAGCCTTAGGGCTGGCATGCAATATACTCCAGCTTATCGAATGTGGCTATAAAGCTGTTGCGATGGTGAAAGATTTACACGGAACCGGCCAAGATGCAACCGAATCTAATATAAACACCGAATTCGTGGCAAGGGAGACGCGTAAGCTCAGCCTCAGATTGACGAAGGGCTTGCCAGCATCCAATCTCACTGAAGACGAGGAGGCTATATTTAGGCTTGCACAACAGTGCAGTAAGCTTTCAAGTAGGCTCCTGACATTGATTGAATCTCTGAAAATTAAGAGGCCGGGAAGCAAACTTGACACTATATCGACGGTTCTAAGGAACATGAGAAAGAAGAGTGAGCGGGATCAACTCCAAGCAAGTCCTGACGACTGCAGGAAACAACTACGGATACAAATGGACAAAATGTCACAGTATGTCTTTCTCCCCTCGCCTATCCATGCTGAATTCTCATTCAATCGTAGCTCAGATCTAGCACAGAAGCTACAGAATGTGCTTAGTACTACGTCAATTTATCAAACAGAAGTATTACAGTTGAGAGAGCATGTATTAAAGCTTCAAAGTCGAATTGCCATAGACTCCAACAATATGGTAGAACCTTTCAGCAATCTCCGGAGAACTGTGGAGTTTGCTTTGAAGCATGCCGCTATTTTTCAGAGACTCCGATACCCTAAAATGAACGATCGTTTTGACAACGTGGAGACAGCTCATGAAAAGACTTTCGAATGGCTTCTCCGAAGTTCGGAGCCTCCATCAAATGTTGGGCAAAGATTGTATATAAAAGAGGGTTACCTAGATGCCACCAGTTCTGACGCGAATATTACATTGGGTCAAGCGAAATACCAACAACACAGAGAGTTTACTGCATGGCTACAGCAAAGACTCAAGCACCCCCACAGTGACACGCCTAATAAAGACGCGGCCCCTGGCAGACCGTCTAAAAATATATATATATTTCACATCATTGGAAAGCCTAGAGCCGGAAAGTCAACCCTAATGAAATTTCTCTATGAAAGCGAAACCACAAATAAACATCTTAAGGTCTAGGCAGGTGAAAAACGTCTCATTGTCGCCAAAGCCTTCTTCTGGAGGCTAGGAAATGATGAGCAGAAAAGTCGGACTGGACTTGTAACTTGCTTACTTCACCAACTCTTGAAAGCGGCACCGGAGCTGATTCAAGTTGCGTTCCCATCCGATTGGAAGCCTGATTCCGAGGAAACAAGCCTAACCAACCCTGATATACTAGGCGCATTCATTCGTCTACTTAGAAACCCTTTAACGTTCGAGAACTGTCAAATAATATTCTTTATAGATGGGCTAGACGAGTTTGAGGGCCGCCCTATCGGCCTGATAAAAGATATCATTAGTTGGACAGAACTCTGTCCCAGGGATCTCAAGATATGCGTATCTAGTCAGCCTTGGAATGAATTCAAACTTGGATTTCGGGAGTACCCAGGTCTTCGAATCCACGAGTGGACGCGAGATGACATCCGGACCTTTATCCATGACAGCTTTGAGGAGCTTTCAAAAATGCCTACTTTGGTTAGCAAACAAGATCTCAACTCGTTAGCTGACTTGATTGTTGGTAAAGCCGAAGGAGTTTCCCTCTGGGTCCGTGTTGTCATAGCGGCTATCGAAAGGAATGATTAATGGCGACGAACTTCGAGACCTTAGGCGTAAGGTGGATGCGTTCCCGAGGGAGTTGAACGATCTGTATCAATACCTCCTTGATTCAATCCCAGACTACGACCGTCAAAAGGCATTCCAATATCTAGCTCTTACCCTGAATATTGGCGTTCAGACCCAAGTGCCCTTACTTTAGTATAAGCTCTTGAATGATGTATCAGATGACCCAAACTTTGCAATCAATCTGCCAGCAAAATTTCTGCCTAATTCAGAAATCCAGAGACCATCAGATATAGCCAACAGGCAGGTCAATGGACTATATAAAGGTTTTCTCGAATTATGCTCCATAGACAGGGATACAGAGATTCATGCATGGAAGTGCGGTTGAACTTCTTCACAGGAATTTCGAGGTTCTCAAAACTTACCTGGGGCAAATCGACATGGTCGATAGGACATGCCAGTCGTATCTAGCTTTTATAAAGTCAGCGGGCACCGGTGATTTTTTCATTCCCAGACATAAGTCACTGATAGAACCTGAAGGCGAGTTTTGTTCATTTATACAACAGCTCCGTCGCATCATGGGCGTATACACACTGGATCGCTTTTGCTACTACAGCACAGAATACGGGGCAAAGTCAAGAAGCCGCTTCTTTTCCTTCCTAAATAATATTGAGCAACTCGCAACCCCGCCGCTCCAACAGGGACTGGAGGAGGAACAGCGATTCCGAATAGCGAATGATATTTTCATATCGTTTGGATCTCGCCATAAAGACAGAGGGGGGAAATCATTAGGTTATGAATTAAAAGTACCATCAACTCAGCTTATTGCGGTCCTCGCTGCGCAATACCTGATATTCGAGCATTTCGACGAGGGTGGCCGATATGACCTTCGTATCAAGACCGACCCGGATTTTAGAAGCCGGATAGTATGTGCGGTTTTGTCCGGGGTTTCTCAGGACCCGCCTATGCATCCGAGGGCATTCGCAATGCTGGAGACGATTTTTAAAGGCGGAGTCTCTCTCAATACCCGATACAAAGCTCTTATCGACGGTGCACCGGTCTATATGGATCATTTATGGTATCATACATTGAGAAGAATTATATTTTCCGACGCGGAGCCGTATTCGTCATGTTAAACCCAAGACCCATCAAAGTGGCGATTCCAATATAAACTCTTCGAGCTGTGTCTAAGATACGGGGCTGACGAAGACCTTAGCTTGATATTCGGTCCTTGCTACGAAAGAATTAGCTCTGATCGACTGCTCGTAAAAGTCTACATTAGCGATTCCAAGAGTCAGCCTCGTGCATTACGCTTACACAATGTCATGGACGGATTCTGTGGCATATGTGTCGACTATCAACTAGACATTGTTCGATACGCAAGGGAAAAGTGGGGGAGTTCTCACCCTAAGGGAGCTACTTGCCTACTGTTTCCCCCAGCATTACGAATATCTTTGCTCTCTCCTTGACAAGAAGCGCCCAAGCTCCCTTGAAACAAGTGATATAATCGAACTCCCCGATTAGCAATTTCCTAAAATGCCGACATTGTTCCCAGAAGAACAACGACGGTTCCAATTAGGGAAATTTGAAGATGAGGAAACTGATATGATTGGTTTGAAGCAAGTACCCAAGGGTTACTGGGAATGTCCCTTGCATTCTGAGATGTGCTTTAGGGATTTTGAGGAGAAGCGTCAAAGAAAAACCTATGAGGTAGGACACGAATTATCAAGATACCTATAATTACCTCTATTAATATTTACCAAAAGTTAAGTTAGGTGCCTAACCATATAATAGAAAGACAGGTGATCTATCTGTTAACTCTTAGTGGAGAAAATGTCCCTCCTTTCCACATATGACTTGGCCCTGGCTCCCCCGAAAAGATTCTATCCTCGGTTTTGCTCTTATATAGTAAGGTCAACTTACGATTGAATGGGGTCACCAAGAAATACACTATGTACATGACATACGGACATCATTATTAGCGTGATTTCTAAGGTGTAAAGGTAGCGGATAGAAGGACGACACCGTCGCTTGAGCAGTCACTCGTAGTTATTGAGCTTTCACACCCACCCAACAACTCATCGAGCTACGTCGAAGACATTGAGAAACAGCTTCAAAATTCCGCTGGACCTATTAGAGGCCAACTATCTATGTACCTAATGCGAAGAACTTGAGAATGAACCTATCAACGGTTGGCCACGTATGTGTATATACGCCTGGGGTACCTATCCTAGTACCATCGAAATAATATGTAATATGCAACGCATAAACCCTAGTGTCTTTCATAAGACCAAGACAAGAAAACTCTCGAGTCTCACTCGGGAATTGAAGAATGTGCTGTTAACCTTTCCCTCTTGTCCCTTAATCTTGCAGAATATATCTCATCCGACTAGTATATATATCTTCTAAGATATAATCACCTGCCCCTATCCCGAGTCATTAAAGATGATAAGATCTATCTGCCCTGAAAGTGAAGCTCTCTCTCTCCTGGTATCGTTTAACAAAGTCGAATTAGGGAAAAGATTTAAAGAGCCAAAGCCGCAAAAGCAGCAATTCCAACTAATCCCATTCCAACTTCGGGTCTAACGCCGGCATCGGGGGATGAGGTAGGAGACGAAGCGCCGATAGCCGAGGTGAGGATATTCGAGGCCGACGCTACGGCAGAAGGGTCTGGGTTCGAGGTCGCAGCATCGCAGATTTCGGGAGCTAAGGTGCTAAGCTCTGAATACGGTTGTTAGTTGGATTGAACTTATGCCTTGGGCCAATTTCATTCTCTTTATAAGGGGCCAACTACTTACTGCTGATATCATCTTGGGAACACTTGGCTGAGAAACCGATACAGCTGCTAACGCTAGTAATGAAGGACTGGCGTTTATCTTCGCTGCAGAGACACACGAAATCCGTCGAGGAGCATCCGGCCGATTTCGCAGAACTATCTAAACAGCTCGCGGCACAAGACGGTAATTGCGATACGAGATCGGGGAGGGTAGAGTTCTGAGCCGCAGTAAAGGCGACGAAGAGCGATAAGGCAATGGCGGAGAACTGCATCTTGGTGGTGGTAATATGTAGGAGGTACGTTAATGGTGATTTACAGGTTTCTAATTGCGCGGTTGAACCCTTTTTTAATTGGTAAAGTGTCGATGTCGATATCGATATCGAATTTCCACTTTTGGCCAGCCAAATAATAAAAAAGGGATTCACGGATCAAACGGAGATTTCGAGTGGTAATAAATTCAAATACTTGTCTCGTCTCGTCTTGTCTTGTCTTTTCTTGTTTGCTGTATGCACACGATAATTTGGGTGGTTTGAGAAAGCGAGTGGAATCAATAAGTCTCTAGATAGTTGTTAATGCAAGATGAGATTCATAAAATGACTAGAAAGATTAATCAAAGGAAATTCGATAGATACAAAAAGAGAGAGGTTTTGGGTTTAAAACGCATTGATCACTGGGCTGTGCAAACGCTGAACTTGTGTTGAGTTGATATCAGTTAGTGGGCTGTGTTGGCCTAGACCCGTTATTTTCAGGCGACCATTCAGTAAGGATTTACGAAGTACAGTGGCTAAAAAAGGTACAGGTAAGTGGGCAAACTGGGCAGAGAGATTTGGTAGGTGGGGTTTAAAAGTACCAGGTAAGTTAAAACAGTTAAAGCAACCTTGGCGCTCGTATTGAAACGCTCCGAAAACTTGTCAGATTTCACAGAATTTGCCAAGTTTGAAGTTGACGTCACATGTTGGTACTTTGGACGCTGAAACCGGGTGATTTATGCTTCCGATTCCAACATTAAATCTCGTGAGACGAGGAGTAATGTGGCTGTTGTGGCTAATCAACTAATTTCAATAGATGTTCATGGCGGTGCAGGCTGGCTGGTCACATCGAACACTTCCGTTTGTACCCAAAAATGATGGAATTCCCACCTTGATCACCAAATCGCATATCTCGACATTTCATTCGTTCAACCCTCAAAACACACCCTTCCGGACCCTTGCAAGCTTCATAGTAATGGAGGTGTTAAGAGCACAATAACAGGATAATATTCTGCTATTCAACACACTTTCCCATCAACGTCTCCATAACTTATATGCATTATCTCTGTGACCGACATCCCACGCGTATAGACGGTAGCTTGGTAGCTTAGTAGCCAACAAATCGTCTCGATACATCAGCATTTCTACTACTTAGGGGAAAGTCGAATCCCATCCGTGACAATTTACAATCCCGAGTGGGCAGCAACTAGGTAGCACGTCATCCATCCCACCTATTCTCACATACCTTCTCTATACATTTTCGTACAACAAGATGTTTTGGGTATTAAATACCATACCCCCAAGGCCTACAGTCCAGCCGATATGCCATCTCCTATCTATAAATACACGGCAATTTCGAAAAGCGACTCGGTTGAACCGGTCCTCTCTGCATCACCCAGTAGTCCGTTGATCGGCGACGATAATTCGTTGAGCTTTGAGTTGTTAGACCTGAATGCCGGAAAGTTGGCGATTCCCACGCTCCCTCGGCTCTCAACCAAAATGTCTTATCAACCACTCGCATCAGATGACCCGGAGGACCAGAAGTCTTACGGATCCTTAGATGCAACACCTAGCCAGAGCCCTACGGCTTTACTAGGCGAAACGATTCGCATCGAGGATCCCGTAGTAGAGATAGAAAACCCCTTTTTAGACACGGAAACCACAGAGTACTGGCGACAGGTCTACGAAAATTGTCAATATGAATGCAGGCATGTCTTCAATCCAAAGCTGACCTGGTCGGCGAGAGAAGAAAGAGAATTGATCCGGAAGCTTGACTGGAAAGTCTGTTTATGGGCGGTATGAAGCCGCCCTATCAGGTGCTACTTCGATAGGGGCTAACAACTCGGTCCTATTCAGTGTATCATGTTTTTCGGCTTACAAGTAGACCGCGGAAATCTCTCTCAAGCAGTATCTGACAACATGCTGGATGACTTAGGTCTAGATACTAACGGTACGGCCTAGTCCCTATCAAAACCTACCACCCATATCTTTACTAGGGCCGAGCGGCGCAAGTGCGTGCTCTATCTATATCTGAGAGCGAGAGCCATGCCAGACTTGTCGTGATGTCCTGGAAATAACCATAGTCACCTCGCTGATGGCATACCAACATACAGACTATAACTATGGGCATTCTATATTCTTGGTATCTTTCTTGCTTGCCGAGCTGCCTTCGCAACTTGTGTCAAAAGCCGTCGGTCCGGACCGTTGGATTCCCATGCAGATGGTTTTATGGTCGTTCGTCGCTATTTCGCAATGCGCCCTGACCGGTCGTGGTTCCTTTCTACTGACCAGAAGCTTACTTGGGTTCCTTGAGGTAATACTCTCGCATCATCCGACATCGGGGTTATTGATCTAATTTATTCGAAAGGGAGGATTTATACCCGACCTCGTGTTATGGCTGTCGTACTTCTACACCTCACGTGAGCTGCCAATACGACTCAGCTACTTCTGGACGTCGTGTAAGCTTCAAGATCATCATTGGTCCTCTGCTAAATCGACATGGAATATTCACTAACCTCACTTGTTAAGTATCAATCACGGGAATCATTACCTCTTTGTTAGCCTTTGGGCTTCTACATCTCAGGGGCGTCCTCGGATGGGAAGGTTGGCGATGGCTCTTCTTAGTTGAAGGATTTATAACTCTATGCATAGGACTAGCGTCCTTCTTCATGATGCCCGCATCTGCGGTACAAACCAAAACGTGGTTCCGCCCGAAAGGCTGGTTCACCGAACGAGAAGAAGCGATCGTCGTGAACCGGGTGCTTCGCGATGACCCCTCCAAAGGAGACATGCATAACCGGCAGGCATTAACACCTAGGCGGTTATGGGAAGCGTTGAAGGACTATGACTTGTGGCCGCTATACGCCATCGGACTCTGTGCTTATGTGCCTCAATCACCTCCGAAAACCTACCTTACCCTTACGCTTCGGTCACTCGGGTTCAGCACGTTCAACACCAACCTCTTGACCATCCCGGCAGTAAGAATAAACATCTCGAACCCCCTTTATTGGCTTCGGCTGACTTTATCAAGGATATCATACATATCTTCAACCTCATTCTGCTCACGAGGCTGTCTGAATGGTTGAACGAACGGTCATTAGTGGCTATCGTGCAGCCTCTTTGGACTTTGCCCTGTATAATTGCGTTACGATTCTGGGTAGGGTTAATTGAAGATAAATGGGGTACATACGCGATCATGATGGTTCTTCTCTCTTATCCATATTGCCGTAAGTAATTTTTTTTTCTTTCGGTTTTACGCCGTGTTCATTGCTAGGTAACTGACTAATGCTTTGTTAGATGCAATACTGGTTGGCTGGTGTTCCAAGAATTCTAATAATGTCGGTACGCGGACAGTTTCGGCAGCCTTATATAATGTGAGTCTCACTTTCAGTACACCATAATAGCAACACTGACAATGGGTTAGATGAGTGTCCAAGCGGGCAACGTATACGCTTCTTATATCTACCGTGACGACGACAAGCCTTTATACCGCCGGGGGAATTCGACATTACTCGTGATCAACTTGGTTTCTATCTTGATATTCTTATTAACGAAGCTCTATTATATCTGGAGAAACAAGCAGAAAGAACGCGTATGGAACGCCTTGAGTGAGGAGCAGCAGATTGAATACAGGAAGACGACAAAGTTACAGGGTTCTAGAAGGCTTGACTTTAGGTTCGCTCATTAATTAGAAGGCGATATGTCTCGATGGTCCTTCGAAGAGATACCTAGGTACCTTGATAATAATGCGCCCCTTTATATAAGTTTTCTACTCCGTCGTTATATGTTGTAGATACCTGTCTTGATAGGACAGTTTACTGGGTCGCAGCGTTATGAGGTAGAATTTGCAAACCACGTAAAGATTTCAACAGGCATCGTTTAACCAAAACAGCCGTCCTAATAAAAGAGTAAGGTTGTTTACATCGCATCATACCTTAGGCAGCTACCTATCCACCTACCTAGGTAACGTTAGATGTGTAGCAAGTGTTCCTATGTTCGGTCCCTTCAACCAGCACGTTTGAACTAGAGCTTTGGTTACCACCCTTATCTGCCAATGTCAAGTGCGGTAGTATGTAGGTTAGGTACCTACATAAACATTCTCGTACCTTAGGGAGCAGTTACGAATGTGACCTTATGGGTCGTTACCCGAGTAGCTGTCGACTAGTACCACTATTCATATGCGTACCTATGTACCTCCTCTTCAACGAATTTTACGCAGGCTTTTATTTTAAATAGGCAGTCACAAAACCAGGAACGTAAATGCCTTAGCAGTGGGACTGAAATTTTGTTTTTACCTAGTCCTTCGGTTCGTAAATTTCCATTTCAGATCTCTGGGGTTTCAACTTTCCACCTACAGGAACCACAACACCACTCCTTACGAACACACTTTCATTAACCGACAAGCATGTTCTAGTTATAAATACTAGCAGGTCAATTTCCATTGCATACTTCTAAGTTAACGTTGACGTATTCAATTATTCTCCAACTTCCAATCTCCAAGGCAACACCCAAGAACTCATCTACAACACCAAATATCCAACATGGACAGACTTCCAACCGAGACTATCCACCGCATCTTTGCACTTTTAGATGTGGCTGACGTCAAGTCACTTCGTCTCGCCTGCAAGAGCTTCTCGATCATTGGAACAGAATATCTTTGTCCTAGCATTGTCTTAGAGCTAGGACTCGACCCTTCCCATAAGCTGAGGTCTATCGTTAGCCAACCTGGAATTGCCAAAGGCGTACAGTCGGTAGCGTTCTACTCTTTCCCGATCCTTGTATCGAGACTAGCGGCGAACGACTGCTTTGCGCAGATCAACGTAGGAAACAATGGAGTAGTCCATGACCTTATCCACGGTGCTTTTGTGAATTTCGAGTATCATTACTTGTACTTCCTGCACGCACTCCCCCAGCTTCCGAAACTTCGGTTCGTCAATCTGGACATGCTCCCCTACGTCAACCACCTTGAACCCGGCCTGCTTGTGCTCCACGAGAGTCTCCCCATAGTCACTGTGGCAAGCCAGCCCTTTAAGATGCTGCTGCGCGTACTCTTCCACTCGGGCATCAAGCTCGAAGGACTGACAACTAACTTCCTCGACTGGGGATTCTTCGACTCCAGCCCGGATGAGCTCGAATCACTGTGGAAGCCTCTGACCGACCTCAAGTACCTGCGATTCGAATTCCACAACCGCCGCTTGGTGCAGCTTATCCATTCGGACAGAGTCGTCACTCGATGCAACGCCATCCTCGAAGCCGGCGCCCTACGAAACCACCTCGCTCAGCTCGCCGAGCTCCGAACCATGGACATAAACTTCTTCTTCACGACTATCACGTACGACATCCACCAGATGACCGCGAGCTGGTCTACCGGTCTGCCGCTCGGCTGGGTGGTCCCTCACGAGTTCACCTGGCCGTACCTGAAGACCATTCGGCTATCCTACGTCCACACCGAGCGGCACGAAATGATCAATTTCCTGTCCCGACACAAGCAGACGCTTCGCGTCCTGCATCTGAGCAACGTGACTCTCTTGTCTACCTCGTGGCTCATCCTGCTGGCCGACATCAGGAAGGAATTGCGCCTGACGGAGGCGCACCTCTGCGGACATATCTGGGGCCGCTACGAGATCACGGAAGCACGGGCGGGCCAGGAGCAGCACTGGCCCATGCATCAAATCTCGTCCGCCTTGCACGATCAAGTCAACGAGTATCTTTCAGCAGGGGAGGAGGATGTTTCTGGCATGGGCTTCACATCCCCTGAGGCGATTTTCAATGCCATAGAACTCGGTTTTCATTAGTTGGGGAGTTGTATTGGAATGCCTCTAGTATTATACCCACAGCCGGACTTCCTATTGTATGAGATGAGAGATGGGGTGGAGGAAGCTATTTGGCTAGGTACCAGGTAGATGATATGTCCGCGGGTATCCGCGTCGACTTTTCATGTCTACTTGACATCTTCGGTTAGGTTGGATGAAAAGTTCTGCTTAGGTACTTATGAGTCTAGATAGGACCAATTGAGGAGGCATTTCCACATCTTCTTAAGTCAACTTCGCGATACGTAAATTGCAATACCTACCCTACCGGTGAGTATTCTTGTATATCCGTACTGATACCCAATCCCTCCTCGACTTTCTAAAGCCCGTCCCTTGTTTACTGTTGGCAAAGTGTAGTCGGTATTGTTGTTCGCTCCTGAAGAGCAACTGTGACTTTGATTGAAACCGTTAACCCAAAATCAACAAGCAAACGAAGGAAGGGGGAAAACAACAAAGAAAGTTAGGGCCTGACATATACTCGATAAGCTTAAAAGAACTACCTATACTTTGAGGAACCAGGTTTCCCCAAACCGTATTTCGCGAGGCTATTTCGCTAGTGTATACCAACAAGCCTAGGATCGCTACTAACGTAGGACGTGCATATGTTATGTTATACCTAGGTAGCGTGCATTTCTTTTTAGCTCTGATATCAACTACGATGCCACGAGTTGAGTGGAGTTCGCACCGCATATATACCAGGTAGGTTAGGTAGACAGGCATTAAGAGGGAACCAACCCCCCGACCCCGATCCTCCGCATTGACGTTCATCAGTGTGACGTGCATCTCTTTAGTGTCACGCATCATCGCATGCATTACCTGTATTACCACGTGGGTTTATAGCCTCTAGAACGCCCTGCTTGCTGCAGACCGCCTACTTCCTATGTAGCTTTTCTAGTTCGGAAACTGAACGTGAATGGCGTTATGTTTATATCGGTGGTAGATCCATGCGCAATGTTGTTGTTTACTTTAGGTACCTATGAAATGATAGACAACGTTAGGTACCAAAGCTAGCAGAGTTTGAGATCTGGTAGATTTAATTCACCAGATTATGCCTAGTACTCAAGAATACCGATACCAATTTCGGTATACATTAGATCGGTAAGTTTATCCCTTACATCCAGGTTTCATGGCTGTTGCTATTATATTAAGTCCAAGTACATTATATTCGTGACATGGTCGGGAGGGACATTACCTAGGAAACGAGCATTAACATAAAAAAAAACAAAAAGAAACTTGGCCAAAAAGGCAGGTACCTAAGGTATGTTATTTTATTAAAAAAATAAAATAAAACGGGATGACGTTGGAAGCTACTCACTTAGGTATCTTTTTACCTTGAAATGCAAAATGGAAATGTCAAATCGAAGATCGGTTCACCACTAAGACCCCAGCCTAAACCCGATTGGCAATTGAAACAGGCGCTTGTTCTGTCAGCTTGTCCTGCTTGTGCAGCTTTGCAGAGCGCTAGGTGAAGCATGCACGGGCCTAAAACAAGACTAGCCGGAATAGGATTGTGCATCGTAGGCATCGCGCGTTCATTGGTCGTCGCAAAGACTCGTAGCTTCGTGCTGTCTAACCACATCTAAACCGTATCGGCCAAACAGGGTTGGCGAATCGCCTTGTCGCCGTAGCAACAGACCGCAGCTCTTCCATGTCAACACAGAACGATGTCAACCCCGGGTCGGCTTTTACCTACAGCACTGCAAACTTTAGAATACTATCTTACAACCACTTTCACGTATTATTCCATTTCCCTTACCTACCTAAACCTCTCTACCCTTATCTTGCATAACAAGATCAACCATCCTAGAATATTATCCACTTTGAACTGTTGTAAGAAACAACAGCTTCAAGAAGACAGCTTCGAAGAACTTTTATAAGTTTCCGGAGAAAAAAAAAAAAAAAAAGAGGACACTCAGACCACTTGCTCATTTGCCTGAACAAGGGCATTACTTACACGGATCTAGTTTTTCGTCTGCCAAGTTCGCTACTGCTGCTGAGGACGACATAAGAGCTTAATTGCCCGGCCAGACTGGCTTGCGCTGCGTGAGGTGAGTTCTATATCTATTGATATTTCGGTCTTTTGACCAGTAAATCCAAATATCTTCGTGAGACCTCACGAAGAGGTGGTGATTTCGGCCAACCCGGTGACTGACGGATAGATGCAGTTTCGGAACCCAACTGACAGCCAAAAATTCGGCAACCAGGATTTATCGACAACCGGCCTCCCATTTCCGAACTCGACTCACATCATCATGCTGTCCAATCCGGTTCACGACGGCGGTCTTCACGCCCGGCACCGACAACATCGACGGCAAAACTCGACTCCCACAGGCTACGAAATGATGAAGATCGCAACAACAAACCTGCCCAACATGAATCAACAGCAACAGCAACAACAGAACCACCAACGGGCACGCATGGCCCATCGGAGGGGTATGAGTCTGGATACTCGACGACAACAACTCATACAGCAACGGATGCAACCGATCTCGACAATACCCACACGGCAGGAATACACCACGGTAAGTAACAGCACTAACAATAACACAGGATCAATCACATCACAGCATGTGCTGCGAGAAGCGCAGAAGCATAGCATAGCTCGCCCGGGCCCCCAGCAAGCGTACGCGAACTTGGCAAGCGATGACAGCTACTTGATCTCCCCCCACGGGACACCAAGGACACAAGAATTTGAAGGACAGGGGTTTGGAAGCCTTTCTAACCAGCAGGATATGCAGCAGGATATGCAAATCCATCTTGACATGTACAACGGACGTTTCTCCGGTAACGTAACAGCGTCTCAGGAATTCGATCAGTTCCCAAGCGCTCTATCCACACCTACGCTCATGAGCTTCCAGGACAGCCCGACGGGAGGTCCCGGATGGATCTCCGAGGAGGAAACTTCCAGCACCAGGAGGAACTCCCGTCGGATTAGCAACGGGATTATGGATAGAGTTTCGAAGTTTGAGAAATTGGGAATTGACGTTCAGAGACCTTTGACGCCTCCCCGCCAGGATGCCACAGGTTAGTATACTTGCCTGAATTAGTTAAGAAAACGTAAGAGGACTGACTAACATGGAAAAGACTACTTCCCACTTACACCTAAAGATACACCGCATGATAGAACCATAAAGCACGGCCAGCCCCCGCAGAGGTTCTCGGAGGGTTACGACGAATCAATGGAGGAAACCGTGAAGCCCACAAGGCACTCTTCAAATGGGCGGTCAAGGACAACCTTCGACGAGATGCGACAAGCAGCTGAAAGCCAAGTCCCGATGCCGATGCCAAATCGTTCCAACACACTTCCTTTAATGGAGACCTTTCACCAACCATCAGACCCGATGGTGGAATTTTTGGATATCGACCAAGTCGTCAACAGTGGCATCAGAGTCGAAGCTTTTGATGGGCTTCCCATGCCTTCGCATCCCATGAATATCAACTCAAACACTCCTATCAGACCCCAATTAGGCGAATTAAATCGCTCCTTTGATTACAAGCCCGCCATGCAACACCCTAATTTGAGGACCGACTCGCTAGCCAGCGAAGATGGATTCTCAATAGAGTCATCCTCCCGTCGAGGAACGCCACATCACCGTCGAAACGAGTCGATGGCCAGCATTGCGAGCGCAGCAAGCATCGCCAGCATCGACATTGAGAAGACTAAGACCTCGACGGGAATCACGATCGAAGACATCAACCAATACATCTCGGGACCCGACCCGAGGGATAACAAATGGACATGCAAGTTCGAAGATTGCAATAAGAAGTTCGGTCGAAAAGAGAACATCAAGTCCCACGTGCAGACTCATCTCAACGACCGCCAATACAAGTGCCCGACCTGCCATAAGTGCTTCGTTCGCCAACACGACCTCAAACGCCACGCAAAGATTCACACGGGTATAAAACCTTACCCGTGCGAATGCGGTAACAGCTTCGCGCGCCACGACGCCCTTACCCGCCACAAGCAACGCGGGATGTGCATAGGCGCGTTCGAGGGCGTGACGAGGAAAGTAGTCAAGCGCGGGCGTCCGCGCAAGCACCGACCAGACATGGAGGAGCGAAAGTCCAAGTCATACCGCACCATCAAGAAGAACATGTCGGTATCCTCGGTATCGTCTCAATCGGGATGCTCAGACACCTCGGCGGGCAACTCTCCCGAATACGTCGACCAGGACTTCGACGTGCTAGACGGGATCATGGACGTATCGATGGGCGGGACAACGATGAACCCGAGTTCCCTGCAGGGCAGCATGAACTCGTCCTCCGCGCCGATGCCCAGCCTCGGCAACAACAACAACAGCGACGACGCCGGGCCCGCGAGCGAGCACTCGCCGTCGTCGGCGGCCAGCGTCCACTCGTACGTCTCGCAGCTATCGCAAATCTCGCTCCACCACCAACACCAGCACCAGCAGGACGTGCTGCCCGAAGCGGCGCTATCGTCGCGGCCGGGATCCCCCGCCAAAAGCGTCACCAGCCAGTTCGCCGAGCTGCCGGAGCTTTCCCGGTCCTCGTCCCCGCCGCCGTCGGCTGCCAGCCGGTACTTCGACGCGGAGCCGGACGTCCCGGCTGCTAGCAGCATCAGCAGCAGCATCAGCAGCACCAGTAGCATCCCGAGCTTCGCGGGGATAAGTGACGACGACGACGACGTGCTGCTCCAGTTCACGAACGGCGAGACGGGCAGCATGCTGATGCTGAGCTCGGGGAGCAAGTTCGACGAGGCGTTCGACAGCGTCGATATGTTTACCAACAGCGACGATTTGTTCTTTGGCAGCAGCTAAGAGGATCTCTTGAGAGACGACACGATGAAAGACTAGATAGACAGAAAGAAAGAAAGAAAGAGTCGTTTGGCCCCTGCCATCATGTTACCTTGGTTTGGAGGAAGCGATGCCTTTTCTTTTTTTCCCCGTCCTTCATATTTTCACGCGAAATGAGAAAGAAAGGAACGCGGGACATGTTAGAAACGAGTATAATGTATGTTTGGAGGGGGGTGGGTGGTGGATGGTTAATGGGTCGACCTAGGAGCGTTATAGTTGCAAAACGCTTTCCCTTCGGTTAAAGGGTTCAAGGGGTTCAAGATGTCATGTACGATAATGTGGAATTATAACAATGGTGGACAAGGTCGTGGTGAAATTTGGGGGAGTGGAAAGGAGGTTGTTTTATTTTTTTATTTATTTTTTCTCTCTTTTTTTTTGGTCCGGTTTCCTCCGTTGGCGGATCGGATGGGGAGAATGTTTCGGCGTTTTAGCGCCGACGCAAGGTGGCCGTCGTTGTTTTTCTTTTTTACTATTTCTTCTTCTATTCTTCCATTCTTCATGGTCTAACACATAATTTGGCGGGCGGTATAAGAGTAACTTGAGCTTGACAGTTTCTATAGGACAAAATGCTTATTGGGATGTAGTCGATCTTGTCTGGATATTTTGTGGGATGACGAGTGAACTTTTGAGAGTGGTTCAGTGGCTGTTCAGTTGGGGCCTGTGAGGATGAAAATGTACCTAGGTACCAGGTACGTACCTGAAATACTGCAGTGAGGTTACGTCAGCAATGAGCTAGCTATAATGAGCCTTACTTCTGGGCCTTAATCAGTATTTAGAAAGAGCGATATTATTTCAATAGTAGTGGTACTTCAATAGTAGTTAATTTCAGGCCCACGTTTTGAAAAAAGCGGCAGAAAATAGAGATTCCCCCTTATCTATTCTACCACCTATTTTCAATTAATTCAATTACATACCACACATCAACCATTAATAGCTTTTGAAATACTGCATGTATCTAATCGAGGCTTATATTATTAGAAAGCTCCAATTAAGGCGAAACTGGATATGTAACTTTGATATGTTATATCTTTTGATTGAAAAGGACAGGATAGTCAATTAAACGTCGATGTTTCGCGGAAAGGGGGCGCTACCTATTACCACTTATACCTACCTGTAGGTATCTACCTATGCCTTTGCTCTTGAATAGCTTTTGAAATACTGTATGCATCTAATTGAAATTTATATTATTAGAAAGCTCTAATCAAAGTAGAACCGATTATGTAATTTCTATATATTAGATCGTTGGAGTTAATACGATATAATGGTTGCCGTGTTGTATATGAGTGCGGATAGGGAATTTCTAAGTAATAAACCCTTTGGGCAGGCGGTGAGAGAGGCGGTCCTAGAATTGGACTACTATTGAAATAACATCACTCTTTAGAAAATCTTCCTAATACAACATCAAATTGCATCTCAATCAACCGTATCCAAACTACCTCATAAAAGTTACCTAGCAAGATTATAGGTTCCAGTATAAGGCAAGCAAAGCAGCTTTGGAGACTGGTTTTAGAACTTGTACCTAAGCCAGTCACCAGCATCCGCTAGTGCGAGCTCCACTTTCCTATGTAACTGTCTTGATGGAAAATCAAGTCAAGCTCATTGATACTTCACCTTTCTTACTACCTAAGAGCTTATTATGAGATACCTGCCAAAGTACCTAGATGGTAGAGTTAAGAATTTCACAGGCTGACAGGGCTAAATAATCGTTATAAGAAAAACTGAGCCTACCTAACTTTCATAACAGGAACAAGTAACACTTCGCCTCTCAGGTCCAGCCTTCAAACACCAGCTAGCCTTGGAATCTAACAAGAAACAGCCAGATTAAGCTTGCTCGCGTAGCAACTCATATAGAAGCTTCACCAGGACTATCAAGCAACATGTTTACCCCAACTACCATTCCATATTTTACTCAATTCTACCCTATTGGGAATACACCCGCCGCCAGTCTGACCAGAGGCCTACCCCAGGGGTTAGACGCTGATATCCTCCTTCTTGGATGTGGTGACGTCCGAGATATTCTATTCACGGCGTACTCCGAACGAGGGTTTCGTAGGTGCTCCTACTCCTTTCACCCAGTTTTTCCTGTCTAGGAACATAGGGGACCGGGATCATTACTTTTACATTGACAAGAGATGGTCTACAAAATAAATCCCTGATTCTCATCAAATTTCGTTAATGTTATTAACATTCGAGTAGTAGCAAGAAAGCTTGATATTACATGCTGCGATATTGAAACCGCCATAATAGGTATGAATGGCATCACATTCGTCACATGCAGTCATGTTTGGGTATACTGACGTATTCTAGCACGCAATGTGCTTCTCTTCACCTTACTTGTTGATGATATCAGTGCTGATAGTGCATGGGAGATATACTTCCATTTTCGCATCGACGATTCTTCCAAGAAAGTCATCAAAGATCAGGCACAGAAGCTATTGTGCCTGTCGGACAATCTCGATCAGTGGAGCGAAGGACGTTATGGCTCGATGCTAAGGTTCTGCGATGGAAAATCGCTACAGGAAGTTAGACAGGTCTGGATGAAGTATGCGTTAGACCAGCCTAAGACGAATGCGAGTTTCGAGAAAGACTTTGAGAATACCCGAAGGTTACTCAGGCTCATGAACGGTCCGTCTGAACGCATCATAAATGGGCTCAGATCCGCGGCACCATTGTCACTCTCGTTGAGAGGTCAAGTTTTGGAGGCCAATGAACTCTTCTGGAAATATGGTAGTCTTTCCAAACACCCGGGGACAGTTCCCAACCCATTATTCTCCGAGTCTATGTCTACGGACAACTATCTTCACTATGGAACAAACCCCATTCTAGGATTCCATCTTGCAACCGCCAAAGCAAATTTGGCGACGGGGTCACCTCTTTATCCCGAAAAAGATCACAGCGAGATCCTCGATGTTACTGCTGCAGCGAAGACTCAGTTTCGCGAATGGGTGGCGGCTTTCCGAGAGATATCAGAAACGCGGATAACTCTTAGGTTCACTGTGTCAGACGCCTTATCCTTTGGCCACGCCTTGCAAGCCATTTCAAATTCGAGGGGCAGTTCAACATGTCTTTTTCGTCGACAATTTGACGCAACTCCTATTGAATTCGACCCAAAAGCTTACGCTACACTCAACTCAACACCCACCAGATTCGACATGATTGATACCTCGAATCTTGCTGACAGCCTTGGCGCACTAAACCTGTTATTAGCAGCCGCACCCCTATTGAAGGAATCAGCAAGCTCCACCCTATGGATGGAGACATTGATCAGAACGGAAAAGACACAAAACAGACCATTCGATGCTCTGCTTCCTGGTCATGCCCTGACAATATCCCTACTTCTTGGTCTGAGTCCAGTCGAATATTGGACGAATGCGACATCCGTATCTTACGTAGATGAAATCATCGTGAACTCCATGGGCTCGTCCACCGACGCCCAGCAAGCGTATTCGAGGCTATCTTGGAAACGAAGTACATCTTTCTCCCACCTACCCAGTGGTCTCGAGACTCTAACCGTTGTGCCAAATACACTCGCCAATGTAGTGTTTCAAGCTTACTTGGAAATGTTCGAGAATGAAGACGGTACACCACCTTTAGAGGCAAGCCAACAAGAAATGGCAATAAAGTTTTTACGCCATAAATGTCCATTGTTCCACAGAGGCAGTTTCGTACTGTTGATAAAATATATCCAGAAGAATATTTCTACAGCCTGGCCGTCTTTCTGGGAGAATTTGTTAAAGATGATAGACCAAGATAATGCAGACAAGAATACTATGCGACGTCTGTATCGCCATGAATTAGGCGCCCAGCTACATGTTCAAGGCCTATATACCGAAAGTTGGATGAAAAAGCTAAGGCCGATACCAAGCGCGGGCAGTTTCAACGCATGGAAAAATATACCCGAAGTAGTCTGCGTCACGGTAGTGGTGCCGAGAAAACACGTTGACAGTCTACGCAGCACTAAAGAGGACGAACTTAACGCGCCAACATTCGAAGGAGTACTCAGGTTGAGCGGTCAACTGGGTTGGGAGCATTTCTTTTCTGGCGTGCACGCTGTATTTGGACAAGTTGAAACATCAGGTGAACGCGAGAGCGAGAGTTTCTCGATAGCAATCCGCCAAGATCCTCAGGGCTGGCAGGGAAAGTCACCTCTGATAGCTTTCTTTTACGTACCAACCACTAGCCTTCAGGCTGAACCAGAAGATACTCGAGTTGGTCTCCGTTTTCGAGACACACCTGTGAATGTCCGCGCTCTTAAACACCTTTTGCCCAACATGGGCGTATATGAGACAGGAGTCAAGGATACTTCCAATGTTTTTATCACGAAATATGAGCCAGGAATGAATGGTTATCCCTTAGCAACTAGCTACGAGGATCCTATAGTTAAGAACGCTGCGCAAACGGATACACAAACAGATACATTTCCAAGCGCCCGGATCACTGCGAATTTTGAAGATGGCAAGGTCACTTCCTTGTGCAATCATATTGATTTCTCCTCACCAGAGACTCAGAAGCTTCTAACAGAACATGTTCCGATACAGTTACGGCAATCATCACCATTTTCAATAGATATCGTATTTGGAAACGGACTCCTGGTTCATATCGCGTCATTCCCAGCCCCAGTCCTCAAAGAAACGGCCAAGACACGCATCGCGCGTAAATCCTGTTACATTGAAGTCATCGCACCCCTTGCAGACCCCTTGGCTTCGGAGCCGTTGTCGTCTTTTATCTACCCCATCACTCTCGGGGAAAACTCTGTGCCCATACCGCTTAATAATCAACAAGTCAACCTAGATTATTTACCAATCCTCGATGTGGACGAAGCCTACAAGAAGGAAAACCGATGGCTAGAAACACTTGCGTCTCACCAATTCTCCGTACGCGAGCGACGACTGCGAGAGTCGAGTGAACTGCCTTCGCTACGCATGGAATTTAAAGAGTCGCTCTTTTCCATTTTCATGTTAGCCTCGGGACTCCAAGGCGGGAATACCGGGCTGTTCGCTCTTCAGAATCCCGTAGATGGAATTCAAATTCTTATCTTCGTCCGCGCCATACGGATAAATGGCGCGGAGGGGTCCGTAGTTGCCGATGCAGCGGTTCTTCCTATCACTAGGCAGCTGATAGACTCCGGGGAGATTGAGACATTTCTTTATATCCTTCGGGAACTGCAGATATGCTCCATCGATGTTAACGATGAGGAGCTTGTGCTCTGGAAAAAGGTCCTGCCCGCACTCGCCGAGCGGTGTCGCACATGGAGTCACGGTCCGGATTGCGAATATAAAAAGCCTCGTGCCACAATCCCGCTTAGTACGGAGATGGGGAAACAGTTCATGTGCAGTTGCGGTAATGGCAAACTGCCCGAGGGTTTTATGAACCTGCCGGAATGGGAAGATGCGGCATCCAAGCATGCGATCCGAGTAGCAATCAGCCCGACCTTCTCGGTGCCGTTTGTGGAGAATATCGTGGACCTAGATCTACTAAAGGCCCAAGGAAGCCTTGAGCGCTTACACATGGACAAGTGTCGCAACTGCAACGCAACGGAGGCCAAGAACGGAAAGAACCTCCTAAAATGCTCGAGATGCAAGGAGGTTATGTATTGCTCGTCGGAGTGCCAACGTGCGGATTGGAAGAAGCACCGGATGGAGTGCAAGCCTTACGATGATGAATTATAGTTGATGATAACATGTCAGCTTCTAGGTCTAGGCATTTACAGTATCGCCGCAATACACTTCCCGCAAGTTACAAGACCAGGGTCATTTATTGGTAAGATGTGCTAATAATATGCAGATTGACCAGAGATCGTTAGCATAGCAGAGTATTTTTCGAGATTTTCTCTTCAGCTACAATGAAGCGAACGCCGAGAAGACGCCCCCATTGTCATATTCTGTGAATGCATTGCGTTTCTGCCGCTATCTCGGTTGTTCGGGGCTGCACGCTGTATTTGGGGAATTGCCCGCGCTATTTCGGCGTTATGGTATGACATCCACGCGTTCAAATGGGCCCGGCTACGCTGAGTAAATGTGGCAGATGTATTGGATAAGTCCCAGAGTCGAGGAAGTGATAAGGGGTGCTACGTAATAGAAGAATCAATAGTCGTCGCTTAAGTCTAGGCCACCTCCGAAAAGCACTGCTCTATGTAACCACGACGAGAAAACAATTTCGGTGTCACAAGGTATTGGGGATGGTAGCATCGCCAAGAAGGTCAGCTAGACCAAGCTTTCATACCAAGAAAATACCTAGTATCTAGCCGCAACATATGCTTCCCAAAATCCTACCACAAGACACGAGGTACCAGACCTATCACCAATTAGCCCGAATACCCCGTCGCTTCTCTTGGGTCTATACGTCCGAAGCTGCGGTATAACATGTTACTTAGACCCGGGTGTCCAGAGCTAACGCCAGGTAAATGCCAAGCCCAGAGCCGCCGGTGTCATTGGTCGTACAAGAGGCACCATGCGGTAACAATGTATTGATCGATAGTAAGTCTTCGAGGTAACCTTTGAATGATACTATAGATGTATGCATCTTGTATGTGATGGACGACAGTCAGCAGCCCACTTCACGATAGCTTTACACAATATTGTCATTGTTTTACCAATCGTTTGGTAATCTAGAAGCCGCCCTTGAAGGAATTCTAGCCCCTATCTCCTATATTCGATGGGAAGAGAGTTTTTCTCGCCGAACGCCATGCGCAACTGGAAAATATACATAGACCGCTATAGCCATAGCTCTGTTATGAGGTTTTCTAAGGAGGTATATTACAGAATAGACTATAGTACCTATGTACTAGCAGATTTCTGGCATCATGAAGACGAGTCTTCACCTTATTTTTGCAAGCGTACTTATTTCTGGGGTTATCGCGCTCAAGCCAAAGGCTCTTCTTTCAGACTCCATTCAACTTACCCAAGATGACATCGGTGACTTCTCCGACGTAGACTTCGGCGACGAGGCCACAGCTTCGCTGGACAGTAGCAATGTCACCGAGTGTAAGGTCTTCCCAGGCGACCGCGACTGGCCGTCCGTCGCGGAGTGGACTCGGTTGAACAGGACTCTCGGCGGTGCTTTATTGAGACCAACCCCGGCTGCCGCTACTTGCTACCAAGGCCCCGACTACGACCCGGAAAGGTGTCAGTATTTGGTCACGAATGCCTCGTCTTCGCACTTCTGGCTCGACGACCCGCTTGTCTCGTTGACGCAGTGGTCGCAGGGCGGGACTTGCGCGCTTGCTTTGAACCCTATGGGGAACTGTACACGTGGGGGGTTCCCCGAATATGTCGTGAATGCGACGACCGTGAAGCATATCCAAGCGGCTGTCAACTTCGCCAGGAACAAGCGCATCCGGCTGATAATCAAGTAAGATAATTCTGCCTATCTAGAAACTTATAAGTTAGAGAATTGAAAAAAAAAAAAAAAAAAAGAAAAGAAAAGAAAAAAGAAAACTTCTAACTGCACATAAACAGAAACACCGGACATGATTTTGGCGGCAGATCAGTAGGCGCGGGATCCCTCAGTATCTGGACGCATAATCTCAAGGCAATGAACTTCATCCCTTCGTATAGGCTCGGGCCGTATAACGGGATGGCGGTCTATTTCGGAGCCGGCGTCGAGTCGTGGGAAGAGAAGAACTTCATGGCGGCCTTTAACGTGACAGTGGTCTCGCCCGGTTGCGGAACGGTAGGTGGAGTCGGGGGGTGGATGAGCTCGGGAGGCCACACAACGCTCACCTCTAAAGTTGGTCTCGGAGCCGACCAAGTCCTTTCCCTTGGTGTTGTGACTGCTTCGGGGAGGTTTGTGACTGCTGATCCGTATACTAATCGAGATCTCTTCTTCGCGTTGCGCGGAGGAGGTGGAGGTATAAATCATATCTCTCATATCTCGTTCCGATGAGCTTTTCTTTCCTATGTTACTAACTGGCACAATAGGGACTTACGGAGTAGTGACCTCAGCTATCATGAAAGCTTATCCACCGATTAACGTGACTTCAACTTCTCTGAGTCTCACCGTCTCGCCGTCAAGCAATACGACAACCCCAACCCCCGGCATGCTCACTGACACCGAGATGTTTTGGCAAGGTGTTGGCACTTACTATAGATTCGCCGCGAAGATGCTGGATGCCGGTGGCTACGGTTTCACTTACATCTACCCTCTCCCGAACAACAGCTACCGTTTCGTAACAAGTTCGTCTCTCATCGACGTAACGCCAGCCGCCGCCCGCGAGTTCATGCAGCCCTTATACGACGGTCTACGCGGCCTCGGCATCAACATCACCAATCCCCCCCTCCCCTTCACCTCGCTGTACGGGCAGCCGAGCTCCAGCATCGGGCCCTCGCCCGGCAACACGCGGTACCGGTCGCGGCTCCTCCCGCGCGAGAACTGGGACGACGACGCGCTCTGGAGCCAGACGATGCGCGCGATACGCACGGCCACGGAGGCCGGGTACGAGCGCGGGTTCTACTTCCACGGGACGCTGACTTCGCCGACGGAAGACGTGGCCGGGTGGCCGGGGGCCGGGAGCGCGGTGAACCCGGCGTGGCGCCGCAACCGCATGCACGCGATGCTGATGGACGAGGCGCCCGCGCAGTCGACGGGGCGGGATGCCGTTATGAGGGGGTACATGGACCTGCTGCGGGCGGCGGCGCCGGGGGCCGGGTCGTATATGAACGAGGGGGATCCGGGAGAGCCGGATTGGCAGCGGGCGTTTTACGGCGCGCACTACGCGCGCCTGTTGCGCATCAAGCGGCGGCGGGACCCGTGGGGCGTGTTCTGGGCGCCGACCACAGTGGGGAGCGAGGGGTGGGCCGTGAGGGGGGCCGAGGGGGATTACCCTGAGACGCAGAACGGGAGGCTATGTCGCGTTGGATAAGGAGGTGGGAAGTAATCGTATCTCATATCAAGTACCTTTCAGTTGTAGTTAAGTTCCCATTGAGAAATAAGAAAGCGTGTCGAATTCTGGTGTACCAGGTAGGCGGTTTTAACATTAAAGCATGCCTTGTTGATAAATACAGTATAGTATATACGGCCAAGTTATGTCGGGACATAGTTGGCCATGTACATCCCCCCATCTATACACTAGGTAGTTGAGATGCGTCGATATTTAGCAACTACTAGCTAGGTAGAACTACGGTTATAGACGGATATTCCTCACAATAGCGATTTTCACTGTTATATGCTAGGGATGGGCTCTTGTCGTGTATATTTTCTAGGCATACCGAAATTTAATGTACATCGAGGCTGATGTTTTACCGCCAATATTTCAATTGTGACCATTTCACATTTCCGAAGCCAATTGACTTGCTTTGTGACTTGCTTTTATTGTATGTTTAACTTGGTAGCTTCTAATAGTGAAGTACTATTAGAATACATCGAGGTATACGATTTATACCATAGTGTTCAGTATCAAGGGTTGAGCTCCCAATTTATCCCTAACCACTCCCTGTGAATACAATCTCTATGGAGTAGTCACATCGTCTTGTTCTAAGATAGTCAGTTAACGGAGATCTAGCTAAACGTTCTCTTTATGATTGAACAATCTACTATTCTAAAGCTCCCCGTAACAATGGAATTATAGTCAAACTATACCGTAGTCACAGTCTATACATAATACACGATGCTTGTTCGGAATCAATGTCGTTGAAGTGGAACAGTAGACGATGTCTATATAATTCCTAGCATCCAATGCTTCAGTGATGATGTCTATCTCAACCACAAGCCAACCAGCTTCCATCTCGCAACTTAAAGCATCCTCATCTGAACGATATAAGTTCTTGTTAGATACACAGCCTCTACTGTAACTCTACCACCCAAAAAACCAAGCCACCAACCGCAACCATATTCAGCTTCCTTGGACTCGTCGCTCTCACCCTCCTGTCGGCCCCCTCTGTCATGGCAGGCAACCTGCTCGTGCAGAACAACTGTAAGTTCGACATCTGGTGCAGCGCCGCTAAGAACGACGGGTCGTCGAGAGATTCGGTCCGCGTGCCCGCGGGGAACCATTACACGTCGCCGCTGCCGGCGAACAACGACAACATCGGCTCGGTGCTCAAGTGCACCGACACGTCGGGCTCCAAGAAGGTGTTCCAGGAGGAGCTCGCGGTGCAGAACGGTAGGTCCTGGTTCGACCTCTCGGCCATCGACGGCGACCCGTTCATCAACTACCACCGCCACGCCGAGATCTCCGGCCAGTGCGTCCTCGACTGCCCGACTACCCAAGATGCTGTGATGACGCTTTGCTAATTTACTGCCCTGATGCCGTATGCCAGTAGTTGCTTGATGCGAGTACAATCTAATTACCTCCACATTTAGTTAGAAGTTGGCAAGTTCTTTTCTTGGACAGTGCTTACACATGATGAGAGCCATCCCCTATAATTAATAATATCTATTATTCATGCTAACTTTTACCATATTGTCCAAGAAAGTGAAAATGAATGTTTATGTCGATAATTGATCAACATTACTGTATTGATAGCCTTTTGAATAAGTAGGTTAGGTACCTTGTAGAATTCTCAAGCTTTATAAATAGGTAGCATGGTGACTTTTCGTGCAACGTGACGTATAATGTTTCTTTTTTCTTTTTTTGCTCTCTACAATTGATTGATAGGGGTAATAAGGGGCCAGCTTTAACTACCTGGTGTACTACACGATGAACAAAGACCTTGCGCAGCATAGCCTTATGTGTGTTTACCTGAACGGATACATCTCAATATTTATAAAATTCTTTATCGTCATCTTTTATATCTAAAGGTAGGAACATAGCATTGTTACGGTTGTTGTTGTTGTTGTTGGATAGTAGCGATTGTGTAGTGCCCATGAGTGAAATTTACCTCAACTGTCGCAATAGTACCTGTCTTGATGTGACATAAAATGACTAGAGCAGCAGCTCATATCAATCCCTTCTAGACCGCAAGTTCCTGCGGCTGATAATACGAATCGTCCGATGACATTGTGTAAGAACTTTCGAACAGCCGTGGCGTATACTTATCAGTGAATCAACTCGGTAAACGACACTACAGTTAATTGGAAGATACTAGGTAGAAGACTTGTGTGTAATCCCTTTGAGATAGATACACCATAAGCCTATGGGCGTGGATGTATGAAATAGGGAGAATACGAATGGACTAAGACTCGTAATGCCGACTTGACATGCGGCAGCTGATATTTTATCCCGCCTAAGCAAAGACTTTGAAAATACATCCGAACGCGACAATTTAACTGATATTTGATTCCCAAACGGCTAAAACTCGCAATAAGATGTCTAATTACATCTATATCTATCAAGCTTTACGGATAGCACGTATTAACACGCGCATTGAAACAAACGTGCTTCGTCGATCTAACAATCGCATAGTAACTATGCCAAGTGTGTAGCTTGTTTATGTACCTACCTGGTATGCGGAAGTCATGTATTAGATTATTAGACCGTCTGGGCGTACCGGGACGGTCATCCCGATTGAATATCTGACCTTGGCGGGGGGTTGGCGCGAATAGGACTCAGTACCGACTCCCGAATCTCATACGAGAATGGCAGACCTTGGCAGGAATCAAAGAAATTATTTAAATATGCGACACAGACTGGAAGAGCTTTGAAATCAAATGTGGTGCGACTTAGTCTAGAGCGACTTGACTGGTGATGATACCTACCGTAGGTTAGGAGGTAGGTAAGTGTATGTAATCCATCGGCTAGGTTGAAATACTATTAGCACTTTAGGCAGTTAGCAAGAGGAATTCATGGATCGTATATTGTTTCGTCGGCTTTTAAGGTTGATGCTATGTTGGTCTGACATCCTTGCCTCGCATGCGAGATAGACCTTTAGCTTCATCGCATTCCTTTTAGATTTGCTGTATATGTACTCCAATGTTCCCTACTAGAGATGTCGCGGCAATGGAAAATCCCCGAATTGAATCGAAAAGGATCAGATGCGTGCTGTGCTATTTTAAGAATCCAAGTTTTACCGGATATAGAAGCTCTGCAATCTCGACATGCCTTTTCGGTTATGTCGCAAAAAATGAGGATGCTATTTTGAAACGAGCTGTTGTGTTCCTGTTGGTTGGTTAAGCAGAACCGTGTAACATATAAGTTATAAGTGAACTGTTTCGAGAGTTGATAGCCGATCTAATTGCTAAGATAGAAGCTCAATTCCGGGGATGTAAACAAAGAAGCAATCAACTCCTCGAGGTTGTTATTAAGGAACCTGAGTTATGATAATAATAGTGTGACGTGGTTCGATGACGAACGTAACTCTTATATAGGTAGAACATCCATACCCAGATCCCAGGATCCAGCATCGGTAGGATACGAATCAACGGAATGAGTGATAAATAGAAGTTGTTCTGTAAATTCTGGACAGGTGGAATTAGGTATACCTTAGGTACTAGGTTAAGAATAAAAACAAACAAACCCAATTTTAGAGAAGGAGAGAGAGAATATCGAATGTTCTGTTGAATGTTGCGCAGAAATAAAGGCAGCTTTACCTAGTGAGTCCAAGGCGTACGTGGATATATAAGACCTTAAATTTCTCCTTCATTCAATCTCATCTCATCTCTTATTGGAACCGCATAAATACAAAGTTAATTGTGTCCACTAGAAGTGCCGAGGGTGGGAAGCATTGGAAATAAATTTGCTCCTCTTGTGTTGCCCAGGTTAGGTCCTTAACGGTTTGACCGTTTATTGCCGTGTTTCTTGTTTCGGCGTTGGCTTGGCAAATTCGCTCTACCCAGCTGCACAGCTAGTTTTTGTCGTCTCGTATCTTAGGTATCTTCATCCTAATGGAATAGGTACCTACCTAACCTACCTAACCTAACCTAGTAGGTATATACCTAGGTACTTATATGTAGGTATGTGGCGTGCATAAAGATACTTGAGGTTACGTCGCAATGTAAATCTGTAGATCAAGATTCAACCAAGTAACGCAAGTACCTAGCATTGACACGGCAAGTCGTTATCACCTAGTTACCATTCTCATTTGAATTTTGAATTCCAAGTACATAATAAAACGTACCTAGTTGCCGTTAATTCAAACCCAATATTCGTCGCTGGATGGCGGTTTAATGTAGGTGAATTAAAGATGCCATGAAGCGTACAATATTAGGAATGGATACGAATAGTAATTGGTGGCGATGGTGGTGGTACTTAATGAAGTTTAACCGTGTACGTGCGTACCTACCAATATGAGTTTCCTCATGCTGCTCTTGGTGGAACACACACATTTAATAGCATAATAAGTATAAGAGGTATGTAACGCCACATGATCTCAACTGCTAAAACCTGTTACATACATGTAGTACGTAGGTACATGACATAACATAACCAAAATAATTAAGCGAAATAGGGTAAGTGACAAGAACAATTACTTGTGCTAGCATAGGGAAATCCACGCTATCAAGCACTTCCCATAAATCAGCTCCAGCTTATTCGAGCTTATGCGAGGATAAACCCGACGTAGTGCAAGACGGTACAGTAAGGATAAATTCATAAATCCCGTAAAAGGCTTAGATATGTCCTTTTCCAGGACGCTCGGGCCAATGGAATTTACCTAATCTGTGGAAATGGTGTATATGCATAAAAGCATGCTCGCTCAAGTTTCAGGGGTTTATGTAATAACTAGGACTGTTCAATCAATTAAGCCAGCTAAGGTGCTAAATCTGCGTGGCTTGACACTACTGCAAGGGGTCGGGTGTGGGAGCCCAATAAGAGGGGAAGCTGGTTCGTCAATCAACAGGTAGCCAAACAAGCAAACAAAGAAGACGAAACTCTGGGGTTCAGAGGTAATGAAGACGAGGGGCATTGTGAAAAAAAAAAAAAAAAAAAAAACCAGAAATAAGAAATGATTAATACTTGTATAACAATGTAAAATAATCTGAAAAGAGATAATGAAAAGGATACTGATAATTGTGCGACTTGGAGTTCGTTGGAATGACCAGGTAATGCACAGATAAAATACAAGATACTACCTTGCAGATGTAACCGGAAAGCACGGTATCTTTAGGTACTTAGGTACACAGTTTTTCCTCCCCCCCCTGGTCCGAAGCAATTTCCCATGTTCTCGCTTGACATTCTCTTTCTAGTATAGAAGCGTAAGGAGCCTGCAGCTCATCGAATTAGAGACCCACTTATTCCTATATCCATTTACGCCCGTCTGAACCGAATGCTGGTGGCCGCCTGCCAGCTTTTTTGTCAAAACCGTCCGACTGCTACCACACGGGCATGCTCAGCATGTTCCCATTAACAAGTCATCCGCCAGTAAAACCGCTAGTCACCCAGTGCAAATACTACCTAGTAGGTATTGTACCTACCACACCCTAGCTGCCTAGTTCTACTGCTTAGACCTCATAGGTTTAAGGTACCTCCTCTAAAATAAGTACCTGAACACCTCTTACAAGTTACATTAGGTACCCAAAGGTAAGTGGATTCAACCCTGTGACTGGGGTCCCATCCCAGTTTTGGGTTTCTCAGCCTGTTTCTCGCAAACTCACCTCTGCATCCTCGTGTCTTTCTCCCTCCCTCTTCTCCCTTTCCGACCCAACACCCCGACCTGCCTCAAGCAAAAAAACAACCCCCATTCCCACACTCCCTAAAGTTACTCAGGCCAGTCAGTCCACTCGTTTCCTCGTCCGATCTCGACGTGTCTCTCATTTCTCATCTTCTGAATTCGTCGTTTTTGTTCATTTTTCTCACCTTTCGCACTTTGCACCCTTCGTAGGTCCATTCACCCGGCCGTCGTGACATTGACCTCGTCAGCCAACAAAGAAGAGAATGTGAGTAGAGAATTACCAGCACGATACTTTTCGTCCTCCGCCTCGAGCTTGTCACGTTGTCCACCTACACCATACACCACCTACAATACCGAGAAACATATACTTTGTTCCCCGATCATTCAGCATCGCACCGAGCTTCCTTAGGACTCATCAAAGGAGATTTTATAACGACGTAATTGAACATAAGGGATTCTAACGAATCAATTAATCTAGTCGGCCATTGTTTTTATACATTCCTTTCACTTGTTCGTGGGTCTTGCCGCCGCCGAAAGACCACAAAGGGGCCGTATAAATCAATTACACCGACGTCACTGCCGCAGATACTGTCGTCAAAAGACACAGCATATCTCCATCTACATGATCTAGACAACTTAGTTGCGGTCCGGACTTGTACGACGGATACTAATCGACGACCATCGAGAATTAGTACGAAATACGACAATAATATTATCGGCTCCCTCCCTAGAGGAGATTGAATCCAAGCCACATTAGATTCCTATCCTCTCTAGTCGTTGATCGGGTTGAGAGAATTAGTATTTTGGCATCTTTCTACTGACCTTTTTAATCTTTACCATCATGTCTTTTCGTCAACTTGCCGTTGCGGCCATCCTGGCCTTAGCTTCACTTACCAACGCGGCGGAGAAGCCGGCAGAGGACCCTATACCGGGCACGGATACCGTCCACGGATGTTACAAGTCAGTGGGAAACTTGAAGCTTGCGGAGACCATCGAATTCAACACTCAGGGTGCATGCAACACACTGTGCCGTAGTAAACAGGCCCTCGTTGCTGCTTCCAATGCCAAAGACTGTTACTGCGGTAATCAATATCCCAGCAAAGCTGATCTAGTCGACGATGACCAATGCAACGAGCCATGCCCTGGTTTTAAAACAGAAGCTTGTAGGTTATTTGGAAACTCTGCGTTAAACACGATGCTAACATGTTAATAGGTGGTGGTCTTGATACTTATACGGTTTACAATACCGGAGAAAGGGTAGCAGTTGGCGAGGTATCGTCTTCTAGTTCTTCTACTGCTACTCCTTCAAAGACCAGCTCATCGGTCAGCGATATTCCGGCCACTACCTCTGGTACGTGCCTTTTCTTATTCCCAATTGTTTCACGAATTTGGACTAATATGTGATGCAGAACCCACTCAGACTGTAACAGCCTCCAACGAACCCGAGAAGGGCTCTAGTACCAACGTCGCGGGGATTGCAGCTGGCGTTGTGGTTGGTGTTGTCGCGATAACCGCCTTTGGTGGCGCTGCTTTCTTCTGGTTGCGCCGAAAGAGAAATGCCGAAATTGAAGAAGAGCACCGACGAAATGCCGCTGTCAATGCGTTTATTAGTGGCGGAAAGCCTCCGAGCAGCAGCGGTGGTCTCTCGATGTCCGACTCTCGTCTCGATCCCGTTATGAACCGACGAATGAGCGACGGTAGCATCGCTGACAACCAAGATTACTCGCGAAGAATTCTAAGGGTATGCATCATGTCTGATCAAAAAAGAAAATCAAGAAGTGATGTGAGCTAACTAGGTTTGCAGGTTACCAACGCTTGAAAACCCCATCGCAGATATCACGATGAACGACTTCCGCTTGTAACACATTTTATTCACATCGGCATCAACGGCGTTTCATGGTGGCCATTCGTCATTGGATGATCGATCAGACTAGACGATCCTTGGCGTTATTTGTATTGAGGTGTAAGGAAATACCATATTGGGTGGTCACAATATAGGGCGACCCTCCCTGGCCTTGGTACTACCGACGAAAATTTCCTAACGCTGTCCTCTCCTTTTTCTTTTGCACGTTGTTGACTTGTCATGTCACAACTTGCAGTTCGACATCAACTTCGGAATTTCTCGCGAGATATACCAGGGCCCGGGCCTGGCAACGGGAGAATGGACCGCATTCTTGATAGGGCGAGTTGCGGTTTAGCAGCTTTGCTATGCGGAGATAGTTAATAAAAAAATGAAGCCGGAGGTCTTGGCAACGGCTCAGAGAGGGGGAATTTGTGCGGATGTAACCGCCTTGCGAGCGAAGAGTTCTGATAGAAAGGATTAAGCATTAGTGAGTGAGAGGACTTTGCTGTATATTATTCAGATAGTCCAAATGACTAGGCATTTTCTCGTGGACTTTGGTGTATACGTGTGTATTGTAGTTCTGTTGTATATGTTACTTTGTAGGTTTCTTGTAATGACGTTTATTGAAACTTGATGAAACGGGTTTGTGTGTGAAACGAGTACCAATATCACAATGTACAAGTCTGATAATATATGCCTACCTACCTCCTACCTAAAGGATGAGGCAGCCCGGGTAAGTTAGCGTCGATCAACTCGGCCAAAAGAGAATGAGGCCGGTGCTCCGTCGACTCTGAAACCGGGTGGATGAAATACCCATTACCTAAGGTATCTAGAGGTACCTAAGTACATGCATGATGCATGTGCCATGTGCATATCTAGGTACCTAGGTACTTGTATCACTGAACTTACCTAAGCGGCAAGCCTACGCCCATAAGGTCACGTGGACCCGAGTTTTTTTGAGCAAGTGCATACAAGTGCATACCTCAAGGTTAGCTTCGTCGCGTTAATTTCAATTCAAATCGCGACTGTAATTCCAACCACCCGCAATCATCCTAACAACATTTATTCCTCATTCCTCTCTACCTTAATAACCACCACCAGTCTCTAGCACGACTCATACTTAGTTGATGCAAGTTCATGACATGATGAAATTCTAGGTGGATGGATGATGTACCTAGATCTACTGATATATCCGGTTCCTTATTGTAACCATACCTAGGGTGTGTTTGCAAATAGCTACCTACCTAACATTTCAAGGTCTATTTGAAGCTCCATTTGAAGCTTTGCTTGCCATCACAATGGCCCCGACAACAGTGCCTCGTGTGCGCCGGACTGCGCAAAATACTCAATACACGTACATCTCTATTCTATCACATATGTCCCCCCCTCGTGTCTCAATCTAACGTGGGCTTTTAGGTATACCCTACCTCGTCGTATCCATGCTGTTCAGACATACCCTGTTCTCTCGCCGCAGGGTGCGACTATCTTAATATACGGCCATGAGAGTGGCATCACAATCGTTTGGCGCGGGGGACGTCGATTTAAGCCCGAAGTATCTAAAGAAGCCGAGCGTGGCCCTACATCTAAGCAGAATGGCAACCCCCCTGCAGATGCTGTTATGATTGTCGATTCCGACGATGAAGATACCTCACCCTCTGGGAAGGGAGGGTCGTTTGTTGATACGCCACAATTCGAAGACTCCCTCGACGAGGACGCACCATACCCCGAAATCGTTCAAACCCTTGACCTTGAGTTCGGCACTGCTGTCTTCCACCTTGCAGCATTACCTTTAACGCCTTGCACGGCAGAAGATGCTTCATGGGGAGGCGCGGATATACTAAAGGATAGGATGGTATTTTCTGCTTCATGTGCTAGTCGCGAAGTCTTCCTGATTACCTTACCTCTTGTTCCTCCATCTCCTCTGAGCAAAGCTCGAGCCGAGTTACAAGAAACTCTCCTAGCCGGAAAAGCTGGCAATGGCAAATGGGGTGAGACTATGACCTTGCTAGCTGGTCAAGTAAAAGGCAGCGATGCCTTAGCAATGACCCTTATTAGACCGAAGACCGTATTGGAACGCAATAAGTCGAATGAGCGATCACGATCAGAATCTAGTGCATTGCCTCGCGTTGTAGTAGCCGCTCACTCGCCCGAGGCATCTGGCGCCTTACGTCTATGGGACGTGCCCCTAGAGGAAACATCCAAAACAGGTGGACGGATCGAGCCATTCCAAACTGAATTCCTACCCAAACCCCTCACTTCCATCTCATTTAACCCTACCCACTCAACCCAGCTTTTATGTAATGCATCCCCTGAAGCGGTTAGAATATACGACTACGCACTTGCATCGATGCCTCCCGACGATCTATCTGAGGGACCATTTCCTTCGCAAGGCTCTTGGCTCATTTCGTTCTATCCACCTTTTGCCCGACCTTCTTCTTCGCGGAAACCGATACTGGCCGCTTCTTGGATAGCTCACGGTCGTGCTATTCTTGTCCTCCTTGCGGATGGACAATGGGGTATTTGGGATATTGACGGCGTCTCCCCGCAGGGACCTGCCCTGTTCGGCAAGCCTGGGTCTGGTATCCGTGGTGACGCATTAACAGAATTCAACATCTCAGGATATGTCGAAGGAACAAGCCCTCTACGAAATCCCGCCTCTCAGAGGAGCTCGAACGGCGGTCCTGACTTCGTCCCCATGACACCGCACTCCAGACGTGACGCTCTTGCAACTTCCCACGGTCCTGAACGTTTCGCACCAGTTAGAGGAGGCATCGTGGTGACCCCGCTACCAGCTAGTCCAACTACAACAGCTGACGAGAGCGTTGTCTTGTGGATCGGTGGTGCTGAGCACGTTTTTGTCATACCCGGCGTTCTTAAGTTCTGGGATGCCCAGATACGTAAGGGTGCTGGCGGTGGCGTCAATCTCTTCAGCGGAGCACAGCCAACTCGTATGGTGCGACTAAACGATTTAAGCGTTGGGCTGATGGGCGAACGTTGTACTGGTGTCGGAGCCATCGTTCGCTTTGTTGAAAATGGCAGCGCAAGCCTATCTGGAAACGAAGGTTTGCCCGTTGAATTGTTAGTGTGTGGCGAGACAAGGCTTGTGATTGTTAGGGAGAGCGAGACGGTTGTCGGCACTAAGATCGGCGGAGTCATCGGTCGCCGGAAGAGATCAAGCGATCATGCAAAAGAGAACAGCGCCATCGTCGTCTATCCTCGACCGCAACAGCCGGGTAGCGTCGCTTACAACCTCTCGGTTGGCCCCAGAAGGAAGCTCTCGAGATCTAGTGCGGACGGTCTCTTTGGTGAAACGCCTTCAAACGATACTGTTAATACGCAGGCCCAAACGGAGCAGCGGCCTCTACAACTACCAACAAGACCGAGAGGCGGGTTTGCTTTTGCAGACAGCCTCAATGCTGCCGCTGACGTCGAGCAACAGGAACTGGACGATGAACGAGACGTCGAGGTGGAAATGCTGGATATAATGGAGATCGACCGCGAATTGGATGCTCTCGATAACGGAAGAGGCCGTGGCCGTAAGAAGGTTATATTCGACTCATAGGCTTAAGCGTTTTATATCAACTAATGCGTCCTATATTGGTACTACTGAAAAGGGGTTTGGAGTATGATGATGTATGATGCCTCTGCTGATGCCTAGGAGTTCGGGGATGAAATTAACCATGGGGGGATAGTAAATTGGGAGCATTACTCGGGCCCTTTTATATCCTCTTCCTCCTGAGAAGCTTGCTAAATGTGATCCAGATCCTAAGAAATCTCCGTGTTAACTGTCCCATATCCTACGGTTCCGGCCTGACTATTATTACCTATCCTATCTATTTTCCCATCAGTCAAGTGACATTTCCTTTTCCGCGCGGCAAGGTGGAGCACAAGGCGAGAACCTTCCTTGAAGCTCTGTAATCCATGCGGTACATTGAACGGGACACTGACTGCACTGCTCCGGTGTCCCGAGCGTCATTATCTTTTTACACATGACGCGCGCCGACGGTTCCAGGAGGGAACATTGGGAGGGGGCTCGGGTTGGTTCGGATTTTATGCGAATTGACCATTTGCCCTCCCGCCCTCAGACGGCCCTGCTATCTGTTCTGCGCAACGCGCGCGAAAACAGGGGGCTGAGAAGGGGGTGGGAGACGGGATCGTCGGTACATTTATTTATATGTTTGTTTACCTTACATGAATTCTCTTTACCGGGGGTATATTTACTAGTAGGAACACATTACCCAACTTGTGTTCCACCAAAACTAATCGTGTCCTATCCCAGCTACATTATACTATATAGTGACACTCTAATCGAGCCTACCTAATGTTTAAGCCGCCCACCTGTGGGACCCAGACCTGGAAAAGGAAACCAAAAAAAAAAAAAAAACAGTAAAAAACGTACAACACCGGGGTACATAAAGTTGTAAGTGAGAACTACGAATGTAAGAATGTAAGGTGTTCGTGTTGAAAACAGCTGCTTCATCTCAACGAAGACGAATTGTATTTCTCACAGTGAGCGGCAAAGGCGGGGTGGAATAGATGGTACAATCCCTAACAGGGCCAGAACGCGTTGAACAAGGGGCTATGAAAAGAGCTCCACAAATGCTAGGTACCATACGCTGTATGGCTTCTGACAGACACACCGCTGAGCCAAAAGTGTATTTCTTAATAGCACAAGTGCTATTACAGTCTATCTGACCATGAGTGGTATTACCACCTCATAGCTTCTCTATTGAACGTTATTCAGTAGACCTTGTTTGCCTATCCAACAAGTAAATCAACAGCCTTCATTTTCCTTTTATTAACTTTTCTCAACGCGCATTCATTCTATCTCACCTCTTCTAGAATCTTAGATATTATGGCATATTTTAGGCACGACGCTAAGGAGAAAGCAAAGCAATTCATCCCATTTCTTGACGGAGAGTTGATGATGAATACCTCTTTGCCTATTTGCTCGGCAGCGGTGTTCAAAAAGCCACAACTCCGCAAATGTCCTTTTGACTTAACAGCTATTGACTTGAAACGTTCGCGCTTACTTGATGGCGGGTTCGATGGGTTTGTATGGAAGATTCGACTTCAAAATAAAGCTTATGCTCTAAAGGTGGTAAGTTAATAACGAATTTGATTGAATTATTTACTACCTTAGGTACTGTACTTACTATAAGAATTAGTTTTGGGATGCGGCGCCGCCTGAATATGAGTATCATTTCGCAGCTCAGCGAGAGTGCCAGAACGCCGCCTTACTTCAAATGATGAAGGCTGCGATAAATGAGGCTACAACAAGCTCTCCGATTTTAATAGACCCTAATCCGAAGACTATGAAGGATGCCCTAATCAATACCTTGGCCTTCTCTTATGAAGGCCGCCAGTCTCAATTCAGAAAGGATACTAGAACCATGAAGATATCTTCGATGCCGCGTATGCGGCAATGATACGGATGGGTAAAATTTGACGGCCATATGTTCCTCGACTGGCCTATGAGACTCCGACCACCAACCTTTTGCATCGATAAAATCAAACGAGGCTTTTCCGCTAACAAGGAATACATTGGGATTATTTACGAATATGTGGAGGAGAGCGAAAATGATCCAGCTGTTGTAGAAGAGGTGGCCGATTTCCTCTGGCGTGCTGGTTTCGGTTTTACGTGGTCATCTGCTGCAAATATCTATATCTCCTATTCAGCCCTAGCGACTTCATTCCTCTCACTGAAGCGAGAAACTGGAAGGATGGCGTCTTAATCGACCTTTCCGATATCATCCATGCCAGTGGTTATGGATGGCGGCCAAATCTCTTTGGGCCAAGGAAGGCAGAGGGAATACTCAAACCGTGAAGCCGATTCCTTTAAGCCCCGGGTAGATCAGGATGCCGTTAGTACTCCGTCTTTGGGACAGGCGAGCGTGATATATTCGTCGATGGTGTTTTCTACCTGCTGCCTCGGAAACAAATCCGGATAGCACGTCGCTGGTGCTGATTATGGTCCTGACGGATAGATTTAGACTGCTGTCGACTTGTCTAGGTTGTCTTGACTGCATGGTTCTTTTTAATGTGAATTTTTATCTTATGCTGGTTATAGGTACCTAATCTAATATTGTTGCCATAAAACAAACATATTTCTAGAAGACTTCTTCCCTGAAATAATTCATATACCTGTTATAGTGAAGATGTCAACGTCCCAATATCACGCTTGCCAAACGAGAAGATCGTTATAACATTACAACTGGTATCTAAAGCACTTCTTCATATTGTGTACCTATGTATGGCATTTATATGGGATGCCGTATACTTATCCCATATCAAAAAACTGTCTTTCTAATATAACGTCGTATATCGTACACGTCTCCCACCGCCCAGAAAACCAATAACAGATATGTTACCTTGTACCTACCCCAAAGCATCTCATTCTGGTATCAATCTTCACACCATCTCCAACTCTCCCTCCCAATGCTCGCTTCCCCAAATGCAACAAAGCAAATCCCAAATATGCAATTTCGTTGTCTTCTCTTTTTTTTTTCTCTTTTTTTCCAAGCCTAAAATGCATAACGTCCCCATGCAAATGCAAATTCATATGTATGCGTATATACAATATAGTTTCGGTGATAAGCGAGTGCAAGTAGCATGTTATATACAGAGCTGCTGGCTCTCGAGGAATTACGGCGATTGTCTTTGCTGCTGTAAGATCCCCAGCCCGACGTCGGAAGCATTGGCCGTTTCCTTCAAATTCACTTTCTTGCCTCTTCTACTCAACCTATGAGTGCTGAATCTGGGCGATGCTTGAGGAGGACTCGAAGAGATGGATGGGCTACCACCCTGGTCATTGCCAACATCGACGCCAGAGCCGCTTGTCACCGAAATAGGCGACACCTCTCTTCCCTGTCGCGGAGACCCAAACTCCACGACTCTACCATCTGCCAGTCGAATCCCGCCTGAACCAGACCGTGACATTGGCTCAGCTTCCTTTGGTGACTTCGGGTCCTGGTTTAAACTGATCCTGGAGATCCTAGTTAAGCCACTCAATCTTCCACTTGCCGACTTGTGGCGACGCCCGTTACTTCCCCTTCTCCTTGGTTTGAATCGTGAGAGCAGGCTTGGAGAATTCGAGGAGTGAGACAAGCCTCCTGATGCTGTACGTTTACGACCACGGGCCGATTCGTTATAGAGCGAATAACTAGTAATTACAGGTTCAAGCTCAAGCCCGTCTAACCGCGGGCTGGGCTCTGTTTCTACTACGCTTGGGCGACGAGAGCGGGGTCTCTGCATCACTTGAGATCCTGGCGATGAGCTATGTGCTAATGGAGAAGGGGCATGATTCAAAGAATAGCTCGAGCTGTGGCTGTGACTTGACTGGTGGCTCGGATCGCGCGACATAGGTTGACTAGAATAACCTTGCGGATGCAAGTTTGGAGACATGGACGACGCTACCCATGAGGGCGGATGTTCTGGTGCGGGTAAACTCTCCGGTGGACTGTGCGCTGTATGCGGATATGGGAGACTAGGGGGTGTTCGGATCGAAGGGAATGAGTGAGCTAAGGGAAGATAGTCATCGCTTTTGGCAATAGAATGTTGGGGAAGTCTAGTAGAAGAGTCCCATGGATGAGGATTAGGAGCAGGTAAAGAGCGTAGACTGCTGTTGGAGTTGACTTCAATTGGAATCGGTGGTGGGACAAAAGGGCCTGTGGGATGGGATGGGCTAGATTGTGCAGACCTTGATAATACCCCAGAGGATGGTCTTGAAGCTCGCATTGAGGGAGAATGCGAGGGCGATGTTGAGGGTGGTCTCGATGGAGGCCCTGAAGATGACTTGGGTACGTGAGCCGTCTTATCGCCCTCTGGTAAAGAAGTTGTCTGCGCCGTTGGAGGGGCTGGTAATGGTGGCGATGTAACGGTGAGAGGAGTCGTAGCTAAAGGGCTAGATACTTTGACCGGAGCGAGCCCGTCGAGTGACACGGAACGATCATTCTCCCTGCGCCTAAGGATTGACGTGGCGGCACTACTTGGTGATGGGATTGGGCTTGAGAAAGTTACAGAGGGAGAATAATCCTCTCCAACTACAGCTTCGGCGTATGATGGCCTGCCGGCTATCAACCTTGGACGTGTGGCCGGAGTAACATCGCTGACGGATTCAATGTTACTCTCGATGCTTTGTTGTTGCGATGAAAGCGAGCCCCTGTTGATACGATCGAGGGTCATTCGTGCTTTAGTAGTATCGGAAGAAGTGCTATTTGTAGGGGAGCGTGGTCTAGCCATCTGCTCAACAGTTGACCTGTTGATAATGCCTTTTGCTGTCTCGCGGCTAATGCTAACGCGTGGGTCGCTCAGTATCTGAGAGGCGGCTCTCCAAGAACCGGCATGGTCACGGTAGCGCCGCCCGGCGTGCCGTTTGATAGTTCGATGGTTGGGGCCGAACACCCTCCTTGTAACTTCATCATCGTCTGGCATTGACATTGACTCGAAAACTTCTGTTGGCGCTGGTTGTGGCGTTACAGTTCTTGAATGGTCTTTATCGTCGTATGGTACGCCGTGCGGATAAGTAACATGCCAATGATAAGGATTATAGTCGCTGATACTGTAGATTGCTGGAGACTCTAACGGTGACAGCGGTGAGTTTTCGTCATACAAGATATAGGGTTCGGCTATGCTGCTATTGCTCGGAGGCGTTGACGTATCCTCTTCAGATAGACTGTTTGTCCGCTCGAATACAGAGACCACTGCTGGTTCAGACCCTTGACTAGAGCCGTCCGTGATTCGTCTAGTTAGTTCATCGATTCGCTTATCAATGGTGTTCAAACGTGATTCGACAAATTCTCGGCACTGGGTGAGTTCCTTGTTTCTTTTTTCGAACCGGCTTGTATGGGCTAGTAATCGCTCTCCGTGGATGCGAAGCCTTCGGAAGTCTTCAGGTACTCCTGTTTGGGGGTCGTCGGTAGCTCGGCGGTCGCTCATGTCGAAAGCTTTGCAGAAGACGCATATTGCCCGTTCCAACCAGAACGATGCTTGTTTCTCTTCCGCAAGCGCGTCAACGAAAAAGGCCTGAACAATTCCATGGATTCTTAATATATCGAGGCTATCCTGACCCATATCGACACTGCGAGTACTATGCGAGCTGGCTGAGGAGGCTTCGGTATTCTCATTTCTTTCCACGAGGGCAAAGGCAATGAGTATCTTGAACGTGTTATTCAATGACGACCTCCGAGTTTCGGGATCTGTAGATTTGACTGGTGTTCTTTTGTCGAGAGCCTTCGCTCCTATAGACATACTTAGTACGGCGGAAACGTGGCTCAGAAAATACGGTTACGTACCCAGTACTACCATTTCGACAGGTATATGCGTGCCGAAGAAAGACAGTAGAGACATCAAGTTCAGTGCGGCGACGGCACCTCTATGCTCTAGTTGTTCACGAACCGCCCGATACGCAAGGAGATTGCCAACCTTCGGGCGACTTCGGAACGACCTCAGATACTTCGCTAGGGGTTCTCGGGTAGCCTTTAGCTGTAGCGCTGCAACATGAATCATGAGAGGCAACCGGTCCATTAGTTCAACCAGCTCTTCGGCACGTCTCAAATCATCTTGAGTGTATGGCTGCCTCTTGCCCATCTCCTCGAAGAGTAGTTCCTGGGCTTCTTGTTTCGTCAACGAGTCCAGCGCTATAATCTGAGGATTATCAAACTGGTACTCTTCGCCCGCTGTTCGCTCTGTTGATGTATATATTATTCCGGTATTCCTCGTAAATGGAATATAATCCTCAAGGCCTGGAAGGTCAAAATGAATTCCATCTAAAATAAGTAGCCAATTGTCGTTGGTACTCAGCCATGTATGAACGGCCTTAACCATCTTGCGCGTATCGATGAGTCCATTGCTATCTAGGAACGTGACCTCATTTAAGCCTACCGTCTTTGCGATGTCCCAAAAGCCATAGTCTAGTTCTTCCAGTGATTTTGCCCTGATCCAGAAGACGCCGCCGGGGTAGTCATATCTATGCTGGAAAACATACTGTCTTGCTAGATGGGTCTTACCACCGCCAGGCATACTTTGAATCAGGACAGAAGAAGTCCCGACCGACCTTCTCTTGCGGTCCATTAGCATTTTATGGAGTAACTTCAGTTCTTTGTCCCGACCCTTAAAATGAGTGTTAGGACGAAAGACCGTCGGCTTCACGAATAGAGGTTCTTGAAGGGGGTCATCCTCAGATTTAGACTGTTGAGAAGGGAAATATTCTTCTTCCGATGGCTGATTAGGCGTCACTGGGCCGGTGATGAGCCGTCTAGGGTGGTGATCGATCTTCGAAGGATCTGGGGTTGAAGGCAACGTAGTTTCATTATGGTGCTGTGCAACTACAGAAAAAACAACAATCAGCTACGGCTCCTCGATCTCCGGTATCTAGTGCTTTCTTGTGAATAGTGATCATCGATCTCCTCAATCTCAAAAGGAAGCTGAACATCTTCAAACAACGCGCTCCCCAAATACCGATTATGATAGCGGTTTGAGCTACTTTCTAAAAAGGGTGGTGTTGGTAACCTACTGGATCCTTGGCCAGCCTGCTGTATACGCTGCGAGTCAATCTAGTCGGGGTTAGACGTGATTTCGTCGTGATAAGTGTTCAGTTTGAGAGGGACATACCCATGGCTTCATTCTCTCTTCTATTTCGTGCTTAGCCCGTGCTAGTTTCTCATCTTCTTCCACCCTCCAACGTGTGGCGATAACGTCCGGTGCGGCCACAACCCAATCTCTAAGGGCGGTAGCTATAGTTCTATAGCCTGGCGCATTTCTGCTCTCAAACTTGCACATCCCAGAGTGAGTTGCCTCGATCGCAAAATACGTCACGCCCGGAAGTTGGGGACTAGCGGAATGAGCGTCAACGATTAGCATTCTGGTTCCCTTCAGATCCGACTTATGGTTTTCGTGCGCCATGAGAATCTTGAATCTTTGGTAGATGTCGAGGAAATGAATATTGATGTTTTGTAAAGTTTCATTATCTCTTTTGAGCGTTTTTAGAAGAACCGACTCTGACTGAAAGAAGGTCCTGGGGACTACAGCGTCTGACATTGCCTGCAACATCGTACCCCATGCCGCCAGATCTGAGCCTGTATGCGGCGTACCCAGGAAGATCATACCATACGTAGATACATATATAGATCGGTAGTCTTCATGCTGCGAGGACCTTAGGTCGTTGGAATATAAAAGAGCGCGCTTCACCAAGATCCCGCCTAGGCTATGACACACCCAGACGATGGGATTATGAGATGTTTGCTCGTCCTTTCGATAGTGGGTGAGGGACGTTACTAATGTCTGCGCATGTACGTAAATGAAGTTATCGCTCGGGGTTGACCCGTGCTTCTTCGAGTATACATCGGCATTATATCCATAGACGAGGATATTCGCGCGGGCATCTCTGAGGGAAGTTGGAAGTAAGTCGGTAGGCCAGAAGACGTTATTCTTGGCCGTCCATGTCTTCTGCGGATCGCCGTTGAGTCCATGGACGAGAACGATATCTACCTTGGCATCAGGGTGTGTGTACACTGCGGTTGTCTCGTAACGCGAGATTTGCTTATTGATCGAGCCCTGCGGGGGAACTGGGGTTAGCAAGCCACTCATACTTGTAGATAGGAACGAAGCCGTCCGAGTCTTGAGGATTTGGTTTGCTCCCAAAAGTCGGATTAGGAAGCATCGCCAAATATGAGCGACTACCATAACCAGACTTCGGGGTATGAAGGGCAATAAGTCTACGAAGAGTGACTTGGATGATATATCAAACCCCGGATAATCTCAGATAGGTACATATGAAACGAACGGATGAAAAAAAAAGAGAGGAAGGGCTTAAACATACCATGCTTTCTTGAAGACAAGAAGAGGACTCAAGCCAATATTATTATTATTACCTTTCGGGTAGTAGGTGTGTATGTGTAAGAGCTGTAACTGGAAGACGTGCTTCTCTACTTATAAAGGAGGGTCAGATTTCACTGCGATCAGCGTCGCGCATGACATCAGGCGTAGATAATGACAGTAACGGAAGTATGAGTTCGGGATACATCGAAGTATTAGACTTGGGGAAAGGTTATATACGGTATACTTTGAAGAGTCATAAGAAATATACTAGATGGGCAAGTAGATTTTCGGCAATGCCTGACCAGTGGTTACAAGACAAATCCCCATACGGTTGAGTAGTTCTCCATGTGCGATTCCATGTGCTATTAACACGACGTTGCCCTGCTTAAAGTTGGAAAGGTCTGATGATTAAACAGTGCTAAGCTTCGGTCGAGGCGGAATTTGAGGGTTGGTCAAACAGGTCACATCGAAAAGAGAGACTTGGGTAATGGGGGTGTACAGAATTGAAGGGATGAGAGTAAAAAAAAAAAAAAAAGTTGAAAAGATGCAAGTAGTAAGTAGCAGGAAGTAGCATCACGGGGCCCTGTTTCTAAGTTTCGTCAGCTGGTTCGGTGTCTATGGGTGGTGCACTCTGCCCTCAGTCTGAGGCTCAGCAATATTTTTTTAGTTTAGTCATACCTTTCTATTTCCCCACACCATCCTTGACCAAGCGACAAAGTTACTACTACTCAAAGTTGCGAATTTGCATAGGGAGTTATTACGGTATGTGGTTGCCTTGTAAATTCCCCTTTACCTGTTGTTGTATGAAGACGTTCCTGCAAGCGACGTAAGAAGCTAGGCTATGCAGTAAGACGGGTGGACAAGTGGGTCTCATTAAGCAAGGGCCTTTGATCTGGGGGGCCAGGGGGGGCGATGGGGAAGGAAGGCAACGAAGATATGCACTAAGAAGGCGTCGTAATTCGGCACTTCCATGTTTGTAAGAATAGAGTAATGCGTACCTGCTTAAGTGGGATCTTACCTAGTATCAGGTACCCATACCTATAACCTTGAGTATTGTATAATACATAAAATATACCTAGGCTGTTACCTTGGACAGGAAAGGCTTATGCTAGGTTCATCCTTAATGAATTACCTCATGTACCTAGCACACCTGCACACACCTAGGGTTAGGTATTGGCATATGCAACGTAAGTGAAGAAGCCCTATCTGTGAATGTCAAGCATTTGACGTCAACTAGATCGTATTTTCGTTGGCCGAGTCTAACGAAATCCGAGACATCGGACGGCGAAAACCGTTAGTTGATCATTGATTGGATGGATAAATCGCCTTCGTCACAGTCATGTTGATTGGTATAGCTACCCAGTTTTTGTTGAATAGTGGTACGTCCCTATCTGAGGTTGCCTGCCTGATACTAGGTACTTAAAGGTACTAGGTATGCACCTATTTCTACTACCTATTAAAATACGTGCGTGCCGTGTGTAACCATCGCGCGAACCATTCCACCAGTACGACGCTCGAGATAAAGCTTAAACTTTATTATAGATGGATAGATGTTTGCACTAACTCACTAACTCACTAACTATCGGCCTTAATAAACTATAGCGGAGTTCCCGACTAAGGTTAACATGTTGGCGTGGAATAGTGTTGTTAGTATTGGTAATGGATTATATTAGAAACGCCGAGAAACTGCCTCTTCCTTAAGTTGCTTAACTGTGAACCTGGGTAGTTTGGTTATCTACTATATTCAAACGTTCTAGGCTTTCTGGTATTCACATAAATAAGTACCTAGAATTACCCTATTTAAGGTAACTTCGCCAAGTATAGGAGGTTCCAGGCATATCAAATATTTATATTAAGAATATTAATCAACCAGCAAAAACCTATCTACCATTAAAATTACCTCTTACACCAAATATAGGCATTATAAAGGGACACCATCTCTAAAATCAGTAACTACCTGGGTGTTGTATTTGGAAGTAAGAATTAATTGATTATAGACCCCGAAGGGTAGTCTCGGGGTTCTATCCCTCGCCCGACTAGTTTACTGAAATGAGAACTGATATTTCGTTGCAAATTACGGCACGCTGCATGTGTGGCGGATGACAACAACTTGAGCTGTTCAGATTAGGTACCTTGATTCCCTGAAGACGTACTTCTAGGCATGTATTTCAATGTGACGTCCCAGAGTACTGGATCGTCATCACAAAATTAATTATGCAACTGGTGGGTTATCAATATGTTTCTTGTTGAAGCTTTATTCATTTTTCTCCCCTTCTTTCCCGTATGTAATACGATGAGTTTCACATGGGAACTATCATGAGGTTGCATTATCTAGCGGTCTGGCCGCTACACGGAGATCATTCCGCTGAATTCTATATCATCGTTATTCTCCATCCTGTGGAACAAGGGTAGTTCCACTGGTGTTCGTATGCGGTTGTAGTTCTCACAACGGTTATGTAAGGGACTGAAGGTTCTACTATCTAGGTTGGGCTAGGCGGCGGTTAGAATAGGGCCAATCGACCACCACTACCACCACTACCATTACCAGTCCGTCACAGTCTCACATGCCAGGTACCCTCATGCTTTACCAGTTGGAAAAACAGCCGACTCTTCGGCATAAGTTGTTGGTTCCTGAGTTCCGAGACATGACACACCCGAAGTGAGATATCACTATGAAATATCACTTCTGCACCTCGCTGTATGCTATTCTAGGACCGTCACCGCATGATGAGACTGTCCCGTGATGACCGAAAAAAATTTTCAACTTCGAAAAATCATCTCGTCAACTCGGTTAGCGAGTGATAGACGAGTGATAAGACTAAAAAACTTCAAAAGGGGCGGATTTGGGTGTGTAACATCAATAGGGGTACTGCCTCATTAGCTCGTACCGACGATAGCCTCCTCGATCTTTCTATAGGAAAAACTCAAGGCGACTCCGGACGGTTGCAGAAAACCATTCTGCCGTTCTCTGGAAGGCAGAAAGAAGGCCAAGGAAAAGGAATCCATTGCCTGGTTTCTATGTCCGGTAGGCCGAGGAAGATTTTGCGATTGCCTACATCATCGGTGCGCCCTGGTCTCGAGGGACTCATGCAATAGTCACACAGTGTAGCGTAACAACGATCATGCCATACTGAATTGGCACGCGAGGCTGTGCTCTTTGTTCGGATTCACAAGGTTTAATCCTTGGGGGCAAGCATTATAACATATTCTCGTGTGCTCTGGCCAAACTGAATCATGTCCTTGTCTCTGAGTTCGAGATATCTGCTCTCGGGCACCCTCTTCCCGTTAAGCATAGTTCCATTGGCACTTTCCAAGTCGATTAAGTAGGGCTTCACTTTGCCTATCTTGTCGCCGTACTCGTTGCGCTTTTCAATGTAGCGGAACTGTATGACAGCATGTTGTTTGCTGATACTCGGGTGTTCGGCAGGTAAATCCACAACTGCCAACTCCCTGCCTACCAACCAGCAGCTACGGTTCCCGAGAGAGATAGTATCCACGATATCTTGACCCTTGAAGACGAATAATTTCCACTGGTCCTTTGGAGACGCCTTGCGGGCTTCGGGCGGTTCATGATACTTTAGCACTATCTTGGAACCGTCTGACTGAATAACGGAATTGGAGGCAGCAGCTAACGCGCCCGTGTTACCATAGTTGGGCTTCTCTTTCGGTTTCGGCGGCTCCTCGCCTTGGGTAACAGCGAAAGAGTCAGCCTGAGAAGGTAATGGACCGCTTCGCTTCACTATTTGTTTGGAACCTCTGTCTCTATCTCGGTGATCGTAGTTGTTATCGTCTCGCGCCCGAGTGCGGTGGGAACTTTCATTACGCCTGTCGTAATCGCGTGATCTTCGGCGTCTATGCTCGCCTCTTCTACCCCGATCACGGTCCGGAGAGATTGATCTACGGCGAGGCGCGTCGTCGGGAGACCTTGAACGGTGGTGGCGTCTTCTGTTTCTAGACCTATCACGAGACCTTTCTTTTCTTCGACTATCGCGTCGATGAGAATCGCTGTGGTGGCTAGTCCGGCTCCGCCCATCACGTTCGTAATCATTGTCGCCATCGCTTCGTGAGGCTCTTCGCTCGCCCAGGGGAGATTCACTGTAACCCATGTTTTGAAGTAAATATATGGATGGTAGCCCAGTGGCTGCCTGTTCAATTCGAGCTGAAAATAAGTGAGGCGGGAGAGAAGTATGATTAAACTTTTTCGGTCATAAATTTGGAAAGGCTTGTGAGGCTGAAGTTTGCGCGCGAGTGAAGCTAGAGAAGTTAGCAGCTTGCAGGTTACAGCTTACAGCTTACAGCCTTTGGCCCTTGCATGGGACAGAGCTGTTCTAGTACGCTAATCGCAGTTGCTCACGTCAGGTCTGGTACCTCGGCTAGTCAAATATCTGTATATATTTATAACCATATATATATGCATTTCAAAGAATATGTACATATACAAGACATCTATATAAGAGGTAAATTACCCATACTCCAGAGTCCAACTTTGCTGCCTACGATTTTCGCCTTTGTACGGATCCGTATGAAACCTTCAAGTTTCGAATTTGCCATCCTCTGCGCCATCCATCTACGCGTCTTTCTAGTGACTGCTACGCGATGACGATACATTACTAAGAAATCTCTACGCTTAAGTACTTTATTAATTGGCCTGGATGACTAGGATGCTTAAGGTATTTTGCTACAGTAACAACCTGTCCAGCTACTCTTCGAAGTTTACGCAGCTATACGTATTTACCAATAAATCTACGCGGTATTACGCGTCATGAACCACATACACATTTCGAACCCTTAAAATAAAGATTAACTCGTACATAAAGCAGTCTTAAATTCAAATTCACAACCAATCAATGAAACCTAAATATCCAGTACCATCCCCATGCGCCTCGATGCGACGCGTCTTCCTTATGGCAGTGCTCAAGGCACCGGTCACAATGAAAACGATGTGAAAGCAAAAATTGCGGAAACTACGATCCACGAGGGATAATAGAAGAGGGTCGACTCCGCGCTGTGCAATGCAGGTCTCTCCCCTTAAGAGTCCTCATTCTTGAGCGAGGATTCTTCTTCCAAGGTAAGTATGAAGAAGAGAAGAAAAAGAGAATCCTGAGAGTTGGGGAGGGACGCCAGATATTTATAAGAAAAGTTTAAACGGGGTCCCAGCTGCACAATCAGTACCAGGCGGCACTAATTCTTTGTTACCAGATAGGCAGCCAATCAAAGAAAAGATTTTGTTCGCTAAATTCAACGACCCACTGAAAGAAGTTTAGTGTGGAATCAATACAGTTTTATTGAGTGACTACCTAGGTACCTAGGTACTTTGTAAGCGTCTTTTTGTACCAAAATACAAAGCATTCAACACAATGTCTCGTTAGCTTCATTAGTGACAAAAGACACACATTGTGGTGTTGACCTTATTGAACAAATCGATTTAGTACGGGATGGAATCTGGTCACAGTGGTGCCTGTGCCTATTGAAAGATTTTGGTGGTTGCATGAGGTACAGTCTTAGGTAACTACACGCGGACCTATCCAGTGTACACTGAACAATGCTGGGTATGGGGGACTACCTAAGGATGAAAACATCAAGAGTCAAATTGGGAGAGTTTCGATGAATCTTGACTTAGCTTACCGATCCCAACATAAATATTGTACTCCGCGATCTCCTTACTAAACATTTCATAAAGAAACTTTGAAAATCACCTCCTGGCTGGAAATATCAGTCGATCATTAAGGGGCGATGGTTTCTCGTAACAGGCTTCCCCTAGACCGTTCCTGAAAACAATTGTGAATTTTTGCTACTAATGCTCTTAACCTTCCTGCTGGATTGGCAAGGGAAAATCGACGAACGTTCAGACCTCCCTCGTAGTCTGCCTTGTGATCTGTTTCCCATTCGCCTGATCGGAATCAGACGCCTCCTCCACCGCACCATCCTGTCTTTCTCTCCAGTCCAGCCCCCATTCTACAATGTTCGGGTACTTTCGAACATGAAATCGCATCGCCAGCATACACCCTATACTCCCTACGCAAAAGGCCGCAGCCAAAGGGAACCCTATCGGGTACGTAGGCGAGTCGGACACCCGCCACGCGCGCAGCGGGATCGTGGCGTGCCCGACGTATACCAGCGTAATGGCAATGGCGACGATGATCGATCGCGCCTCGGGTTCCCTGCGCAATATCTCCGCCAGCCACGCTACGAGCGCGTAACCCCAAGCGGCCGTGGCAAACGTGAGGAAGTAAAACGTCATGATTGTAGAATGCGATTGGGGCCATCCAGCTAGAACGGAGGTTGCTATTAATTGCAAGGCGGCAGTGGCGCAGGATACTTGCCACCGCCAGCCTTTCCAGTCGCTCAGCGCGTTCAGTGCGATGTTGCAGACAATTGAGATGGCGTACCCCCCAAGCGGAATAAGATTCACCGTGTACGTTGAATATAGCGGCTCACCGTTTTCGTCTTTCACTCCTTTCAGGTACAGAAGGAAGTACGAGTTGGCGCGTTGTGACCAGGCGAACTGGAGATAGGCCGCCAGGAACAGGTACGTAAGGGGGTTTTGGATCAACGAGCGGAGTTTCTTAACAAGAAGTTCAAACGGAATCAGCTCCGAGGTCGTCATTCCGTGTTTAGAGAGCCTTGTGCGCGCTAGTTCCCTCTCGGAAGGGTTCAAGTAAAGAGCTCGAGTGATCGTAGGGGAGTCGGGGATGACTAGGAATCCTATTGCTCCCCACGTCATCGTCATAATACCGGAGACGATAAAGAGCCACTGCCAACCCCCAAGACCATTCACCCCATTGAGATTCTTATAGAGGGCGGCTTGTAAGATTCCTAAAAACATGTTACCAGCCACGCCGCTGACGCCGAATATGGCCAATCGCTTGCCAAGCTCTCTCGGTGTATACCAATTGAAGATGAGACTGACGAGACCGGGCCAAGACGTCGACTCGAAAACACCCAGGAAGAATCTCAGGACGGAAACAGCTCTCGCATTAGGCGCCTTATAAGTCGCTAACGTGAGCGCGCCCCAAATTATCTCGCAGATTGGCAAGAAGATCGAGGGGCGGACTCGCGTCTGTATCATCTGAGCGGGGACGATGAAGAGCGCGTAGCCGATGGAGAAATATGTGGTGAACTCGACGAGTTCGTTTCCGTACAGCGAAAGAGATTCTCTCATTCCCGAGACGTAAGCCTGCGTCGTCGTAGACTGGTCCATATCCTTCATTAATCCGGCGATGAAGGCCCAGGCCAATAGGAGGACGTCGAGTTTGAGGACTACAACATGTTCCGGGTCCTTGAAATAAGGATGTATCTTTCCAAGCCATGTTGGAGATGCAGTATATACCACATCAGGCTGGATATCTGGGTCTGGTTTGGCATTATCTTCACTGGACTGAATTAACGCCATGGCTGCAGTACTCCAGGTTAGAGCACTATATTTATTAGATACGATAGAAGTAAGCCATGATCAGGTGGCATTAATAATTTCAAGAAAAGGACACCCTGTGACGCGCTTACGTACAGAATCGGCAATATACTAGGTATGATATGGATTGTTATCAATTACCCAGTACAAGATTTTCAAGTAAGAACTACCTAACGCAGTGTTACCAACTGGTCAGGTTATGATGACATCCAAGCTATAATCATGGCATTGAGCGCCGACCTACTTGACCTCGGCGCCACCTATATAATAGATCTATTAGCTATTTAGTTCTAATAATAGTATTCCGCAGCTATTAAACTGCACGGTTGGTATTTTACATCTCTTCTAACCCCAGTATGTCATGCCGTCATCTCTCAAACCGATGTCGTGATGAACGACTAACTTATCTAATCCGCCTCGGGCCCGATTCATGGCCCGCCCGAAGCCTAGACATGCAGTATCACGTCGGGGTTACAGGGATCGACTTTAGCTCTTTTGGGGTAACTCGGCCGGTAAACGGCGAGAGTGGCATGTTCGTAGAAAAGCTTCAGCTCCGGTGCGGATCCTGGTAACTACTACATATCTTGAGTAAGAACCAGCGTACCGGTAACCACTCTTCGATTTTTGAAAGTATTTAAGAACACAATTCGAAGCTATTAATCAACATGCCATCTGATCCTCTGTATCCGGCGTATCTTCCAACCAGGCCAGATGGGTACACGCCCACCTTGGATATCCCCGAATTCGAGGCGGATGAACCAGGACGTCGCGCGGACCCCTTAAAACCGACGATTTTCAAAACGGGCGCGAAGATAACAAAAATTGCGCCGAGGATTGGGGCGGAAATCACCGGCGTTCAGCTCAGCGAGTTCTCTCCGGCGGGGTTGGACGAAGTAGCTCTGCTGGCAGCCGAAAGAGGGGTCCTAGTTTTTGTGAGGCCATGGAAAACGACGTCGAGGAAAAAGAAACAACTACTGACGTTGAAATTTAACTAGAGAGATCAAAACTTTGCGGATATTGGATTTGATAAACAACGGGAGATTGTCAAGTACTATGGTCCCTTGCATAAGCATCCCACGATGGGCTACCCTACAGGAACAGGTCCGGAGTTCCACGTGGTATATGCGGATGAGACTGCGTAAGTGAATTACGAAATTCGACGTAGAAACAAGAAAGTCGTAGGTACCTACATATTAATGTCATCGCAGTGGTAATCTCAGAACGCTTCTAGGTCCTCATACGACGTACGACTTATGGCATGTCGACCAAACATTTACGCCCAACGTGCCGTCAACTACCTTTTTCTGGGTTCTTGAAATCCCCGAGTCTGGTGGCGGTGACACGGCCTTCACATCTCTGACGGCTGCATATGAAGCTCTGTCGCCCACGTTTAGACAGCTCCTCGGAGGGTTAAGCCTCTTTCACACGTCGGCTTCGGTCGGAGAAGTTGCTCGCGTCGGGATGGAGCGTGCCTTGAAGGAGGCCGTTAACACAACCCACCCCTTGGTTATCAGACATCCCGTCACGGGAAAACCGTCGCTATTCGTAAATCCTACGATCGCCCGTAAGATCGAGGGGCTCTTACCAGAAGAGTCGGATAATCTCCTCCAATTCCTACACGAGCACATCAGAAGTCTCGATTTTAGCTGTAGGGTGAAATGGGAAAAGGGCACGGTTGTGGTTTGGGACCAAAGGACTGCGGCGCATAGCGCGGTGCCCGACTTTGCGGACGGAGAGAGGCGGCATATGGTGCGGATGATACCTTACGGTTCTAAGCCCCAGCCGGCGTTCCCAGAAGAGTTCAAGGCTTCCAAAGGGAAGATATAGGGTTAAGTTTAGATAAGGGAATAAATACCTAGGTACCTAGGAAATATGTTTAAGGTAGGTACTAGGTTAGGTACCTATCTACCATTGAGTGTTTTGTGTACCTCGTGAGGTACTTCGTGTACTTCGTGTGTAAACGGACCTCAAACGCATCAAATAAAAAATGGCATTGCATAAGGTACGTACTAAGAGACCTGGATTTAGTGTTACACTCATCGTAAGTCACATCATTATACCTAGGTGCTTAATCGAGATGTGACATGTTAGGAGAGAAAGGCAAGAAGCAGGCCACGACCTAATCTTAATCGCGGGAAGAGTGCATAAAAGTAAAACCAACGTGGCTATGCCATGGCAGCCTGCATCAATACCTACCTGTATGTTCAGAGGAGGGTACTCACGATTCCCCCCTGGATTTCAAGCTCCAAGTTCTTCTCTTCAAACAACACTGACACAAAACCAAGTCTAGGTGAATATACCAACTTTTCAACGTCTTATTTTGTCTAAATCATAAAAAAAAAATGGCAGCCGAGGGGGCGGCCGTACCGCTTCAGTCAAAAGACCACAAGACTTTGATGGACATCATTGATAAATTGAGGTCCAAGGGAATCAACCGCTATGTCAATCTACCTCAGATCGTCGTCTGCGGCGATCAATCCTCTGGTAAAAGCTCTGTGCTGCAAGCCATTTCGGGCATGACCTTTCCGACCAAGGACAGCCTCTGCACGCGTTTCGCGACGGAATTGATCTTGCGACATACCAATGAGCACACTGGCGAGAAATGTTGCGTATCCATCTCTCCCGGTGACGATCGCTCACCCAAGGAAAAGGCACTCCTTGAGAAATTCCAATACTCCGAGATCCCTGGTAACTTCAACATCGGGACCTTAGTGGATAAGGCCAAAGAAGCCATGGGCGTTGGTATTGATAAAGGCAGGACCTTCTGTAAGGACATCCTTCGCATCGAGCTATCCGGACCAGCACAGCCTCATTTGACAATTGTCGACCTCCCAGGCCTGTTTCGGGCTGGTAATAAGGAGCAATCGACCGAGGACGCCGCCATCGTGCAATCGCTAGTCTTATCATACATGAGGAACCCGCGCAGCATCATTCTGGCTGTGGTTTCAGCTCAGAGTAACTTCGCTTTACAGGAAGTTACTCAACACGCGCGCGAGATAGACATTCGCGGAGAGCGGACCTTGGGGCTTATCACAAAGCCGGATACGCTTGATGTCGGCTCTGCAAGCGAGCGGGACTACTTCGATCTGGTCCAGAATAGGGACGTCAAGTTCAGGCTCGGATGGCACGTCGTGCGAAACCGCGATTTTAAAAGCAGAGATTGCACCAACGAAGAGCGGGATCAAGCGGAGGCAGAATTCTTCGACCAGGGCGTCTGGGCCGGGCTACCACGATCCCACAAGGGCTCTGCAAGCCTCCGCACTAGGCTGAGCGAGGTGCTGAAGGAACAGATTCTCGAGCAGCTCCCGGATGTTTTGGAAGAGATACAGAGGGGACTAGACCAGTGCTCGAGCCAGCTCGAAAAGCTTGGTGTGGCTCGTAGCACGCTCGCCGAACAACGAAAGTACTTGCTTAGTGCCAGCCACCAATTCTCGAACCTTATAACCGAAGCGAAAGACGGGTTCTATCAGAATAAGTTCTTTGGAAATGTTAGAGAAGATGCAGGATATCGTAAGCGACTTCGCGCTGTGGTGCAGAATACTTTGACCGATTTCGCTCAAATAATGCAAACCGATGGAGAAGCAAGAAAAATCGTCGAGAGCGCCTCGAAGAGTGATACTACACAAGTCTCGCGGGCTGACTACTTGCTGGAAGTGAAAGACTTGATGAGAAGAAGTCGGGGATGTGAATTGCCAGGTACATATAATCCTCTGATAATAGGCGGGCTATTTCGTGAACAATGCAAGCCCTGGAGGAAGTGGTTAGAAAGCTTCTCCAGAGACATATTCGAAGCTGTTGATCTAACAGTCAACGATGCGTTGTCTTACATTGTGGGTGATGATACGAAGGCGAAGCTATGGGGCGAACTGATTAGCGATGGCTTGGAGAAGCTTAATCGCCAGCTTCACGACAAGGTAGACGAAATCTTGCGACCTCACGAGGACGGCCACCCGATCACTTACAACCACTATTTGACAGAAAATGTCCAGAAGATTCGCACGAGTCGTTATCAAGAGAGTATTAAATACGTACTTGAAGAATATGAGCGTATGTTAGGTGTGCTTCCGGGAACCCCCGAGAAAATGTCAGAGGTGATTACGAAGCTTACCGAGAGAAACATGGAGACTGTGGCAAGTTCGGATGCCATTGACTGGATGGAAGCGTACTATAAGGTACCTAACCCCCTTTAACTCCTATTGGTACCTACCTACGCATGGGCTAATGATATAACAGGTAGCACTCAAACAAGTTGTAGACGACTTCAGTAAACTGGCTATCGAGGCCTGCCTCATCTCGAACTTACCTGGGCTATTCACGCCGGAGGTCGTATTTGAACTCACCGACGACACCATCAGAAGGATTGCTGCGGAAAGTTGGGAAACCGCAGATGAACGAAGATTTCTCACAGAAAAGATGAGCGTTCTGAGCAGTGGAATGAAGGAATTGCAGCGTCTAAGCAAGTATCACAACCGCATAGGTGGTAAGTTATTCATTTAATTACATACCAATCTTAACCCGTTTTTATATTTCCAAATCGTGGTAGAGCTGGCCATCTTCTAACCGTCTTATAGAGAAGCAAGCAAAAAAAGTAGACTATGTGTCGACACCTGCATCTGAAAGAGAAGAGTCCTGGAAACAAGAAACGTCGGAACTATCCGACCATGAGCTTTTAGAGGAATCGATCCACGAGGAAGAAGCAAGCCCGGCATTGCTTGAGACTGCTACCCCAAGAGAGAAATGGTCTCTTAAGGTTAACACTCCAGTAGTCGAGGCTCCCAAGGAAGAGCAGGCGCCTACGCCCACTAACGATTCCTGGGGGTTGGCCACAGCGGCTGAGGAAAAGAAAAAGATAAGAAAGCTCACATATAGTTTCACCAGTCCTGGCGTATTTGATGATTTATAAAATCGTACCCTTGAAAATTCTGCCACAGGACTACTTGTACCTGTCAAATGGATTGTACATTCATTTTGATAGGACTGGCTTGGATTCCACTATACTCTGACAGATAGCAATGGATACATCGACTTGCAGCATGACAAAGAGAAGATACACATGTAGTTCCATGAAGCATGAAGTTGCTGTCTACGCGCTTTATTAAACTGTCTTGACCGTTGCCTAGAGAATGGCTTATGCGTTATGCTTACTTGGTTCCGTCGGTATAAGATGAATATAACCTAATCATTTGGTAAATTGGGAGGTGGCCTTCCACTGAGTGTGAATTGAGTGTGAATCTATGACTGATACAAGTAGAGTGGTACCTAAGGTCTCAAGAGAAAAGTGCCTAATGTGACAAGTGATATATTCCCTTTAACTGAGTAAGTACATCGTATGATTTATGTAGATATAAATCGAAGCCACTAGGGTAAACACATGCCATCGAGGTTACTGTAGGTACTAGACGTATCTAGGTGATGTATCTAGGTGATCAATAATATAATGAGCCCAGCCCGTTTGTGTGTTGGCTCGGGAGGGGAAGCTTACATATCCCGAAACGCAAGTAGGTAGGTAGGTACCAACCTGGCATAAGTCTTTGGATGGATGCATAATCCAATAGGCGTAGACAATAATGCCTAGAGCAAACGGTGCTGTAGGCAACCTGTTGCCCGGTTTTTGTTTGATTGGAGCCACGAAAAAGGTATGAAAAGACCTATATGGTTGAAGACTTGAATTTGTTAGGGTTACTTCTGAAAGTACCTCCTGCAGCCTAGGAGTGACGACGTACTTGTACCTCTTCAAAGCTTTACTTTGGCATACTACGCACATGCGCAGGTATTTATGCTACCAACTCCCCAATCATTTCCAAGATTCTCTGAAGCACCACTCGCCCTACCAGAGTCTACCTAACCTAGGCAAACAGCGAGACCAGCAGGGCCAGGTTCACGATGGATACTATTGACGTTTCCGAACAAGAAAAATACATCACCTTATTCCAACAGTTCAAAGAGAATGCGGAGAAAGCACGTCGTCGCAAAGGCGAAAAGCCTCGAGACCACCCCCTGCCCATGTTCCTTACCATGAATTTCCTATTTAAACTTCATTATACTGCTAATGTAATAAGCCAAGGAAGCCACATGCTTTACACGTCGCAAGTCCCGCCGTTCTACCCCCCCTGTGCTCGTCCCGTCCAGGAGCTCAAGCGTCTGATGATATCAGACATGGGACTCGAGACGCACCACAGAGGGAGCTATGTCATGATTCATGTGATGACCCCTCCAAATCGGATGACTGCCGTCACGGCTATCGTCGAAGACCAGGAGGGGACCGCTGTTCTGCTTCAGCTCTACAACCAGCCTGAAGAATCCATGGTTGCCAAGGAGCATATCATTCGGGAAAATGATGTCTGCATAATCAAGGAGCCTTTCTTCAAGGTTACCAGCGATGGCTCGTACAGCTTGCGGGTGGATCATGTCAGCGACATCACCTGGCTCCAAGACATCGACAGCCGCATCCCCATAGAGTGGGCAGTCAGAATCTTGTCTCTGAACAACAACTCTGAAAGTATTCGAAAGGAGGGAAACGAAGCGGTGAAGAAGAAGGACTGGGCCAAGGCAGAGCGCCTGTGAGTATCTAGGTAGTCATTCATGGGTGAAATTGGGTGTTTCATGACTTAAAGAATTGGAATTGACTAGGTGAACTCATAGGTATACAAATGCGATACGTGCCGCCAAGACGGCTAAGGAGGGAGAGCTTGCTCACCTCAATCGCTCTCTCGCCAACTTCTACCTCGACCGGCCGGAGAAAGCACTCATCGATGCACAGAAGGGAAACACAGGCGACGACTCCCTCGTTGAGAAAGCACTATTCCGCGAGGCCAAAGCTCTCTACGCGCTTAGGAAATTCAGCCTCTGCCGAGAGAAGCTCGTGCTCTGCGTGCGTTATAACCCTAAGAACTCAGACGCGTGGAGCGAGATTAAGCGCGTCCAGCAGCGTCTCAACGAGGAGACAACGGGATCGTATAGGTTTGGCGACATGTACGAACAAGCTAACAAAACACCGCCTCTGATCGATTGCGCTACCTACGTCGGCTCGGTGGAAGTCCGCGATTCACCCGGCCGAGGCAAGGGTCTGTTTACCACGAAGCCCGTCAAGGCAGGGGAGCTTTTACTGTGCGAGAAAGCTTTCGCGTACAGCTATGCTGGCGATGATAGCAATACCGGCAGATCGAACACGACTGTGCTCATGAACTGGAATACAAACAATATTTGGCTGGGTGGGCAAGCAAATCTCATCAACCAGACCGTCCAGAAACTGTATCATAACCCTGATGAGGGGAAGGCGTTCACGGAATTGGATCACAGGGATTATACCCCTGTTGCCGTGTCAGAGGTCGATGGAGCGCCTGTGGTTGATACGTAAGTCTCCGGAGTATGTGTACCGAATAGGCTAGGATGCTGACATGAAAACAAAACTGTAGATTCTTCGTCGTGAGGATCATCCAGTTAAACAGTTTCGGAGCCCCACGCACCAGTTACAAGTTCTCCATGTCGACCCTGCCCGCGCTAGACAACGGCAGCAAAATACCAAAGGACAAATCGACCGACCACACCACATGCGGCATCTGGCCCATCGCATCGCGCATCAACCACTCCTGCGTTCCGAATTGCTGCCGCGCTTTCATCGGCGACATGCAAATCGTGCGGGCCTGCACGGACCTAGAAGCGGGCGCGGAGCTGGTTTTCGAGTACCGCGTGCCCGGGCTCCTCGAGACATACGAAGAAACCCAGAAGAAGCTCAGCCACTGGGGCTTTGTCTGCAAGTGCGCGCGGTGCCTCAACACGAAGTCTACACCTCGGAAGGCTGCGAAAGAGCGCAGCGCTCTAGCAGCCAAACTCGCGCTGGTGATGCGGCAGAGTCCCTCCCGGGCGCGGATAATCCAGGCAACGGCTCTGCTGAAGGAGTTGGAAAAGACCTACGTAAATAACCCAGCTACGCCGCCGGTACTGCGCATGGAGTTACCAGACGGGTACTTTGCGCTCGGCGCATACATGGTCCAGAGGAATAAGCCTATGGAGGGGTTGGAGATGCTTCTCAAGGGGCTCGAGGCGTTCGGATATGTCGTCGAGGCATGCCCGCCGAGGGATATGGCAGAAGGGAAGACGAAGACGAACGCGGTGCTGAATATAAAGCGCTGGGGAAAAGCCAACGAGTTTGTCGTATGGGCATTCTCGAAGATACTACATGCTTATAATAAGCTTGCGCCTGATCTTTCTGATGTCGCGAAGGGGTATTTTCGGGTTTCTTACAGCATCTCCTGTGGCGAGGACGAGACTATTCAGACAATTTTCCCAGGCTTTGAGTAGATGTAAGGCTGTAATGAAGGGATGCATGGGGGAGAATAGGCAAATAGCAATCCGTCATTGGTCACGGATGTGAGTTGTGGGTTGTAAATCTCTGACTCTAGGTACCTAATGGACTATCCTTATTGAGATCGTCAATTACCTCCCCAGTTGCTCGGAAATACGTCGTCTTCTGATTAAGGCCGACGCTTTGGGATAAAGCCTACCCATGTGGTTCTGACACTCCCGTGGATATATTGTTGATTTGCACGAGGTTATATCTCGCCGCGCACGCTTCTATGTGAATTGGTCCGACATATTTGATTGCCCCCTTTTCGAGCATAGACCCTAGGTGAATTAGATTACCTCCGGTACCTTTAGAAGGAAAAGGGGGTTGAAAAAAGGGGCTGATGACATAATCATAATACCTCGGTAAAACTCCAACTAAATAATGAAAAACCTCCAGCTCCCTAACACATCAACTAGAACCAAAAAATTATTTAATATGTCGGGCTGAGTGATATATTTGCCAAACAAGGGAGCCATCCGCTCAGTATATCACACTTCGGTTCCAGATCGGCACTTCCTCAAAATTTTCGACATTCAATCTAAGTTTACCCCTCTCATCAAGCCAGGCGCCTTGATCACTAGCTTTGAGACCGTAATTTTCATTCTCCGTAACCTCGTTCTGGCTTACGCCCATCGGATCCTTGGCGATCCATATCAGAGGCGTTGGGCTCGTGAGTGCGGGGTTCAGGTACGCTTTTTGGAGTTGCTCTTCCGTGTACTCCGGGACGTCCTCCTCGCTGTTGAGCAAGTCCCCATCTCGTAACCACGACCGCATGGCTTGGTACGAAGCGAAGACCTGCGGTTCGAAGAAACGAGCGATAGGATCTATGACGCGCTGTGCGATTGTTTTTGGTACATCTGCCCGCTGTGCTAGCTGCTGAATCCGGGACGTCGACTGCAGTTGTCCTTCTTCGGCAGAAGCCAAAAGCGGGGTCGACTCGTCGTCCCTCTCGGCTAGTGTAGCGAGGTCAGACGGTAAAAATTTCTCAAGTGGAGAAAGATACCTGTTTGTTAGTATGTTATAAAGTATCGTCACGATGAATAACAGGCCGGTTATAATGGACGGGCCAGTTGCTTTTCTCAAGCTAAAAAGACCGAGCAAGGACAGCTCAGCAATGTATACGCCTGTCAGAAGGTGCTGTAGCGCGAGTGTATAGGCTTGACCTTTTGTGTCTATCTTCGGCTGGATGACGAAAAGGAGGTTATAACGGTAGGAGAAGTAAAACAAGGCTAATCCGGCAGCCGCGAAACCTAGTACCAGTGGTGCAATACATGAATATGCAATCGCTATGAAAGATAGGTAAGTAGCTAAAACAGAAGGTAAGAGTGGGATCTCTACTAACCGATGATTGCGAAGTTAGCGAACTGTGAAACTTAGCATTGATCTATGGTCATTATCCGAATTTGGGGTCTTACTTACCTTAGGGAACAGCTTGCCCCATGCGATTCCTTTCATACTGGTATACCGATTAAATTTCTGACGTGGAGTCTTATCAATGAAGTAGTCGCAAAAAAGATAACTTAGAAGATCAGAATAGTTAAGTAAATTGTCGGCAGCTGATGTAGTGCCCTGGATAATAAAGTACGTGAGATAAAAGTTCGACGCCTTAGGAAGTTGCCTCGCTAGAAGTTCAGGGATAGATGTGGGATCTTTAGCCCGTTCCATGAGCTGGGCAGCCACCGGTGCGGCCCCGGAGAAAACTGTAGTGACGAGAAAAACTTGTGTCACTTGGAAGATGTAGTACCATTTTTGGACCTTTAGTTCAGCAGCAGTATTGGTAGGACTACCGGTTGATTTGAATATGTCTGATGATAGTAAGTATACTCATTCATCGTTAAACTTGGACAGTCAAGTACTTACATCTGAATATGCTAGGCACAAGCTTGCTGAGCCAACTTGTCGCTAGTGGTGGTATTAAACCAGATAGTAGGCCAATGACTGGTTTTGGCAAGTCCTTCAGAAAGCTTAACCACTCCACATTATTGGCAAGATAACTAATGTTGGAGATCAAGCCGATAATACTGCTCGGAATGGACCAGAAACCAATTAGAGCTATGACAATAGTCAAAGCTGTGCCCTCTTCGGATATGCGGCGAGCGGGAGGTATAGTGAGATTATTCCATATGACCTCTTGCGGTGAAATACCTAAATATCTGGGAGATAGAGCTAATACATTACTGGACACGACTTGCTGACAAGCCCGATGAGCGTCGGCGCATGTCTTGAACTCAACAAATACAGCTGCCGCTCCGTTAGTATGACCAATTTCATATGCGTTGCGCGCATTCTCGATGGCTGCTTCCTCCTCTTTGATCTTCTCGCGTAGCCATTCAATACTGTCAACTCTCTCATTCAGTGGTGAGATGTCTGGTTTATGCCGTGGCCTGATAGACTTCTTCATGGAGTCTTGAAGATCCTCGTAGCGTAGTTGGTTATTCTGTGAGCGGGATTTAGCCCGTTTCCTGCCTTCCCGATTGGCTTTCCGGATCAGAGTCATTTCCGCAGCCTCAAGCTGCTCGACTTTTGACTTCCGTTTCGAAACTAGACTCTCCAGTGCGTCGACTTCAGTCGCAGGCCAAATACGTAAAGCACTATCTCCAAAGTAGCGCTGCATGTGATCCTCATCGAGAGCGTCTCTTGGCGCCGATAAGAAAAGAACGGTACGCGAAGAAAGACGTTTTGCAATGGGTTTCGATAGAATCCAGGCCTGACGAAGGCTAATAAGCCAAAGACGCTCACGGGCAACCGTGAACATCACGAAACCAAAGAAGACACAGGCCAGTATTGCGTGGGCATATAGGTGTCCTTTTTTCATAACATTTCCAATGCCAACCTTGTCAAGTTCTGTTGAGGAACCACCCCCAGTTGCGTTGACCGGCAAGAGTATGGGCCAGGTGAGGCAACAACCGACGAAGCAGATGAAGATAATTGTTCGCAAGAAACGGAGATAAAGGTATGCATCTAGAGACTGGTGGTACAAGACGAACTTATCCGGAACCTTGCGCATAGTATGGACCCAATCGAAATATGATCGACCCGTAGAAGGAGTCCGGTCTCTACGAGATATTTAGTCTCTACCTAGGTAGCTATCGTAGTCACAAGTTGGAGGAGGTATGGACGTACTTCTCTGGGATGCTTCCAATGAAAGTTCTGGGAGCATAGATATTAGGATACCAACGTCGAATGACGATGAATATCGCAACGAAGATGAGGCCCGTTACCTCCCTGGGTTAGCGAATGTACGAGGTATGGTCACGTATATGCACTTACCCACGTGGGAACAAACGCGGAGATTACGGCGGCCAGGGATGCCGAGCCTTTTGGCTATAATGAATGGAATATTAGTCTCTATTAATATGCGATAGTTCTTAGGGTCATGAATGGTAGACTTCACAAGCGATGAATTTGGACCTTGGCTACCTAACTCTAGGTATCCTAGGGTATGCTATTAGTTGTAAGAGGGCTTACCTTAGTTTCCATGGCACTCAAACTATTATGGACTTGGCTAGAGCCGTATATACCTCTATGAAATTCCATTTTCGCGATTTAATTGTCTTAACCCAGAATTCGTTATACTGCGCGTAGTCTAAGCGAATGGCAAGGACTCTTGAATTTGGAGACGCAGTTTGTAGACATAACGAGATTATTGCTGAATAAGACGCGGTCTAGGATAGTACATGAAAAATAGGTCTTCGCAGGTAATTAGCGAAGCGAGGTATAGAAAGATTAATCATCCAAAGCGATCGTGTAGACGTCCAACTTGTGGATGTAGGATTGATGGTTTGGTATTAAGGCGTCGATGACGTATGGATCCGTACACGCGTTTTACATATGTACTGCGCATGGATGAAATCAGGAATACGTAGATGTGGCTGGACGTGGCTTGACACATGCAACTAACCAGGTAAACCCTTTTAAACCATTCAAGTGGTTCCCCCTTTTTTCTCTTTACTTGTTCCGTATGGTATGGAAAGCCTTAGATCTAACTCAACTAATATTATACAAGTTATACGCCGTACCTAATTACAAATACGTAATAATATAAGTTCTATTTTCTCGGCAAACATGCATTTTCTTGACTTCTTAGTAGGGAAAGGCAGTGCAATGTCACCCCGTCAGATCTTCAAGCTTAATAAAAGAATACGCCGTATACGCCGTTTAAGTGGGGCCGGCGCCGTTGAGCCATTCAGCAAATAGCTTCATTAGCCCTACGGATGTTACGGCGTATCTTTTACTTGCTAAGCAAAGTATTTTCTCGAATAAAACACTCAGAGATAATGAATTGGATCGACGCCGGGCGCTGCCCAGCCTCAGCTTCTTACTCTGATAATCTCCTGGCTGGTGTATCCTTGTTATGGTTGACAACAGTAGCACTACATGCAATCGTATATATATATATATATATACCTGTCCTCCCATCCTGCATCAAAATATGATGTTTCCTCATCGCAATCTAACCCAAAGGCAAAACTTTCCTTGTGAGCCACCATGATTTTTCGCGTTCCATTACAGCTTTCCTTTATCGCCCTATCTCTTGCCCAAACCCAAGGGGCTTCGAAACTCCAATGGGGCCCGTGCAACAAGACCGAGGTCCCCAGCGAGGTCCCCGTAGACTGCAGCGTCCTGATGGTCCCACTGGATTACACTGAGCCGGATTCCGACGAGAAGTTACAGCTTGACCTCGTCAGGGTCCCCGCCCCTATTAAGCCTTCTAAAGGGAGTATTCTCTTCAATTTCGGTGGACCTGGTGGCACTGGACGAGATCAAATAGGTATTAAGAGCTTGGCGGATGAGTTGTTGGCGTGAGTACAGGACATATAATCTTGGCTTAAGATATGTTATGCTGATATACCTTTTTAGGCTTACTGGTCGCCAATTTGATCTAATCGCATTCGATCCGCGGTGAGATTTGATCTACTTCCATCGCTTGGGCTATAAGACATATGACTAACGACTCCGGATTCTATAGCGGTACGCATGGCTCTAAAATCCCTATCCAGTGTTTCGAAAACGAATGGGACGCCTGGTCGTATGTTCTAGATCTGGTACCAGCAAATTCATCTGATGTCGAGTTGGGAAAGCAATGGGCATATGCATCCTCTATTGCAAATACCTGCCTCAGGACGCAGAACAAGACCGGGAGCTTGGTTAGCTCTGCCTTTGTGGCGAGAGACATGATGCAAATCGTAGACGCTCTAGGAGAGGATGGAATGCTACGATACTGGGGTATGTCAATCCATAGTGGATATACTGCCGTAAGCTGACGATGCGTATCAGGTTTCTCATACGGCACAACTTTGGGAGCGACTACAGCTGCTATGTTTCCCGACAGAGTCGAGCGGATGATTCTTGATGGTGTCCAAAACCCTCACGAGTATTACCATGCACAGGCGTAAGTCGAGCGATCGATCAACTGCGGATTCAGAATACTAAAGTCTAACAATTGGTGTTACGGTAGTGATTTCGAAGAGTTTTCGGATGCAGATAAAGAGTTCTCGGCTATATTTACGGGCTGCGTCGAAGCCCGCGAGAACTGCGAATTAGCGAAAGGCAACAACAAGACGGCCGCTGAGCTAGAGCAGGCCGTCTGGGACCTCCTCGACATCGTCAAGTACAGACCAATTGCGCTCAAGTCATTTATGCTCGATTACAACAACGTGAAGTCTATTCTCGTGGAGGCCCTCTACCATAGTTCTCTTTGGCCAGTCCTTGCTCGGATACTCAACGGAATTTTGACCGAGCAGTACGACCTTGTCAACGACCTGTTTGAGGCCCTGATGCCCACAACCACCACCATCGATATATTTAAGCAGGCTCAGCAGCCACAAGTACTTTCCGCCATTCACTGCAGCGACAACATGGTGCGAAGCAAGACCTTTGATGACTTCCTTCCGGCTATCCAGCGTTTATACAACACTAGCAGGATTAGTATGCAAACCTAATACTTTCCCTTAGCATGAGAAAAGTCGTTCGATTCATACTTTCATCATTTCTGATTGGTATCCCATACTAATGGCATTGGTATAGATGGAGACAGGTTAATATTCTTATACAGCGCCTGCGCGCAATGGAAAATCGAACCGAAAGAGCGATACACGGGTGACTTCAACGTTAAGACGAAGAATCCGGTGCTCTTCATTGGCAACACTTTTGACGGGCTCACAGCACTTGTTTCGGCCAAGAACGTTAGTTCCACTTTCGAGGGTAGTGCTTTGCTCACGGTCGATGGATATGGTGTAAGTTACCCACCTATCTACCTACCTATCCCTCTTACTACGGACTTGCTTGAATTACGAACTTGTCGGGTGCTGATACTCCAAACAACAGCATTCCTCGTTAGCCGCCCCTTCGGCTTGCACCATCAGAACGACTTCGGCGTACTGGGCCAACGGTACCCTCCCTTCTGAAGGAAAGGTCTGCGACTCAGCTCCATTGTACTCAGGTATTACCTGGGAAGATATCATCCAGGAGGTATACGGCAACACTACCGCTCCTGCTAAACGACAGGTTCCCCATCTGTCGAAACTAGGGAACCCTTTAACCCCTTCTTTCATCCCCAGGTAACAGATCTCATCGGGTGAGACCAGTTGACGTTGCTACATTGATTCTGTCTTCCTTTGAGCCGTTAGCTTCTTCACATAACACATGGAATTTCTATGTTAAATAGATTAGGTACCCAAATCCTTGGGTTATAACAGGGTTACGATGTACCTTAGACAGCTTTCATTTTTCTTTACTGTATTGATATTATTGGCGACCCACTTGGCTGACTGGTTCTCAACCTTTATCGCATTTGAGCGCCTTTTGTGAAGTCCACGAGGTTAAATGTAGAATTTTCTAAGTCACAGTTAGTATATATATCAGGTAAGGTAGGTAGCTGGTACTCTAGTAACCTAGGCGTGATAGACAACCTACCTAGAATCATTGGACAATGCAATTCTGGTCGTCAGTACCAGCATTAGTTCTAAGTCTTTTGAATCGAGGCGCCAGGTTATCGGCATCGTCAGGATAGGGATCAGCATCTGCCTTTCTCTTCCCTCGTCTGGTATTACTATCACTCTGGGGAGCGGTTGGTTGAGGGGCTTTCTCGAAAAGTTCGCCCATCCTATCCATGATATTTGATAGCTTTTCCTTAACTCCATTGCCCATCCTCGGTGAGTCTTTCTCGAATGCCTGTTTCTTGACCAGCTTTTTCTCGACGACCTTCTTCACGGCTTTGGGCCTGGAGGGGGTTTCTCTCTCGGAACCTCGCGTTTGGAACATAATCGAGATAAGATCCTGCTCAAAAGTTAGCTACATCTTAACATTACTCCAATAACCACCTAGGTAGGTAGGTAAATACTAACCAAAGCACTTCTCCGTGGCAATGAGTTTAGGATGGCCCCTTTCGTTTCTTCCTCACGCCAATGCATTAGATCGTTCATTGGATTTCCGAGGTGGAACGGATACGGTTTTCTAGTCTTTGCGCTAGGCAAGGGATTCGAGAATGGGAGCATCAAGTCCGTGATGTCGCGACCAGTCGAACGGGCATACTTCAAAGCATAGTTGGCCCCCAGAGCAGCTAACGCATCGGCTCTACTGTTCCCTTTAACCCCGACATGCCCCGGCGTCCAGTGGACCTCGACCTTGCAGCCTAGTTTCAGGAGTTTTTCGACTGGACATGCTAGATCTTGGTGGATTTCCGGTTCGTCGAACGGTTTGAACTCTAGCTTGGTGCGGCAGTAGCTGTAATGCAAGTTCTGGATCCCGGAGAGCCCGTCGGTAATGACGATAACCTTGGGCATTGAAGCGCGCTTGCCAAAGCCAAGATCTGGACATCGACCGACCCAATCCATCATCTCGTAATAGGCTATCCATAGCCCCCTATGCAGCGCTATGACTTCCAGATCAATATAATCGGAGATCCCTCTTGACCCGTAGGCTGCGTCGATCCAGTTGTGATCGCGACCATAGGTGCGCTTGTAGGTAATCCCACAGCCAGCAATGTTCGCTCTATGATTGAAGGACGCGTCGGTGAACATGATAAGACGCGGAGATGCGGGATCAGATTGCGTCTTCATCGCTTGAACCGCATATCGGATGGCATCCACATGGCCTCTTGCTACAAATGTGATTCTGGCTTTGTCGTCACTCTCGCCTTGATATTGTTCAGGTGTCTCCATCTCGACCATCTTGACGAAATCATTGAGTTCGTTCTTAGTAAATGAAGGAAGCTGCTTTAATCCGCCTATCTGTAGCCTATCGAAAGGTAGCTTTGGTCGTCTGGGTTGCCGCATGATCCAGGCGCCAGAGTTTGCGTCGAGGTTACTGGTACCACCATTGTCGGTCGGCCGACCTCTTTGGCTGCTTCGTTCATTATCCATTGTTGAATGCCGACACTAAATGCATCTGTTTTTGCCTTGGTGGAGGGAGAGATTGTGGAGTTGTCAAGACGGGACTATTCGCCGTGTTACTCAATCTAGAAATCTGTCAGGTGCGCGGATGAAAGGTGCCTGGAAAATAAGACGTAACATTGGAGAATCTGAAGGAAATAAAAACGTTTCCGAGGAGAGAGACGTTGTAAGGAAGTCACACGTGCTGTAAATTAAAAAAAAAAAAATCGACGCCGGTCAGGCAAACTTCTTGTTCCCTAGCAACGCATCGTGAAAGACGCGCACTGCGCACTACGGCAACAAACCCCTCCTAGTGGAAAAGTCAGCTACCCCACGGAGACCACAACGATTGACCTTATGCGATATTCCTTGAAAGCATGTCGTGACTTCTTGGTAGTGATTAGCATTGTGAAATAATTTGCATGTTGTTGCATGGCATGGGGTTGTGTTGCTAGGTGCCTAAATCACGAGCAAACATTAAGGGGTAAAAAAAGATCGTGATTTTGCGTAACGACCTTTTTTATTGAATTCAATAACGACAACAATGCTGAGTACTACGTCAATTAATGGTCAATGTTTATTTTTACTTAGGTCCATTTATAGGTGTTAAATGAAACTTGAATAATATTGTTTCTGTGCTGGTTTCGCATGTTGTTGTCGCCAAGAGTAGATTCGACTTTTATATTTGCACGCTAGGTAAGATATTAGAAATACTATAACCAGATTATTCCGGTCAAAAATTCAAGCGTGGTTCTTTCTTCATATATTTATGCTCCTGGAACTTTGTATAGTATAGGTAGCACAGCATAAGTATATCATTGGTAATATTCAACTTAATAGTAAAGCATGATGCGCCTTTGATTGAGCCCCGATAGAAACCCGAAACCTCCAAGATATACATGTTAAATGCTTAAACACATATGAGTACCTAAACTACTGCCTCCTGTTATATATAGCATTGAAATATGAAAGCGCCGTCGAAGCTGTATTCTGTATGTGAGGGTTGGTTGGTGGCGGCGCAGAGTCGTCGTTACGAGGTATGTCTTGCACTGTCCCCTGAGATAATGTTCGCGAAGAAGTGGGCGAGTAATTTTCCGTCTCACTTTCGTTTTGATTCACGTACCTTCTTAGGTTAGCATAATAGGGCGTCACAGTTTTGGGGGACGCAGGCTCCAGTTCTTGTGCCGAAGAACCATCCTGATCATTTGGCCTATCGCTAGCATCTTCTGTCCAGGGACGTCTTATTGCGCGGGCAACATAAGGCAGCTCTGCGGTAGCAGTGAGCTGTGCCTCGGTAGGAGCACGTGGAGATTCGACCACATCGCTATCTCCAACATCATCATCGGAGGCATTGTTATTGGAAGTCTCTCCTATCTTCTCAGCTGGCGGCTCGGCGAAAAGATTTCTTATCAATTCGTGATTCGGGATGTCTTCATCTGGTGTGCTGTCAGGAGATGCTTCAGATGATGTTTCGCGGTAGATTGATTCGAAGCTATGAAACACCGGCTCGGTTATATTTTGAGGGATGCTGTCATGATCCTCAATAGGTGGACTTTGGTGAGATGTTTGACTAGCCTCAGAATATCGAAGTGTTAATACCTGCAAGTGTCCTTGTGTTTGACTACCCCCGGTGTCTCGCTCCCCGGTACCAGACGTCTGTGAAGTCGATCCGTCAAGTTCCATAGAAGGAGCAAATGAGCTTTCGTTATCATCGTGGGCTTGTCGATTCCGATTCTCTGTTATTAGATTCAATCGAGCCTTGAATCTTTTCGCACTTAGGTATCCTGGCATCATGGAGGACATAGGAGCATTGAAGTCGAAAGTCCTGAGGGACTTCGCGGGAACCCAGGCATACGTTGCGCCGACAGGAGAAAATTCCCCTTCAAGTTCCACTCGATCCCACCTGATACCTTTGAAAGACATGACCGGAAATTTCCGATCGGTAACTTTAGGTCCGCCGTCATCGTAGTCTGTCTCCCATCCTAGTATCTCCTTATTTGAGGTGTTGTATATGTAACAGGGTGGAATATACCTCGTAAGGGGTGTCTCATGAATTGACTTGGAGATACCTATTACGTTAAAACTACCGACGGGAAGAAGGACTGCTGCATATTCGCCTCTAAGAGGGCCTTGATGGATCTTATAGATCTCGCCAACGATCGGATCAGTGATGCCTCTAAAAATCGTTCTGTTTTTCCTTTTCCTTTGGACACGTTTCCTTACGATAACAGCTTCTCGCTCTTTGTTGCGGCCGTTGCTTATCTGAGCTGTATTTGAACATTCGCCGCCTTCTGAAGGGTTTCCACTTCGCACTCGTTGTCGCTTCTGGTTTGGTTGCGTCGAACTTGGGTTTACATTTGTACCTCCTGGTAGATCATCATTAGTCTGCTCAACTAATATCTTGTAGAGTACTAGTAACGCGGGATGTTTGCTAGTTTTAGGGACTGACCAACTTCAGAGATCCTAGGCCGTTTGCTTGGAGACACACTAGATGTTGCAAGAGGATGTTCCCATTCATCGCTAGACACATCCTCTGAATCGATCACGATCGGATCTGAAAGTAGGAGCCCTATCTTATTGTCTTTTTGTTTAGGCGAAGTAGTTTCTGTACGTCCTCTTGCCACGTCAGTTAATTCTCTGTCTCCTTCGCCTTGGTTAATCGGTGCCTTTCAAAAGTCAGCCGTTAGGTCTTCTTGCTCAATAGTGCCATACTAAAGAATGAATATTCTACTAACAGGCGAGACCCTCAGATAAGGCTCAAGTTTTCTTTTGCGCTCTTGCTTTTCCTGTTTTAGGAGGTCATGAAACTTTTTCTTTTCATCCTGGAGTTCCTGTTCCATGTCCTTCAATTCATTCTGCTTCCTCTGGAGCTCTTCTTGGAGCAGTTGTAGTTGTCGCTGGCGCTCTTGGATATCTTCTTGCCGAGCAATTCGGTTACTTTCGAATGTGGCCCATGCATCCTGTTGTTTCTTTAGATATTCCGATTGAATTGAGTCGAGTCTTGCTAATGCAACTTCATATGGATCATATTCGTCATGCTCTATGGACATTTCCCTTCGGGAGCTGCTCATCATCTTGAAAGAGTAACTTATCGACTGCGTTGCTTATATAGAGCCTGGTAATTATGACAAGAAATATAGAAAATTAAAGACTAATCTCTGATTTATAAAATGAATTGTACAGCAGCTGGTGTATATGAATGAGGTTTACCACCATCCCGAGTGCAGTGGCGGAATTTACACTTATCAAGTGGCAATTAATGACAGAATTAAGTCCAACTCAGGATTTGGTAACAATTTTATGTCCCAGAACCTCAAAGTATTGAGCGGTTAAAATATGCCTAACTATGACAAGCTAGCCTGAAGCAATAGTACTTTATAATCTGTGTGCGTACCTATTCGTCAATCAAGGGAGTATTCGTGTGTTTAAATGTTACTCTTCTGAAGGATCCGGCCTATACAGGCCTCATACTGATGTTCCCCGTGCGGGGCTTTACAGAAAATGTATCAGAAACCATGCAAAGAATTTGAATAAGTGGTAATTAATTTGCCAGCTCATGGTTTAGGGGTAGCCGCAGGAAGACTACAGTAGAGAGTGAAGGCAGAATCGTGATCGTACGGTTCTCATCACTCGAGGGGCTTAGAAGTGGTGTGGGTCAGGTTGCATCTTGGGTCACCTTAATGCAGGACGTCGAATCCTGCGCAGCCAACATATACCCGGTACCGTATCTCTACTAGTTGCGTGCCGGCATAGATTCTATATACTCACGGCCCGAGTTGAAATAGGCCAAAATCTTTCCCTACCTAGGTGTTAACATCCCCAGGGGCTTTATCTTCTCAGGCTGTAACGTTTCGCTTGCGTTCGACACATAGATTCACTATTCATATTTTACCTTTCGGCTTTCCATTTCAATCTTCATCTCATAGTTTACAGAATGAGGGTTGTTGATGCGTTATCAATCTTCTCTTTGCAGAGATGCACGCAATGGTAGGAATTAACGCAATTATGCAAGGGGATAACACTGCTAGGACTCTCGTACTAGGACTAACTTAATGCGCTTCGCAAATTGGTCATATGGGCTTTGAGTTTTAACTAACAGATTGATTGATATATAATCGAGGCTCTGACTAGTTATTATTCACTCACCTTAGATACCAGGTACCTAAGGAATGATCACAAGGTTTGCTGTATGGGTACTTCAAAGTAACCTACCCTTTTACTCATTTTCTATCTAGAACGTTATTACTATGGACACAATCTGCAGCTTTCCATGGCTTACGGCATCCCATGAACGCTTCACTGAAATATACCTAGAGCAAAAAGCTCTAGATCTCCTACGAGTGCATAAGCTCAAGTGTTTTCAGCCGCACAAGTATCGAACATGATGCAAACATGTTTTAAGAATAAGAAAGTCCTAGACATTACAGTCAGACGAAATCGCCCGGCTTTGTCGTGCTTTGTTAGAACGTGTATTACGTGTTAGTTTGTGGCAGCATAGCCAGCCTCACCGATGACTGACTATATTTTCGTGTATCCGCATCAGGCTTCCGTCACTAAGCTCAGAACTAAAGCGATTGCTCCCCCGAATTCCGCCAATAAAGGGTGCCATTTCAGCTGACATCCCATGGCTTCGCCCCGCGGCGAAGATTACTTCGACACGTGCTATTGGAGAATCTCGATTTTGACGCTTACGCTTAATTATTTTCTACTCGACGTCATGTAAAGTACCGAAAGAATTGTGCGACAATCAGGATTATCGCTCCTATAAATATAGACTAGACGAGGGTAGCCTTGATGTTGGTACCCTTGGTTCTCTCTCCCTTCTCATCATCCCCTTGCTGATTTCGCAGAACATAGCATTTCTTGGGCGACGTGGATTCATACTGATTCTAATACAATTAATCATTCGAGAAAAAAAAAGTTCCAACTTGGAACGCACAGCCTCATCATGGCTCATTACTACGATCATCACCACGAGAGCCACAACCAGGCCCAAAGTCTAGCCAACCGTTTCACGCGGGAAACACGTCACAGCGAATATCCCACGCAATACATAGTAAACGAGGGGAAAATGACTGTGTATGAAAGATCGCTTAAACAGAGCAACGCGATTATATACAACGCGCCAGGCTCGACCCTACGGTTTGTGCCGTCGAGGTCTCCCACAAATGCCAAGGCTAAGCACGACTCCAATCGCCCGCCCGAGTCGTATTGGCGCACGACGGCCCCTCCGATCTACATGTGCCACGGGTGTCGGCGGCGCCAGATATACTACGGAGCTTACTGCCACGATTGCACGGCTTTGCGCTCAACCGGCGCCCTCAAGAAGAAGAATAAGCAGCAGACCAAAGAACATCGGCATGATCTTCGTCTAACTTGGGCCCCGGATGACAAGTTGATTGAGTGGCATTAAGTGCACGCGGCTCCGTCACGTTTTAGCCAAGTCTAGAGACCACCTAAGGGTACGATGCGGATATGGAAGAGGGCGCTTTGTGGTGACAGCTGTCTTCTGTTTCTTTTTTTTTTCCTTCTTTTTTTCTGCTTGACAGTTGAGCGTAGGCGTTTATTAGTTTGGGGTTGACGCAAATTATGACTAGCATAATGCTTTGTCTTGGTTTCAGGTTCTGTATTGATACCTCTCAACTTCTCCCATGATATATGAAAATGACATTTATGACGAGATGAGTTTGAAATATGTGTCAAGATAGGAAAGCTGTTCGAAGAGGATTCTTACGTTCAAGAACCAAGTAGGATGCCGCTGAACAAAATGTGCCCTCTCCTATGAAGACATTGTTAATCGCGTGTGCCAAGAGGCTTTTATAACTCATCATTCCCCCTAAATGTAATCACCAGATTTCTTTTGGTGTTTTGAAGTGAACGGCATATACCGAAATCAACTTCTACATTTGCGTTCTGTAATAACAGACTCTACTTGGACACTAGATTGTATTCATCTGCTAAGCCGTAGAAATGTCGGACGATATTAAAAGCAGCTTCGGAGTGGAGCTGGAACTCCTGATAGGCGTCAGAAAGCCAGGTCGAAGGATGCGTACTCCCCGAATGTTTCAATTATCCAAGGGCTGGCCAATCGAACCCAAGCCGGGGGGCGGATCAAGCGCAACATTCGTTCAAAACCTAGTGCAGCAAGTCATTGATACCGCTGTTCAAGGACATGAGGGGGATCGCGTTATAACCAAGGACGACCAATTAGATGGTGTAGATGGAAGTCATCTGAAACCGTATACGGCTTGGAGTGTTGGGAGAGATCTCAGCGTTCAGCCAACTAGCGAGGAAAAGGATATGAATGGGTTTCTATGGCAGGATCTTGAAGTCAGATCGCCGGCACTCTTTGCTACGGAAGGGTCTTTCGCCGAGGTTCATCATATCGTCACAATTCTTTATAACAATTTCTGGATATATGCTCCAGAGACCGCAGGCTTGCATATCCACTATGGAAGAGGCAAGGAGTGGATACCCGTCCGTCATCTGCGCCGAATAGCTGCTTTTCTTTTCGATGCTGACCCTATTTTGACGCAGATGCATCCTCCTCATCGTCGAGAGCGAGGCTATCGAGATCACTGCCCAAGTAATCGATACTATAGCGTCTTAGCACACGGTATATCAGCAGCACAGGTGAGTACAAACCTTAGGTTAATTCTTGACGAAGGAAATTATGAGGAGGTCCCGGCCGAAGATTCATCTGGGTCTAAACCCGAGAAAAAGGAGAGTCTTAAATTTACCACTATTTTTAAACGAGGCACCCTCCAAAGCTATTCTTTTGATAGGAGGTACTTCACGGAAGGTAACGTCGGGCGGGCACAAGGGGAATATCTGCCAGGACGTCGGATGGATAAGCCAATAGACATCGTAACTGGGGCGCGGGAGCTCTTATCAGCCCCAAATGCCCTAGTAGTATCCGCTTTGATGAAGAACCCAGTACACTCCCGTAGTGCCTATAATTTCATGGCCTACAGCCCGGAAGGGTACGGTGCGGTGCAGCTGTTCGGAGCCACGCGCCCTCCAGCAATAGAGCGTAAGCGGACCATTGAATTCCGGCAAGCGGCAGGTACAGTTGATGCCGACGAAGCCGTAGCACACACGAGAATTGCTGTGCGTTTAGCTGAATTCGCGTGTGAGGTTGATATGAATTCTCTGTGGAGGGTAATATTGGAACTTGCAGAAGCTGAGGTAGACCCGAAATGGTATAACATCTTTGACCTGCTTTTTGATCTGGGTCTAGGTAAGGAAGCGCGGGTTATTCAGAGACAGATGGCCAAGCATCGAGGGATAAGAATTATAAATGAAGACCTCGGCACGTTTGAAGAATCACCAGTGACCCCCTCTCGTTGGAGTAGGTTTACGTCTTGGTTGTCTCCTCCGACATCACCCGTACCAGCACAAGATCAGCTGAAGAATCCCAAGACAAAAGCTGCTGATTCGGTGGAGTCAGTCGAAGGCTTTAGGAGTAGTATTTTCCCTCTCTATCGTTAAGGGAGGTACCATAAACAGCCAAAACTTGCTAAGGTGAAATCGACAAAGCTCTTAGGGAGACTTGAGATGTCGATCAAATAAATCTAAGGCAAGTTACTACTCAAATTCGAAGAATGTGAAAAAAAAAGAATTGACAATATCTTAGACTAATATTAATTGTGGCTATGTTGTTATTGACCAGTCGTTTAGCACAAAGAGATTGAGAATTCTTCCAATGTCTTCCAACAACTTGATGCGCTAGAAGGTGAGTCAATAAACGAATCCCACAAAGGGGAGAAAGGAAATCCGATAGAGGCTAGAAATTACAGGTAGACACCTAATTTTAGGGAAACACATGGTTATGTTAAAAAAAGTATTAACGATATTATTAATGGGTGCTCTTAGGGGATCTCAAAAGGGGGAGCCCAGAGAACCAAAATAAGACGCTGCGTTCAAGCGATGAGGCTCGTCTAGTAGTCTAAATGCAACCGACCGCAATTTTATTCATGACCAACATCCTCGGAAACCAACGATATCATACGACTATGCGTATCATTATGAAATAGGTATAAATGCAAACATCTTCCCCTGCCACATTCCTCGCTCATACCGTCTCCTTGCGCAAGGGATTAAGTTTCATGGTGAAGCTGTTCTGAGCAGCTCCCGCGTACTGATCGACCTTCGCATTGATACCATCCTCGACCTTATTTGAGTACTCGTCGATCTTCCCGTTGACCTTCCTGCCAACAAACGTGCGGAAACAGCCGTAAAGGCCGGTGCAGAGCCAGAAGACGCAGTTCACAAGGTCGATCCAGACGGCGCACTTCATGAGCGTGACGCTGGTGCCCTGGTACTCGTCCTCCTCGCGCTTGAGGAAGATGGCCGCGAAGGTGCCGAAGACGGCGATCCACAGGACGAAGAGAATCAGGTCCCAGGCAAACAGGCGGTGCGACTGCAGACGGCCGAAGGGGTTCGGGATGGCGTACAGGAGACAGGTGATGCAGGAGAGGCCGGCGACGAGCAGTGCGTAAACCCACGCGGGCGACTGGCCGTTGTCGTGTCGACGATCGTGGTCGACGCGGCGCCCGTACAGACCACAGACGACGATGGCAAGTGCGAACTGGATTCCGCGGGCTATCCAACGCAACCACGTTTCGTAAATGTATACCTGCTTGGTGGCGGCGCCTTTGCCGAATCTAGTGACGAGGGATTTGATACCTGCCATGTTTTTTTCCCTTTTGCTCGTTCTCTCTCCCGACTGGGTACTATGTTTTGTTTGCAAATAGGCTGAAAGTGTCGATGACCCCAACGTAAACTGGAGGAAAACAAGTAGGCGACTAAAAAAAAGGCCGTAGAAACTTTTCAAAAGAGGGATTATTAAATAATTATCTGCCGGCGATGCTAAATGAGTGCAAAGTGAATCAAAGACAACCAGTGTCGTATGCGTTAGAGCAATGATGGATGAAAAAAGTGTACAAGAAGACTCAGTCCTGGAGGAACAAGTGAATGATATTTAAATGTGAAAACAATGGAAAACACCGCCATTTTTCTTCTAATAAGTCTGTGAAACCCATCGACAAACAAGCGCCCTACACTCATACGACAGCGTTAACAAAGAAAGATCAACTGGTCTTGAAGCTTTCAGTCGTTTGTAAGTTCGAAAGACTTCTAAATCGGGAGTTTTCCCAATTGAAGCGCTGCCGACCAATCGAAGGCTTGGTTGAAAGTGGTCTGTGCTTGTAGTTTTGTCCCTTGTCCAGCGGTAACAAAGAGAATGACTGGCTATGGCACTGTTTGAGTTGAGACGCAGGCGCTTAATGACCTGTCTCAGGCTATGATATGGGTTTATTACAGCGCTAATAGGCGCGACGATCCATTGCAGTGATTCCTGTGTAAGTGAACCAGCACCCCGTAACAGAGATTGTGTTTTCAATCTCGAAACAGTCCCACGTTTGCCTGATTTTTTTAAGCAACCAACGTAGCGTACGAAGTATATATTAGTGTTTGATGATGATATATTAACTGTGTTATTAAAGTCAGCTTGCCGGAAGGTAGAATTATCCACGAAATATGACCCTACCTAACCTGCCTAGTGCTACGATTTACAGTAGTACCTAATATGACGAACAATTTGATGGCATAATGCAATACCAAAACTTACAGCTAACAATCTCAAAATTAGTATGTACTTCGTACTATGTGTAACAGATTGATGCGTCATGGCGCAAGATTCGAAATATCCTGTATATTATAGAAAGCTTTTTGGACCTTGGTCTTTGTCTACTTGCTATATGTCAACAATCAGAGTCCATGTTAGCCTATTTTTGATTTACATTTTTCCATCGGCTTAACCATGGACGTTGACGTCGGAAAAAGAAGCCCTGGGAATAAGCAATAAGTTTATAAGCTTCGATTATGATAATAGACCCAGGGTTTTGCGGGATAAATAAGAGGTATTCCGGGGAAACTGGAGGTAAATGCCATGTGCTTGCCCTGAGAAGCTTGTACAATACAATTCTTGCCGTCCGGTGCCTGTCCGCGCCTGTCAACCTGTGTGATCCGCTGACTTACTGTGGATCCCATAGGCGTACCTCGGCAGTGTGTGACCCCGGTACTTTCGAGTCTCCAACTTCTCCAACTGGCCTAAATTGGGAAATCCCCGGGATGACCTCATTATTTCCTCTGTCGCTGTGTATGTACTTCCCCCACATTCTCAGCTCCCAGGTACATAAGGTAAGAAGGGAACGTGAATCACATGCCAAAAAAAATACCTGGTAGTCGACCGATAGACAACGTACACATGACACGAGTAATGCTGAGGAAGCACTAAAACACCCCAAAGTCATTGATGGCATTCCTTTCCCCACGAAAATCCCCAGAAAATCACTATTCACTCTTGCGTGTTAGGTCCGCTCCGCCCAGTCCGTCTAACCTAGGTTTCCTGATGTGGGGATTTCGCCCCGGGGTAGAAAAGCCGTGTCGCAAATTACATACCTAGGTATATAATGTATACATATGTACCTAGGGTACAGGTGTAGTGTACAGGTATACCATTGCCAATAGCGAGACGATGAGTGGCTTAGAAGACGCGTTAGTGTATCCGTAGCGAACTTACCTGGGGTAGGCTGAGCTTAGACAAGCAGCTGCTTCCGGCATTGATTCCCAGAAAGGGTACCTAGAGAACATTAGAACGTTAGGGACGATACGGGGATCCCTTTCCCACTGTCTAGAATCAAGAATCACATGTCGGGGAATTACAGCTGTTTGAGCCGTATTACGTTGCAGTAGACTCGCAGACTCGGTAAGAAAATGTAATCGCCGAGCTTGTAAAGCTCAAGAATGACATCGCGTAAAAACATAACTTTCGCAGTCTTTTCTCTTTTCTTCCTTAATCTTCTACTTCTTCATCTTCCTCTTCCTCATCTTGTACTTTTTCTACTTGGACATAAAAAAATAATAATAGATATTCTATCTCAATATACCCAGAGCTTTTCATTCAAAAATGTCCAAGACCTTTTCTAAAGACGAGGTTGCGTCGCATAACAAACCCGATTCGCTATGGATCATTATTGATGGCGACGTCTTCGACTTGACCAAGTTTCAAAATGAGCACCCTGGTATGTTTGGCATTTAACTTAACCTCTTCGTCCCATAAATATCCACAGTTGAAATAGACACAACAAGCCAAAATAGCTAATCATCTTGTCTTTCCGTATAGGTGGGAAGAAGATCTTACAACGAGTTGCTGGAAAGGATGCGTCTAGTGAATTCTGGAAGTACCATAACGAGGGTATTCTCAAGAAGTATAAGCCCGCGCTTCAGATCGGCTCGTTAGATACCAAACCCAAGCCTGAGCCGAAGCCAGAGCAATCCAAGACCAACGCTCCTAAGCCGACTAAGAAGCCCAAGAAAGCCACCACTCCCACTCCCGCGCAAGAAGATACTGAGGCGCTGGAACCGTTCGGTTCCCTGATTCCGTTTGCCGATCCCAGCTGGTACCAGGGAGTATGTCTTGGTCCTATTGGTGTTAATTGATTAAAAAAACAATGTCTTAATTAATCTAATTAACCCTTGCTAATTATTGGACCGCAGTTCCACTCTCCCTACTTCAACGAGTCCCACGCCGCTCTCCGAGCCGAAGTTCGTGAATGGGTCGAGAACGATATCGAGCCGAATGTCACAGAGTGGGACGAGAAGAAGGAAGTCCCGCGCGAGATCTACCTCGAGGCGGGTCGCCGCGGTTATCTCGCGGGTCTGCTGGGTGTGAATTACCCCACGGAGTATACAAAAAATACGGTGCAGTGTGTACCGCCGGAGCAGTGGGATCTGTTCCACGAATTGGTTATTACCGATGAGTTGTCGCGCGTCGGGTCTGGCGGTTTTGTCTGGCACATGCTCGGTGGCTTCGGAATCGGCTGCCCGCCGCTTATCAAGTTCGGCCAGAAGGCTCTGAAGGATCGTATCCTACCCGGACTCTTGAGCGGGGAGAAGCGAATTTGCTTGGCCGTTACGGAACCCGACGCCGGAAGTGATGTTGCCAACCTAACTTGCGAAGCCAAGCTCAGCGAAGATGGCAAGCATTATATCGTCAACGGTGAGAAGAAGTGGATCACCAACGGTATTTGGTGTGATTACTTCACCACTGCCGTACGGACTGGCGGCGAGGGTATGAACGGTGTTTCCTTACTCCTCATAGAGCGTGAGTGCGGTGGTGTAAGCACGAGAAGGATGGAGTGTCAAGGTGTGTGGTCTTCCGGTACTACGTACGTCACCTTCGAGGACACTAAGGTACCCGTTGAAAACCTCCTCGGCAAGGAGAACCAGGGCTTCAGGGGTAAGTAACTGTTATCACCCAGTCCGAAGAAGAGTTTCTAATTTGGACGTATAGTGATTATGACTAACTTCAACCACGAACGCATGGGCATCATCATCCAATGTCTACGCTTCTCCCGCGTCTGCTACGAGGAATCCGTCAAGTACGCCAACAAGCGACGGACCTTCGGCAAGAAGCTGATCGAGCACGATGTGATCCGTATGAAGCTGGCGAACATGGCTCGACAGATCGAGGCCTCGTACAACTGGCTCGAGAACCTCATCTACCAGTGCCATAAGATGGACGAAACCGAGGCCATGCTCAGGCTCGGCGGACCCATCGCTGGTCTCAAGGCCCAGAGCACGCTTACCTTCGAGTTCTGCGCGCGCGAAGCCAGTCAGATCTTCGGTGGCCTGAGTTACTCGCGTGGTGGCCAGGGCGCCAAGGTGGAGCGGCTGTACCGCGACGTCCGCGCGTATGCCATCCCCGGAGGTAGCGAGGAGATTATGCTAGACCTGAGCATGAGGCAGAGCTTAAGAGTGGCCAAGATGACGGGTATGAAGTTGTAAGAATAAGAGGAACGTATAATATGTATATACAGAACAGTTTTTGTTTTCTCTATTGTACGAAGATTGGGTGCATGAGTTGGTAGATATTCAGAGGATGCATTCCACACTACAGTCTCTGGAAATCCGAGGCTTCAAATTACTGCCTTAACAGGTACTTAGTTAGGAGGTACCTATTATATTATTCATAAAATTTCCAATACCCTTGATGGCTGTTAAATTTGAGGTATCCACCACCACATTTATATCTTTGAGAGAAAGGGGTGGCGCACTCTCACGCTATCACCTAAGAAATCTCTTACTAAACTTGGATATATAAAGTCAAAACCAATACTAAGAAGATAAAACACTAAAGCAAAGAGGTTAATATATAGGACTTAAGGCCGACGATAGTATTTATGCTTATTTTATTACTGTTGGAAGTGTTTGAGGAACCACTATTGTTGGAAGATGGTGTTTGTATATGTTAGCTGCCACTATCTTCCTATACCTAATTCCACACCTTTCATTTACGATCCAACAGTATAAAGTACATTAGGTACACATTGGATCAATATTAAAATATCGTACTATATGCAGCAGTTAATTATTCTATGTCTATTCTTTTATCTATCATGCTTTATCCTAGCCCTGAATAGTCTCACGTGACTCTCCAATAGGGGCATGTAGACAATAGCTCCCCCTCACAACCACCAGCAGAGCATTTTGAGACACCTTGATATAGCTTGACAACTGAACAATCCAGCACATACGACCATAGGATCTGGAAAACTCGGGATCCCGTCCGCTCTCCCATAGATAAGCCGGATACCGCTGGATTAGTAGTTGGGTCGGTGACGACCAGCGAATCCCCAGTGTTGTATGTTTTTTTTCTCCTTTTTATTTTTTTTTCCTCTTCTATCTTACACTGTTTTATTAGGTATACTGTGGCTAGTTAGGATCGCTATTACTTTTCCTTGTCGTTTGTAAGAGTTATCAAAACCAACCTTGTTGAGAATGAGAGATGGCAACATCCGTAGCCCTTGTCTGGCGTGCCCATTCTAACTTATTGATATCTTTTTTCTCGAAGACATTACTCAACCTGAATGCAAGTTAAATACTAGGTTAGGTAGGCAAGAATCATAAATATTGCACATGCATATTGAGTTCATGTTGTCTAAGCCTCCTACACCTTGCTACCTGGTATAGTCTTATATACTAGGTAACTTTGAACCCCTTTACATTTGTTTCTAATCCTCACTTCATTTTCGTTTAACACATCTCTTTCGGGGTCAACTTGCTATGAGTGTGTACTGCCATTATTCCGCTATGAAATTGAATAAAGATCACCTGCCGAGACTCTTCCCGTTCCTCGATGCATGGAAGGTCACTTCAAGTTTTCCGTTACATACGTAATATGATAGTTAACCATATAAACACTATTGCTTCCAGCCAACCAGATTGACTTTATTTCATTATACATATTTAATTCGGCAATTGTTTTGGTAAAAGATTGATCTCTTTACTGGAAGAGGATGTTCTCGGCTAGGAGGGTGAAAGTCTTGTCTTTAATGCGAGTGAGCTCATTCACCTTGCGTCGGCCGTAATGCAAAGGCTGTCTTGGAAACCGATGAAAGGCCTATTAGGTTACCGATTAGGCATCTACTTGGGACTTACAATAAGTTGGTTGCTCAGTCCTTTACTTTTCCCTAGTTGCCCTGAGGAATACCTCCGGTCTTGCTTGCTTCTTAGCCTCTCACCTAGTTGCCTGGCTAATAGGTATCGTAACCATAGTTACCTCACTACAAAAATACGCGTACCTACGTTTCTCTATGCTGGTCGCTGCGGTAGCAACCTTTTACTTACCTGCGCGTTAGATTCTGCCTGAGGAAGGTGTGATAGCAGTTCCCACAAAGTATTTAAACCATCAGAGAATTCCTAAATCTCTCTTCCAACTTCAACCTCCGCAACTTTATGTTTACAAGCCACAAGACAACACATGAGATAACATCAACAATCTTTGCAACCTTTGCAACCTCTATTACCTCTACAACCCTTGCCAATACAAGGTAAGCAAGCCTCCAATATTTCCTTATTCTCTAATCACCCTATCCACCCATCCCTATTACCTATCACCTTCCAAGGCCTAACACCTTCAATGTCAACTTATGGTCAACAGTCTTATCTATATCTATCTGTGTTCTTCATTTACCATCAGTTCTGATTGTCAGAAACTCTATCATTAAAGCACATCACTGTTATACTCTTTCATGGTTCCAAAAGCATAGACTACTCGCCACTACGGCTACTTGCCTTGCGACTCTTCTCTACTTCATGGAACATCCCCTTGCAGTGCAGAGACTAATTGAGAACCCATACTATTAGGCAACGCGCTCCTATACCTGCATCCTTTACATACATACATATTCAATTTACCTTTGCCAAATCGACACAGCATACCACAAGTAACATGGCGTCCGGCAACTTCTTGATCCACCAAGGACGTACTCCTTCTGACGGTGCGGCATCTCAGGATAGCCGTCATGCGAACCGATTGAATATTGGGGCGTCCTCGTCCCCTTGGGTGCAGTCAGTCTGGAGTACTCCTCCTCGTCTATTGGACCTTCGAAGAGAGAATCTCAATCAGCCCGTCTCCAATCGTCTTATCGAGGGCCCGGAACATCTGGTTAACTATTCACCCTGGCTACAGGACAACACCGCCAGCCCGAATCGGAGCCCATTTCTCAACCCTATTTTCCCATCTCCATCTATTCAGGCAATCCGTACTCCTCGAATCGTGACACCGCCGTCCAGTTCGGGAGGTGACCAAGGATACGTCCCAATGGGCCAATGGTCTACCTGGCGCGCCAGAAATGAACTATCTCCCGAAGTCTGGAACTTCCAGCTTGCCGCCACGGGCATATCCCACAACTACGGCGGCAACATCTTCCTGTCTTCTAACCAGTCGGCCGACGTCCCCGAAGAGCAGAGCACCTCGGTCTGGATGACGAACCTCCCGCCTAACTGCACCCACCAGATGCTCCTGGGCTCTATCCGCAACTGCGGCAAGGTCTTCGCCACCGTCATCAACCCGCCGGACGAGTCCACCGGCCGGTACCGCCAGCGCGCGCCGCACACGACCTCCGCGTCGAAGCTCGTGTTCTTCGACCGCTCCGGGGTCGACAACCTGCTCGCCAAGGCGCAGGCCGGCGAGTTCTCGGTCGAGGGGTACGTGCCGCGCGTCAGGATGAACCGGATCCGCTCGGCGGCTCGGGACCCCGGTCCGCACTGCCGGGTCATCCACATCGAGGGCCCGAGCCGGCTCGTGAACGAGCGGTTCCTGCACGCGTTCTTCACGTCCAAATTCAACTACGAGCTGGAGGCCGTGCTCACCTTGTCCAGCAACCCGTGGTACACCCGCCAGGAGTGGCGCTTCGGCAGCTTCCGATGCCAGGCCGAGTCCGCGCGGCAGTCCATCAACCGCGAGAAGCAGCGCACGGACTTGGCGGACGCCGAGGCGCGCGACTGGAAGGAGGTCCAGGTTTACTTCGGCGTCGACCCTTGCGCTCCCCAGAGTAGCGCGTCGCTCCACCAGGCAATGGCCTAACCTGCCTCGCTGCCATCTATTTCATCTTGTCTGGTGTTCTCTATCTCTATCCCGGCCGGAACGGACCTACCTACCTAACCTACGAGGTAATCTTCACAGCATGGACGTAACAGGTTTGACCTATTTGTTTCATCGATCTTATTGCATACCTAACCCTTTGCGGTTCATATGAGGAAAGTTCATGTCAGTTATTGCTATTGAGCAGAGTCAGGCTGGGATATGTACCTCTACCTACGCATGTCATTGGAAAGCATGCTCCTACTAGACATTAGATGAAACATTGTATTTTATCGAGTAATGAACTCCCAACTCTACTTACCCTAGGAGATGTTTTTCATACGTGACATGTTAGCTATGTCTTCGCTCTTGATTGTCGTGTTGTTGTCTCTTTCCCAGTAGCGGTCCTGACTAAGTTGAATCATCTTGTCACCATCGTGTATATAAGATAGCCAGACGAGGGACCTCTTACTAGTTACCTCTTTCTCCCTTTGTGCAACAACGGTTATCTCATCAAACCTTGACACATCTCTATACCCCAACCGCCAAGATAATAGCTTCGCCTCTTAGTTCCTATCTTAGGAGTATGGTATGAGTCATCCTATACCGGGATACTTCCTACCCTCTAGGGATATAAATACTGCTGACTCGGTGGTTTTGCGTGTAGTTAATACCCGAAGATAAAATCGTCACGATGGAGGATGTAGTAAGAGAATTAAGCCCCAAATTGCTGCGGACGCAGTCGAATAGTAAACCAGTTGTTCTAATGACATGCGGCATTGCTGGTACGTCTCATCTCTATATAATCTTATGCCCTATTTCACATGCCAAGTTTCTTCACCCTATACCAATACGTACTAGGTTAGGTAGCTAACTCATAACAGGAGCCGGAAAGTCTACTCTTTCCAAATCTATACTATCAGCCTATCCGAACTTCGAGCGCCTATCAGCCGACGCCACGATCGCCGCCCGACACGGGATATACGGGGTAGACTATCCGCCGGAGAAGTACGAGGAATTCCTCGAAGAAGCCTCTGACGAATGCGAAACTCGGCTTGTCGAGCTGCTGCGAGAAGGGAAGAAAGATCTCGTATTGGACCGGTCTTTCTACAGCAAGGAGTTTCGTGAAGAGACTAAGAAGCTGATCGAGGACAATGGCGGAAGATGGGTGTTTGTATATCTTCGCGCAAAGAGCAAAGAATTCTTATGGGATAGAATTCAGAGAAGGAGGCAGAAGGGGATAAATGCTGATTGTGCATACGAAATTACTAGGGAAATACTTGACGGATATTGGGACGGGTTTGAAGCGCCGGCGGGCGAAGGAGATATTGTTATTAAAGTAGGCTAAGGAGACTGTTAGTAAAGGAGTAACAAAGCCGGATAATATAAATAGTTCAATTAAACATTTCGAGACCATGTTTTATATGCTCTTGAAGACTCCAAGTTTGAATACAGGTAACATCGTCGGTTTTAACCCCCCACTCCCACGACTTATGCACTTATAGCTAATATCAGCTAAAACGACGGAGTACCCCGAAAAAGGGGTCGGCCCACCCAATGACGCGCATAATTATACGGACTAGCACATTTCGTCATACGGATTTATCGTAAGATATATCAGGTACTTTATACTTGGTTATACAATCAAAGAAATAGAGCATTGCCGATTAAAGCACGTATAAGAAACAGCTCTTTTTTTTCTACCATAAACTTAAAATGCATCGACTCGCCACACGAAATTCCCGGATATTTCCACCATCCAGGTCCTTCGTCCTCACCCAACGATCTACGAGTTCTCAATCTCACTCACAAACTCAAGAGAAAAGCCAACATACAACCTCAATAGGCCAGAAAGACGCGACATCTCCTAAGAGTCAAGGAAACAAAAAGACCATGGCAGAACTAGACGCTGAATTGCAGCAAAAGATGTCGGGGCTTTCCGGCGATGGTGGAGAGGCCGGAATAGAATACGAGGACGGGAAGCCGGTGGCAATGAAGCGAGGTGTAAAAAATGTGAGCATCTCCTGCAAATATTTACTACACCCAAGTCAATCTTACTACTGTCAAACTGCTATCAGTTCGAACCTGGCCTGCTAAACATAAGTGTAATAGAATATGTTCCGTTATATATGAGTACCTAGGGTGTGTCTACCAGTACCCAAAGACTGCGGTGCTCGAAATCATCGGTATGAGATCTCGGTCTCGCAGCGTTAATAAAAAACTATGTACCTGTTTAAAGATTATCATGTATAGGAAGTGTTATGATTAACAGGTACCCAGGGATTACATACTGCAAGAAGAGATTTACGCAAGGCTTATCATGGTAACGATTAATATAAACTGGACGAAGCAAAGTATAACTATTATCATTCTTCAAACTCCTGAATAGGAAAACATCCATGCTAATAATGCAATAACTAATAGGGACAACTTTTTTGTTTTCGATAAAATCAAACATCGTCATTCATCCCAGCGCACAAAGAAAAGCGAAATATGAATTAAGCAGCAAATAATTCACTCAAGACATCGAAATAGTTATTCGCGCAAAAGTAATTAAATCCTCGTAATGAAACATTCTCACTTTAGTCTCCCCCTTTCTTTCTCCCACTTTACTACTACTTACTAGGTAGTGCTGCTGGGTAGTAAACCCGCACCCCCCTTCGGTCCGATTGCTTAATCGTCGAAAAAGACTTCGTTGTAAGCATTCACCGGCCGCGGGGGGACATGTGTGCGGGTGTTCAGGGGGAACGGCGGCGGCAGCTCCTCGGCCCAAGCCCAGTCGAGCCTGGGGTCGAGCCCGTCGGCGCGGCACATCGCGCACCGAGACGGGATGCGGCCGCCCTCGGGGATCGTCAGCGGCGGGAAGTGCGTGAAGCGGTCGACGACGTACACCGAGACGGGGTGCCCGCAGGAGCGCGCGCGGTACACGAGGGGCAGCTGGCAGATGGGGCACTCGATCCTCTTGCCGTCGGTGAGGCACTGCGCGCGGTACTCGAACATGCAGTCCTGCCCCACGATGTGCCCGCACGGCAGCACCTCCATGCGCTCGTTGCTCGTGATGTTGCCCCGGAAGCGGGCCGCGCTCTTCTGCGGCGGGTAGTAAGCGAGCTGATAAGAGCACGTGGGGCAGTCGGCGCGGATCGACACCGGCAGGTCGCCCTCCTCGTACGGCTGCTCCAGGTACGCGCGGATGTCGCGGAACAGCGACTCCCGCGTCATCCGCACGAAGGTATCGTCCTTGTCGAACCTCCGATCGAAATCATCGTCCCAGTCCGAGCGCTTGCTGATCGTCACGGTCGAGCCCGTCGGATAGTCGAAGTTGTGTTCCAACGGCTGCTCCTCATCTTCGGGAGGGTCAAGGGTCTCCGGGGAGATGGAACTCGGTTCAGCTTGGTCAAAGTGCTGTTCAAATTGCTGCTCGGGTGGCGGCTGGTTAAAGACTCCTCGATAGACCTGTCCTTGAGCCCATCCCGGCAGGATAGATGTGCTTCTATTGGGGATCGCCCGGCCGCCAATTAGCGGGTTGACGCCGTGATAGAAGCCCTGGCCCCATCCCTGACTTCCCCCTTGTCTGTGCATGAGGCCGGGAGCCAGTTGTGACGCGTTCATGTTCCACATGGTCGAATGTTGGGATACCACTCGTCCCAACGGTGTTCCGGAAACAGGGCGATATTGTAGGCCACCGAAAATCCAGGAGCGTATAGCATGATTACCTCCCAGCCCTCCTGGAAAGCTGTCCTCGACTACTGGACTGAAGCTATATTCGTCAGCCATTATTATGTTTGTCGGTGGTGCTGGGTTATTTTTAATAAAGCTTGTATCTTAGGTGTGATGATGCACTCTTCTGAGCAAGGGTATACGACAATGTTTAATTGTAGTTACTTGGGGATATCCCATAATAACCCTCATACACTAGCACATTTATAATTTTTGATATATACTATCATCAATACTCTTGTGTTCAAACAACTAGTGAACAATATAGCATAATTTGAAGCCTAAGACTGATTCGGGGACAATTGTATTGTTACTGTACAACATGATTCCACGTCGAAACATTGTACTTGATGGCATATAATTCCATAATGCTTTCAAAACAAATAGTGCGCGTTTGTTTATGTGAATAATTCGCCCATATCTTCTTTAATTTCCTCCCTAGAGGATGCATGCCACGACTTGGCTAAAATTCTGTGTTGTAGTTTCCGAGAGCCTCCACGCAGATCGGACTGTATGTAGGCATCAACTTCTTCTAGCGTTGGCCATCTCCAAGGAGTCCCGGTATCTGTACTACTTTCCATTCGAGATGTTAGGTCCTCCTGATCCTTATGTCCAAGATTCGGGCCGGCAAAAGCCTGAAAGGCGCACAGAGTCTTCGCTACAAGTGCATGTCCACGACTTCCTATTCGCTCGGCTTCTTCATCCACGTAGCTTCTATGAGTTAGTATCCACCGTAATAGATCTTTCATCGTAACTGTATCTTCGAGGAAAGCCAAAGCGCGCATATATGCATGAAGTTGAGCAGGCCCTATGCTATGCGTAAAATCAGGACATTTGAGCCGGATGGATTTCGACGCAGATATCCTAAACGGTGCTGTAAGTTGAGAGAACATGTGTTTTAATGTATCCAAAACTTGATGATAATGTATTAAAGGAGGCTCGGTCGTGCTGCGTTCGGGTCTTAATGAATCTTGAGACTCTAATCGAGACAGTGCCGCTTTTCCAACGGCACGGCACAAATAAAGGAAAGCATCCGCGTTTACGCCTGTCCTCTTATGCATTGACTCTACAACATCCATAGCAATCGACAAAGCTTCCGCATCGTTTTTCGCCTGCGAATCATTTATAACACATATGTGCGGCCGTGCTATCGCCCTTAGGATAATAACCCAAGGTGGTAGAAAGGTAGAGCCTTCGGTAGTTCCATGTCTCAGCCGAAGCTTTACAAGATTTATAGCATGTCGGATGAGGAAAAGACGTTCCAAGGAAATCTTTTCTTGGCCCTGACGGTTAGGATGCAATCTGCAAAGAAGTTGTATATAGCTCTTGAAAAGTAAAAGAGGAATCCGTCGAAGTGCGTCATAAGACGGCTGTTTAAATAAACCCAAGGCATTGATAGTAGCAGAATTCATACCGCTGTCGCGAAGATAGCCAGTTCCCTCTTCGAGGGAGTTGGCATTCATCAATAAGGTATTAAGGCAGTGGCCTTCCGGTTTCACACCATGGCTGATCATCCTATCGTACAATTCGGTAACCGTGGGAGGGGACAACCTAGCCAGTTCGTATTCGCTATAATTGGCGTCATGGATTGGGAAGTTTTCCCGGGAGTCGCCTGGCAAGGCAGTTGAATTCTCGTGGACGGGGTGAGCATGTAACTTCATAAACATCTCGGCGTAAACTTGCGTGTTAGGGGGTTTATCCGTTTCGGCAGCAACATCGTTGAAAACTTTCCATGCCTCCTGGCTGTTGCGGGTTGCCCGTATCCTCATGGCCCAAAGCGAATAGAAGTTTTGATCTTCATCTTCACCTTTCCACTCCTTTGGTGGAAGGCTGCGAGTCTGAATCGTAGGAGAATTTTGACCCAATCCGCCGAGCGCACTGAGTGCCCGATCATAGTTGTCATCGGTGTAGCCCGATTCCTTCATGAGAACACCCGCTTTTACGCTTCTCGAATAATCATCTTCTGCCGTTCTTTTTGCATCAAAACCGTCAAAGTCTTGTCGATACGGAGGCCATGACTTCGAGTACCTTACAGCAACCGCCCTCTCCGTTGCTGATTTTTTCAGGCCGATCATAACTTCCCGGATAGCTCTGTAGCTAGCTTTATTAATGACAAGAGGGGTGTCCATATGATCGGACATGGATAATAGGAGCCTCTGGGCTCTCCAGTTGAATTCCATATTTGTGATGGGCTGATTTGCGGCTGGTAGTTTAAAATATTGCAATGCTGTGTTGAAGACTTCACTCTTTTTCCAATGGCTGCTAGGGGGCAGTGCTTGAATGTAGTCCACCGTGAACCGTGCAACCGAAACGATTGATCTAGGCCATGACCGCTGAGTGTGATTTACAAGACGGCGGAGTAATAACAAAAATTCGGGTACTGTCAGGTTTACTTCAGGGCCAGATAGAGCCACCGCCTTATCACCCTTACGCAGAGATGGGGATGTAAAATTCATGTAGTGCTTTGATACATACTCCATCAGAGAGAGTAGAGAGGTGCCTTGGCGGAATGTCTCATTGCTACGGGCCACAAGAGTGATAAGAAAAGTAGGTTTGGGACGTTCAGTTGAAATCAAGCGTTCAACGCGGGCGTCCCCGTCCTCGGCTGATATTATCCATATCCAATGGTGTACGTCTTCCCGCGACCAGCCCCTAGTACCTAAGCTATAGAAGCGATCGGCCCACTCGGATGGGGTGATAGAGCGTATGGAATTGAATAATTCAGGCTCATCTTGAATGTCTTGCTTCGCCATCCAGGCCTGGAAGGTCACTAGGGCTAAGCGGTCGGAACGCTGTTGAGCAGCGTATTGAAAGAGATGACGATATGACCTCTTTTGTTTTTCCGTCTTAGTACGAATGCGTAGGGATAATATCCGACTAGGAGGTATTTTTAGTCGAGGATAGCGATGCTGCTTAGAGCTGGTCAATCTCGAGAGCCTTTCGCTCCATGTCGGCCGAGTTGACCAGAGATATGTAGCAGATCCAACGGTAGACTTGACCGGTGAAACTGCGGGTAAGGTAGACATGATATAAGTGTTTGGGTAAGAAGAAGGTCAATTTATGTTTTTATGTGTGAATGGGGTGTAAATAGATGCGAATGAGATACGAGGTATCTAACAAATAGCTTGGTAGAAGAGAGTCTTGTAAATCCGACATGTTGCTACTACTCGCATGACGGTAGATTCGTAAATAATTATAATAATAATAAGTATCTAATAAAAGTATAATAAATATTGGAAATCAGCCGAAAGAGTTATTATCTTAGTTTACCAGTCGATATATGAATATGACGGGTGTGTGATTGTATGATTTTAAATTCAACAATTCGAAATCCCGTTGCGTTGCGGTTTTGGCTTTCAAAAAACTCTTATCGATTACAGTCCGTACAGCAGGTAGTACGTAGTACCTACCTTAGGTACCTATGCAGTGTAGAACCTGCCGGGCTGCCGGGATTTAGCGTCAGCTCGAGGCCACTAACGCCTTATCAAGGTTATCAACGCCGAGCTCTGCCGATAATGCGACAATAAAAATAAAATCCAAATATTCTTCGTTCGCATTTGATTTCCATGTCGCATCCCACGATGAAGTTAACTTCCACGCAACTCGATTAAATTAAAATAATATAATCGAGTTTATAATTGAAGGCAGTTGATTCTTATTCAATGGCCGAATTAACTTCACCATGCGACCCTCATTGCGAAAAGTAGTAGCCTCCGCAGTTCGAGGACTGCATACAGCAGCCCCTCCTTCAAGATCACAGCCAATATCACAGCCAAGGTTACGGCAATGCTTCCATCAATCCAGTCTCGTCTCTCAAACCGTTTCTCAAACCTGGAAGCGTAGCTACAATAATTCCAATAAATTACTTTCAAACTCTACGAAGGATGAAGGATCTACAACTCCCCAACACAACGCCACCGACGGTTCGGAATCCCAGCAGCAAAGTCCAACAACGGCCTCCAAGCGAAAACCCATTCGCGTCTCAGCGGCAAAAACTTTGCGCCTAGGATTGACCACTAAGCCGCCTCAGCGTGCTCCAATTACAAGAAAAGATACCATTGGTTCCGACGTGGACTATCACCGAACTATAACCTCCATATGTGTTGCCCAGTCTTTTGATATGGAAGCCGTGCAAGAAATATTGCGCTTCCACGCCTTTGAATTGGATCCTGACGGTACCGAATTTGATCCTACGGGGGTTGTACATGCGAGGGGTATCAATAACGGAGACATATTTGTCTTCCCCTCCGGAACCGTCGTTGCTTGGTCTGTACCTACCGACGCCCTCATGACCCTTGCTACCAAGCAACTAATCCGAGCCGCTCAACTGCCCCATCTCAACCGCCTCGAGATGGAAGAGCTCGAATTCATACCGGATGAGACTCGCGATACTAGCTTTATGAAGGGCGAAATTGTCGTTTTGGGAACGAGGGCGCAAGAGCTGGAGAACCGCAGATTAGATACGACCCTTGCTAAGATCGCCTTCTCGAGCGGTCTAGCCAGGAGTCCTAAGTTGGCCGTACTCGAAAACCAGGCCATCGACTATTTTGAAAATTCCAAAGACAGTCTTGACTTTCTCGAGGGAGGCCTAGAGCACAAGCTCAAACGCAGCACCGTCTTGAAGATGACTGGCAAGCTCCTTACTCTGAGGTCGCAGCTGAACCACTACTCCGACATAACGGACCAGCTTCCGGACATGTTCTGGGATTCAGAGTCGAATTTGGAGAATTATTATAATCAAATCAGCACTGTTCTGGATATACGGCAGCGGATCGGGATTCTGAACAAGAAGATCGACTACGGGTTCGAGAACGTAAGCGTTCTGAGAGAGATGGTCAGCGAAAAGTACGGCCACCGACTGGAGTGGATTATCATATTCCTCATCACTGTCGAAGTCTTATTCGAACTGAGAAGGGTATACCATGAGAGCACAAGCGAAGCAAAATCAGACTAGATCTGGAAATGTTCTGCGTGTCTTGATATGTGAAGAGGGCCAGTGAGAGAACACCGCTCAATCCATGCTTTATAACATACGAAAATGCAACGCGCGCTGTACGAGCCAACGTACGTGTCCCCTGTAAGTCATTAGCAAAAGATACCTAACACGAGGTTAACCACTTGTTAGGGTCATTGTGTAATTTTTCATGAGCATGAGCGTAAGCTCCCAGAGGTAGTTAGTTAACAATGGGCTTGGTAAACTAGGAGACGATAATATATACCTAATGCATTACGAAGAATAAAAAAAAACAAGTTAAATTTTATCACTGGATGCTCATAAATGAGAATTCGGCATGTCCCCACTGGCAACACTACCCCTTTCGTAGCTCGTTCAACTTTGACTGAGTAGCAAGGGATTGCGAAACCAATGATATGTTCAGCGTTGGTTAATCTATTAGTTATTAAAGGTTCTTCTGTCAAAGAGTATCTATCAGCTACACAATTTGCTTATGCCGCGATACGCCCAACCTACAGATACACTTAACCAATATATATGCGTTTCCCCAGCGGTCTTCCACCGTGCTCGTAGACAGCCAGCAGCTCGTCCGGCGCAAGACTAATGATGGAAGGCCAAAAAGAAGGCGCCTTATGGACAAGTGTGGGCTCTCCCCAACGTATCCTGCCTCCGTCCAAACCCTCAGCGAACACGGCCTTGACAGCGGCCTTCCCAGGCCACGCCGGCACGTCCGCCTCCTCGTCCGTCATGAAGATGACGACCAACCCGCGGTCCCCGCACCGCTCGATCTGCGGCGCGCCCGCGTTGCGCCCGGGCCTCGGCCGGTACACCACGCCCCGCGACCCCCAGGTCCGCCCGCCGTCGTACGAGACCGCGTACTCGACGCTGAAGGTCCCGTGCCGTGTGGTCTCGAACACGACGACCTGCGCCTCGACGACTAGGTCGTCCTGCCGCGACCCGTCCGCCGCCGCCGCGGCGACGCCCACGATCCCCTGCATGCCGTCGCGCAGATTCTCGTGCGCTGAGTGGCACCGCAGACACCGCGGCGGGCTGCTCCACGTCAGCCCCCCGTCCACCGAATCCACGCGGAAGGTCTCCTGGTCGTCGTGCGCGAGCTCCCGCGAATACGTCAGCTGGACTTCTGGCGTGTTGTTGTTGCTGCTGCTGCTGCTGCTCCCGCCGAGGCGCATGAAGGGTTCCCAGAGGCCTAGGCCGTGGCTGCTTGCTGCGCTGTGCTCCGCGGCTTGAGATGCGAAGCGCCACGAGCGCCCGCCGTCTTCGCTGCGACATACGGTCTATAGCACCTGTATCAGTAACGAAAATAAATAGAAAATAAAAAATGATAACAACAATAATAGTATTAACAATAAATGCACACCTGCACTTCAGTAGCTCAAGAAGATAGACGATCAATACTCACGATGCGAAAATGCGAGGGCTTGTGCCCAGGCACGCGGTCGTGGTTCCTGAAGGCAGCGAGAACAACAGGGCCATTGTTCCCAGCCACCGTCGAGCGAGGAACCTCGATGAGGAAGCCGTTGTCGATATCGCCCACGCCGCGGGCGACTTCGCCGTGGGGGCTAAACGTGCGCCCGCCGTCGACGCTGCGCGAGACCTGCAGGACGTGCTCGCGGCGGCCGGGGCCCTGGAACCCCGTCGTCAGACACAGCAGGCCGCCGTCGGCGAGCCGGCACAGGCGAGGGTAGGTCCCGCCCGCGGGGTGCAGGACGGTTTCGTTGCTGTCGATGCGCCAGGGGGTGGGAGGAGATGCCGTCGCGTTGTCGTGGCTGTTTAATAGGGGGCCGAGGTGGCCTAGGATCTTCTGGCTGAGCCGGCCGGCCATTAAATACCTAGGTAGGTACTAAAATAGAATAAAATAAAATGGAGGAGGGGGGGAAGAGCTGGATTATTTAAGGCTGTTTAAGAGGTATTCAGGGGATAAGTTGCTGGGAAGGGAAGAATAGAGATAAGTCATTAGTAAACATACATATGTATGTTAGTATATGCTATGTATCTGTTGTCTTTTGAAGAAGAATAGACGTTGTTGTTGTTTCGGCGTACACGCAATCATCTCCACATATTTATCTGAAATGCCGTTGTAGATATAATAAATTCCTAAGAGAGGTAGCGTTTTTTTTTACCGGTATTAAAACTACGGGGGGTGATTGTCAACGCGGAAACTTGAAACTGGAAACGCAGGGATCTTCCGTTTCGACGGCTGATGATAATTTAACAATAGGTATCTCCTGCCCATAACTTTCTATCTATATTTTAGGTAGTGGTGGAAGTTGTAGATCGAAAAGCCCCTTTATTTTTTGACAGGAAGAAAAAAAAAAAAAAAAAAAAAAGGTCAATTGTTTGCAACGTACGGGAAGTAAACGACGTATGAGATAACCCGCCATAAATCATCCCAAACAAGAACACGATGTTCAGGTTTGTGTATCTTGATATGCGCTTGACCGATTGCCGCATACTCTCGCATATCATGTGAATAGGTACCTAAGGTATGTTCTAGAAGAAGACACCACTGATGTTGCGATTACTACGCGGAATGTATAAAGATGAGACTGCTTATTGGGGTAGTAGGGAAGGTCGTCTCGGTATTTATACGTACCTAAACTTATTTGCAGTTATAATTTATAACTGCATGTAAGTTACGACCAATATCTAGGCCATTCAGAGGCATGTGGGTTACATGCGTCCATCGATCCTATCCTTAAATTGATTGTCCACTGACTACGAGGGAAGTTGTACTACAGAAGGAAACTCCAATGTATTTCAAAGTTCTCGTCCGTATCGTATAACTTCCAGGCTTACCGTTGACATCACATTTATCTTCCACTCAACAAACCAACACGTCTAGTCTACTTCACTTATCCCCGTCTGTCTGCATTAGTGATATCTATATATTTCTGACAGACTCTTAAATAGCTGCTGCAGCACCGTTTTAGGTATTTTACAAGAATCGTCAAACTTCTAATTATCAGGTGTATAAGCTTTGTCGCGGAAATGGCACCTCAAGGTCTACAGTACGCCGACGCCGACACCGACGCCAGCAGCCGGGCCTCTCCCGAGGACCAGCTCCGGCCTCCTCGAGCCCGCTCGCCGTCCTTGTCGACCATCGCCGGCAGCATGCGCCAGAAGCTGAAGGCCCTCCGGAAGAAGATAGTGCAGGGCCAGACCCTCGTTCCGGCAGCCGAACCGGACGGGTAGGGACTCGTCGACGGAGCCGCGGACAGCAGGAGCGGGAACGACAGGTCTCAGTACTTGCTGAGCTCGACCGGCCTGGTGGAGCCGGACGTCATGGCCCTGCGCTTCCCCTTGCTATCGTCCCGGCATCAGGGCTCCTGGGACGAGAGCCGAATTATTTTCAATCGCAACCGCAATTTCCTTACCTCTAGCAGAGATAAAATGGTTAGTCCCGACAGGCTGTGTACTAACTTTCAACATGCCATAATGCCGAGAAAGTGGCCGGACGAGGAACTAGAGCTCCAGCGCGAGGTGATTAAGAAATACGAAGCGGGAGTCAGGCTGTGGACTAAAGAGGAGCTTCTCGCTATGGAGGACATGGCTACTGGTCTTGGCGGCAAAGTGTGCACTCCTCTCTACGCCGGACAGGGGGAGTATACCGTTGAGAAAGAAAAAGGGTACGAAGCTTTCCAATGCCAATGCCAATGCCAATATCAATACCATCACCATACCTGTTTTCCGCTAGGTCTGACATAGTCTCGATGATATACCTAGGTACTTATACAAGGTCGATTTCCACGGCTACAAAGCCTTAGCTTTCCCGCTTTCCTCCCGCGCCAACGGGACGCCATACAGCTCCATGACCCTCAGCAAAAAGCCCGCCTACACCCACATCCCCACGGACCTCGACGAGCAGGAAGACGTCTTCCACCGGTGGTGGACCATCTGGGACACCAGCTCGATCGGGCGCCACTTCCACGCGTGCATGATGCGGCTCCCCTTCCCGCCGTACATCAACAAGATCGTCTGCATCGGGCTCGGCAACTTCGTCGCCGCCTCCGCGGACGCAGATGCGAACGCCAACCTCCCCACCCCGCTGCAGCACGCCATCCTCCGCCACGCGGCCGTCCTGACCGTCGCGGACGCCCTGGACCGGCGCTTCGGGCGCGAGATACGGGTCCTGGCGCAGGACCCCGAGTACACGCCGGACTGCGCGGCGGTGCTGGCGCGGCGCGGGTTCGCGATCGTGGGGCGGCACGGGGCGGCCGGGCTCGCGGAGATCGACGACAAGACGTTTGTGTTCGCGCCCTCGCCGGGGTTCTGCGTCAAGGAGGTCGTCGCCGACATCGCGACGCCCGCCGGCATGTTCTGGGGCATGATCACGACGCCGGAGGAGGAGAGGGACAGGGAGAGGGGGAAAACGAATGGGCCGGGGGTGGATTTCGGGGCTGGGGTTATGGGGTATTGGAAGTATGTGCCTTCTCGTTGCTTTTTCGTTGATATTACATCCCCCCCCTTTTTTTTCTTTTCTTTTCCTCTTTGCTTGTTTGCCATCTCATCTTACCTCTCTTTATAAGTATGATGTGTGTGTATATACTGACTGTGGTAAACCCATGCTAGCCCTGACAACACAGATCCCGACACGCCCCGTGTCCGCCTACTTGGCAATCAGTACGGCATGCACCCGTTCCCGTACACCAACTTATTTGGGGACGTGGCGATATATTCGCTCAGAGGGTAGGCATAGCTCATACGGAATCCAACGCCGGGGCTTCCCATCTGGAGGTACTATAGTTCCGTGGCCAGGAAGTCAGTGCAACCATGGCGTTGGCTGTTTACAACTTTTGAGAAGACTTATATTATAATAATGTGGTTAAGGTTTTTCTTTCTTGTATTGAATTCTGGCTACACATTCTTTTGAACAGATTAGCTAAGGAGCTTTTTTTAAGGATGAATTCTCGGCTTTCTTGGCTTTCTTGCACGTGTCCTCGAGAATGAATAGATGAAGTTGGCTGCACCGTCGCTATCTACCGTGTTCTTTGCGACACGATGTAGTTGACTGGTTAAATGGTAGAAAGACCAATATGAATTACTAAGACAGTCAGTTTTCTGGTGCTAGAAGTAGGCAGATTTGAATGACATTTAATTGTTAGTTTGGTTGAGGCTTTCTCGTTACAGGTAACTAGCACCTAGCACTCTTAAGTGACGACCATGGAACTGAGTCCCGAACAACGACCATTTCAGTCAGTTAAGTCTATCGCTAAAGCCACCTGCTTCCTTTTTTCTTCCGACAAGCCAGTGCCCCCTCCCCTCCCCTCCCTGTATACGTTTACCATATAAACCCCGATAAAAATTTCCTCTTTTCCTTGCATCGCTCCCTTGGGATTCTTTTCCTTTCCACCCACCCCGCTCCTAAACTCTGCCGTAATAGCTTCCCAAGCTGCCTAAGTGAGTACCTAGGTACTATACCTAAACCAAGAGGTGTCTCCTGACTTCAGCCCCCCCTTTTTGAAAGAAATCACGTTATGTTAGGTACATATCTAGAGCCACTTCCGCTACAGCGACAACTTACCGATCGACCACCTGAGCCGACCATAAATTTACCTCAGACGTAAGCTTCACTTTCCTCATAGCCCTTCCTCATCAATTATCAACTAACAACTCACAGTCAAATCCCACCTCCATTATTAAAAAAACAACCTAACAACCTCCTCCTTGAGATTAGGTTAGGTACCTGTCATGGAATTCTTAACATCGGAACTGGGTCCAAAACGGAACCATTGCAACACCACCTACGTCACAAGAGAAGAACCGTCAGGTAGCCCATGACAACACAACACAACACAACATCAATTAATTAGAAGAACGCATTATCGTCAATTAAAGTCAGCTAGCTAACCTTAGCCATCAAACTACACATCTCCAACTCTCTCACCCCCCTCTCTCTTCTCTGTAGGGTTTATTTTATACACGCAGGCAACGTACCTAACGCAACGCAACGCACAGCCACACAGCCACGGTCACGGCGAATAATGGGTAAGCCTTGTATCGAAATGCATGCCTAGCTAATCTACATATTAAGTAGGCCATAAAGGCGAGGGCCCCGGGGGGGAGGGGGGAGAAAGAGGAGGAAAAACCACGTAAAACAAGATGAAGCCCTTCTATCCCGAGATGGTGGAACGAACGCAACAATAACGAGGATATTAATAAAGTCGTCTACGTATTTCCCTGCCCGTCCACTTGTTCTAAGAGGGAGAATCCTCGCCAACTCCGTTTTTCCAGGGTTGACGGCACCCATTCTATGAAGAGGCCAACAAGTCAAGGAAGAGAAAATAGGAGAAAAACTCGGTTCTCAACCCCTTTGTTGTAAGAACTCAATGCTCCATTCCATACCATGGAAGAGCGTTATCCACGTTCGCATTTCACTGTGCCACTCCTTTATTTCAGGAGCTTATGATTGCTTCCCAACTTAATATGCAACCTGAATGATCAAAATTAACGCCAACAATGACTTTTATCTCGAAATATTCTCTTTAATTGGCCTGGTTTCCGATTCTTGTCTTGACATCGGGACACCAGCGCTTGGCGGGTCAAACGAGTATACACCATGTCCGTCTTGGACGGGTGGGCGTAAACTAGTATTCGTCCCGTGATGATGGTACAATTGGGGTACGGAAGACCCCTAGGCTTCTCTACCGGGCATTGACTGGCCACCATTAGCTGCCGGAGCCGCCGGCGCCATTGCGGGACTTCCATTAACTACGGGCATAGGTTTGGGACTATGGCTGGAAGCTGGGTAATTAGGCATGCCTGCTCTAACTGCTGCTAGCCTTGCCGGATCGCCCCCTAGACCAATGCCACCCAAGCCGACCGGTGCACCAACCGGTGCCTGTCCTTGAGCGGACATGGAATTTCGAATACCTTCGTTCGTCCTTTGAGCACTTTTTGTCGCATCGAAGCGAGCTTTGGCTTGATCCATGGCTTGCTGAACCTGATGAGGGTTAAGGGATGTATGGAATGACGAGGTACCCGGGGTTTGAGGATTTGAACTCGGTTGACCGTGCGGATGAATTTGGTTGTTGGGTATTGCGGGCGAACCGGCCGGTGGATAGAAACGCCTTGACGGGTCGTTGCCCATATTAGGTTGACTACCATAAGAAGGTTGCCTTGTGGGAGTGGCAGCCGGATTATACCCGGGGTGGTGAGGGATAGGCTGATGTTGTGGTGTTGGATGGGAGATATGTGGGGATGCTGTCCTTTGAGGCATGTTTGGAGCGCCATTTGGATACTGGACATACGGTTGATGTGTTGGAGTACCATGCTGCTGAGGTGGATGCTGCGGTTGGTAAGGTTGAGGATGATAGTTGGGCGGTTGAGTAGCTGGGGGGTATGGCGGGAAACGGGCCTGGGGCGTCTGGTTGCCCATGTTAGGATAACCAGGCATGGGTTGGTATGGAGGTCGAGCTTGCGTCGGCGTGCCTCCGTAAGGGCCGGGCTGCTGCGGGAATGGCGGGGCTTTGTTAAACTGTTGAGGGTAGCCCGCATTTGGATAGTGATTAGGAGGACGGTAGCCCGTGTTTGACGGGGGCCGCTGTGGATAAGCGGGAGGCATTGTCTGGGGAGGCCTTTGCATCGCGGGCTGAGGGGGTCGTATCGGCGTCTGCGGGCCATAAAACGGCGGGGTTGGCATCGGGGCGCGATTAGGATGATACTGCTGACTATACTGCACGCTGCTTGAAGAACTCGACGAGCGATGCGCAACTGGTCGTGGATTTATGGGAGCCTGCGCGGCTCTTGCGCGAGCAGCTGCCTCGTCTTCCTCCATTAGACCTTGGTATTCATCAGTGCGAACTTCAATCTTAGTTGAGATGTTTAATTCCTCCAGCTTATCCGAATTTAGACGCGCAACGGCGTAAGGCGGAAGCATTTGAATAACCAAAGCTAACTGCGCCTTCAGCGCCTGATAAGTGGCTGTCTCCTCTTCGCCAGGTTGCACTGGCGTCCCATTGGTAAGCATATCGCTATGAGACGGATCCGCCGAGTACCGACTTTGGCTAGATGCAGTCGGAAGGGTCAAATTACGATTCTTTTGGTATGATACTAGTGTCTGGATCATGTCAGACACGTCCTGAAGGATATCGTCGACGTCTTTCTCATCGTCCGGTTTCTTTGGGCAACAGGCCTGTTCGAGACTAGGATCTATCATAGTCTCATCCCAGTTTTCTAGAGCCTCCTTGATAAACTCTTCATCCACCTCTTCCACAGGGGCGGTAGCAACCTCTTCCGTATTCTCCGGGGTATCTTCCTGTAGCTCAGCCTCAACCAATCGATCGAAGTTACGCCTTCCTACCTTCTGCCACCACATAGTGTGACTAATTAATCCCGACGAAATCATGGCAGCCGAGTCATCCTTCGAGGGGGCAAAACTAGAGAAAGCGCCACGAAATAGCGCCTCCATCTCAGACATCTCAAGGTCGGATGAAGAAGGCTTATTTCCGGCCAGGCTCAGAGCTCGCTCGCGTTGCTTTGTCATAATCTGGGAAGGGGGAGCAGCATTGCTATAGTCCAACCAACGTCCAGTCGATATTGGCTGGCTAAAGTACGATCCAGCGCGGTACTTAGACTTCTCGGTTAGTTCGGGGCGATGCCAGCCAACTTGGACTCCTTTGGTGGTACTCTTCGGCGCCTTAGGTGGCTGGAGCGATGGTAGATTGCGCGGAGCTGGGAATAGCTCTCCTAACGTCTTCGATTTCTTATCCTTCTCGATAGCGGAAGAGAATGTATACGGTATGGCCTTAGCAATCTTAACACCGCTAGGCAAACCCTCTTCCCTCAATGGTCGTATTGTCGTTCCTGCATCGCCAGATCTTTGCACAGGCTGCTGCAGACTCGAGTACAGCGGCTTCCCCCTCATAGACTCCCCAATAATTGTCAGTACCGTGTTTCCACTAGCACTAGACTGCAAATCATTGATCAAATCGAGGTCGTGGAGCACATCAGAAACGCGAGGGTTATATGGATAGGATAACTCGCGCTTGAAAATGTTATAAGCCTGCCGCTTGAATTCAATGACCTTAGCAATGGCTTCTTCGTTCGCTTTGGGGTCTTGTCCTGGTTGTATGTCCCGCAGCTCAGCTAGGTGATCAGCGATGGAAGTTTTGACGTCCGTGATGATATTAATAAGATCATCATATTTCTCTTGAACCACCTTATCGGCAATGGAAGGTGGCGGTTTTCCATCGTCAGGTTTCTTCCTTTTTGCTTGCGGTTCGCCAGAAGAATCTTCAGGGTTGGGAAGCGGGCGTTTAAGGACAGAGGGTGTCGGATCAAGCCTATATATCGCAAGCAGTGAGCACTAGATCTAGAATAGCATTGATATATTATTACGCGTGGAGGGTATGGGTATAACTGGGGAGAAATGCGCATGTGCGTTGTGTGAAGAGGATCTACAAATTGAAGAGGGATTAGGGATTGGATAGATATTTTAGTTATACCTTTGAAGAACTTCAAAATAATTACGTATTGTAGGCTGGTCGATCTTTGTCGCGCGTGGTTGAGAAGATGTTTTTGGGTCATCGGTTGCAGTGGGAGAGTTGCGATCAGTGGCGAGGCCATTTGGTGGTTTATCGCCAACATCTGAAGACTCGCGTTTGCGCTTAATGGAGTTACTGGAGACAGATTGCGCGGTATTGACATCGGAGTCGGCACCAGCATCTGGACTAGTAGGATTGAAATTGGCGTCGACATCGGCGTTGTTATTGTTATTACTGCTGTTGAGTTGCACGGGCGCAGTAACGCCGTTAGGAAGTGCTATGGCTGGCGAGGCCATTTTTGCCTAGTTTTGATACGTATATCTTTTTCTTTTTTAATTTTGGGGGGGTTGACTTTTTTTTTTTTTTGTATTGCTGCTGTCCCTATGCAAGATGCGAGATGCGGCGGTTGATATCGATGGGCTGCTAAGAAATTGGCGGCTCCGTCGCGCTGCACGGCCTGTCGGTCGCGATTGAAAAAAGGGACTTGGGGATTTTGTGGTTGCTTGTTGGTGCGACCGCGACCTCCCAGACTTTAGACTGGACCCCCCCAAAAAATATTCCCAGGCGAAGACCGGGTCGTCAGGTACAAGAAACTGCTCCTGCTACTTGACCACTGTACCTATTGTACAGTGTACGGTAGGTATTTCCCGTAGGCAAGGAGGTACCTAAAGAAAAGAACCACAAATTTTCTTTGCAATGGCGGTAGAAAGTCGATAGGCCAACGGGCTAACTGACGGAAGTAATAAGGATAGAAAAAAGAATAGAATCTTTTTCAAAACCAAGTCCACCACGTAAAGCCATTCGGCGATATTGATGAACAGTTCTAGAAAATGAATGTGTTGCTGAATGCACGTATTTTTAATTTAACAATTTTGTCTCCTAGAATCTGCACTCATCACTTTTTTGGAGGGAGGGAAAAGGCTGCGACAACAAAATGAATCTGTCCGTCCTGGCCTACATGCAAAGGATGGCCAACGCTATGTCTCTACGCTAGCCCTGTTCTAGGCTAGGTCGATATGCACGAGCCACCAATTAGCATCTACACGTGATTAACACAAGTACCTAAGCTAGGTAGGTAGGACGTGCATGTCAAGGTACATGCTCACTCAATTAGAGCAAACGCGACGAGAAGAATGTTTGAATATTACCTAAGAAGCAGACCTACAAAATCGATGAATGCAGTTAGGTGTTTTTATGCAAGCATAATGTGTTCCGATATTATATGCGAGGTATGTGTAAGATAGATACCTAGCATAAGATGGCTGTCGAAACTCGCTCGGGCGTTTCCCAATATAAAGTCGTTGGTACTCGGACAAGAAAAATGTGTGTTGATACACGACTTGAAGCCTATTATGCACACTATTATTGATTACCCACTACGAAATACAAGTTCAATATTTCATCGTTTATTTTTTGGTCTTACCTACCCAGGTAGGTATCGAATTTACGTTACGTTGGGTACCTACAGGTATGTATCTTTCTCAATTTATTGATTTGGAAACGGAGATGCGACCTGGAATATTACGTGTCGTGTGGTGGTTTCGCTTATATTTATCTTTAACTATAGTATCACACATACCTAACATACTGCGTCTATAAGGATGGATTTAATCCCAATAGATACCAGAGGGTCTGCAAACATGTCAATTCAATAGGCGGATGACGAGTGACAGGGTTACAAGATTTCACTAATGTAATACCAAACTGGTGAGATGCTATAAGAATACGTGTTGCATGCAGGTCTGTAATTTACAACGAAGACAACGTCTCATCATACTCAATGACCAAGCTCCAATAGCAATACCCAATGAAGAAAAAAAACACAGTCCCAGGCTAAGACCAATTTGAATTGCACTCAAAACCGCTGTTGTCCCTCATATTATGGTTTAACCAGTACAATTTCCATGTTGCATCTCATTATTAGCCTCACAAAGTCATTCATACATCCTCTTCCAAACTATTTTCTCCCTGCGCCTATTTAGCCTTAGCTAGTCCGACGGTACCCTTTCCGAGGTCATAGATGGAGTACCATCTTCGGAGGAATGCATCACCGAGGATGGCGAGAGGGCCGACGGGGGCAGGGAAGTCCATGCCCATGAAGGTAGAGATACAGCTGCCCTGGACCTCGAGGATGTAGTCGTAGGGTCCGATAGCAAAGTCGTAGCCACCCAGCTTGAAGCTGATGTCGGGGAGCCCGTCGCGGACCGAGCAGTCGACAGTGTACTGGCCGTTGAAGCTCTTCTTGGCACCGATCTCCTTGTTGAGCAACTCAGCAAGGTCAGTAGGAAGAGCAATGAGAGAAGTACCGGTGTCAAGGATAACACCAGTGTTCTCGAGCTCAGCAGTCTCATCACCGAAAGAAATAGAGTCGAAGTCGACCTCCCAGTAAGCCTTACGGCGCAGGGGGATCTCGGTGATCTTGCCAGTGTAGTGGTCCTGGTCAACACCACCAAAAACGACTTCCGAGGAGTCATCTCCGTTCTCACCACTGAGGTAGAAAGAGAAGACGGCATCATCAACCAACTTCTGGTTAACCATTTTGTAGAAGGGAGGGACGATGCCGTTTACGGAGAGTCGGTCAAAGCCCAACCCGAGGATACCGTCAAATCGACCGAAGGCAAAAGCGAGACCAGGTTCGCTGGTAGCCTCGGCGAAATCTTGGTTGGTAACCTTGAGATCACCAATTGTCAAGACATCCTGAGACACGAAACCACTCAAGCTACCAGATCCGTAACGAATCTCGAACTCGGTCCCGTTTTTCTTGTAGGTCGAAGAGGAGGACGAGTCGTACTTGTTGTGAAGGTAACAAGCGATACTACCGCAGGACGAGGAGGGAACCCAGAGATTAGAGCTACCTGTGTCAAGGATGACCTTGAAGTCTTGGGGAGGAGTGCCGATGCTAATCTCGGAGAAATCTAGCGAAAGAATAATTAGCTCATGGAGTCGAGCTTCGCACTAATAGATGGATATACATACACTGAGCATTCATGAAGTTGGAGATGGGAACAGGATGGTCCTTATCTATGTGGACGGATGTATCTTGGAAGATAGCCTGGCTCTGAGACTCGGGTCGAGCGCCCATGTACTTCTGGCCGAGACCGCGCACTTGGTGCTCAATCGGGATGCTCTCCTATCAAAAGTCATCAACACTATGTCGCATCAGCGATCCAAGAGGTATACTAACCAACTGCTCAGCCAGAGGGATCTTCTTGAGCTTCATCTTGTGGACGCCAGCTTGGGCGGAGCCGAGCAGCATAGCTGCGGTAAGCAGAGCTCCCTTCATGATGGGCAACTCCGTTCGGTTATCAAGTAAATCAGAATAAGCAAACTATTAATGAAGCGAGAGAGAGACAGATGATATCCAAAAAAGTTAAAATCCTAGAGATGAAGGATGAAGGAAAATATAGACGAAAAGTTTGATGGTTGACTGGTTGATGGATTGGATGTAAATAGGTAAGGAGAAGGAGGAATGACGGAGGACGGATGATGTTGCTGAGAGAGACTAGGAGATAACGAGGAGCTCGTCTAATCAATCAGCGCCTGTGTTTGGGGGATAGGCGGGAAATGGCCCAGTTCCATGCAGGCAGGCACTTAACTTTCTGGGGTGGGAGTGGGGACTTAGTCTCGTGCAAGACGAATACAAGACGAATACAACCTAGGCTTGTACAGTACCTTCCCAGCTGCCCGCTTTGAAATGGTCCGAGTCCACCCAATGACGCAGGTAGGGAGGTCAATGTGGACCCTACATGTTCCAACTGTTCCGGACAACCAAATGCTTGAGGCAGCAACGGCTGATGACACAAGCAGGTACAAGCTTAACGCCACCCGAACCGTTCGACTGTGTCCAATAGAATGTGCTATACCAAGCTTAATCCATTCCGGAGAGACTTAAAGGGGTACAATAAAATATGGAGAGCATTCCGTACTGTACAAGCCAACTCAATATTTCCTTACAAGAGCTTGCTCTTATGTAAGACCGCAATATTGAGAGCATGAATATCCATATTATGTCGCATTATCGATTACGTTTGGGCTTTGCACATGCTGCATAATATTATTAAGTACGTACGGATCCGTACATAGCTCTCAATTTGAGCATGCAATGCGATAGGTATGTTCCCTAGGAATAGTCATATCTCTATCTCTTTCTGTTTCCATTAGTTACCTATATAAGACCATATCTTAGATGTCGTTCTGAGTTTCAAACTTGGAGCTTCTCTCTTAGTAATGAAATATGCCGATTCATTCATCGTCAAACCTTTGGTGTTTCTTAAGCAGCAATTTGTTAATGTACGGAGTCTTAGAAAGTATAGAATGATCCTCAAGTGTACATCGGCATATTGTAGCCTATACTGAGCGTATGAATGCTAGAAAGTTTATAATATTTCGTTATTAAGAAGTTGTTTCCATGTAAATGTATCCTATTCAGGCGAGAGTGAAACATGCTATAGTCAAGCTTAGATAAAGTCAGCTCAACATCACCTCTAAGATTAGGATCTTGTCTACACTTTTTCTTAAACCAGCGTGCTATGTTACCAGGATAAATTTGATTTGATTTGATAAAATTATACTATTTTATAAGCTACATATGGCTTACATTTGTAAGTGGCATTAAGTTTAGAGTTGATAAATAAAGAAATATAAAAGGCGAAATAATGTTGATGATAATGAACTATGAGTTATTTACCTGTTAAGAGGGCATGATATACTCAATGGTACGGATCCGTACTATTTGAATAACGATGTGAATACATAATTGCAACTTTTCAACTATGTTAGGAGTATTTGAGTCCCTCGGTATGTTCTTTTCTGTCTATAAGATAGATGCTGATCTATGAGGTAGATATTGCAGAGTGATTCGAAAAATGTAACGTGGAGAGATTTCTGCATTTTAGAAGGTGAAGAAAAGGAGGAAGAAGAAAAGGAAGAAAAGGCATTCTGCAATTTATATCTAAGCTCATGCTACCGAAGGATGCATGCATTTCTTTGCTTACGTGGGTTGTTAAGATCCTACCGCTTCATTCCATTAGTGAATAAACCAACGAGTTGTTGGGATATTAAAGAGAAAAGGGGGATCAAATGATCGGTTTATGAATAAGACCAATTAGCTGTAATTATGAAATTTTCTAGGCTAGGATTTGTTATGATATCTCTTATACCATTCCCTGATATATAGGTGCAGAACGGCCTTGAAGCTGAAAGGATAGCCGACATAATAGTCAGAAGTGGAGGGACCTTGATGGATAAGCCGATTCACCGACGTCGGCGCCGATATTCCAGTAAAAGCGCTAGGTATGCAAGTGGATCGGCCGTCCCAAAAAGACAGACGCTAAGCTACTTCGCTAGTAACTCCGGATCCTAGAGGGCCAGCGGGTTAACGCTAGGAGAGGTAGGTAAGAGTAAGCAGCGAGAAGCGTAAGCATACGTACTGGGCATACAGGCATAGAGGAATTTGTCCCCTATCAATTCCAAGTACCCCGCCGTTAGTTGGGATAAGGTGCCACCACCTACGCCGTCTATTACTTAAGGGAAACCCCACCAAACCCCAATTGGAGGAGAAGAAAAATATTATTCCCTCTCCCTCGCCTTCTGTAAACCTTTCTTCCCTTTCCTTCATCAAACACTTTTTAATTCTCTGAAAAAAAGAGAAGTTAAAAAAAACTAAAAACTTACAATCTCTTCAGGGGCGAGAGATCTTTTCCCATCTAATTCTATTTCTGAATCTATAGTCGAATTACTCATTCGATTTTTTATACAATGGCTGCCAACGGCTCTACCTACGCTCTCTCTCAAGAGCATAAGGATGTCAGTAACACCGCTTCAAAATTTACTTCACCTTCACGAGTATAATCATGCTGACTCACTCTAGCTGCTCGAGAAGTCTCTCGTCGACTCCGACCCGGAGGTCGCGGAAATTATGGTAAATTATCTCAAATACTCAAGTCAATTCAACTTGTAACTGATTCGATTGTCACTATAGAAAAAGGAAATTCAACGACAGCGGGAGTCCATCATCTTAATTGCCTCTGAAAATGTTACTTCGCGCGCTGTATTCGATGCTCTTGGCTCTCCTATGTCCAACAAGTACTCGGAAGGTTACCCCGGTGCTCGATACTACGGTGGAAACCAGCACATCGACCAGGTCGAGCTTCTCTGCCAGAAGCGTGCTCTTCAGACTTTCCACCTCGACCCCGAACAATGGGGTGTCAATGTCCAGTGCCTCAGTGGTAGCCCTGCAAACTTGCAAGTCTACCAGGCTATCATGCCTCCTGGAGGCCGATTGATGGGTCTGGACCTCCCCCACGGTGGTCATCTGAGTCACGGATACCAAACCCCCTCACGAAAGTAGGAATTTACTGCAGCTACCTAACCCCTAACCCCTAACCTCTAATCCATACTCGTTGCCGGTGGCTAACTTTGCTGCTACTCGTAGGATCTCGGCAGTTTCGACTTACTTCGAGACCATGCCTTACCGAGTAAACCTCGACACTGGCATTATTGACTACGACAGACTTGAGGAGAACGCTCAACTATTCCGCCCCAAGGTTCTCGTCGCTGGTACCTCTGCGTACTGCCGTGAGATTGACTATGCGCGCATGAGGAAGATTGCTGATTCGGTCGGAGCTTATCTCGTTGTCGATATGGCTCACATCTCCGGCCTGATCGCAGCTGAGGTTATCAAGTCTCCTTTCCCCCACGCCGATATAGTTACTACTACAACTCACAAGTCGCTCCGTGGCCCCCGTGGTGCCATGATCTTCTTCCGAAAGGGTGTCCGAAGCACCGATCCCAAGACTGGCAAGCAGACCTTCTACGATCTGGAGTCTGCTATCAACTTTTCCGTCTTCCCCGGCCACCAGGGTGGTCCTCACAACCACACCATCACTGCTCTAGCCGTTGCCTTAAAGCAAGCCCAGACTCCTGAATTCAAGGCGTACCAGGAGAAGGTCGTGTCTAACGCCAAGACTTTGGAGAACAAGTTCAAGGCTCTTGGCTACAAGTTGGTATCTGACGGTACCGACTCTCACATGGTTCTCCTAGACCTGAGACCCCAGGCCGTTGACGGTGCCCGTATTGAAGCCGTCTTGGAGCAGATCAACATCGCTTGCAACAAGAACGCTACACCCGGCGACAAGTCCGCCTTGACACCGTACGGTATTCGTATTGGAACACCAGCTATGACCTCGCGTGGATTCGGAGAGCAAGACTTCGAGCGTGTTGCTGGCTACATCGACGAGAGCATCAAAATAGCTAAGGAGGTCCAGGCTAGCCTACCCAAGGAAGCTAACAAGCTCAAGGACTTCCGAGCTAAGCTGTCCGAGGGAGACAACACCAGAATCAACGCTCTTAGGAAGGAGATCGCTTCTTGGTCCCAGACCTTCCCTCTTCCCGTCGAGGGATGGAGACTGGATGCAGGCATCTAGGTTACCACGTACGTGAATGAATTACGATGAACACCGGAGAGGTATTGTTCAACATATAGATCTGGGGGCGAAAGAGGGGCAACTCAACTTTTCTCTGGTTTGTGGAAACGGGATAGGCTTCATTACGGAAAAGAATTTAAGGATGATAAAAGAGGACAGTTGCATGCATTCATCAGGCGTTGCAAATATCATAAGTGCTTCGGAGTTTGGTACAGCTCTGGGGTCTGGGTCTTCGGCGGCACTGCTTCAACGCAGTAGATTATAAGGAATTGATATCCATTCGATGTTTTTTTATGTGTAGATAATAAGGAAGATAGGATGATGCCCATACAAGGATAAATCTCAATGGGATATAAGCTACACGTTTCGTGTAGCAGTGGCATTCCTCAAGTATCAACTTCTATAAGTAAAACTAATGGTGACGATAGTGGGTAAATTTCCCCCTCATACTTGCTCTGCTCCATCTATCACGTCATACCACAGTCACTGATTCTAATGGTATAATTACAAATCAACGAAGATCTTCGACTTATCACACTAACATCTACGCAAGATATGTCTTGATAATTCTATTTATATAATCTCCTCACCTAGACTCTTCCTCCAAAGAAACACATTTAACCGGATCATCGATCAACATGTCCCATCCCGATGCTGACTTACATCCAGTCGCAACTGGTCTCGCCAAGAAGACAGTTGATGTGCGTATCACCCAAATCCAAGTGTATACCGACTTTCGAGACCGGAAGCGGACAATAAAACGGGAGGGGGGGTATTTTAGGTACTTACAACCTGTGCTGACCCGGTCATCACGTAGGAACACTCGGCCGAGCAGCCGTTGAAGCTGTTTGCAGGCTGGTTCTGTCCTTTCGTACAGCGGGTGTGGATTACGCTCGAGGAGAAAGGTATCCCGTACCAGTATATCGAGATCAACCCGTATCATAAGGGACCTGAGCGTAAGTAGCCTTGTTGTTTCCCACATCCCTTCCCCCTCCCTTTTTTTCTCTTTTTTGCCAGGTCTGAGTATTATTGAGACAACCAAGGAGTGATATATATGTCTCCTGAAGACTCCTCTTGAACCCCGTCCTGGTTTGATACCTGCGGTACGTGAGAGGAAGAACAGGCTAACCCACCAGCGAAAAGTCCTGCGCGCCAATCCGCGCGGCCTCGTGCCCACGCTCGAGGTCGCGCCGGGCAAGTCCTTGTACGAGAGCACCGTGCTGTGCGAGTATCTCGAGGACCACTATCCCGACCACAAGCCGCATAGTAAGTCCGTCGTATCGTATCGTATGGCATTGCATTGCATTGTATTTACCTAATGCAAACGACATGCCTACCTAATATACCTGACCATCCATCATCATTGTCTAACACGCCGGGGGATATGTACCTAGTCTTGTCAGAGGCGGGGAAAGACGATTACACGCGCGCGAGGGCGCGCATCTGGACCGACTTCGTCACGAGCCGCGTGGTACCGGCTTTCCACCGGCTGCTGCAGTTCCAGCCGTTGAAGCACGAGGGCGGAGGAGAGGAGAGGCTCGACGAGCTCCGGCGGGAGTTTAGGTCACGTCTTCTGGAGTTCGCGAGGGAGATGGATCCTCGGGGGCCGTTTTTCTTTGGGCCTGAGTTGAGTCTGGTGGATATTGTGATGATCCCTTGGGCGGTAAGGAAGCTTTTTTTTTCCTTTTTTTTTTCTTAGTAACCGGTATTCTTCGAGATAGGAGTTTCTAACGGCTGCGGGTTATGTATCTAGGTTCGTCTCTGGGTGTTCGAGGAGTTCAAGGGCGGCTTACGTGTTCCTGAGCCCGGGCAGGGCGGACCGGATGAAGAAGCTTGGGCCCGGTGGCGGAAGTGGTTGGACGCGAGTTCAAGCCGAGAGAGCGTTAGGAAGACGACTAGCGAGCAAGAGCACTATTTGCCTATCTACAAGCGTTATGCGGAAGATTTGGCACAGTCCGAGTTGGCCAAAGCTACAAGAGCCGGTAGGGGGGTCCCGTGATGGTGCTATGGAAGTTATGATGTATTATACATATATGAATGGGAGACATAAATTTGCGGCTGAGAAGTTGAGGTCTAACTTTATATATCCCTTGCCTCGGACATTTTTCCTAATGGCCGTAACAAATTGAGGCTTCGCCCAGAGGCTTGTTACGAATAAACAACTGTCCTAATTGGACTTTCGAATCAGTACTCTCCATTGTCATGTGAAGCCCCGAAAAGCAACTTAAAGTCAACTAACCATTATAATCATAATATATAAATTGTAATGTAATACATAGGAGGTAAGTAGTGTTTGTTCGATGTTCACTGCAAGTATCCTAAAAAGTGAGATACGTGCTGTTGTTGAGTTCCGCGTTACACGGACTCAATAAGGGAAAGGAAAATAAACAAAAAGCAATCAAGAGGAACATGTCTACATCAGTTTATCCGCCTATCTGCGGTAGTATTCCGCGGATCGACATGAGTCAGGAAGCATATTCGCATTGCATATGTATTGGCACGACAGAGACTGTTGTCGTGAAACAACAACGAGAACCGCGTTTTCCGGCAGTAACGGCACTTCTACGACATTCAAACTGTCATGAAAGATTAGATATATTTTACCTACTCGCGGAAACTTGCTTACCATATGCATATTAAAAGGGTATGACTACTTGTTGTTGTGCTACGGGCCATGACAAACAGTAGGCTAGGCGCAGTCTCATCCATCAGAAGGTCAGTTTCGAAAACTCCTATTAGGTAGTCAGGCTTGGGTGTAATCTGCACGAAGCCATCGGGAAATTATAATTGACGGCCGCAATCTATCAGCGCTGCATTTCTTTTCAGACTAGAGCAAAGATTCAAATTTCAATTGCTTATGTGCTTATTGATCATACGCACTGTGAGCTCATGATGATCCTTGACGCCACTTGAATCGGCTGAGGAATGGTATAAGAGCCTCTGTTTCCCGTGAATACCTATACCGAGACAAATACTATGCTCATGATATATCATACTTTCCTTTATAATATACTTGGATAATCCAGTTCACCTTCAGGAATCTAACTCTCTTTAAGTCGTGATGCACACTCTATCTCTTTTTCTGGCGTACCTGGGCGTTGTCGGGGCAACACCGTTTACACTCCTTTCGAAGCGACGGCTCGAGGACCATCAATGGACACGTAACGAGAAAGACGGCTGCCCAGCCTATCTAGAAGCCGGCGAGTTTGAATCCCCAAGCTACATAACGCAGGTTTCAAAATGCCAACCTGACAGAGCTTTCGGGCCGCAATCAATCGGTCGTATCACGCCTAACGACGTCTCGTCAATCTTCAACTTTGACATACCGGCGTCCCGCGCCGACGCCAATTGCACGCTCGAGTTCCTCTTCCCCCGCCAGAAGCAGCTCACCAACTCGTACTATAAATATCACGGCGGCGGCTCCTTTCTGTTCACGGGGTATCTGGCCGGTAGTTGCCCAGGCCCCCAGACTACATACAATAACCAGCCGACAGCTGGTACCTTTCCTCCGTTCCCTCCCATCCACATGGAGCCGGGCTACGCGTATACAATCGATGTTGGGCCCTGCATGTTCGCGGCAGGGACGTGTGTGGCTGGTTGTAAGTTATCTAGGACCCCCCCTGGGAGGATGAGTTCAAGTTACCTTAGGTACCTGGTATTAACGCGAACACAGTGACTTCATCTAATGACACTACTTTCGAATTTCTTCCAAGTGCCGACGACTGCCCCATTGGTGTCTACAATGCGTATAGCTACGGATTACCCTGTCCACCAGAGTACTGCGGATAGTCGTACAAGTCGGGCTATGCAGGGTACTTGGGGTATAATTCGGTGATTCCGTTTGGAAGTGGACAGCGAGCATTGCGGCGATGCAGTGACCAAATCCATTAGTAAGACAAAACAAGAAGGATAGTTCCGGATGTCTGAGATATCTGCATGTGAAAGGGTCGCGGAGTTGTGATGAGGCACAGTCTTGGCATCCCTGATGTTGAAAACTCCGAGGGATTTAATACTGCGTTGTTGAGAACAATTGGCCATTGATATCGCCTAAGTTATATCAGTCCACTAATTTCGGGTTACATATATCGCATATTAGGTCTATAAAAGAAATTAAAATAATTAAGAGTTACGGCGCTGTTCTGGGTACGCCCGAAACTTCCCACCTACCTAGGTACTTTAGGTACCTACCTACCGTATTTGCCTTGCCCCCAAATTCGCTATTCTGAATGACCACACTAGCTGGCTAGGTAGCTAAGCTCCTTTGTACTCAGCTGGCTTCTGTTATGTCGGTGCTCTTCTGCTTAGACGGTCGATGTCTTGTAGTGATATGTAACTTGTCGACTTTTCTGTAATAGCTGAATAACTAACACAGCAAGCTTCCAAAATGTTCATAATAAGCTGTTTTACTAGGTTAGGTAACTATCCACGAGAAAAGTTTACCATGCTCTTTCAAGGTTCACTAACTTATATTTTATCTTCAATATAATTCATTGTAGTTCCTGAAAACACTAAAAGCTGTCCTTCCATGAGGCTGAGAAGCATGCTTCAATACTGCTCTCGGCCCAACTTTCGCGTCTTCCAACTCCTGGCTCCTGGGTAGGACTATGAATACTGGGCGTTTTGAATAAGGTTGTCCTAGTGGCTATGAATTTGCGTGACTCCTTGGCCAATCTTTTGAAGCCAAGGCTCGTCAGCCCCATGGCGAAGTATCGTCCTTCTTGCCTAGCATGGCTATTTACCATTTATTAATATAAATAAAATGGCTTAGTTGGGGATACTTCACCACTCCTGACTTATCAAGCAAGCAATATTTACATTATAGTAAACTGTTGAGCCACATAACATGATCTATGCTCGTGGAGAGTTGCGGTAAGGGGTTTCCATCCATGTTCGATTTTAAAAACTGATACGCTATGTGATAGCGACTCCGAAGAAGAGCCCATTGTCAGATCAATACAACAAGATGACTTCAGGGCTTGTGACTTTGCGAAGAAAGGTATCCTTTCTCAATGGATCCCTCAGGTTCAAGATGACGAGAGTAATAGTAAGCGTATATACTTCTCAAGACGGGGCAGAGCAATTTTGATGCAAATATTGCTCATTACTATTATCTTCGCTACGAACCTTGGTATAACGCTATACACAATCTCTCGATATGATAGCCAAAACGGCGTGGGTACTATCTACGAAGGGGACTGTGGCGAGGTTAAATCTATGGATCAATGGTGTCATCTTTTGATCAACTGCCTTAGCACCGGTATGCTTTCAGCTTCGAATTATTGCATGCAACTCCAGGCGGCTCCAACTCGAGCTGATGTCGACCGCGCTCATCATGCTAAATCTCACAAACAAGACCGAACACATCAAGAAGGAATATGGCTTGATATTGGTGTACCGAGCCTACGGAACCTCCAGTATATCAGCAAATGGAGGCGGCTGGCCTGGTATATCTTAGCCTTTACGTCTATTCCTATCCATCTGATGTAAGACAAAATATAAATATTAATCAACTGTTGAACAAGCTAAATTTGCATGTAATAGGTACAATTCCGCTGTCTTCCAATCACTTGCGTCAAATGATTATACCGTTGCTGTTGTGAAGAACTCGTTTGCAAATGGTAGCAGATGGGACCTTACCACAGCAGAAATCAATCGAGCGGGAGATTTTGGGTGGGAAGAAAAAAGAGTCAACCCAAATAATCGTAATTACACGGAGATTATTCACACCATGCAACGGGATATGTCCAGCGATAAATGGGAAAGGATGAACATCTCCTCTTGTTATGCGTTGTATAACGACTACTTTGCCGCTCAGGGGAATGCCGTCATATTCGTAAAGAATGACACTGGCCCGGACGACGATAGCTTGCTGATGTATGTCTCCATTGTACCACGTTCGGACAACTGGGCGAAAAACATGTGGGCGGCTGGTAATGGCACAAAAAGCTTTGTAGCTAAGGAACCAGAATTCCCAGTAACAAGATGGTTTCTGGGGCCTAGGAGATACGAAGTATCGTATTGCCGAGTGCAATCTCCCAGTACGATCGCCAACAAGTGTCATTTTCAATACTCTCCGCCTATCATGTACACTATATGCGGTTTCAACTTTATCAAGATTCTAGTAATGCTTTGTATCTGGGCTATACGGAAATGGCAACAGAAAAAGCGCGACGACGCGGAAGGGATGGTTCTATACACCCTTGGCGATGCAATCGCTTCTTTCATACGGAATCCCGACCCGACAACCGTGGATATGTGCCTTGCTACCAAGGACGACTTTATACGACGTCGACCATGGAAGAATCGTCTCGTGAAACAACCATTGACCCTCAACCGCGAAGCTCGGGAATGGAAAAAACGGCGGAAGTTCTGGTTCTCCGCTGCTAGGAAACGACAGTGGTTCACTCTGTTATTCTCGTGAGTACTTACATGTTTTATATAAAATACCTATGCCAAAACTCCCTACCTGAGCGATGGCGAATTAGTTGTGTAGTATTTTAAGATTTTTAAGGGGCTGACTTAAGTCGACTCGAGATGCTGTCTTGTCATTCTTATTGCTGGAATCCTTCTCGGAAACTCCTTCAAAAGCCTTCGTCGTCGAAAAATCCCCACAACAATTTCCGGGCTTTGGCAGCTAGGCTTCGGCACGCTCACCCCGTATACTTATCTTTGTATCGGGTTGCCATTGGAAGACCCGGCAGGCCTGATATCAAACGTACTTCTAGCCAATCTCCCGCAGCTAGTCGTTTCGTTCCTTTATATATTCTGCAACACGATGCTGAGCACGTTTCTTGTCCAGCACGAATTCAGTCGCATGTATAGAAAGCGGCGGAAACCGCTGCGCGTTTCGGAGCCCGTGGGAATCCAGCGATCGAGTTATTTCATCTCCCTCCCGCTGCGCTACGGCATACCACTTTATACGACTTCCAGCATAATCCATTGGCTTGTATCGCAGAGCTTATTCCTGGCTCGCATAACAGCTATATGCGCAGATGGTTCTCAGGAGACCTGCCCTGCTGGCCAAATCGACTTTAAATACTCATTCTCTACGTGTGGGCATAGTCCGTTTGCTGTCCTCATCAGTATGTACCGATCCCGCACGCAATAGTACCGTGGGTATGCATAGCTAACAAGAAACACCTAGCATTGATTGTTGGAGGCTTGATCGTGATAGTGATCGCAGCACTAGGATTCCGCACATACGATGGGACTATGAACATGGTATCTACTAATAGTATGGCAATCAGCGCCGCCTGTCACGTCCTCGAGGAAGATCGCGAAGAGGCTTATCTTTTGCCAGTCCAGTGGGGAGTAGTAGAAATAAAGGATGGAGTTGGGAAATGCGCATTTACGACAGCGCCAGATGATAGAATAAAGATGCCAGAGGTTGGGTTGAAGTATAAATAATACCCTCTTGCTTCATTACTTGGAGGGAAACCATGATATCTACCTCTCTTTTTTACTTGTATACGATACGTCTCTCACAACGTCACCCCACATACTGTTAGGAGTCTCAGTTAGGAGTCTCACCTGAGACTCCTTGGAACAAAGGAGTTGTTCTGTATATAGCTTTGGCTTAAAAGCAACTGTAGTTAGAGTTCCTTGCGGAACAACGAAGTTGTTTTACCTACTGCATGCTCTGCGACGTGACAAGCTGGCGTTGGAGTAAGGACAACCTCAGCTTCCACAGGTATTATTTACTCCAGACTCTCGGGATCAACCATGGCTGCCGGCTGCGGCGGCTCCGGAGGCGCATCCAATCGACTAGCTTCAATAAATGATCATACCCGATTATTGAATAGGCCAATCCCGTCATCCCTTAGTACTTTATCTACCTCCCTCGGACCGTACCATCTTTCATGCCATTGATACCCGCAAGCGTGAACAATATCTGAAAGGTCGATCAAAACTCCGTTCTTCCAATTCCTCGCCAAGGAAGCAACGCTATAACCGAAACCAGCGCGCCAAAGGAAATCCGTAACTTCTTTCACAACTTTCGGATCGTTACCATTTTCCGTTTCCTGGATATACTCGTAGATAATTGCGATGTGATCCTTGCCAGGAGAAACATATCGTACCAGTCTCTCGTCGATCCAGGGGTGCGGCTGGGCTTTTTGAGGCCAGGTACGGAGAGTGGAGTAATTGATCTTCACCCAGCCATAACATCGTCTCATCCGTGGAATCCGCGTGATGACCATGGGCTCAAAATTTGCATTAGGTAGCCCAGCTTGTCGACCTTCCTGGGAAAACATGTAGGTGTTCCTTAAAGCGTCGGATTTGCTTTTCGGGTTGGGGTTTATCATAATTGGTGGGCTTTCGACATCTTCAACTGCAGCTTGCATTAAGTTGCAGTACCGCATTGTTTTGGCACTCTCGTTGGGCGGCATAGTATTGACCAGAACCTGGGTACGGTTCTGTCTCCCAAAACTGAAATCGTAAGTAGAAAACCCAAAACACTTCGGGGCATACATAGGTACCTGAGGTAGGTAGGCAACTTACCAATTTTAAAGCGTAGGGGCGATTATGCCCACGGATCCGGATCTTCCAAGTATACCCATCATACCCGGCAGCAATCCCACGCGAACGACTCCAGTCGATAGAAGTCAGGTCAAAAACGCATCTGCGGAGCTGTGGTATTTCGAAATCCGCCGCATAGCAAGTAAGAGGCTCGCTCATCAACTGTTCGCTAAGAAACGGATCAAGTAAAGGATGCATCACGGGAATTGATGGGTGATGAATTGATGAAGAACTTATTAGAGATGCCCAAATGATCGCTTAGAACGTTGTTAAGTTTGTTTATAAGTGTGTACCTGGTACTAAAATATACTATCCCTTTTAATAGATATTCACTAATGCATATTATCACTAAGGTATTATGTTGGTTCCAAAGTCATCTAAAGCATATTCCATTAGTTACTACTAAGGTATATTACCACAGGTAGGTATAATATTACTACTAAGGTGTATTACTACCAAGGTATACTGCTACTAAGGTATATTTTATATCAGCGATGCATCATATACCAAATTTACATCCTAGATTTTATCGTCTATTGGAATAGCCACAAGTTGGCTACAGATGTGCACGCCTCGTTTCTAAGTGCGATCTTAAAGGGCTGGCAACTTTTACATACGACGTCAAGCCAAAAAAAAAGCCCACTCACTTACCATTAAGCAAAATATAGATATCCATGGCTTAGTGAGAGGAGACATCACCAGGATACTTAGTATACCGCTCATAGTTGGAGGGGATATACATATATATAGCCGGTAACGGGTAATATTTCGTATGTTCGTGGCATCTTTTAAAGATAAGCTTGGCCTCTCCGCAGCAGGGTTGGGTCGTATGTCATAATGCTACCATGAAATCATGATACTATGATATAAATATGTCCCTATTTTCTACAATATCTAGTTCTACGAGTTCCAAATTACTATTAAGTATTTCACCGGGAGTTATCTTGTCAACATGCGCGCCTTCACTCTTATTACCGCTGTATCGGCGCCCCTCGTGGTGTTAGCCGCTCCGATTATTACTGAGCGTCAAGGAACTTCTAAGTTTTGCACACGGATCACACCATCACCTTCGGCAGAAGAGACCGAAAAGAGATTTAACGAGTTCGCGGACCTTTTCCTTGTTAAGAAGGATGTTTATAAGGCCTTCGAGTACATCCTTCCCGAATACATCGTAAGCTTATACAATAGATGAGCATACTTATCTACCCCTAATTACTCTGCAACTGCAAAGCCGATAGTCGTTAACTCGATTATCTATCTTATATAGAACCACAACCCCCTGGCTCAGAACGGAGCTCAGAACGCTTTAGATATCCTTGCCCCAATTTGGGGGAGCCAGTCGATAACAGTGTTACGAACTAAGTTCGAGGGCGAGATGTCCTGGCTTAACTACAGGAACTCAATGGGCGAGATTGTTGACCGATACCGCTGGGAAGATGGTTGTATTATCGAGCACGTAAGTTGATAATCCCGCCCCTCTCAGTTACTTTGAAATCATGTCAAGCCGAGTCCTGTGAATAAATATTGACTTCCTGTGCTGGGATAGTGGGACCAAGGGGAGAAGTTTCCGACGTCTTGAAGTCACGGCATAAGGGGGTACCTAAGCGCGAATTACATCTTATTCTTTTAGATCATGAGATCAGATTATTTTAGAAATATTACAGTGACACACTGTAAGGTTTACAGGTATTATTGTAAAACTATAAATGCTATTAGTTTGCTACATAAACTTAAGGGTTATAACATCAGTTCATGGCAGTTACTTGACGGTCGACTCCAACCCGAAATAACCATATCCAAAGCCAATAGAATTTACCTCTGTAAACTCATTAACTCGACAGGTTCTCTTACAGAGTTCATCTCCACCACGCTTCTTTCCTGCTTGAACCGTTCTTCCCGGGTCTCAAACTCATATCGTCTCTCATTATCACTACCAAGTGATCGTGGAAGTTTACCCTTTTTCTTGCCAATACGGTACGCTGCCAAAATGGCTCCAACGAACAAGAGAACACCGAATAATACACCGACAGCGATCACTATTTTCGCACCATTACTAAGATTGTCGGATTTACCCGTCAACTCAGTTGTTGTATTGGGTGCCTCGGCCGTCTCAGATGTCGTGGCTGCTATGCTTGGTGTCGTTCGTGATGTATTTTCAGCTGAGGTAGTAATATGTAAGTTGACAGTAGTTGGTACAGGCCATTCGGCGTCGTTTGAGGCCCTCCAGACAGCAAGCCCTTTAGCAAAGACCTCCCTGCCACTATCACAAAAAGTACTGCTGGTACCAATACTTGTTATAAAATCTCCCGAATATGACAATACATCCACAATAAAAGCAGTAGGCGACAACATAGTTGACCGGCACGCATTGGGATCGCTGGGGCCCGCGCGACTACAAGTATAGCCACTATATTGTTAGCAGACTTGTTAGTCTAATTACTGTTTCTGTTTATACCACTCTATGCATCCTCTACTAGGTTGGTATAACAAATAGGCAGTTGGTGCGATTGCACTCACCTAGGACAGCACGTAGCGACAGTAGCACTAGACGTTCCAAGCGCAACACCTGCTGTACAGGCATAGGTATACCCCTCTGGACAAACCCCTGGAGAATAGTAGTAGCCATCATAACGCCGAAAGTTTGATGGAAGACAACCACTGGTGGTTCCGTACTGTAACCACACGCCATCGGTGGTAGAGCCTACGTGTATCGAGTGGCAGCCAGTGCCTTGGGGCTGATAGGCCGTAGTAAGGGGTCCTAAATTTGTCATTTATAGTACTTATACAATGGTGTGCAAACAGAAAAAAGCTTCGGGACTGAAGAAACATGATCAGGGAGGAAATATATATCTACAACAGGTAGGTATTTAACTTACCAACCTAGGCACCTGGATAGAGTAGGTATGGCTACAATATATTGAATCGGTATCAATTATGATAGACGAGATTTGTCCCACCCCCCATAACTCAGCCGCACCCCGTATCATAAATTAGAGTGTTTACCCCCCGGAATACGTATGTACAACCCAGATGCATCTCATAAAGCATCCCAGCTCATAGGATTAAAATCGGATCATTAAACGATCATACAATCTTACCAATTATTATTATACCAGAAGCTTATGCACTTAGGTACCTAGGTAGGTACCTAGGTATCCTCCCCTATTATATTTTTATATTCTCTTGTATTTACCTCCAATCATCCTACTCTGGACATTTTCTTCTTACTATTGGTTTCCCCCTTTAAGAAAAACGAGTACTGCTTATCTACTTCATACCGCCACGGCGTTTACTCGTGTATCAGATCAGAATCTAAAGCATATAATCATGTAGCACAATAATCCTTCAATATTGGTAGCTACCTTGGCTCAGGTAGTCACCTATATTTAACTACATGTACCGACAAAACTATTTTTATCTCAAGTATGTAATTATAACCATCTAAGCCATGCTAGATTGGAGATTAAGTAGCTCAATCACGAGCTTATATAGACTCCTAGGAAGTTTGAAATATTTATGAATAATGCTATAATAAATATAAAAAATAATAAAAAATATTCTAGTAAATATAAACAATAAAAAACCCCAAAACTTCGGCGCCCGCGCACCCACGATCATCTCACGTCTCCACAAACGGACCTGTCTGGTCTCCGACAAACGACACCAAATTCCTAAGCAGAGCTTTGGGCCGCTGCGTTAACCTATGAACGCCACTCTCCACGTCAAATAGCACAAAATAGTTTAACCCTAAATGGCCGAAGCGCGGGTTCTTGATGTTACCAAGAGGCTCGATTGGCGAGATCGGATCCTGGTAACGCGGCTCAAAGGCCTCCGTTTTTCCCAAAAAGGAAATATCCGAATTGGGGAAAGGGGCCTGTCGTGAAATACATAAGAGGTAGCTATATCTACCTTAAGCCAGCACGGAATAGTTCATAATGACCGCATGTGGTTTTCATACTAACTAATTCACTCGTTAAAAAAAATGGCCATCACGCTGTCAAGTCTTCTGTCGTTCGGTCTGCTCGCAAGCGGAGGAGTTTACGCGGGCCCCGTAAGCAAGACCGATGATAATAAGGGTAGAGCAGTTCCCGAAGGTTTTGTCACCGTCAAAGGAGGCAAGTTCCAACTCGACGGGGAGGACTTCAACTTCGCCGGGAGCAACGCGTATTATTTTCCCTTCGACAGCGTATGTAGTCGTCCCCCCCTCCCCCGCCCCCCCTTTTTTCTGGTGGATGATTTTCTCTAATTGCTTTTCCATGATCTAGAACGCGACTGACGTTGAGCTCGGGCTTGCCGCCGCCAAAGACGCAGGCCTGAGAGTATTCCGCACCTGGGGCTTCAACGACAAGAATGCCACGTATGACCCTCAAGGTCTCCCACAGTACGGTGGTGAGGGCGCGGGTGCGACAAATGCCGTTTTCCAATGGTGGGCTAATGGCACTTCTACTATTAACATCACCGAGTTCGATAAGGTCGTCGATGCTGCAACGAAGGTCGGAATTAAGCTGATAGTCACTTTTACTAACAACTGGGCCGATTACGGTGGTATGGACGTTTTTACTATTAATCTTGGTGGGAAATACCACGATGATGTAAGTTTGAAAAAAAGAAAAAGAGCTTATTAGACTCGCTGAGGGTATTCCAAACCTATTGGTTGGATAATGCAACTAATTCAATCCCTAGTTCTACCGACTTCCTCAGATCAAAGACGCCTACAAGCGATACGTCAAGCAGTTCCTCACGCGGTATAAAGACTCCGCAGCCATCCTGGCATGGGAACTAGCCAACGAGCCGCGCTGCGGCGCCGACGCGGTGCGCAACCTCCCGGTGAGCGGGACCTGCACGGCGGACACGCTGACCGCGTGGATCGACGAGATGAGCGCGTTCGTCAAGAGCGTCGACCCGAACCACTTGGTGACGTGGGGCGGGGAAGGCGGCTTCAACCGCCGGGAGTCGGACGACTGGGCGTACAACGGGTCGGACGGCGGGGACTTCGACGCCAACATAGCCCTGCCCAACGTCGACTTCGGCGTCTTCCACACGTACCCGGACTGGTGGACCAAGACCATCGCCTGGGCCGACCAGTGGGTCCGCGACCACGCGGCCGCGGGCCGGGAGGCGGGGAAGCCGGTCGTGCACGAGGAGTACGGGTGGATGACGCCGGAGGTGCGCGAGCAGAACGGGATCCCGCCCGCGAACGCGACGAGGCTAGAAGTCGAAGGCGGGTGGCAGAAGATCATGCTTGAGGAGGGCATGTCGGACTTGTACTGGCAGTACGGGTTCTCGGGGTACTCGTACGGCCGGAACCATAACGACGGTTTCACGATTTACTTGGACGACGAAGAGGCGCAGACGCTGGTCTACGAGCACGCTAAAGCTGTGAATAGCCTCTAAACCCCCAGAACTATGTACCGGGTATGTAGGAGAAGAATGTTTCAAGAGGATATCGTTTAATAGATAGGGATAAACTATCGGAAAAGGGGGTCAATTCTACCTGATTGCTCCAACTAGTAGTAGGGATATATTTGTAACTCAATATGGCATCACTACACATGTTTTAAGATACGCGGGCCTCTCCAATCCAGGGATCAGTTTTCCATTTGTAAGCGAGATTTTGAGGATGACTCGAATATGCCTATTTCCGATGGAATAATTCTGCAAACGAATAAAAGAATAGTGACAGCCATCTCGCAATTTCCGTTTGAGCACCCAGACATGAATAGCGAGCTGAACAACCCCAAGCCAGTATCCATTTACATATTTGCAGGAACAGTTAGAGTCATGCCGCCATCGACGATCGAAATGGTGCCCCAGATAAAGTCGTTCGTAGCAAGCGTAAGAATAACCTAAATGAAGGCCAGCGAATCATCAGTTAAGTGTCTTTGATCTATTGCCTACCTACCTAGGTAGTCTCTTAATGTATCTCCCCTAGAGAGGAAAAAAGGGGAATCTGAATGTTCGTATAAATAACCAAAAAGGGGAGCAAAATAAAAACCACTCACGCTGGCAAGCTCTTGCGGCGTACCCATACGCTTGACCCTCTCGGCGCCCATGCCCTTCATAAAGGCCGCAAATTGCTCGTCCGAAGCAACGCTCTCGTTCTCGTCGTTCGAATCTCCCGTCGTCATCTCCGACGGGAAGTATCCTAGGTTAAGTAAGAGGTAGGTTAGTCGTACCTTTAGTGGAGAAAATGCATGCAAAAGGAGGAAGGCGAAAAGGAACTGGCGCGTTTTTACCTAGCGCAAGACCGTTCACGCGGACGTTGATCTTCTCGTGGCTGAGCTCGAGCGCCATCTGGCGGGTTAGGTGTAGGAATGCGGCTTTGCTGGCCTGCAACTTGTCAGCTCTGCCCGGAAGTACCGCATGGCAGTGGCAGGATAGGGGGATGGAGAGAGAGAGAGAGAGAGAGGGAGGGAGGAGGAGAGTGGCTATCTTACGTTATACGAGAACTGGCGGTTTTGAGTCCTGCGAAAGAATTGTAACCGGTCAGTACAGGATCTCCCTATCTTGCACCCGATGTTACATTATACGTAGTAGAAGCGCTCATGCTGACATTCGGAGAAGCCCGCTCACAGAGCCGTTATTGATCACGCTGCCAACTTTCCCGGTCGGGCCGGAAGCGGCTTTGGCTAGGAGCGGAAGAAATGCGGCTGTAACGAAGTACTGAGAAGTACAGTTGACATTGAATGCTATAAGTGTGATTCGTCAGGCCGATTTATCGATTTGTAGCTAAGTGAACGCTGCCTCTTACATTTCTGCCAATTGTCCTCGTTACTCTCGGCTAGCAAGGCCTCGCTGAAAGCCTCCGGTCCGTCTTCTGCTGTAGCGGTGGGACGTCCAGCCCAAACCCCTGCGTTGTTTACAAGACTATTGAGATCAAAGGTCAGCAGAGAAAGGATAATTGAAGAGCTAGGATGAATAGCGAAGAGAATTGTTAAGAACTTACACGTTCACGAACCCCTCCTTTTGTGTGATCTCGGCGACGACTCCCCTAATGCTGTCTTTCGACGTGATATCCATCTCGATAGGAACAATACTGCCCCCAAGTGGTCCCAGCCTCTCTGGCGAGCCGTGGACGCGGGCGCTTGTCTCCAGAACATCAAACCGGCGCCCGGTAATATAGACCTTAGCTCCATTGGCAGCCAGAGTCTGGGCAGTCACTAGGAGGGGTTCGTGTTAGACGGCTAGGGGAAAAAAACATAGGAAATGGGAGATGGGGACGAGTGAATCGGGGAAATAGGGGGGCTTACTTAGTCCAACACCTGTTCCTCCGCCCGTTACTGCGTGGAAAAAGTCAGCGAAAAGAGGGGAAGAGCAAGACAGGAAAAGGGGCTGAGAATAAAACCAACCGACGGTGACCCAGCCCTTTAGTGAAAACAGGGACGACGCAGAAAGCGGATGAGAAGAAGCCATTGTGATAAACAATTACTTCCTAAGAGAAGGCGAATGAGATCGAGCGCTAACAAGAGGTAGATAATAAAGAAAAGTAGTGTAAGAGAGAAGAGACGGACGAGTGACCCCGACTTTATAGATATAAACCCGCCTTGTGTTACATAGCTCTCCATAAGCCACCTAACGAGACATATTGCATGCGCCTCGAGATCGGAGTCCACCTGTGAATGCTCAGGGCTTCCATCCTGGGCCGATCTAACCCGTTAATGAGAGATGGTGGGGGTTCAGCTTGAGATAGACCAATCAAGACGGACCTAGACAACACGGTTAGCTGGTAGTCAAATATTATCGTGTGTGAAGATGATATTCGTGTACGAAATAAATAACGAAATTTAGCATTCAAGTCACTGCACTATTGATTCAGAGAATTAAAACAATGTATACATGTTACACTTCTAGAGCCGAAGCAAATCTAGTCACCCGCAGTCAGTAAACAAAGCATACGCCGGAATCCCAAACCCCCTGACACGGTTAAGAGCATCGTGGTATCAAAACAAAACCCATAGCTTTAGCATTGGCCCGCGCGCATGAATCCTTCGGACACCGTGTCCGTTGTTTGGCGATCATATCAATGTCGCCTGTGTGTACAATATTACATGCCCCTGTTACTCAATACCGGTATCCTCGGGGTTAGACCTGTTAGGCTCAGCCTACAATCCTGCGAATTGGGGACTACCGGGGTGCAGAACGTTATAAGACCCGCTGCTAGTCGATTTCAAGAAGGCCGCCTCTCGTTCTGCCTTTTCGCGGTCCATCTGAGCTTTGTCAGCTTTCGTCATCCGTGGCTTTCTCACTGCCCCCCCTCGGGATCCCGGACCACCTCCCCTACCTCTTCCCGTACCCGTCGTTGCTCCGCGAGTGCCACCGCGACCACCACGTGAGCCACGTCCTCGCTTAGGTGCGCCCTCACCACTACATTAAATTAGTATAATCGAAGTGCTATAGATAGGTGATATACGTACCGTCCAGATTCCGGCTTCTCGACCTCCGGTATTAAGGGACCGGAGTAGACGAAGAAGCCGTCTCTGCTAGCCGCTGCCTGTTCCTCCCAGAGCATTTCCGAGTCATCGACGAAGTCGTCATCCTTGTCGTACTCGTCCTCTTTGAAATGTCTCTTCTTTTTTACGGGCTTGCCATCGGCCGGCTTATCCGGTCCACTCGTACCGCCCATTTCGACGTTCGAGTCCTCATTTTCTGACTCATCAACCGACATCTCGTCACCCTCACGGCTAGAGTCGTTCTGGGCCAAGGCAGCAGACGCGGCAGCGATACGGGCCTTGCGTGCTTTGAGTTCAGCCTGACGCGGATGAAGGGCGTCCCAGCCATACTTTTCCTCAGCCATACGCATGAAGTTAATATATTTATTCGTTTCTCCATTGAGAGGGATATTAAGAATGATCGATGGAGCATTAAACTCAGATCCGGGTTCCGCTTTACCAAAGTCTAGGATAGAACGCTCAGGCCCGTGCGGGAGAGGGGGGACTAGCGTATCCTTCATGGCGTTGATGCGAGGCGACGACGATGTGGTGCTATGGTTTTTGGTCGACGTCTTCTTTGTGCTGGCCGCGCCAATTGTGGTAATAGATGTGGGACGGATCTCGATCTTGGAGGTAACCCCCTGTGCAGGGGTTGGCGCAGGCTTTTTAGTCTCTTTGGCTTCTTTACCTTCTTTACCCTCCTTGCCCTCAGTTGTGGGCGGCTTCGGCGCGGGCGGAGGTACAAAGTCTTTGCGGAAAGGATTAGGGGACTCCGGCATTGAGCTAGATTCTTTATGGATGCGTGATTGGGATTGTTGTGTGCTCTGAGCAAAAGAAGTATGGGATGGAACAGGTGATATAATATTCGGTACAGGCGGATCAACAAGACTGGCAATCGAAGGAGATGCGCTTGCACGATTGATGGTATTCGTAGTGGTAGGTCCACGAGGAGATCCGCTCATCGGATTAGAATACGTATGTGTGACCATGGTTTCTCTTATCGGGTCATAATTTGATGAGCGAATCGGATCATAATTTGTACCACTCCTCCGTGATGGAGCACTCGGCCTGGCTAACTGCTGCTGCTGCTGTTGAGGGGACGGTTGCGATTGCTGACGAGGGAATTGCAGGGGTTCGGGGTCGGTATTCAGAATACTGGACACAGAGCCGGGCATACTATCGCGTTTTACCTCTCTCTGAGGAAGCGGTTCCAATCGAGTCTGGGGTGTGGTCATCTCGGTAATCTTAGCCTGTCGTGATGCCGGGGTTCCAGTATTTGCACCACCGCTGACACTAGCAGCGCGAGATCTCGGCTCGGCCGCCTCGCCCTCGAGAGATATCCCCTTACGTTTCCTCGAAACAGTCGGCGCGGTAGGATCCTTTTGCTTCCGCGCTCGCTTGACCTTCTCTCCTTCTTCGGGATTTGCACTATTCCGCTTGTTGATCCTGGTCCCGGGTTTAGGGCCAGGCTTTCTCCTGGGTAACCCATCCTTGGTTAACATGGGCTGGCCGGATCCATCATATCTGAGAGTGTTAGGATCTACCACAATCTCATCCAATTCTCCATTCTTTGCTCTGCTTTCTCCGTTTGGCGAACCGGGCCCCGATAGCATAGAAGGGGGACTTGACAACTCCGGTGAAGAACTATATCGATTCGGGGCGATGCTAGAACCCCCAGCCATCCTGCCGATCTAATAGATAAATCCCCGATCCGAGACGCCAAATACCACCGCACCGGATCAAACTCTATTGGATGAATAAGAACTGAAGAACAAAGCGCCAACAGGGCTCTTTTGACGAATAAGGGGTGTATCCGACCAAATAAAGGCCTTCAGGATAAATGAACAACAATATTTATCTGGTAAGTTGTAAGTTGTAAGTTGCAAGTTGTAAGTTGTATAAGTTGAACGTTCAAGTTGTTAAGTTGTAGTCGTGAATGTCTAAAAAGGTTAAAATATGCTGGTCTTGGTAATTGTATAACTTTCTTTTTTGTATCAAATGTGCATTGACCAATGATAATCTCTTTGCGGAATTGAATTTTTTTTTTCTTCCTGACAATGCAAGCAAGTGCTAGGAGGTATAGCGTTGTTGAAGCGTAAATCGAAAAATCGAAAAATCGAATTAATCGAATAGTCGAATAGACGAATAAACGAATAGACGCACGTGGACCCCCCCAAGCTATAGCTAAGGTCGTAAAGGTAAAGCAGGTACGCGAAAGCGACTGCACCCAATTGACTATTGGCTCAAAAAAGTTAAGTGCCTAATGGTAAGGTTCTAGTGGAGCGTGTTGTACCGGTGTACACACTATTGAGTAACGTGACCTTAAAATCGTGTGGTCGGTGCGCCGTAAGAGCTAGAGTCCCGGTCTGAATAACTTCACCAAGATCGCGCAGAGGTTGCGCAAGCGTCTCGGTTAATTCAACTTTGCCTTGGAAAAAAGTCGTAATTATACTGGCGGTCGATCTCGAAATATACCGTGGAGGGTGCACGAGAATTCGGTGCACAAGATGACGTAAATAAGAGAATGAAAAGTCGCGATAAAGTGATGGATGTAGATGAAATTATCTTTGGGACATCATCTTTGTTGTGAAGAAAAAGTAGGGGAGAAGGTGGGAGAATTACGAGTTTTTGGAAGATTGCGGGAGGGATGGGGATGGCTACTATTAAATTTTTTTTTGGAATTGGGAATTATTTCTCCAACAAGGCGAGAAAAATCGGGGCCTGGTTTAACTAGCTAGAAATGAAAGTTGCGTGGGAAATTTTATTATTAAAAAATCGAATTAGAAAGATCGGAACTAGGTAAGCCTGGGGGTGACATTGGAACAGCTGGGAATTTCAAGGGGAACCGTGACAGTGACAATTTGAGAGGGAGAGAGGGGGGGGGGGGGGGGGGAACACATTAGGCGCATAGGCAACAGAACGCGAATTTTAAACCGACGGGGGGGGGGGGGGACTTGGCCAAACCTGGAAAATTACAATGGGGCCACTTGAATTAGGTAGGT